GCTTCAGCCTGTTAGCGTCTCCTCGCTGGAGTCCTTTGGCCCTGCGGCGGCAGGACACCTTGTGCCTGAGGAGCAACGTGGCGTTCCAGAAGCGAGTGGCGCAGCGTCGGCAGGAGAACGTCCCTCTGGCCCGGTGGGAGGCCCGGTGGATGAAGGCCGACAAAGCCCTGTGAGACTGCTTGCCACAGACGCTGCACCTGAGTCGCTCCTGAGTGGTCGAGGCTTTCTGCGGGTGTTTAACTGCCATGTGGACCAGCAGTCCCGCTTTACGGGAAAACACAGAATTGGGGCATATGGGGCAGCCGAAACGTTTCACGGGGACTTTGAGAGACGAGAGGATCTGCACCTTCATTCCCCCAGTGTTGACAAGCTTATACGCACCACTACCTGATCCTTCTCCTCGCCTAATTGTCAAACGAAGAGAACCTTGTTTTTTATTAATTTTCCTTCTCACTGTACAACTTATCTTTCTCTTCTTTCTGTTTCCATCCAATCTGACTAGATCTTGGTTATCCCATTTATTTTCCCTCCATTCTCTCCTGTTGGACTTTTTTTTTTTCTTCTTGTGTTGCCTCATGTCATCATGTGACAACTGGATGTTGCAGTCGAGGTGCTGGTGGGACTGGGTACTTGACTGATGATGGAGATGATGGTGGGAGATATGATGATGATGATGCAGGTGATGATGTTCGGTGGAGGGCAGTTCCGTAAGGGGCTGGAACGGGGCTGTGGTGTGGAGCGTGCGGCTGCGGGACCCAGCTGGATATATGTGCTCTCCTTTGACCCCGGCCGGGGAATGCGGGTGCTGGGGGGCCATGATTGTAGAGTTTGGAGGCAGAGGCTGAGAGTAAGCTTGAGCATTAGAGGCTGACGATTGGGCCGCAGCGTCATAAAAGAGAGGAGAGTAACCCGGCGGTGGTTGCGGGGGTGGCTGCTGGTGGCTATGAGTGACGACACTAAGACTCTGCCCTACGTGGCCTTCGGTGGAAGGCGCCATCTGCAGCAGGGCATTGGTGGCAGCCTCGCTCTCTGATGTCGACTGGTTCACATCACTGCCACCCCTGTTGTCTCCAGAGCCACTGTTGCCTTCTTGCGGATTAGGCCCGTCCGCGCGGGTCAACCCATGCTGCGATTGCTTGTGCCGGGTGAGGCTGTTGGAGTAGGCAAATGCCTTTCCACATAACTCACAGCAAAAGAGCTTTTCGCCCCCACCTTCGTGGACCGTCTGGTGATGGGCGGTCAGGTGGAAGTGGTGGCGGAAGGACTTCCAGCATATAGCACAGGTGTAGAGTCGAGGCGGAGGTGGGGGTGGAGGCTGCGACTGGGGGTTGGTGTCTTGAGGCTTGACATCTTGCGGGTAGGAGTAATAGGAGGAAGTGCTTGGTGCTTGGTTCTGGCTCCTGTCTTGGGCCACGCTACATTGAGGGTTAGGGTTAAAGCTGTTGAGGTTATCCGCAGCTGGTGTTGTGGGCACCTCTTCCAGCTCCCCTTTCTGGTGGAGCTTACTGTGCCTCCTGAGGCTCTGGGAGTAACCAAACTCTTTCCCACAGATGCTGCATTTGTAATTCTTAGCCCCAGAGTGGACTGTTTGATGCTTGCTGAGGTGAAAAGCCTCTCTGAAATACTTCCCGCAAACAGTGCAGTGATGGGGCTTCTCTCCTGTGTGGATGCGGTCGTGTCTGCGTAGGGTCTCGCGACGTGCAAATCCCTTCCCACAGACGCTGCACAGGTGAGTGCGTGGCAGGCCACTGGGGCCCATTCTGGGGGTGTATTGCCTGCGTTTGGGGGGTTGTCCACCGGCTGCCGGATCCTTCTTAGCTCGGGGTTTACGGGGACGTTTTGGTTTGGCAGTAGGGTTCTGTGGGTTGCTGCTCATAGCCTCCTGGCTCCCACCACCTCGGAAATTCTTATCTAAACCAGATGTTGATGAAGGTGAGCCCAGAGGACCTAAACCAAGACCACCTAGCAGACCTCCTATGATGTCTCCCCTATCATCCCCTCTATTTCCACTGTTACTAGCCGCTGTTATAGCAGAGATTGCATTATTGACAGAGCTAGTGACATCATCCTCTGAGTCATCCAGTAGAGAAGAAAGGGGCAGGTGGGGCTGTTGCTGCGGATGGTGGTGCTGGTTGTGGCTCTGTGAGTGTGGATGCAGTGTTGGAGCCAAGGGTGCCTTTCTCAGAGCTGGGCCCGCCATCCCACTTCCACAGGGAGAGGCACCAGAGTAGCATGGAGATGGATTACCTTGAGAACGATGATCATCATGGTAGCCTGTGTAACGATTCCGAGAGTAGTCAGTGGCGTATTTAGCATCTGTTCTGTCCCTGTCATTTGAATTAACTCCCCTTCCAGACTGAAACAGACCATCACATCCTAAACCTGATTTTGGTTCTCCTTCCCCCACAATGATTACACCATCTTCTTCCTCAGTTTTCCCATAAATAACCCTTCTATTGCTCTGATAAGTTCCCCCTCCTCCGTTACCTCCTCCACCCTCTCCCCCGACTCTGTCCTCACCATCAGATCCTGTCTTGCTGCCCCTTTGTTTGGGTCCCCTACCTGGCTTGCCGCAGGTGCCTGAGGCAGCGTGGTTGAGTAGAGAGGTGCTCTCGCGGAAGGCACGACCACAGGCGGGACATCGGAATGGCTTTTCCTCATGTATCTTCTCGTGGCGTGTCAGTGACTCTCTACGATTAAAAGCCCGAGAGCACGTGGAGCAGCCATATGGGCGGGCTGAAGAGTGTATAACACCATGTTGCAGGAGGTGGCCCTTTTTCTTAAAGCCTTTGCCACAATCAGGGCAATTAAATATTTTGTCTGGGCTAGGACAAGAATTGGTTGGGGTCGGGGGAGTTTCTTGGGTCGAATGAGGAAGGCTTGGGTCAGACAGTGCTTTAATGTGAATGGGGTTTGGGCCAGTGGAAGAAGAATTGCTAGTACCTGCAGTGGTTGGCTCATGCATGCGCAAATGCCTCCGAAGGCTTGAAAGGTGAGGGAAGCTTTTGCCACACTCTCCACAGCTATAAACAGGCTCTGAATCAGACTCTGTGTTGTTGGGTTGCATTGAGCTGTGGTTATCAGATTTAGGAAGGTGAGAATCATTAGTAACCAGTACTGAGGCAGCAGTGGAAGAGCGGGCAGAGGAGGAGGAGGAAGAAACTACTGATGAGGATGAAGATGACGAGGCAAGTAGGGATGATGGGTCTCCACCCATATTTGATATACCAACCCCGCTCCCAATCAAAGCTGGGGGCTGACCATGACTAAGCCCTCCACCATTACTGCTACTAGTGGGATTACCACCGTGGCCATGGCCACTGGTGTTATTACTACTGCTTTCAGATTTTCTCTGTGGCAAATAGCCAGCCATTGCTTTCTTCCTCCTACTGCTGCTACTGCCGCCGCTACTATTACTTCCACCTCCACTACTTTCCCCTTTTCCGTCATCTTTAGATAAGGATAAATGGAGCGGCAAGGGGAGCGGCAAACCTGCCTCCTGCTGCATCAGAGAGGCTATCTGATTCGACGACAGTACAGGGATGCCCTGGAAGTCAAAGCCACCCAGTGATGAGGAATGGGAGCCTGGGTGGAGTGGGTGGTGGGGATGGGAATGAGCGTGAGGATGAGAAAGGGTGTGAGGTGGAAGCTGTTGCTGTTGGGGCGGCTGCTGTGGAGCCTGGTGTGACTGGGGAGTGGGGTGGCCATGTGAGTGTGATGAATGCAAAGCGGGAGGCGGAGCTAAACTAGAACCGGGCTCTCCGCCTGTCTGACTTAAACCAAGCCCTAGGTGGTTATGGGTTCCCTGTTGAACAAGAAACTGCTCTAAACTAGCATTAGAAGGCACCCCAGAGAGGAAATACTGATTAGCAGCTAACATGCAACTAAATTGTTGGTGAAGGCTTCGCGCATCAGACTGGGCCCCAACCAACTGATGCCCCAATGAGCTGACTGCACTGCTGCTAGGAGGGTTGTTAGAGGTGGCCACGGATGTTGAAGTGGAAGGAGAGGAAGAGGAGGGACCAGATGATGCTTGGGGGACAGAGAGGCCTGGATGCAGAGGAGGGGGGGGTGGAGGTGCTGATGTTACTATTCCTCCTAATCCCCCAGCACTCCCACTACTGCTACTTCCCCCAGCAAAGTGCTCAAAACGCCCTACACCTGGGTGTAACTGCTCCTGTGCTAGTGCTGCCTCAGACGGGTGGAAAGAGCGCAGGAACTGCGGGTAGCCTGAAGAATGGCTTGAGCTGCTGCTGCTGCTGCTCATCTTGCTTGACTTTGAACGAGAGCTCTGAGATGAGGACGGCTGTTGTTGTAAAGGTGGGGGAGGAGGGGCACTCATCTTGGCAAAAATGGAGGCAGAATCAGAAAAGGCGTTACCTCTTGACCCCTGCAGGGGTCCCAAGCCAAGTCCAGACAGAAGAGCTCCAGAAGACTCAGCCTGCTGCTGCTGCTGCTGCTGCTGGAGTTGATGCTGGTGAAGTTGCACTTGCTGCTGATGCTGTAGTTGTCGATCTAAGCCGAGGCCTTTAAACTGGTGGGCCTGATGCCCACTTAACATCTCTATAATGTCCAGATTGTATTTTCCAAATTGGAACATTTCCCACTCACTGGCACATGGGGGTGCACGGGCCAAACCTCCAGCACTAGGGGCGGCAACAATGATCCCAGCACTGACTGGTGAGAGACAAACTGTACCTTAACAGTGAGGCTATGCTACTATATTTTCCAGAACTAGTTGAATGTCTTAAATCTTAAGTTTGTCCCTCCAGATAGTTTACTTCTGGTGCCGTTACTCCCTGATGATTATCCACTGCCCACACTCTACTTCCAAAATGAGTGGGGTGGCCGGGAAGACGAGTTTAGGACCAAAGGGTAAAAGTGTCTTTAAGACAGGTAGAGGAGTTCCACCTAATATTAAAAATGCTTAGTGTAGCTTTTATTGAGAAGCAGTTCAAATGACTTCTTGTTTCCTTTGAGAGTTACTGCGTTGACATTATCCTTCATCTAAGCAAGATTCCTCATCCGTGTTCAGCCAAGATGATCCTACAGCTGGAAAAACAAATTCAAAGAAGGGATGAAAGTCATCGAGGGGAACAGAACTTCAAAACCAGATTTAGCGGTCTTTTGAAAAGAGGCCTTCAGCCTATACGGAGGTGACCCCTATCTGTTAGGGTGAGTCTATTTTGACTTTATTTAAAGTCTGTACTGTAATATTGCAAGAGATTTGCCATCTTTATTCTACAAATACATCAGATTTGACAACAGAAATTGTTACTTTTCTCAAGTTTCAGTTCTTACTAGTGTATAATTCATGCTGCAGCTGTGAGGCAATTAGCCCTTTAGTTTAAACGACCAAAGTACAATTTAAAGTCTATTTACAATTTATGTCCACGCGAGGTGAAGGAATACTAATTTCAACAATTCAAGTTCTCTCTACATATCCATCTACATTGACAGGAACGCCTACATGCTAATAAACATATGCAATCTTTTATGTTTTGGAACAACTTACCATTATGTGGTTCTGCTGGATTGCAGCACAACCAGAATTGTTGCATGAATGCCAATTCTTTTTATCATAAGGTACATCTTTAAGGAGGCAAAAGTTACTGTCATCATTCTTACTGTCTACACATATAGTTCATATAAGGTCTCAGCCATTAAGGCCGGCGGTGAAAGGAGGCAGACATTGCTTATTTAACAAAAAGTACCTTGGATATATGGCCCCAATTTATAACACTGTTATACACGGACTTACCGACCGCCCTGCTGCAGCGGTTCAGTGATGGGCATTATCTCATACTTTATTTTGTACGGTATAAATACCCAATACGTAACCACCAAATGTTTTTGAGGAAGATGACTGACAGCAGAGAGGCGTAGACGTAACAGAGAACACTTGGCTTTTGGTTATACTTATAGTAGTGGCAATCCTAATACATTGTACTATGTAATGAAAATCATTGTCTGTGATTATTACCACAGGAAAGTTAACTGTTTTTGGGGGTTAACATTTAGCACAATGCTCATCATTGCCTTTTCTTTTAGGTTTTAGTTTGTTTTGTACCAAATAGTCGCTTTAAACTGTAATGTCAAAATGCAGTCGATGCGAATGGGCTTTGTTTTAGAAGATGAATATTAGAAGTGGTCTATCTGACTGAGTTGAAATGGTGGGGGGGATTACACAGTATCAGATGCTGCCCCATTCCTTTAGGTGCGTTAAGATGATGACTGGCCTGTAAATATCAAGTTACATCCATTCATATTGTGGATTTTCCATATTATATATAATTCATCCTGTCAATACATTATTTTTTATAGATATACATAGCAATAATTATACTAAACTGAATTTTGTTGGATCTTTACTCTCTATGTGCAGTGTCAATTATTGACATATATGACACTCCTCTTATTTTAATCAACAAATACACCTAAATTCACGTTTTACTCTAGTTAATAAAAAAGGGATATGAATCCCTTAACTATTGCGTTATAAATTACTTTTAATAAACGTGAATCAATAGTCGCTGGCGTTCACATGTACCGTTGTTCTGCCGGTGTGAAGAGGCAGAAGTAACGTTACACCGCCTCCGGCATTCGCTCGGTTTGAATGTGCTTTTGCTCACCTCGTTGTATCTTACCGTTTCCTCTAATCGACGTGATGAACCGAGTGGGGACTGAGCTCCCCGGGCAGATGGGGGTGATAATCTATCGCATATTCGACCGGCTCTCATTTTACCGTAAAAAAAAAAGAAATCACCGGTCCTGCAAAGAAGAAGAAGAGCAGAAATGAACATCAGTATCAGACCCGCTGCACAGTGTAAACATTAGCGGCATCTCACAGGCGCAAGTAATAACGGATGCACTCGAGGAAGCATCCCGCATTAGTGTTGGCTCACTTTTGGAAAGAAAAAAAAAGAGCAGGATAACATTGGACGCGTTTGCATTTTCGAAACTTCTCGTTTTTTTTAGTTTTTTTTTTTTTTTACACGAGCTCGGCGTGCTTAGCCATTCGGTGCCTACACGCAGTCTGCAGCGCCGCCGCGGCAGCAGCTAACGTTAGCCATCTTTGCGATTCTCTCTCCAGTGTAAAAAAAAAAAAAAAAAAAAAGCCCGCCGACCGCCGTTGACACAACGAGGCCGCCGTTAGCGCAGAAACACACACGCGTAACCTATAATCGGCGAATGTTTACCGACGCGTTGAGTCGCGGGGCACAGTCGCTGCGCAGGATGAGGCCTGTCACGCCTTCTTCCAACTGCCTAGCTAGCTATCGGCCGCTTCCATTTCTGCGTGCTGTTTTCCAGTCGTTAGCCAGGCCCATTTTCACTGATGCTGAGCTCCCGAGCGAACACTTACACGGTTCCGCGAAAGAAATCGACGCCGAGCCGCGGGCGCCTCCTCGCCGTTCGGTGTCCGCCGTTCGCGTCGACTTGGAGCTTTTGCTCGAGATTTTCAACGGCCGAGACCAAATTGGATGGTCGGTGATGATATTTTTTGGGTAAAAGTGAGTGACGTGTGCTCCCTTAACATCGGTCCTTTCCGGCCCTTGTAATATTTCCGGGTAGCGCGAGCGGGGCTCACGGGTGGCTGCACAGGGCGCACAGCGGATCCACTGCGCCGCTAAACGGGGGAACGTCTCCCTCAAACGCGACGCATTCATATCATTAGTTTCGTTCTGATTTGGTAAAAGTTACCAAAATTAGTTTAGATCCAGTTCCACGACCCTCTCTGCCCGCTTACGTGAAAGGTGACCCGGTCTCAGTGGTTTTGAAGATAACGAAAAAAAATAAATAGCGTCAAGTGAATAGTGTTTATTTATAGTTTTAATTCCAAATCTTTCTTATTAGGTTACGTCACACATCGATGATTACTTTAATAAACGCTATCCCAGGTATGATCTCCGTGGCTCTAGAAAACAGGTCCTCAGGGATTTGAACCCAATTGTTAATGATCTATCTGATTTTATCTTTTAACAGCCAATCATAATTAATATGTATTTTACAGATACAGGTGTAAAGAAACCGTTAAAGATGTGCACATAAATAATGTAAATATATTTTGTAATAATTGTTATTACAAAGTAAAACGTATTATTACAGTATTCTCAGTCCCATTTGATTGTTTGTTTGTAGTTTGTAACAAGGTATGTGGTAGTATCTACAAGAATACTTGTGTTCCTTTATCCCAAACTGTTCTACACAAAACTTTATTCATAGACTCTACATCAATACAATTTTTTTAGAAATATGAATAAATTTGAGTAGTTGTAGGGAACTTAACATCAGGCTCATCACACATATCCAGTAATTAATTACGTCACAATCAGAAATAAATGAATGAGCTCTGTGCCTCTCTGAATTGAAGGATGGTAATCATGCCTGTGTTATGTTAGGATGCCCGTCAGACAGAAAATATAATAAAATGTAAATAAAATGCTTCTTGCAGACAGAGCCTGCAGGAAGCACTTTATTTATGTTTTTACTGAAAGCTGTCTGTGTGATATGTGATAATGCATTGGTACGAATGGTGACAGGGGTTGGACTGTTTAGGCAGCTTTTTCTTTTAAATTAAAATATATTTTGAGGGAAGGTTTCATGCAGGTTTTGTCTCAGACAGAGCCGACGAGCAGCTGAACTTCCTGGTGGTGAAATGTGCAAACTACAATGATCGCAGTGCATTAGCGGCAGCGGCAGCCAGGCCTAAATCAAACATAATATTGTCCATGCTCTTTGTGGACCGCCAGTGAAAATCATTTTTCTATCAGTACAGTGTTACCGTCTGCGTTTTTATTCACGCCTTCATACGTCTCAGTGTAATAAATGTATTCACCGGAGGTTTTAAATATGAGCTGCGTAGCCCTCACCTCACTCTAAGGATCCAGCAGGTACTGATGATATAACTCTGCACTCAGATGGTCTGAAGCTGTGAATTATATGAAGACAAAGTTTGCCTTTTCGTTTCATTTAAAAGCCCAGTTGCCCACTCCCACAGGTACTGTGTAGCGTTAATGTGCTTATACAATATCTCACATACTGATGTGGGGTTGTATCAGAGAGCCACTCGGTGTGTTCACTAACAAACAGAAGACTAATAGCTTTTTGTCAATGTAGAGCCGTTGCTTCTGGTTGGATCCTTTTATCTTGTGATACAACAGTATTAATCGTCTAATTTTCTGCTTAATGATTACTTTTGATATTTTAAGTGCATTTCACTTGTATAACTTAGTATTTCACTGCAAGATCTTTAGTTGAAATTTCTTTTTTATTCAGCATTTAGCAAACGTTGATGTTGAACTAAATTATTTCCAGAAAACATACAGTAGACCTCGCCTGAAACAGTGACGCAGGCCTAACTCATTGTGTTTTATTGTGAATAGAGTCACTTTAAATAGATTACACATTCAATTAGTCCTGCTTAAGATTGTCCTGAATTGCAAACAATGAACATAGATGTCTAACTAAACTCTGATATATTGCTAAATTGTTTTAGATTTGTGTGAGCATCCAGGGTAAACGCCTCCAAGTGCAGTAACAGTCTTACAGCCCAGTTTACCAGTATTAATATTATGTCACTGTACGGTGCAATGTGCCTTAATGTTTGCCCCTTGAAGAAAAGAGTGTGAGGCCAAATAATAGAAGAATATTTTTAAAATATTCCAGAGAATTATAAATATATCACTTAATGAAAGAAAACAGTGTCTTGGTTATTATTTATTATTATAACATTCATAATAATTAATAATAATAATTCAAGAACATTAATGCAAGAACCTTACACTCTATAATAAATGGCAAAACTTTTTTTCCCACCAACTTTATTATACAAATTCTTTGTGAGTTACTGTCGTATCCAAGGGGGTCGATGCGTTGAACAACAAAAGGGTTGTTTTAAAATCTATAGGCATGAAAATAAATCCATGAATTAAATTAATGGACAGTATCCCAGTCCATACGATTAACTCTTAATAATACTTTACACTTCAGGTGGCCATTAACCATCCTCTCTCTAAATGAATTCATAATGGTAAAAACACACACCATACTCATTCATTTATTTTTTAAGCTCTTTAGCTGGTTTGCCCATCTGTTAGTTGTCGGTTGTGAAAAATAAATACCCTGTGTCGTCTTGTAGGAGGCTATGACAATAGAAAGACAACAAAATGTTATGAGTTTGGCACTGTACAATTCATTAAATACGAACACATAATTTGTTGAATCCTCAAATTAATGTTGAAGAGATCACTCAAAATATTCTGATTGTACTAGCTATACAAAATACAATACTTTCACAAATTAGATTAACCATTTATAAAATTGTGATAATGAGTTTTGATGGATATGGCTTGTGATATATTACAGACTTTGCTACAGACCTTTTGTGGCTCTATTAAAAAAATCTTATACTACTGTATTTCACCTGTCCCGTTTCCCTGAAAAAGACACTCAAAGCTTTCAGGTTTCCATTAGACCTCCATCTTTCTCCACTCGATAAACATTCATCGAAAAACACATACATTATGGCATCATGGGATAATGTGTACGACGCATATGTTAGTGGGTCGGGCTGCTGCTCCAGCAACTACTGGCCTGTCTCACACACACGCACACACACACATCTAACCCTCAGTGGTCTGTAAAACACCGCCGTCTACACATACATTTTAGAAGGCTGCAGATTTTTTCAAAAGAAATTTTTGTACCCGAGTGGAAACCTAAGTAATCACTTGAGATCGACAAGTCATAAGGCCAATGTCTAGGCACAGAACATCCAGCTGGAAAATTGGGCATACAAGCATTTGATGACCTTCAGATCCAGGCATACTGTAACTGCCTGCCAGTGAAATGGAGCGGGCATGCATCAAGATTTAGAATGTCTTTAAAAACTTGAACTTACGATCAGATGTATGAAAAAAAAAAAAACTAGTCGTGAGAATGCTAGTCACTCTAAAAACAATAAACACTTAAATCCCACCAAGTAAAAGAACATCACACGATAAGATAATTGTTAATAATAACCGTAACAGTTATAATAATCATTAATAATAACACTCCATCATATTCATAACAACTACATTGAGCACTGTGTATAGGAAGATTGTCCAAAGGAAATCTGTGTTTCTGTTTGTTAGTATTTCATCTCTGTACCCTTTCACGTGACTAAAAAGAAGCCAAGCAGTAACGAGTTCCTTCCTTGATTCGCGTAATTATCTTCGATTTCACGTTTAAAAAATCCTCTCAATACAATCCTCCCAATTGATCAGTCACAATGTCGGCCGTACTTGTACAGAATGTAAACCTTGAGGACACGATACAGATGTCTGTATCTGGTGCAAATATCAGGGGATGGATTTGTGCAAAGTTTTTTATGTTTCTCTTTGAACTGTGCTTAAATTGCTCTTGTTTTTTGTACACATTAATACTTAATACATCATGACAATATCAACACAAAATCAAGAGAAAGAGATACCATTGTATATGGACCACAGATATCACATACTACAGTATATAGGATAGGATAGCCCTTAGTATTGATAAGCGTTGTTATTGATGAAGGTTTTTTCTTTTCTGTTTTTTGTTGTTTTGTTTCTATAACTGGCTGAAGTGCGTTATGATACAGCAAGTTCTTCCTCTTGAGGTTGGGGAGGGCTTCCTAACCATCCGAGTCTCTCACGCCGTACTGAGCCAGGCAGGAGAAAGCTTCAAGTTGCCCTCTCTCTCCTGACTCAGGTTTTTTTGGCTTACTCTGAAGCCAATCCTTTGACTGTACAAAATATCTCTGACTTGTATTTGTCACCTGGCGAGAATAATAAAATGGTGATTGTCAGACGAGCTTCCTCTGTGGAATTTTTCTTTAGTTTCTCCATAAATGGCTTTGAAGTACAGTGGTGTAAGTGCAACCTCTGCGTCACGGTCAATTCATTTGTGCTCTGTAGAAAAACCTCTGGTCTCCGTTCACCACCTGCAGCAAAGCAAGTTGCCTTTTTATTGGTAAACTGAACACATGCGTCTCTCGGCGCTTCTATGTTTGTGTCAAGATATTTTTGTAATAACATGACGGATGGCTCTATATTATTTGGTTGCCCATCGTTTTTTACGGTTTGGTCCTGATCTTGAGATGGGAACATTAGGGGAATCTGTCCCATAACGTACTCGAACATCGGTTTACACTCCTGTGGTGAAACATTGGGCAGTTTGTGAGTCCCTCTGGGGGTTCGGATCTAAGGTCACATGGAAAACTAGGCAACCCAGGCGTCAGATCGGGAATGTGGTTACGTCCGTGTTCTCAGCTCCCGGTAACAGCGTCGGGCTGCAGTGTCCCACTAAGAAACAGCCCCCGGCTCGTCCGCTCGTTTACATGGGAAGCAACAAATATCCGTCCTTCCTCCCTGCGTCAGGATGAGGTTCAGGTGTCAGATCTCCAAATCCCCTCATCAGGCACACGGTTTATTCACACTCATCTGGTCCACCAGTCTTCTCCCCCGGGAGGTTCAGTTTGATGAATCATTGTTGGCAAGAGCCGAGCAGGCCGACAGTCCAGCAGGTTGGCTCAATTGAATGCTGTGACAATATTCCAGATGTTTCTCATCTTTATCATAAATATGTATATACATATATACATGTATATACACATATACATATATATAAGAATATACACACGCATATATGTATATACACATATACATATATATAAGAATATACATACGCATATATGTATATACATATATGTATAAATGTATGTATATATATATATATATATATACAGTATATATGTTCCTTATCTAATATGGCTCCTGAGTACGTTTGAAAAACAATTATAAAAACTAAATTATGAACAACACTTATGTTGGTTTTGTCACCCTTCGAGTCAGTCTATCTACAACAATGGCACCGCTGTTTATGGCAATATGGCAATTTCTTTTACAAAATATGGCTGATGTAGGTTAATTGGAATGGATATTCCCCATCTAGATTTTTATTTAATTAATAATATTAGTTATTTAATTGGTAGATAATTGGTAGATAATTGGAATAGTCCTAACATGTTGTAGTATTACTGTACTTTATACTTCTAGTTGTATTTCTTGTAGCTGATGATCTAACAGTTAGGTGTAGAAGGGTGATCTGTTCCCATATCTTTGATGAGGGGTAAACTCTACATTAGGCACAAACCTCACACCGTTACCTCATTTTTACTCCCCGTCCTGATCCCCTGACTCCCTCCTGCACTTCCTGCCGACCCCCCACCTCCTCCTCCCCCCGGTATGAAATGTAGCTGCTCAATGGTGTTCTGCCGTTTCGCCGCAAAAGCCATCCTCCTAGCACTGTGGCCCCCTAGTGTTCCCGTTCCCATGACTACCCCCTGCCCGGGCTGCTGCTGCTGCTGTTGCTGCTGCTGCTGCTGCTCGCCCGCCCAGCCCATGCCCCCGCTCATGTGCCCCGTCATGGCCGTGCTCCTCTCCTGCTCTCGTCCCGACGTGGGGTGAGAATTCATCTTGATCATGTGGTGCCGGTCGAGGGAGGGCGTGGCACAGACATTTTGCTGTGACTGGGCCTTCTGTTGGCGAGGCAGCGTGGGGACATTTCCCCCTGTGTGGGCGTATGGATCCGCGACCCCCATCCCGCCGACCCCCATCCCACCGACCCCCATCCTGTCTTCCAAGTGGTCCGGGGACATGAGTAGCCGTTCCTGCCTGTCCTGCCTGTCCTGCCTGTCCTGTCTGTCCTGTCTGTCTTGCCTGTCTTGCCTGTCCTGCCGGTCCTGCCTCTCCTGCCGGTCCTGCCTCTCCTGCCTGTCCTGGGTCTTCCTGGTGAGGGTCTGTGTGTTGGAGTTCTTGCCGGAGGCGGCCATGGCTTTGTAGTACTGATGTTGCTGGTTCTTGGACATCCTGGACAGTGTCCCTGTGTTGCCAGGGACGTCTCCCATGTTGAGCAACTGGTCATTGGGTTTAACTTTCCTCTGGGGCTTGGATAGAGTATCGTAATTAGGGTTGTAGTGGGGCTCTGGGGGATCCAGAGGGTATGGGTTGGGGGTTGGCGAGGCGGGCATGCCAGAAGGCTGCGGCGGGATCCAGGGACGAATTGCATGCCTCGGGAGGGTTCCTCTACCGTTGAGGGTGTAGTCTCCACCCCAGTGGAGATGGTGCTGAGAGGACTGCAGGGCCGGCTGGGCTGTGTGAGGCCGTCTCTTGGTGGTGCAGTAACCAGACGAGTACTCATCGAGCCCTTTCTCTGTAAGCGAAACAAAATGTCTCTGAATTGTTTATCACCACAGTAAATAGCATCAGCGCATAATGATGCATCCTGCACTTTGTGTCCTGGTGTCAAGAGTGTCACAGTGCTCCAGTGCTCATGGAACAGCTGCGAGGGAAGAGAAGGGCAGACAGACTGGTACATTCATCCTAATTTCTCGTGAAATGAAGGTACTTACCGAGGCGTTTGAGCGAGGAGTATCTGTTGAGCTCAGGCTTGGTGGCACTCTCGTAGGAGGGAGGCAGCTGAGCCAGGTTGTGCAAGGAGTGGTGGAAGGCCGGCTGGGATTTGGTGTTGTTGTGTTTACTGGAAAGCAGGGTGCCTCCTGCTGCCAGCTGAGCATTGTTCATCCGAGGGGTGCGTTCTACAGAGGCCGCGGCGAGAAAACAACTGGGTGTTAAATGAGATTTGTGCCTCTGGATATAGCGCACCGTGAGAATCCGCTAAAATTCGCTGGAACAGACAGATTCGATCTTGCTTTGAACACAAACAACAAAAGCTCTGATAATCATTATTCTCATTTTGATGAGTCTACTTTTGAGCTCAAATGAAACTGAGGTAAAATGAAGCACCGTGGTGATTACGTGCATTTTACAGAGGAGCCGGGCTGTCACCAGCTGCCTTACCGATAGTGGCGGTGTGTTTGGGGCTGGTGCCTGATGGGTGAATGAAATTGTGTTGCAAATTGCCCACTGCAAGAAGAACACAAGGTAATCAGCTCAAAATGGATGTCAGGCAATTTCCAGTTCAATGGTCCTTTAACATACAAAGATGAAAGACACTGGAAGACATTTTGGCATCAATTCACCTTCACAACATCTCACATGCACAGTGCTCCTCAACATCTTCAAATAAGCATACAGTTTTTTTCCGTGATGGCTACAAAGAGATCCTGATGTCGGGAAATAGAAAACATTTTGCTATTCACTAATGTTATAAAAGACCCTGAACTCTCACATCTGTTGTCCTTGCTCGGCAGTCCTGGGGCGTAAAGATTTTTTGGAGGTCTCCCCAGGGTGCCCTGCGGGTCCCCTACTGCCAGAGCCACACTGTTGTTTCTCTCATCCTGCTGGACGGGGCTGGACTGGTGCCGCAGCATGTCAACCAGGGCTCTAATGATGCAACAGAACGAGCAAAAGGCAAACACGAGATTCATTTGAGAATAAACTATTGGCTAATAGCTGACTTTCATATTATGTTGTTCACAAGAGTGCTTGAATAAGCACAATCAGAATAAAACAGTACTCTGTTAATCAGTACCATTCCAGGGTCAACCTAGCCTTGTGTATATGTCGACTACCACCATCAGATAAACAACTGCAACCTGTACAAAAATGTAAATGCGCATCTTTTTTCTCAAGATTATTGTCCATGTATGAGATACGGAGCCTGGAGAAATCAAAACAACCACGAATTCTGCAGCAACCAGTCGCTAAAAAAGAACAAATGTGTTTCATCCGATGACTAACATCATTCTGAGCCCGGGGTGATAAATGTGGGCCATTTATGGCGTTCTGAGGACCTAATTTCATTAAAGCATTCATGTATAAATTTGAGTAGCAAAACTCAGAACAGAGATGTGATGAACAAATATTTTTCAAAGCCTCACCTGGGCATATTTAGGTCTCTCTGGTGGGCTTCCTGTTGCACCTTGTTGAAGACCACCTTGATGCCCACAGCGACAGCCACCATGAACACGATCACGCCTCCGATGACGAAGCCCGTGTTGTGGCTCTGCTGCTTCAGAGGATCAAAGTCTGGATCGTCGCCCGAGTCATCCGGCAACAGCATGGTGTCGGTCTGTGGCTTGGCCCAGTCCGGAGAGTAGTAGTTTTTACAGTTCTCCTGCTCCAGCTGCTGGCCACGATCTTGGCAGCAGAAGCGGTAGTGGCAGGTTCCACAGCAAAAAATGAACTCGTCCTTGGAGCAGTTGAAAGCGCTGTCAAAGTGTCCCATGACGTCATAATAACCCCGACATACATCGATCCATCCGTCCATCATGCGGGGTCGAATGGGCGCCACCTGGGCGGCACCCAAGGGAGGGGCGAGGGCTTCCGATGAAGTCACATTCTTGGGAAACATGACCTGGGGAAGGGCTCTCGGAGGCGCCTCCAGAACCCCCTCCGAGGTTTCCGGAAGTTTCTCGGGGCTTTTGGTCCTCCCTTGGAGAGCTGCTGGCCTGATATTGGCTTGCATGGCGAGGAGCAGGGAGGGAGGGCTGGAACCAGCTCTGGGCTCCCTGGCGAAAGGCCTCTCCGAGTGGTCTATTTGCCGAGGAGGGGGAGACGGAGAGGTCTCCGCAACAGTGGTGAGTGGGGCAGTAAGGAGGGAGAGCAGGGAGACAGCGAGGACTAGGAGATTGGTGGTGGGCGTCATTTTTACATGACTAAGAGATCTATTTTCTGGTGTTGAGTCAATGCAGTTACACCGCTGTATCCGCCGTTGCAGTTTAACCCACTAAAATGTGAAATATTCAAGGCGCACGTACGACCCAATGGATATTGACGATGTATCAGTAGTTTCATTCAGTAAATTTGAACAATAAAATTTGAAGCCTCTTTTTTTGGAGTAATTATATCGGGGTTTTTTATCGTGAACTCTGAATGTGTGACCTCATCGGTTGCCCTCTCAAGAACACTAAAATTGATGCAACTTTGTAAAAAGGACAAATTGAAAAAAAAAACATCTTCCTCCTTTTAGTGCCTAATGCCTTGTTCTACACTTCACCTCACACAGAGCAAAAGGACATATAGTCTGACGTAGCGCTGGATGAAATACATTTTTGAAAGGCCAGTTAAAATTAGAAGCAAGGATTTTTGATCAAATATGGCAGTCTACATTCCTGTGCTGATCACGGCACTTGAACAATAGTCTATGGCTCGTGTTTTATCAAATGTAAACAGTTGTATCTTAGTCCGGAAGTACATACATTCAGAATTGGCACTTATGCAACTCTTTTCTTAAATTATTTACGAAATCTATAACGCACTTCCTATATATTGGGTTTATCAGCATTGTAAGTAATCAAATGGGGTCAACAGACACAGATGTCTGTTAAGGATGCTGAGCCTCTCTAGAGCACGAATCTCAACGCCACATCTGTAGATACACCGTGTTCTTTATCTCAATCTTTTCCGGTGTTGGATTCATGTGCATCCGTCGTCGTCTGGTACCGACCGCAACTGTGATTGAGCAGGGGGGCGATAATGAGGGAAACTCAGCTTGAGTGCTAGAAGACTGAAACAGATGAAAATCAAGAGTAAGCATAAACCAAGGAACTGACTCCCAGCGCTGCAAAATGAGGCAAACGTTCTGGATTTTAAATGCTCTCTATTCAGCGTTTAGCCACAAAAAGTTACCCGTCATTCAACGGAATCATTAATTACATGTGAACTGAATGAGACATTGCATCTCCATGTGACATGTCTCTCGAAGTAAAATCATTCCTGATTTGTTCAAAGAATATCACTTTTGTTGAGAAATATGTAAATGTGTGAAGTTATTGTGTCGGAGGTGTTGGCAATAATAGACAGAGGCAGATCCGTCTCCCACAGAAATTATAATTATATGTAATTATCAAAAATGTCCCTATCTGTAGCGGAGAAAGTAGGCACAGATGGGGGAGACAGAATGCTGAAATCACCGAGGGCTCCACTTGTTTCAGTTACATGCTCCTCTGACCTTCTGAGGAGAGTTCAGGGGGAGAAAAAACGAGAAACACAAAAGGCAGCGGTTCTCCAACCGACTGTTTCAAAAGTCTCCCTCTGTCGTCTCTAAATGTTCTGCTTGATTTCCAGATTTTCTCACACGAGTTTACACGTCGACCCCACCTGGAATGTGTCCGCTGCAACACAAGTGAGAGGCAATGATTAAAAAGACATCCCTGCACTGACAACAACACAGACATTTTGTTCTAATAATTTCATTTTCGGGGGCCATTGCGAGAGGCCTCCGTGTGCGTCTCGGTGTGCCTGTTGTGTTGCGGGAGCCAAATGATGGAGAAAAAGAGAACGAGAGCAGAGGAATAAATGCAGGGTAGGGATTTAAATGAGCGAAAAGATTGTGGCGAGCGGGAAGAGCCAGAGGTATAGATGCAGAGACGACCGTGAGTGGGAGGGCGGTGTGTGGGTGGCACAGAATCAAGTACATTTCTCCCAGCACTTACCAATACAACACAGCACATCACACAAACAGCGTCGCAAAAACAGACCTGCAATTTGCAGGCAGCGCCGCGCAGAAGAGCGCTAATCGAGACTGTGGATCAGCCGCTGTTGGAGCAGTTAAAAGGGGGCAAAATGTAAAACTGTAAAAGGCGTTGCGTGCATGTGGAGAGACTATAGTGGGAATTCTTTAAACCTCCTTCACAGTCTCTTTCTCACTCCTTCATTCCTCTTGTTCCGTGTCCTTCTCCTCTATTCTCTCTCGTTCTGCCTTCCTCAGATTCTGTGCGTGGGTTGAGGCAGCTAACTCTCTCAGAATAGCACTGCAGCTCTGTCTGTGTGTGAGTGAAGGAGCCTGTAAAAAGGACGGGAGGCAGAATCCAATCTACACCCATTAAGGACAACCAGATTCTGACAGTCACATCTGCCCCGAGAAGACGACGAACGCCGCCGCCGCCGCTCACATCTTCACATCAACAGATTTTCTGCCCACATCATTTTGGCTTTAACGTGTTCTGGAACCACTCCCCAAAAATGAATGTGCATTTGCAGCTTTTCGAACCATGGCTGAGAACTCAGATCAGGATTCAAAAAACGTGGGAGAGTCAATCTTCGTGCACCCAAAAGCACGAAGCCCATGTGTTAAAAGTACCTCGACCTGGGGTAGAAGCGAACTGTTTGACTGTCGGTATTTCTATACGCGGTGCTGCTGAAGCAATGCAGTAGAGAGGAAGAGAGAGAGAGAGAGAGGGTGAGGATGGAAACTGAAGGGTGAAGGGAAACACATGCAGAACTGTTACATGGCCACTGGAGGTTAAACAACCCATTCCCACAGATTCCTTTCATTGCTGGCAATAGAAGGGCCCATCAACGCAAATAATTCAAAGGGCTCCCCTCACTTTCATTGCAGGATGCAGACGCCTGGGCGTGCAACAATTTCAACAGGTTGTTTGAAATGAAACAAAATGGCCCCCTTTTTTTCTTCTTCTTTAGACACGCTGTTGCAAAAAAAAAAAAAAAAAGCCGCACTGAAATGCGTCTCAGTTGAGGTCAATCGATGGATACAAGTGATATTGATGTCAATGATGACATGTAATTACGGTGAAAGCAGCGCGGCGTCTTTCTGCCGCAACAGTCCAATAAATGCTGCGCAATGCCTTTGCATTTGCCTTCCGACACTTCAAGTACAACGAATTAAAAACAAATTATTTCCATATTCTATTTGGCTTCCAAGTTGCAAGTTGAATCGAGCAATGCATGCGGGAAATGGAAATGACTTGCATGTATCAGTGAGCTAAGAGTGCGTGGGTGTACCCGTGCCGGTGCGCGTGTTTGTGAGTGTAGTCCGGCTGGATGTGTCGGTGTGTCGGTCTTGGTAACAATATGTTCACAACATCCCGATGTGCAATCGAGTAAAAGCTTCAATGATCTTAAAACAAATACACGAAAACGTGTCATGAAGCGCGAGGCAGGAATACGTTTCTATGGCGCAGCTTTCATCCAAATGTTTTTGTTTGACAGCTCGCGGGAGCGCAGCTGATGCAAAAAAAAATTTTTTTGTCATGCAGAAAAGATCACGACAGTTGTTTTTTTGCGGGCGATTGTGGTAAATTGGCATGGCGTTAATAATACTACTAATAAAAAGGTGCACGGTGTCGTGTCTTACCTGTGCGCTGCTCTGAGGGTTCGATGCCGGAGAGCAGCAGCGGTTCGGGGAGCCTGCGCACTGCTTCTCTGGAGCTTCTCTTCTCAGCCTGTTATTGTGGCACGAGGAGGATCAGGACGCCTGGAACTGTTGCCCGGATCAGACACCTGTTTCAAACGGGTTTTCCCCACAGAGGATGCAGATCTCAATTGGGCTCTTATTGGTAATCCATCATCTCGGTAGAAAGAGGGCAGAGAAAGAGAAGGAGAAAAAAGACAGCGAGAGAACGAGAGAGAGAGGGAGAGAGTGAGAGAGAGAGAGAGAGAGAGTGAGAGAGGCCGACGAGATGTTCTTAAATGTTCGGATACATGTGACGAAGCGGTTTCAACTGTCACTACGTCGGAAAATCCCGTTTTTTCGTGTGAGGAGCACAAGTTACAGCGCAACTACTCGGGATGCAACACGAGCTCAACGCGCAATGAGGCCAAATCGAACCCAAACACACACACACACACACACACACACAGAAGAAAAATAAATCCCTCAATCTAAACTTTTCTTTATCTGGAATCGACCGCAGCTGTTTCCTTTATAATTTCCAAGCGAGATTAGGTTTCACCGCCTAACTGCGACTGTCTTCACGGAGGTCCGCCAGTGGGGGCGCGCTGTGATTGGTGGCTGATGCGTGATGAGACTCTCAACTGTCCCCCGATGGTCATCACACCCTGGTGGCCTTCACCCCCCCCCTCGACCCCCCCAATCCGACTACGTTAATTGACTGAACAACACCTGGACTCTGCACTGGAGGAAGAGGGGAAAACCGGGCAGGAATTTAGCTGCTGCTCTTTCATAAAAGTTTTTAAAAAAATGTTTAAAGCTATGTTGGCACAATTATAAAACAGGGGGGGGGGTGCTAAATTAAAGCAGCCGGTAAATGGTAAATTAAGCTGAATGACTGAGTCAAAAGGGGGTTTGTGCGTGCGCGCGCGCGCCTGTGTGTGTGTGACAGAGACACGGAGAAAGTAAGAGAGACGGTTGCCACAGCAACTGTGTCATTATGTTGGTGGCAATTATGAAAGCGATGAAAACGGGGAAGGGGAGAGGATTGGCGCAAAAGCTGTAAAAAAAAAAAATGGAAGCGTGAATGATACGATACTGTCCATCAGAGCCCGCGTTGGTAATTCACACATTTGGTAAAGTTTTGAGAGGCCACAGCTGCAAAGGTATAAAGGCGGTTGAAGGGATCCGCAGGAGGCGGTGGGGAAGAGATGTTGGGCTTCGTGCCGCCATCACACACACAGTCACTGCCTCCCCACGATCTCCGCATCATGAATGATTATTTTTTTTGACGGAGGAACATAGTGATCACGCATTAGGCCTCTGGGATGAATCCTAATGGAAACCATTTCACCGTGCGGCGATGTGATGCAGGGAGACCCGCGTGCACGCCCTTTGGGTCTGATCACGATACACCAGAACAGATTCATTCACATCTGCATCTCGTGGCTTCACTGCAGAAGAGCGAGGGTGTGCTGTTGAGCTGCATACCACATGGGGGGAAGGCTCGCACTTCCAAAATGGTATTTGCAAACGGTGCATAGGGTCATGTGGACCCCCCCAGGTGTGCAAGAGGGGCCTGATAATTACCTGCATGGCAGGCAGCTATTTGTGCAAAGGTGGGTGGGCTGCTGCATGTGTGTGTGTGTGCGCGCGCAGCAGAGGCGGGTGGAGGCCTTTATTAGAGGGTCCAGTGGCGGTCTACCGGGTGCACTTTCCCTCGCCGGTGTGCTGGGGTGGATGCAATTACTAATTTCCCCGTGATGGTTATTCCATCACTGCAGAACAGGAGAGCTCTGTAAACAACACAAAGTGCGATCGAACGTTGTGGACACAGATATCCGTCCAACTTCAGTAATAATTACGCACCCAATTGCCCTCAAATTGAAAGAGCAAATAGTCATTTTTAATTTCAATGTTTTATTTAGTTAAATAATTTAAAATGGACACAAAATATCCAGCCAACAGTCCGCACAATGACAGGAGATTCAGAGGCACGTTTTTCCATCAGAATTGAGACAGCGCTTCAGTGCGTTTCCTTGGGAAGTGTAGGCCCTGCACGCGTTTAGCAGAGACCGAAAACCTGCCAAGGAAACCGGCCAGTGCAACGGGTGGAGCGACACGTATGAGATTTAAACTCGCAGGGCTTTCTCAGGTGCCCACGTAGCTGGTAGCACAGACGGATCTCTGAGAGTGCAGGGACGCAGGGGTAGTTTAACGGAGTCACACCACTGAATGCTCAATACGGAAATGAGAATTCATTTTCTTTTTTTAATAAAAGTATTCAGGCAAACTACCCTGTTCCCTCAGTCACTGATCAAGGTCTTCACACACAACCACAAGACAGCTGAATATAAACATGTCAATTATAAACAACATTTGTAAATACTGGACAGTGAAGACCATTTTAGAAAAAAAAAAAAAATGTAAAAAGAGGGCTGAGATTCCATGAAAAGCATAACACACCTCTTACACTCCACGGTCAGCTGTTTCCATACCTTTACGTGATCCAGTTCAAAATACAAAAAATACTATTTAAAAAGATGTTACAAGTTTGTGTGACATTAACAAGATTTTTATCCAAACAGTGAACCCACAGAGGTCTTTGACAATTGTTCAGCAACTTCTACCATTATCGGTGTTACATTTGAAAATCTGACTTTGTATTAAGAGTGACGTCCTGTTTTGGACTTTGCTGAGCAGTACACAGTACCATCACAGCAGCATGAACAAATAAACCCTTCAGAGAGTCGCCAGCCTGCCCGAGACAATAGTAGTCAAGTCCCGTTAATGTACAGACATTAGAGGTCGTGTTTTGCACAGTGAAGCCCATTCCCCGTCTTAACCCGACACACTAGACCCAGGCAGAACACCGCGGATGGTATGGGAAGAATTAGCCAACGTGTTGTGCCAACAGGACAAACTGCGGGCAAAACAGAACTCACGGTATGCGTACAAAGTGGACAGTTTGGATAGGTGGTAGAAAGAGTAAGGAAAAAAAAAAAAGGAACAAAAACATTGTCAGCACACGCCAATATTTATATTTACACACACACGCTCTCTCGCTCACACACTGAGAATTAAACAGAGGTATTAAAGTCGCCTCAACGCACGCTTTTTATCGGCTTTCTTCTTCCCTGCTACATTAGTGCTGCTGCTACTATTGCTGCTGGTGGTGCTGGCTCCACTGGCCCCGTTACCCAGAGATGCCGGCACTGCTGCCGCACTGGGTCCCGCTCTCTTCAGGGGGTCGCCTGCGTGCTTCTTCGGCTGGGGGCCGTCGTTGGGGTCCTGAGGTTCCCCGGAGGACGCGCCCATGGCGTGGATCTCCGTGAGCAGACGAGCGCGGGACTCGTATTCCGCATAGTCCTCTAACAGCAAACGCCCGGCCTCCTCGTTCAGAGCAGACTCCGGATTTGGATGGATGAGAAGACACTTTATTGTCTGCGGGGGGGGGAGAGGGTTTTTTTAAAAAGGAGATTCAAATGTTGAAGTGGTGAGGCAACACAGCTGGCACTCAAAAGGAAAGGACCGAGGGCTCGGCTTACGAGTAAGACGTGTCGGAGGCCGAGTTCTGCCTTCCAGTCCCTCTTCAGCACGTTGACACAGATCTCTCCCTTGTGACCCACATTGGGGTGAAAAATCTTGGTCAGGAAATACCCCTTGGGTGGAACCGCAGGGAAGTCCTTCCCGAGGACCAGGCGCATTCGGAAAACGCCACCAGCAAACGGAGTTCCCTCTGTCAAAGCATAAAGAATTCATCTCATGAGCAATACGACCTCGCTGTGCCAAACTTGATCCCTAAAAACAACAAGGGAACCGAATGAAATAACAAAAACATTTACAGAATCATAATTCACGTCAGTTAGAATGAAAACTGTCACATATTCACATGAACACGTATGTACGGATATGTTTTATGATTGAAATGCTTTATTTAAGGCTTGGTGGAAACTGGTATCAATATTTTGCAAATATCTAATATGGTGTCGAGCGAAGAAACTATGCCGAGATGCTGGTATGTGACGGAGTGAATGAAATGTGGACAAGTGTCTGGCGCTTCACAGCGTACTTCACAAGAACACAATAATAAGATTAAAGTGATAAGATAGTGTGGACAATGTGTCCCCCTGTGTGGTTTAAGGGGTAATATTGATCACATGTCAGACACAAAGCTCCTTTACAATAATATGTACATTTTATGGAGCAATGGAAAGGAAGCAATTTATACTTTGTAAAACTGACACAGAAATGACAAGTGTTAAAAAGTCGTTGCATCAAAAAAAAAAAAAAAGGGAAAAAGCTAAAAATAGTTGGACCCCAATGTTACATTTTAGTTAGCAAAAAAAGAAAAAGAAAAAAAAAGAATTTGTATTTCTTCAGGTTGATGATTTTGCTTGATGACCAACCTTTTATCATCAACCTCAGGTATTACAAGTTCTTTCTTCAATAATTACATTCAACGCGAGATTCAGACTCTTAATGAGTTAAGAAATATCTTATTGACTAACGGAAACGGATCCAAACCTCTATTGTGATGCGAAAAGCCCAGCTGTGTTTGGTTTAAAAAAAAAGAAAACGCACAAAGTATGGTGTTGTATTTTTAATACAATCTATTAAAGTTATGAAGGCCAATGGCAGTTTGGTATGACACCACATTGCAATCCTTACCCGGTCCTTCGATCGCTGTATGTAGCTCAGTTATGTCTTCGTCACTGGGATAAATCTTGATACCTTCAGGTGGGTCTGCTGCTAAGGCTGAAATTTCTTTATAGACCAAGCGAAGAACATGAGGAGGTAAATTCTCCACATTGGAGTTCTGTGGACAAACAGAAAGATGGTTTAGTCAGCCCAAGTTTTGGATTTGCAGAACTCATCAACAACGATACCCGATGGCTGGTTTAAGGAATATAAAATGGTCATTTGTGGGGATTGAATGGAGATCAATTCCAGACTGGGCTAAGCAATTTTACGTTTTAATGACTAGACACATGTTGAAATTACCTGGTTTTAATATTAAAAGTAAAACAGAGGAACCATCATTAGACAAATCCACCATCAACAGAGTCCCTCTTTTTCTCTTGCTGATGCACACATGGTGGGTTTTAGTTAAATTTGTTGTTTTTCCTGTTAGGTTGTTCTTTTTCATGTAACGTTAGCATATTTACAATCAAATCAACTTCTATGAATAACAAACCGAAAGGTGTTACGGCTGGTTCCATAGTCTAACACCACCGTTACACCACGTAAGCAATGCTATCCTATAGAACTAAATAAAGTTTAGAAAAAACTAAATTTACGTGTCGGGGATTCACACGATCATAACGGCTAGGCAGCATCCCTGTGATGTTAAAGTGGTTGTGGCATCCAGTAAGGACGTTACTAGCGATAGGGAACTTTAACGTGACGTTAGTGTTTCATTACCGTTAGCCGTGCTAGCCTAGCGTCAATCTGATGACGCGAATGTTAAAGCCGCTCAATGATTGCAAAATGTAGGATACGGTGTTTAATATATTGCATCTATATATTCCATTAAACAATCGTAGATCGAGTTTTTTTTTTTAAATTAACGCCAGAGACTCCAGCAAGTAGCCACAACCAAATTTAAAAGCTCGACGGCTGGCGACGGCTAAACATCGGATCAAGCTAGCTGTTACTCATGTTAGCCGTTAGCAACACCCTCGGCCACCCGGCTTACCATCTTCAAACGGGGTTCTGCTAAGGCGGTGAATGTCTGGCTGGAGTCAGATATGACCAGACCTTTACTTAATCTTAAAAAAAAATGCCTGAGCTAGAAACTGGGGGGGGGGGGGGGGGGGTCTCACTGACTGCTCCTCTTTTCTTCTTTTCGTTGACACAGGAACAAAAATACGATCCTCAGTTTAACCTACTACACCGACCAATGAGCCTCTTAATGACGTTGCACGTCAGAATCCCGGAGCCAATCGAAATGTAGTAATATTACTGCGTCACAGGTCAAAGCCCTATCAGCCACACAGAATCAAAAACATGGTTAGTGCAAGTCAGCTATAGGTCTGTTTGAAAAATCCCCACACCCATGAAAAGTGCTAAAAAGATCATTTTCAAAATTAAAATGAAACTAAAGTAAAGACACTGCATCACATTCATACACAGGCAGGCGAGAGAAACATGAATGGTATTTAATGAGTTGAGCAAAACTTGTACACACAAAGCTGAATCCAAAATGAATTGAAAATCTAAAAGTTGATTATGAACCACAGTCCGGAGAGGAAGCAAACGCATACGGCAGTGTAAAGACAAATGGAGATATATACAGTAGAAAGGACACACAGACAACAAAGAAATCAGGAAGAATCAAAAAGATTAAAAAATAACTTGGTGACAAGAAAGACAATCAGCAGTTTTAAAGTGCAGATGATCCCTGGGATTGTTGTTGAATACCATATACCAAAATAACCTAGTTACGACAGTATAATGTAAATTGAAAAATCGTACGTATCTAATTTACAGATTGGTGGTATAAACTTGACACTACTCCAACTTGCCTACTTGATACTACTAGACAGTATGATTTAGTTAATGTTTAGCTTGTATTATAAAAATTAGTAAATAAAATGATACACAACCAACCCACACAATTTATCAAGACAAACAAAAAAAACACATTTTCATATTGCCCTTCGCTGCCAACCAGTTGCATTGAGGGCATAATTATGTTTCGTATAAAGCTACCTGGTTACAACTTCATTCAACCTCTGCCCTTTTCTCTCAGAAGCAGCAACATATTGCCATAATTTAGTTAGATGTTCTCGAGACATATGTGTAGATGTAGATGTATGTGTTCTAATACCAGACAATAAAATGTGAAGATTTGAGATGGATAGGGAGTGTTATATAGAGTGTTTTTTTCCACCTGCAAATGAATTTCCATTGCCATTAACACTTTATAAAGCCTGAGCTGTGTGACATTTCAAAAATCATCGATTATGGTCCATTATTACAAACCCAAAGCGCCATAATGTTACCGTAATACCAACAACTCTTCCCATGGCGCAGTAACCCGGCTGAGCAGCAGGGGGCGCCTCCACACAGCGTCCACACTCCTGAGGGCTCGCTGAAGAGCGGAGGACTCTCCATCACCGTTTATTTCACCGTAGTCATTTCAAACATCAACGGGTTAAAGCGACGAGTTCTCCGGCTGCAGCCAATGCCGTAAATGGGCCTGACAACCACCACGACAACCGCAACAAACAACAACATCATCATAACAAAACAAGGGTTCTGCTTCCGGTTTCTGGAGCGAGCTGCCAGGCTCCAGCGTCGTTTAGCAACCGGGCAGCAGTTTTTATCAGCCAGCTCAGCGGCTTTTAATTAATAACGGTCCTCTTTGCCGTCGTTTCGGGAAAACGCTCCAGGCAAACCCGACCCGGACCCGCGGCCCTCCCGGTAAGCTAACGGCTCTCAAAGCCCTCGCTAGCTAACGTTAGCTAGCTTAGCGTTATCTTGGAATATAACGCGTGCTCGTCGCTTAACGGGGCTGATCTTTCGTTCTGTTTCCCCCCCCGTGCGCAGAAGAGCGATTAGCATGAGCGAAGGAGACGTGTTTCACGAGAAGCAACGATTGGAGCTGTGCGCGATTCACGCACTCAACAACGTGCTGCAGGAGGGGGTGTTCACCAAGGAGACGGCCGATGACATCTGCAAGCGGTGGGGTGACGTTGTGGGGATGTGTGTCGGTGTGCTGCATCTGCTCTGTGTGAACCCTAACACCCCCCCCCCAGAAAACAACAACAACAAATTGCCATTAAGACACACAAGGATCCGTCATGGGCTTTACTAATACTAATAATACTGATGAACTCCTTCCTATGTCACTCCACAGCGGTTATAGCCTCCCTATCAAAAAGTCATTCCATTACTTTGATGCAGCAGCTGCATGTATCATCGGTTTCTTATTTTGATCTCATAAATATCTGCTTAACTTCAAAGAGATCGCCTGAGGTGAAACCCCATAGTGAACGTATCACTAACTCACAGTGTTTGGTGAAATCTACTGTGACCTTTCAGGCAAGAACAGCAGTGGTGCAGTTTCTCGCAGCAAAAGCCACTGCATTTACCAACTTAATTGACTGAAACAATCGAGTCACAGTCTCGGTGCGCTTGTGACCTCGGCTAAAGAATATCCTGCAGGCGTCTCCTGTGACTTCATTGACTCACAGAAACGTTGTCTAGGTGGCATCGGCCGAACTGCTTGTTCCTCCCTCACTGAGAGCAAAACACTCTTTGCTGTCCTGGCTCCGGCATGGTGGAACGAGCTCTCTAATGACATCAGGACCGCAGAGAGCCTTCACATCTTAAACTTGACTAAAACACTAACAAATTGTAGCACTTAAATTGTACTTGTAATGGCTCTTATCTGTAGCAAGTTGTAAATCGACTTAATTGATAAAGTTGCACTTTCTTGTTCTTGTGAGTTTGGTTGAACTGCAATTATTGTAAGTCGCTTTGGATAAAAGCGTCAGCTAAATGAAATTTATTGTAATGTAATGGCGGTTCTGAGGAAAGGCCTTAATTTGACCCATGGAAGCTGGGCGTGAGAGTTAATTACAGACGGTGGGGATGTTCATACAAGAAAGAGGGAAAACAAAACCTCACAGCAACACCAAACACACCTGGCAAGAAGAAGCTGCATCAAATAAATGGTTGATGTGCTTTGAAATGTTAATTTTCTCTGTCTGTGTGATCAGGCTGGCTCCACAGTGTGTGGTGAACCCTCACCGCTCAGTGTTGGGTACAGGAAACTATGATGTCAACGTCATCATGGCGGCACTGCAGAGCCGGGGACTGGCCGCAGTGTGGTGGGACAAACGCAGGTGAGTGAAACATTACTTTGTGCTTTGCATATTCTGCCCTTGTTTTCGGTGTAAAGATACAGTGACTGATTGTTTAAACATTAAGAGCATGAACATGAACATTTCCCCCCTTGTAGGACGGTTCAGAGCCTTTGCATGCCAAAGGTCCAGGGTTTTATCCTCAATGTCCCATCGCGGGTGTCTTTGGGGTTCATGTCCCTCCCGCTCCGACGGCGACACTGGCTCGCGGTCCGGCAAGTGAATGGACAGTACTACAACCTGGACTCCAAACTGAAGAGTCCCGCCTGTATCGGGGGAGAAGCAGAACTACGGTGAGAATGTGCATCTATAAAACGTCTCTTCATGTCCTCGCTGTGTCTGAGTGAGATCAAACCTTGGCTTCGGTGCGCATGCTCCACTTCTGTCTCAGCGAGTGAGTCATCCCATCTGAGGGGAGGGGGTGGGGGTGGGGGGGGGGGTCACATGGGGCTTACCTCACTGTTTGTTTGTGTGGGAGCAGTAATCGGCCCTCCGTCCGCGTCCGGGTTATTCTGACTTCCAGGCTTTGTCCTCCTGCTTTTCTCCTTCAGCACATTCCTCGGCGAACAGCTGTCGCAGGACGTGGCGGAGATGCTCCTGGTCGTCAGGCAGGAGGAGGAGGAGGACGGCTCGTGGCTGAACGCCGACAACCCCGAGAAGTGACGCTTCGGGACAGTACATGCCAAAATCCTCTGTGGATGATGACGGACTTAAGAAAAAAGAATAAAAAAACCTCATTGCAGAAAACTCTTCAGGGAATGCACTAAAATACATTTGATATCTACACACAGGAAATTCCAAAGAGAAGCGAACGGTGTTTACTCCTGAGATGAAGAACTGTTTGATTGTAGTATCTGTGAAGGCCTTTACTCTCATATGACCCATGTATTTGCATTGTCCTTTGCCTAGTACCTTTTGTTTTTAACACAGGGAAGGTCACCTCTAAGCAAATGTGGGATTGTTTTTTTTAATTATAGAGAGATTGTAGGTTTTGTGCATGAAAAAACATCTGCAGAAAGGACACCCGCTCGACTTTGAGTAGCAAACGTAACCAAGGTCAAAATGGTATCGCTGTCCTAAACTATGACCATCGAGTCGACACAATCCGATCAATATCTGCTGTGGCTGCAAGCTGGTTGATGTCAAAAGCAGTGCCCTCTCGACCATTATGGAAAACCTTCTATGCACTGCAGCTGGATTAGTTCGCCCCGCTCGTCTCTCACCTGAGGCATCGAAGGGCGGCCGGTGTCTTTGCTTTTTACCTGTCTTTTACTACTTTGCCCTAGACGTTTGTCACAGAGTGCCACAGTTTTTAGAATTTAGAATGTTTTGTTTGCCTTCCTGGCTGCCTTTGGTTTTCGTCATTTAGTCCTCAGACAGGACGTTGGTACGGATGCACTATCTCTTTCATTTAATCCAGGTCTCAAGTCTCTCCAGGTTGAGTTTGACATGCTTTAATATGAATGAAAGAAGCTAGAAATTGTATTTTCTTTTATATCATGAAGGAACGGTTGCAGGAAAATAAAATATACTATTTTACATTTGTTTTAGATATGCAAAAGCATTTGACTATAACATTTGTTTGTATTTATTCTCTCCATTTGATCTATGCATATCCAGGAAAATAGGAGCACTGTCTGCTAAACTAGTGACTAACTCACATGAACCTAAGCTCCGAGGTTTGGAACGGTGAAACCTATTCATATTAAACTTTGACCTCTTGTTTTACACATGAATCTCTTGGTTGTTACTCGCCTTGCATTGACGTGAAGACACAACGAAGACCAGGTGAAGGTTATTGAATTAATTTTTATTTATATTAGACTCTTGAGTGTAAAAGGATGCCATTCGAAAGGAGCATTGATAACCATACAAACTCAATTCAAGGGGTTAACAAGGGCAGTTGGCAAGGACGAAGGGGGGGGGTTAATCAAATCTCCAACATACCAGACCATATATACACAAAACATCTTGTAGAGATCTCATAAACCCAGTGCTATACATGGTTATTATTGCTAGTTACGGTAGAGCTACTGCAGCACCAGTAGCAAGAATCATATTGCTATGTACCTGCTGTCATTGCATGGGGTTTGTAGTTCTCCACTCAAGACTCAAGTGGCAGTAGAAGTTTTCAATTAAATCATTAAAACAGGGTCTTTGTAGCCCTCAAGTCTTTTTTTTTTAAAGAGCACATGTTCATGATTATTCAGATATTATAGACAGTGAGATATACAGAATACCATGTGGTAATACAAGGAAAATACAGAATTGCCACCTATAAAAAAAAGTAATAATTAAAAAAAACATACCAAGTGAAGGAACTGCATTAACCATTCACAGAAAAAAAACGTGTCGTGTTGCTACGTGCCAGTGTTTTTCTACAACAATATTCATATAAAAACTTAAAAATAAATGGGTGGTACTGATACATTTAAGAATATAAAACTACAACGTAGCAACGTCAATACCATTCTGGTTTTCCTCACCACTGTTCACAGTTTACACAGTTTGGACAGACGAGGGGAAACGATGTAGACCAAGTCGACTTGGTTCGTATCTGTACAACCACCCTACCGGCATTTCCATTGTCGGTTATATCAACAGTCCGTTTCGACCTGTTTCTTTTAAGTGCTAACAATAATATTCAGTGCTACTGACGATACGCACTTTGAATTCACACCTAGCTTTCCTTTTATTTCGATTAGTTTCTTTTTCATTTAGGTAAAGTGTCCATTCATATGAAAACTAAACATATTTTTTTTTCTATACAATTCCTAACAAAAAAATAATAATCAACGTGAGTACAGGTTCCTCGAATGGGCGGGGTTGGGGTGTGATTGACCTCCGCCGTAACCAGTCAGCATGCTGGGAGAGTACTGTGCGCCCGGAACACAGCAGAGAGGGTGAGATGGTCCGAGGGGGAGAAAATGAAGCAGAGGACAACAAAATGTGTTATTCACAGGTGCTCAACTCCAGAGTGGAAGACAGCACATGTTTAGCTCACACTATCTGACCAACAAGACACAGCATTTCTTATGCAGAATATTAACCATTTTAAATATAGCAAAGAGAAGCGCGGCAGTAAATATTGCTGCTTCGCTTTATTATTTAGCTGTGTTGAATGGCCAGATAGTGAAAACAAAACATAAAAAGCTCCCAAATGTATGTTAGTAGCAGCGAGATATATGCAATCCATAGAGCAACGGGGGAAATGTGTAAATTGTCTGGTTTCTGCAGGTTTTTGAAGAGCAAAAGGCCGGCCCGCGGGGTCTCTCGAGGTCACCGTACTAGTCCGATCGAGACTGATTGTTAACGCGAGCGTGTGCACTAACAGCGGCGACAATACAATGGCACAGATTGCGATGGCGTCACAAGTACAGAGGAACTCACAGAGGGGGGTGGGGACTGCCTGTCAGTCAGGGGTAGGCTCTCATAGCCAGGGTTGCCATTGGAGGAAACGTTTGGAGTCCTGTGCAGAGATAGAAAGAGACAAGGACACAAGAGAGAGAGAGAGGAAGAGGAGGCACGGAGGATGAAGGAGAGAGACAAACAGGGGTGAGACACGTTGAGAAAGACAGAAGGGACAAAGGGGAATGGGGGAGAATGGGAGGGCGGTGGGGTGACGGGTGCGAAGGATATGTACAGGAAAGAAGGAGAGAGAGAGAGAGAGCGGTTAGAAATATAGTGCGGAAAAAACAGCACTTAAAGAAAACTAGTAGGCATTAGTGTTAGTGGCACTCGAGCAAGGCACCGAGAGCACCAGCAGCAAGGATACAGCCCACTCCAGACTGAAGATGCATCTATACAATCATCTACAATTACATTTGAGATGGGTGTGATTTATCAGTCCCATTTCAGCTGGATGTGGTTTTCCTTTTGAATCTCATTATCCGAGTGATCAACCCCGGGAAGCTTTTAAAGCAATCCGGAGTGGATTCCATCTGAGAGGAGTGGACTGTATTTTTAGTGCTAGCCTGAGTTTCTGAGCCTTGACAGTGTGATTGAGTCAGTATCCTTGTGTTTCTGGTGTCAACATTAGATATGGGAACAGTCAAGATGCTCAGCTGGCACGAGATTGGGGAGTTAAATAGCCAACGATTCGGTTTCTTAGAGCTCTGACTAGGCTGGGAAACATCGGCGAGGGAGGAAATTTGAAAGTGAGAAACGGAGAACCCGAAAAAGGAGAATGAGGTATGTTGAAGAGCGACGGACAGATAACATAGAAGTAACTAGAGAGACATGGACAACACGGTGAGGAGACAGATGAGAGTGATGCAGGGGGGGGGGGTGCCGTGGTCTTGTTTTTTTGGTGGCGTGGGACGGTTGGTTACCTATAGTCAACCTGAGCCTCACATCGCCGGAGGTTTTTTTTTTTACGAGCGCGGAGCCTCGTCAATGACACCCTCTCCCCGACACAGCAGTAGTCTACTGCTGCTCAGGAGACAGGACGCCATTTGAGACCAGAATCTGTGACCGAGCGGGCCTACGTCGTCTGTCCGGTAACACTCGACAGACGGATAGACAGACACACAGACAGACAGACAGACCTCTGGAGTTGTGTCTGTTTCTCTGCCTACACTCTCGTCCACAATGACCTGTCTGTGTGTCTGTCTGCAATGCATGTGCTTAACCTGGCAGCTCTGTGGGCGCTATGCAAAGGTGTGTGAACCTAGCTGACTACTCTGCAGTAAAAGATAACTTGACAACATCAGTTATGGATATATGGTGAACATGCTGTTTGGGGGAGGGCTGGGGTGGGGGTGGTCTTTGATTTCTTTTACCAAAAGGGACTATGTGTCTGCACAGTGCAAAGAATCGTCTTAAAAGTCGGTCTGTATGCGTTTAAGTGAGCTCTGTGTGCATCCTGGCCTGCATACAAATCCCGACAGAGAAGCACCAGCTTTGGGCCAAAGTGTGTCTGGGAGCAGCCTCCTCCTCCTCCTCCTCCTCCTCCTCCTCCTCCTCCTGCAACTCATGGGACTCATGGGCCTGGTTCTGTCTGTCTGTCTGTCTGTCTGTGTGTCTGAGTGTCTGCGTTACTCACGGAAGGGGCGGTGCGCTAGAAAACGGGGGTGTCCACCCGGCCCCCGGGTAATTATAGAAGGGGGCCATGGCCCCTCGCTGAGACCCCGAGGCCGTCTGTCTACGTGCCTGATGGGAGGTGAAGGGGTCCTCACTCTCGCTGTCCGAGTCTTCGTACTCCTCTGATTCGCTGTCGACGTCCATGAAAGAGACAGAGAGGGGGGGGGGGTAGAGGGTGAGGGGGGGGCATGTCAGTAAGAAAAACGACGAGTACCGCAATGCCTTTATGCCGTATTCTCGTTAATCGCTGTTTTCTTTCATATAGTTCCTTTTTAAAGACATCTGACAAGACGTCTCCATGATCATTTCCGTCCCTATTCAAGTTCGACTCTAATATTGCTGACACAGATGCTTCAGATGGTAAAAGGGACGTATTCATCCACCGATGGTAAACACCTCACTGATGCACTGTTCACAATCTTGCTGTTAGCTGATGATGGAGTGTAACTGGAGCCAACTACCTACTCCATATCCATCTCAGCAGATCCAACAAACCTATGGAGCAGCTTCCAAACCCTTCAGTATGCAAAAAAAAGTGTAAAGTAGAGTTGAGGAAAGCCAAACTGCATTGTACCCTTTTCAAGCATGCTGACTTTTCACTGGAAAATCTTTCGACATTGAATTCCAAGACGCTTCATATGCCATGCAGAAAATCTACCATTTCGTAATTGTGATGAGATCTCTGATGTTTTTCACATGACCTCTTATGAATGTAAGAACAGAAGAGTAAATGTCCTCCACGACTCAGTATGAGAAATTTGATTTGATGCTCAGATGAACTGAGCTCTTGTCTAGTTTATTATTCCATGCTTGCCAATTATGTAAGTGAGAATTTTCCATTTGTTTTTTTTCTAAAAATTGATAGCAACAACTGGCACCTTTCACCTTTGCACTTCGTGGACATTTCCACACTCTCGGTCTCACCTGGGGAAGCTCCTCCAGGCGCCGGGCAGAGAGCAGAGGATGGCGGTGAAGGCCAGGGCGGAGAGGAAAGAGTACAGGGAGAGGTAGAGCAATCCCTCCATGCCATCGTAGCACAGGCCTTTCAAAGAGTCAATGTAGTCCTGAAATGAATGGATATATCAATGATTGGGAAGAATCAGTAATTCAGCAGTTGCTTTCCTGCCTGCACCCCTCGGGTTACCTTATTCAGACCTCTGCAGTTCAGCAGCGCCACCAATTGATGGAAGTTTCCCTCCGTGGAGTTGAGTATCTGCTGAACCTCCCTGAGGGACTTCTGCCGTGACGAACACATTTAGACAAAAAAGGATTTGAAAAATCCTCGAAAAGACGGCGGAGATGTTTTTCCTTAGGCTTCATGTCTGGACACCGGTGACCTGCATACCTCAGCTTTGGGGAACTGTGTGAGAGCGTTTCTGTCCAGGCTGGAGAGGTGCGTGTGAATGTTTGACAGTGCCCTCTGCGATTGGGTCAGCAGCTGCAGAGCAACAAGTCGGCAGGGTTAGCCGCCTTAAATTTGCATTCATTCTCAAACACGCCACTAATATGTTGAGCCAGCCGGCTGTCCATCTGCAGAGCAAATCACTTAAGGGAAAAAGAAGCAGTAACAGCCGTGGCTTCTGTCCTCAAAATCATTTGTCCTTGAGCAAGTCTGACACGCGACCTGTTCACTTAAAATCAATCAGCGGTAACAGTGTGTGCACGTAAGACATGTGGCCGACGGGAGGTCACATTACCTGCTGGAACGGACTGTTCATGCGCCGGCTGCAGGTCAGGTAATAGTCCAGCACGTCTGAATGACCAGAAAAACACCAGTGCACAACAGATCAGTACATAATAGAAAAGCCTCGGGGACTTTGAACTCATTGCATTGGACTGTGCTGTGGAAATGGGAAACAACTTTGTTTGGAAAACGGGTTGATATTGCACCTGAGCTGGTCCCAGTGTTGAAGTGGGTGGAGTTGACCACAAACGTGTTTGTATCCGAGCAGAAGTCGCTGAGGGCCTGTCGGAGCAGAGGAGAGAGAGAGAGAGTGGAAGGGAAAACAGGGAAAAGACACAGCGGGAGAGAGACAGACGGATGAGGCGAGAGAAAAATGATCAGAAGGGAAAAGTTAGTAGAGACATTGACCAACTGACATACTCACCTCCGCGGATATCTGACAGCGGCCCACAATACGGTGGCAGATATCGATCCGCCTGCATCACATGCAGCCATCGACAAACCAGTCCTCCGCTCTGACGTCTACATTTTCCCTTTTCCATTAGCTCCTCACTCGTATCCCTCCCCTCTGTTGACCCCTTTTTCCAAATCATGCTGCCCTATGTATTTTCTTTTCTAGAGGATGCACTCAGCCACAAACTCCTGACCCCCAAACCCGATGTCGCCCCACCAGAAGAGGGAGCCAGAGAGCCACGCGCAGACTCTGGGACGGGATGAAGCGGGTCCGGCCCCCATTGTTACCCCGCCAGTGACCGCGGACAGAGCGGCTCTGTGTGGACACACAGGCCTCGGGACCGTCCCCCGCCAGCTCCGCATAACACTGGGTCTCTTAAAGTGGGCCGGCAGTGCAGAAAAACAGGCGCCATTGACCTTCCTCAAACAGCCCTCTCCTCTCCTCAGAGAGAACGACCAAAACATCAGAGGGGAAAACACAAAAGGGACACTCCTCTATCTGAGACGTAGATAAAAAGCCTCTGTGTGCTTTGTTCCTGATAAATGTGACAGCCTGGATTCATCGCACCGGGGTCATGTTCAGGCTGTAAAAGCGCAACATTGTCCAGCAGCATGTTTTGGGGATTTACTCGCTCTTCCATCTTCTTGCAGGCTCAGTCAGAACCCCCAAGGGGCCAAAGTCTTGCACCACTGACGGCGAGCTGATGGTTTACCCACTTTCTCACTTTGTCGTTCTCTCTCTCTCTCTCTTGAACTGATCTGGGAATGCACTCTTCCTCTCCCTTCCTCTGTCCTGTTGAAAGCGCTTCTCTCCGTCTTCCATCTTCACTTCTCGAGGCCAAACGCCCACACGCTTGCAGACCCACTTACACGACAAACACGCACTTTTAATGCACAAACGCAATTTGTTCACAAATTCGCTCTTCTGAACACGCGCATTGAATCTTTAATCTCTGCCCCATTTTCCTGCCTTTTTGGTCGCCTGCCACGACTGCAGCGTTCCATGGAATGCGGATCTTTTCACAGTTCAACACAATGGGAACCAGAAATCACACACACACGCACACACACACACACACACACACACACACATGCATTGCTTTGGCATTGTGCAACTCTCTCCCCCTCAGCTGGAGCCAGCTCATCCCTCCCATGACAGTCCCATTCACTCCCTACTCCTTCCGCGCTTCATCTCCCGCGCTCCCCTCCTCCAGCCTTGTGATCACCAGAGGGCGGCTCTTTTCTGGGTCTACTCACCACCACAGTGGCTGTCTCCAGGCCCAGGGAGCCCCAGCTCAGGAAGAGAGCCAGCCACGCCAGCACGGTCATCCTGTGGAGGGGAAGAGCAAGTACTCTTCAGCCAAGATGATGCTGCCCCCCCTCCCCCTTCCGGCCATCAATCCAACGGTCTGAGTGGTGACAGTGTGTGAGTCTGTGTGTACTCACAGGATGAGCAGCCAGCGGGCCTGCTTGGCCAGTCCCAGCAGGATGAACAGACACACGATGAGGTCCAGCAGGAGCAACAACACGTACGACAACCACCTGTAACAAAGACACAGAAGCGCGACAAACAGACTGTTTGTAAGGAGGAACTTTTATTTTTATTTAATTCTACTGCCTTTACTTATATGTTATTCTTGTTTTCATCAAAGGTTTTAATGGAATATTTTTTTTAGATATTCAGAGTGGGTTTAAGCGCTTTAATTTGAATGTTTTATTGATAAACATAGTTAACCTGGACCCTTCAACCCCTCCTCCATTTGCCACGGTCGGACTTAATTTGATGAACTGTGTTATTTAGAGGGTTGGAATATCACGAAACAAGAAATAAAGAATGGATTTAGTCAGAGAATGATTGTGATTGTGTACATCCAGTTTCACTTTTTATCTTCCGCCGGTAGATTTGAGATGGATGAGACGATCTGGAGGTCTTTGACTCTTAAGCTTGCCTCTGTGTATATTCTCCAGTTTTCACTTGACATCCTAGCCGGGATGTTCTTGCTGATGTGTGAAATTGGCAGCGCTCGTTTCATCACATTTTCACCCCTGTACTTTTTTTTCTCCATTTTTCCATGAATTAAAACTACTTAACTGTAGTTACTACTTTATTTAACTAAACAGAATGAGACATTCCCTTGATATGTGCCTGAGTCAGCGTTGTCTGCAGACACGGGGCCTCCACTCCATGAGTGAAGGGGTGAAGTGAGGTCGAGGTTGAACCTCACTTCACCCCTTCACTGTTTAAAGGGAGGGGTGAATTACATTCTTTGTCTTTCCTCTGTGTAGTTAGTTTATGGGAAGCAGTGCTTCCATGACGTTATTCTTATGCAATATAAAAGCATCCCAGTGACCTATTATGAGCCAGAACATTTGGTCCCCTTTGAAAAAAAAAACCCACAGCCAAGTTGGGCCTCAACACTGTCAAAGATGTTGATAAACAGCGTGTGTGGATTATTGTGGAATTGATCCGGGTGGTGCATGGTCCCACAAATCTGCTTAATTACTTCATTTACTGGAAGCTTCATTAACAGGTTGCTAGATGTAAAGCGGTTACAGCGGAACGAAAATGTGCCAAGCACATAAGTATTGAATCCTTTTTAAAATGACATTTCACTCTAATACGCATAAAATATGCATCAATGAAAGTTAATTGGTTATATTTTAGCTTCTGCTCTACAGATTGCAATCAGTAACACATGCGAATATTGAAGGTATTCTATGTGTTTGTAGCCACAACTTTAAACTACTGCGTTGTAAAATGAAAGGATCAGACAAAGTGGATCGTGAGTTTTTGTAAACAAAAAGAACAAGAATCCAGATTATTTTATAAGACAAAAGTATTGCGACACGCATGGTTTCATCTATGGTCTCAGATCTACGTTCAGATGCAGATCCGGACTCCTCACCTGTAGTCCTCGTTGACCATGAGCGTGTTGGCCGCCCAGCCAGGTGAGAAGGGGCTGGGCATCAGGCCGCCGGCAGGCACCACTGTGGGGGCCACGGAGGGGGGTACTGGGGTTAGAGGCGTGATGGACGCCCCGCCGACGCTGTCATTGGCCAGGCCTGCGTCCGCGCTTGACCGGACCATGGAGATGGAGGAGAGGAGGTTGATCACGTTCTCCGACAACCTGCGGCAGTTCCGCGTCGACGCCAGGAAGGGTTTGCTGCCGGTGAAGAGCTCCTCCATGGAGGTCAGGGGGCCCGAGACGGACAGCTGCAGCCCAGAAACTGTGTCGGAAATCTTGGGAGGTGGGGGAAGACAAAATGTGAGTGGCAAATGTCAATGTGAACGTCAAATACAAATATGAAAGACGTATCTTTTTTTAAATTCAAAATTACATAAATAAGTTTGAGAAGATTGATATTTGTTATCTTTTCAATGTATTTCCAATTCAGCTTCCCTACATGTTTGTTTTACATTGATTACAACATTACAACAAAAAAGAATGAAAATGAAATATTAAATTCCTCAATTATTGTTTTTTTAGTCACAAGATCCTCAGCAGCAGAGAAAAATGAAGAACAGACATTTGTTTTCTTATCTGCATAGCAAGCGATGACTAAAAGTGCTGACTTATCCTCATTCATTAACTCATGACCTCCCCCCTTTCCTGCCCCAACTCACTCAGTAGTTCCTTCATCGGAATAATTTCCGCTGCCCGAAATCCTCGCCAGTAGGAGGCCGTTTAGTGTGACACATAAACGGCTGTCTGAGCGAGGGGAAATCATTAAAAAACAAGGGTTTTTTTTTGGATGGGTCGGTCCACATGGGCCCAGGGGGAGCCCCCCCCCCCCCCCCCCCCCCTCCCACACACGCACACACACAGACACACACACACACCAACGCAGATTACAGTTTACTTGTGGAACTGCAACACTCACCAGCAGATCGATGGAAGCTAGCGTATAATTGGCCGTGAGAAGAGACGAGGTCAACTGATACATCCCATCATTAGCCTCGCTGTTGCCATAGAAACCAATGCCTATGGCAACACTGCAAAAGGAGGGGGGGGAGAAAATATGACAACATTGTATGTTAAATCTAATGTTTAATTCAGTGTGTACATTTTAAATGAATGTGAAACAAGAAGATGGAGATGGAAAGGATGGGATATTGCTCTGGATGAGCATACCGTGCAACAGTGGAACGCAGGGGAAGCAATAAACAGATGATGGGAAAAACGGACACTTAGCACTTAAGCGTTAAGCTTCAGCAAGGGAAATGTTTGTAATGTTAAACAGAGCAGAGACATGTTTACACATCTTTCTGTTATTCAAATATTCAGATTAAGGCTTGGGCCAGATGTTCATCAAATCCCCTGAAACCCAAGAGGAATGGTATGACCCAATCTCCCACAAAGTATGTGACCCAGATTAGAAAGCAGGGGGGAAAGGAAGAGGAGGAATGTGCGTCTGTGTTTGTGTGCTTTGCATTTCAAGCTGCTAAATGTGGACGCTGTCTAATGCGGCTGCATTTCAAATGTCTGTTTCTGTGCTGGTGACAAAAAGGCCACCATCTGGAGGAAAGGGTGTCACGTGAAATATTTCCAAGAGGTAAACTGTAGTGTTATTATTTTCATCCTGTCTAGCACAGAAAGTTCTCATGTTGAGCATCAGGGGAGGAGAGGACTACACTACGGTCCATGAGGGGGAGACACCAACCACATCCACCTACTGCGTGTATATAATGACGTCGTTGTTTCAGCTGAAATCACATCATGTTCTGTCTTTGATGAGCTTTAATACAGCTCACGGCCGGGCCCGTAGCTTCCCCACCGTGACTTCCTCTTTACAAGAGTGTTTTGGACGGATATCACGCAGCATTTCTGAATGAGGTCCATGCAGACTCAGAGCACTGACTTGATGACTGCATGATCACCAGATCTGAGGGGAACGCTGGCGGGTAAATGAGGCCGTACGGTCGGCGTGGGCGAGCTGAGATCATCACCCACACACACACACACAGCGTTGAGGAAACCGCCAATATCCACACAAAAGTGACACACAGAGGGCTTGCACAGGCCCGCGGTCGTTAAACGGTAACTTAACGGGACCGTCAGAGGTCAGCCGGGCCTCCTCTCCTCTCCAGTGACATTGGTGAGTGTGTGAGTGGCGACGCAGGAGGCGACAGCTCATGATTCACAGCCCTGTTCTTCTTCCAGTCAAAAGGACTGTGAAATGTTGAGAATTTCCAGCTTTTATTACTAAATACTTAAACTCCATGACATTTCCAAGGGAAATATTGTACTTTTTGCAGCATTTTTTAGAAAGCTACAGCTTTTAGTTACTTTTCAAGATTTTACCAGATGAGATAAGCACATGAAATGATTTACCCTGTAAAAAAAATAGCACATTTGCCCTCTTGCATGGAGTTAGATGAGAAGTGACGGCACTCTCGTGTCACTACGGTAAATATCAAGCTACATTTAGCTACTATTAGATTAGCATGAAGATTTGAATCAGACTAGAAATATTCATATCTTCTTCTAAAAATAGTTAGACAGAAAAGTATTGCCCTCTATCATGGAATACCAGCAAAGTATACTGTAAGTGTCAAAAGTAATATTGTTGTACATGAATTATTAATACTAGATTATAATGAGGCCTCCTTCTCACCAGCACAGCGTGACGGACGCCACCGCCACCCACGTGACGCAGCAGATGCCCCGCCCCTTCTTCCCGCTGTAACCGTGACCTGTGCTGGCATCTTCATCCTCCTCCTCCTCCTCTGATCCCTCGCTCCGGTCACCGCGGTGACAGCAGCAGTAGTGTATGAGGAAAGAGAGGACCACCAGGAGGGAGATGACCAGAGCGATGGCTGATAAACTGGACAAAACCAGCAGAGTCTGAGAAAAGATAGAAGAAAAGAAAATACAGGACGAGTCAGTGAATGTGGGAAAAAAAGAACTTTAATTCCATTTAGTGGAAAAATAGCAATGGTGAAGTACCAGCTAATCCTGTTAAATCCATAGCTTGTCATATGGTCCCGCCCCAAGTAGCAGGAGATGGTTATTAAAAATGTAGGACAATATCAATTTTGTGCTCCAAATAGGCAGAAGAATCAATGGTACGGACAGACGCTGCATGCAACAAACATTAACAAAGATGGGAATCCATTTGAGACCATCCATGTTGCAAAAGCTTTAACCCGTGAACCCCTGATCTGCTTCATGGGGAATATTTCTGTCACTAAGCCATATCAGATTGTGCTTTTGATCAGGCTCCATGTCACAAAGTCAACATTACTGAAATGCATTTTGTCCCAACACATATTTATAGTATTATCCCTCATCCATCTGCCCGTCCGTCACTCCTCCACTCCTCCACCTTCCCTCTACTGTATCTCACCTCCCGCTGTCCAAAGCCCCTCCCCGCCGCTCCTCCCCCACCCTCTTTCCCCACGCTCCCTCTCTCTTTCTCTCCCCCACCATCCCTCTCTTTCTTCCTATCCACACCACTGAATCTCTATTAATAATCTGTGACCTACTTAAATACATTCTCCGCCACTCTCTCTCTCTCTCTCTCTCTCACTCCCACTCCAACCTCCCTCTCTGGGTTTCTCCCTCTCTGCCCGGTCCTCTGTTGGGCAACCTCCTCACATTACTCATTCCCTCTCCCCTTCCCTCACTCGCAGCACTTTCAGTCGCTTTTGTCTTTGTGTTCGCCTCCTTCTTTGTACCGCAGAGAAGTCACAAACATGCCACAGTGAGACACTGCTGACTGGGGCGTTTTTTTATTATATGAGAGCCAGTTGGAGGAGAAGAAGGATGAATGCTTGTGTTTTCAAAAAGCAGAAAGTGCTACTGGACGACCCTGCTGAATCTTACACACTCCCTGAAACCGCGTAGCATTAAATATCTCTGCTTCGCATGCACAGAGGCACAGGTGCAAGTGACAGTTTGAAAGAGCCCTGAAACATCTAAATCAAGGTAGAAAAAACGGTTAGATGTGAGCTGAGGGGCTCTTGGAGGGGACGAGTGCAATCTTCCCACTAATGATTAGGTCAAATCATTGACATGAAAAGCTTTTTTTAAAGGACTGCAAAGGCCGTCATGGCTCAGCAGATTGCAGCCACATTCAGGGCTTTATGGAGCTATTTAAAGTGTGATGTGGATCAAGTCGCTAACAGTCCAGTCACTAAATTTGAGTACAGCACACGTGTAGAAATGGGGCGACAGGGCTGCAGATATCATGCGATGATCGGACAAGTACAGTGCAGCATGTGGCGCGGCTGGTATCCGTTACCTGCTGGTACTCCCAGCTGTCTGGGACAAAGACGTTGTCCTTCATCTCCATGGTGAGGTCCAGCCGGGGGAGGGCATGGCACAATCTCACCCACAGTGACGGGGTGTAGCTGGGCACCGTTGTCATGGCATTCATTTTCTACCGCAACTGGTCTCCCTTCTCCACCCTGCGGGAGGGAAGGAAGGGAGGATGAGAGCAGCTGGGACGTGAAGTAAGAGCAGAGGGGAAGGGAAGGAGGTAAGGAAGGGGGTAAGGAAGGGAGAAGGATTTCCTGAGCCAAGTGGACGGGGAGGTCACTGCGAGTTCTCTCCAGCTCCTCCGTCCCTGTACGTGATCACATGTTCTGAGTCAGGGTCAGAATGTCAGTAACGGTTATTTGAAACAGGCTCCTGGGAGGTTGAATCCAGTGTGTTTCCGCCTGTGACACTTCAGGTACTTCAGTGATCTAAGATCTTAACAAAATCCTTTCATAAGGTTAACTTTTATCAACTTTACATGGATTAAGAATCCAAACGGAAAATAGCCTCCTTTTAGCGAGCATGAAATGTCCTTAAAGCTCAAACAGTTCAATTATTTAATAAATAATTGAGCAAACATGTGAAGTACCTGCTGTTTCGAGCTAGTCTTGTTTTATCAGCTTGAGTTAAATACCTTTGGGTTTTGGACCATTGATTAAAAAAAGAAACAATCATTCCGTAGTAATTCTGGGCCGTGGACACTTCAGACATTTCATAGCACAAACAGCAGAGAATCAAAAGGGGATCCAAAGTTAAACGATCATTTCTCTTCGCAGCAGCCAGAGGGGTTTCGCCTTGAATCCAGATTACAGGACTGTAACAAATGGCTATTATTCAGACCTCTCTCGTAACCTCATGAAGGGTCTCTGCCATGGGAGCAGAATGGATTATATAGGCGATATATGGGCTCTTTACAGAAGACTTCCGGGCAGAGCGAATGCGGGGAAAGAACACTGTATAATACACCAGCAGGACCGCAACACACAACACGGCCTATTTGGCTGCATCATAAACCATGCTTACTAATGCCGGCTAAGGGGGGAGAAAGTAGGGTAAATACAAAGGGCAAATCCGGTTAGCCAAAACATACACTGGGATACTCATTACAATGAAGGGCAAGGAGGGCGAGCCGAGCGCCTGGTCGGCTTCTGATGCCGGCTGTCCAGAGCAAGAGACCGTCAGCGCCTTAAAGAAAGGAGCGTTTCAAGAGAGCACAGAGACGACCGATCACAACAACGGCAGCCAGGCTCAAATACAAAGGGTTACACAACTCAAGCTCAATGCTGATATTATAGACACGTACAATTCGGCATTAGCGTTTTAAACGCAATACTGTCAGATAGATTATGAATTAAAGGCTTTTCTTTTCTTTTCACGCAGCTGTTACGCAACTTTCAATTTGCACAACATTCTACGCTGCTGAGGCCTTTTAGCATCCCTGTGTGTTTGTGCATTGAGGAGTTTAGATACAGCCACATGTCACAGTCAACTGCCGGACAACTTCCCATTCAGATTTGGGGCATTCATAGCACAGAACAAGTTAACAGCTCGTCCCAGTGGCCAGACAGGGCGGCTTTAAGCCCATTACAATAAGCCTGTTCACCTTAATGGTTCCAGCAGCCCAACTGTCACAAATCGAGTCGCGGCCAACACTCCATTTCCCTTATTAAAATTGTGCTGAACGTAATGGTTCACACGCAAACATGAGCGCTGCATCTGTCCACCGCACATCAGCAGTGCAAATATTTATGCATTCCTTCCTTTCTTGGCCATTTATTAGGAGCTGCGGGGAAAGTTTATAAGGGTGCATTTATCCGATTTTGGAGACAATTAAATCTTTTTCAGAGGCACAATGAATGAGTGAAGGAATGATTCCACAATCAAAGTCTACCTGTTGTGATCATCACCCACAATAAAGTGGTACAGCATGGGAACGCATTTCCTGTGATTTATCACACAACCGGCCTGAGGTTATCCGTGCTATCGGGATGTCACTTTCCACACAAAGTCTATTCAAGATGTTTGTAGAAGAAGCACCGGGTGACGACAGGTCAAAGTTCAGGTAGGATTCTCCAGCAACCCAGAAAGTTATCGAAGCAACTCAATGGGGGGCCGATGGGAGCGAGGGGAGGCGGCTGGTCGCGGTCCAGCAGCTACTCAGCAGTTGTCACAGAGCGGAAGTCTCCCCTTGGCGGCATGTCTCCCGCCAGCTTAACATCAGGCCTTTTACAGTTGCGTAACTGAGGCCGAAGAAATGTGATTTTGAGTTCAGTCGTTGGAGAAGAAAAGAAAGAAAAAACACGCTCTCGGCGAGGTGCAACATGGCACATGGAAGAAACCAACGACTCTCACCTTTAACCAATGAAAGAAAGGAGAGGAAACAAAAAGAACGGGAATAATTCTGCTGCGCTCAGCGTGCACGGAGCTCAGACGACTCAGAGAGTGAAATCACTTGCGTGATGCGAGACTCCATGATGTGGGAATGTAAAGAAGAGAGCCATTTTGTGAGGCAGCTAATGAGAAGGAGGCTGAGGCATCTCTGTCAGCTGAATTTAGGATCATCTTTAGCACCAGAAATTCATATCCACCTTCATATTTTCAAGGCGCTACAACCCTCTTGAGCAGGATATATAACCAGTATGCTCCTTTTGCTGCTGAAATCCTGCACATTTCAAACTTGCCACATAAAATCTTTTACAATTGACGTTACAACCAGAGCGGTCACATCATCTCATCCACAACCGTAATGACTGTGATTTATGAGAGACAATTACAGCGAACACAGACACACTACATCAGCCGGGAGAAGCAAATCTTTATGGAGGGTGCAAATTTAGTTGTACCTACTGATGCCAAAATGAATGTTCAGCCGTGAAACAATGAACCTTCAGAGTGAGTGCAGCTGACCGGAGGTAAGTGAGTGCAGCTCATAGTCAGCAAGTCAGAGCGAATCAGCGCTTCGATGTGAGAGTCCAGCATTACGAGATGATGGTGACAAAACGCTCCCACGCGTCCAAACTAATACAGGATAAAATAGCAAAATGAGCTTGCAAATTAAAAAATCAACAACACATTTACAGGAAATATGAGACAAATAAAACAATAACTGGGAGGCCAATAACTGAATGCAATCCTCTCATTCTGCAAATTCATCCATTAGGTGTGATGGTTAAAAACATAAGCCTGAATCCATCTTGGCAATATGGTGTGAAGGTTTCATGACCATCTATCAAGCATTTTTGAATAAGATAAGTGTTGATTAGCAACGCACCGTGATGCGTTCATCGAATCACCTTGATTGAGGATTCATCTTCCCACCAGATCAACAATTAAGCCGCACTCGACAATAGAGAGAGATCCGTCTCTTACCTCAGTCGGTTTGTGCTTCTCTCTCCTCCTCGTCGCTCCACTCCGCCGGTGCCCGTGAAATATTAACCCACTCAAAGGGGTTTACTGCCAACCGTCAACGCTTGATGCTCTCGAAAAAACATCATCCTGAAAAAATAGCTGGAAAACGTGCCAAAAATATGTCAAAAAGAAAAGAGCCAATAATTCTTGCAGCTATCGGAATGCTAAATAGCCACTAATTGAATGCTTGTCTGGTGACAGTGGAGAGGTGCTTGTGTTGATGGATGAGAGAGGAGCTCTCAGTGAGAGCGAGGGAGCGAGAGAGACAGAGAGCAAGAGAGAGAGAGAGAGGGAGAGAGAGAGAGAGGGGGATTAACATTGAGGAGACACCCCTAAGGGACCCTTTATCGTTGCATTGTAGTCCTCCGTAGCTTAACGCCCAAGCAACTTCACAACACGGCAGCAACACGATATTGCCCGAAGATAATTAATGTGTTAGGAGGGATTAGCAGGGTCCAGCCCCTCACTCACTTCACTTGGAACGTCGACCCCCACCCACCATCCACCAACACTCCCAGCAACCTGACCAATCTCCGTCCGGACTACCACGCTGAACCCCGACCAGATTACTGACAGAAAGAGGAAAATGCCTCCAACTGTGCGCTCTAGATAATAGTGACCGTTTAAAAATCGACTCACTCCTGCCTACGACAGCACTGTGCAGGCTGCAAAGTGTCGAGAGCTAAGGTGCGGTGCACAATAAGCACTCATAGGTGAATATATGGGGAAGGGGAGATGCAGGGGAAAGCAATATGAAATACTGAGGAGGGAGGGGGGGGGGAGTGGGTTCCCAGGGATTGATGCTGAGAGAAAGAGGAGGGAGGGTGAGAGATGGCGTGAACAATGAATAGAGCGGGGAGAGGCGAGGGGGGGAGGAGGGGAGCATGCTATGGATTTTTTTTTGGGGGGGGGGCAAATCCAGTGTTCAGTGGAGACAGCAGAACAGCATCAGCACTGACTTCAGTGTCCGGGAAGCCGAAGAGGACGCCACAGAAACGATGAGAAGTGGATGGAGGAGATGCTCGTGGGTGATTTGACCTGTGAAATGCCTATTGGAGATTCAGAAGCCGTTAAAACAAGACCAATGGCTTGTACCGCGTCGGAGGAAGAGGGGCAGAAGCGAGCTAGCAAAGAGGGAGAGGGGGAGGGGGGGGGGTAAGGGGAGGGCGGCGTTAGTTTTTCTGTGTCACTGAATGAGAGTGGGGGAGGGGAGAGAGAGAGATAATGCGAGCGAGGGAGCAAGCGGTAGAGCCAGAGAGAGAGCGGACTCACTGACTCACACCGTCTCTGTGCAGTGTACTCATGTGTGTGTGTGTGTGTGTGTGTGTGTGTGTGTGTGTGTGTGTGTGTGTGTGTGTGTGTGTGAATGAAAGAAAAGGAAATTATATTATGTATGCAAGAGTTGTTCAGGGAGCGTTCTGTTTGTTAAACCACAGCAACAGTACCGAATCCAGGCCGTCCATCACTGGACGAATGAAGTATCACCACTCACAGGATTTAAAATAACAGATTCTATATTTAATGTCTTTCGCAATCCAGTAGTTCTGATTAATTGGAAAAGACAGACAGAGTCATTGTTCTTGTGTAATACATCACATGCATTATTTATTTCAAACAGATGAATTGTGTAACAATGAGCTGCAGAAAAGCAGCTTGATTCATAGCTGAAAGGAAAAGTGAAAAATGTGAAGAATTAATGTTTTGTATGTAATTGTGTGTGGCAGTGTGCAGCCGGTCTGCAAAGTCGTAAAACATTAAAGACCAAAGTGCAGGGAAAGGTTGAACACCTTATTTGGCCCTTCAGGAGAAAAAAGTACTTACTAAAAAAAGTTCTACTAAAATCTTTAAAAGTCAACGGACAAAGGTTTCATGACTTTAATGGTTAAAACATGTTTAAACCTTTTCCTCATCTCAGCTGTGCATCTCCAGGTAATGATTAATCTGTATTTCTTACTGAAGACTTATTGATACATTGACACTCTGATTTTTAATGTTGATTTCTTTAGCCACTGTGGGCTTAATAGTGTATTTGAATCAACTAAAGCCAACCTACGGGGCTATTTTAACATTATAACGTAATAAATATACATAAAGTACAATTAATGTAGTTACATACGCATTCATCTGTTGCTACCGCGTAGTGCGTTCCATCACCGGAGAGTCACCGTGCACACGGTCTCATAAAAACCATCTTCTTCAGAAAAGCCCATGGAGCAAAGGTGCAAGGTGTTAACAGGCAGACGGCCAAAATTTAAACCCTTCCCCGCCTTCAGCTCCCCGACGCCTTGAAACACCCGCTCTCCCTCACAGCCCACCACTTTGGCCAGCGTGAGATGGTAGCGCGGGTTGTAGGAATCCCGGTGGAGCCAGCCCTCCCTCCTGTAGGCCTCCTGCAGGCCGCCGTTGAGCTGCTGGAGGTGGAGCTGAGGCTGGGGGCTCAGGTACAGCACCCTGCCGCCGAAATTTTTCAGCCTCACGGGGAAGGTCAGGGACACCGGCGGGTTGCGGTCCCAACGGGCGAAGCGCCGCAGCACCTCCACGGCGTCGGCCACCTCGTCCGGGCCGGGCAGATTGAGGAGGCACATGGTGACGTGGAGGCTGGCGGCGGGCTGCCAGTGAGGGGCGGAGGAGGGCAGGATGGAGGTGATCTCCTCCTGCAGCTGCTGGAAGCAGGAGAGGATGGACGGGGTGTTGGCCTTGAAGGTGATGAAGTGCGTGGGGCGTTTTTTAGCGGGGCGACCGCCGCGCGTCTCTCTCTGCTCCAGAGGGGCTGATGGGTTCTGGCTCGGGTTCTGGTATCGGGGATAATTCTACGTGTCATAACAGAGAGAAATCTCTGGGATAAAGACAAACTGTAACAGTAGAACAAGGTGTTTCAAATGTGATGTACCCACCGAAGCATCTTCATTTCCTTCCCAGCTTTCTTTCCACTCTGGCGAATTCTCTTTCTCGCCCTCTTTTAAACTTGGTTCCTCTTTTTGGGACGAGGGCACTTGGTCTTTTGAAGGCCCAGAGCTAAAGTCAAAGTGAGTACAATTATTCAAAATGCTGGATGTAATTTGAATGTTTGCTTTCCAGGTCACACAACATACAATTTCTTAAAATGTAAGACAATATGTCTTATGGACACAGTGAAAATAAATATACTTAATTGTCCACTTGTATGTGTGATTGTGTTGATAGCTCAGTCACCGGGGCGACCCATGGGCTCAGTAAAAAATATACGGCTTCCTCGCTCATTCCAATGATGGAAAAATGAAATTGACTATTTTCAATTAATCATTTTGTTTACAAAGTGCCCGACAGTTAGATTTCCCCATAGTTTAATCATCACACAATTCAGCTCTAAACCTTCACTCTTCACTGTGACTGTAAACAGTAAAAACAGATCTAGGTTGTACATGAGCTGTCTTTCGGCCTTCAATTTAAAAGATTCTTCCATTCTTTCCAGACCTCACTGCAGCCTCCTCTGTGCCAGATGTTCCTTGTGATTCCAGTTGTTCCTGTGAAGCGTCTCCTCTGAACTCTGGAGCTGCTTGTGATGAGTCAGGGGCCTGGCTGTTCATCTCACTCTGCTTCTCCTCCTCCAGATGTGCGCTCTCAGCGTGCGCACACTCCTCTGCAGGCGGCTGCTCTTGTTGTTGCCCTTCCGTGTTCTTTTCTTGGGGAATAATTAAGTTATATTTCGTCAGCATGAATTCTGCGGAGAAGTCTTTTGAAAAGTTTTCAAGTAGCGATAAAGGTTACACCCTTACCCTTTACTTCCCCCTCACCTCCAAAGGGGGGAGCCAGAGATTGACCGGTGGAGCCGAACACTCGGTCGGTCCTGCTGTGGCGGTCCCAGACCCGGAGCCCTCTGCAGAGGAAGTACTGGATCCTGTGCTGCGGCAGAGCCAGCTCTGAGGAGTAATCGCAGTCGCAGGGGTCCGTGTCCCAGTTGAAGTCATTGAAGGGACGCTCCAGCACGCCCAGGAAGCGGTCGACGTACCCCACCACCAATTCTGCTCCATCCACCGACGGGTCCCACAGGATCCGAGAGATCACTTCTTCTGCTGTGCGCATTCGAGGCTTCTTCTTCACCTCTGCGGGGAGAGGAGATGTTAATACATTAACACAAAACCGTGAAAAGAAATCCGATGACACAACGAGTGACCTTTGGCCTGGGATTTGGGCGTTGTTGCTTTGTTCACTTTCTTCTTGTGTTTTTCCGTCTTTTCTCCATCCTGTTTGTCGTCACGGTCGGGTGATACGGCCCCTGAATCATCCACTGATGAGTCACTAATGACGAGAGATAACAAACGTGGAAAGAATTAATTAACACAGATGAACCGTCTTGCAGCATGTTGAACTTTGAACAGCATCCCCATTTAGTAGTATTTAAAAAAAACATATTTTGGCAATAAATGTTTCCTAATTCCTGGTTATTCCTTTAAAAAAGTAAAGCTACCCGTTAACAGTAAGGCATTCATCTGTGTATTAGGAGCCGCATTAGTTTGACAGTAGTTTGCAAAACCGTTTGTTTCTAAACTAAATGATGTACGTGGGAGGATTTATAATAAATACATAAATATAATAAAAAGTAATCCTTTGTTCTTGCTGGTGAGCTTGCTGAAACAGGTAAAGTCAGCAGACCTGTGAGAGAAACGACATTTGGGGCCAAAACGACACTTTCCCATCAGGAAGAACTGGCACACAAGGATTCCATTCTCATCCCGCGCTGCTGACTCTGATGAGAGAGAGAGAGAGAGAGAAAGAGAGAAACTGTAATAGAGGCGTTTATAGAAATTGACCAACCTCTCAATAAGGACTCTGCATTTAAATTAAATCAAAGAAACATTTTACAAGATTAAAGGAGATGGAAGAGAACACCTTGTTGACTTGATCGGCTCTGAATTGGTCGCATACACACCAAAGGGAGAGGCAGCAAACAAATAGGCTTCACAACATGAGTTCCGGGAATACTGTCCTGATCCTGAATTGATTGAATTATCAAAACTGATCTGTTTTCAGTTCAAGAGGTCACATTCCTTCTGTCCTTGCACTCCGTGAAACCGTGAAACCTAACTCTGAAACGTTAGAATAAAAGACTTAACACATTTTGGCACTAAAATTGTACTTATAACGTCACTTATATTATTGTAAATTGGCATATTTGATTAAATTGCACTTTCTTGTTTCTTGCCCTTCTGAGTTTGTATCCCTATGGTTGAATGAACTTATTGTAAGTCACTTTGGATAAAAGCGTCACATGTAATGTGATGACATGTAATGTAATATAATGTAACATAAAGGCAAATGTCACCAGTAGCCTGGTCTTTGTTTTAGGGATGTTTGCCATATCGTGTTGAACCAATAAGTTGAGGGGGCTCTCAAGTGAAGAATCCCCCACGTGATTGCCCAACCGTCTTTACTAAGCCAGAAGGCCCCTCCGGGTTGAGTAAGAGTCCCGCACGCCGCAGTGTGTTCTTCTACTGCGTTTGTCTTCAGCCAGTAGGATACATTACAATATTAACATCCTGTACTGTATGCAAGTCATACTGAGAGCAGGGAATGGGGTGTTAGGTACTGCTGCGTGTGTATGCAGTACATGGTTGAGTTCCGTCTCCTGTATGAGCCTCTGTGTCAGTAAGACATTTTTATGTGTGTCTGATCATGTTAAATGTAGAGATCTCCGTAAAATCTTGTATTATATTCCTCATGATCCTTATCAAAACAGGTCTGATGTTATGATATGACAGAAGTGGTCCATCTCCAAGAGTAAAACTGAAATGGCGTGTGGGTCAAGGATGATGTGTATAACACTGTACTTCCTTTAAGAGACTGAAATCAACAGGTGGTAATGACTCGCTCAGAAAAATCAAGTGGCGGCCAAGTAGTTCGGCCAGTTGCCCGTGAAGACAATCCCACACACCATACGATGCAGACAGGAGAACGGGATGTGACTCACATCCCAAATTCCATAGATGATTTGCTGCGATAGAACAGACTGGAAGTGACTGGATGAAGATCCCGTTGAAAGAAAGATATTTATGTATAATTAGATATGCGGTCAGGATTTGAGGCTATAACTACTGGTAAGGGGAGGGCCTCTTATTAGATTTGGAGGAAAAGAAAATACTTGGAAGTCAGCTCCAGACACCCAACTCAGAGTTTACCAGAAATCCAATTGTTCCCAACAACACAGACGCTGTCAAAGACAAGGGATTGGTGTTTCACAGTTGATTTACCAGGTTAAAGATTCAGACTGATTTCAGAGTCACAAAATGTGATCCATTATTTTGACTTACCTCTTGCTATATAGTGTCTCAAAATGAGGTTTGGGGAGAGTGCTTTGACAAACACCAGACAGTTGCTGTGCATCAGGTTGACTTACCTGCTGGGGCTTTTAGGGAGACTTTCGCCTCTGGGATGCGCGTGTCTGCCGGGTGGGTCCCCTCATCCCTCCGGTCCTCTGATGGGACCGAAGCTACTCCCGATCCCTCTGATGCCATTTTCAAATCTGCGATTCAACAGGAAACGTTACGTTACGTTGACGTCAACAGTGTGTGGTTGTTGCTATTATTGCTTGATAATAAAAATGTACACTCCCAGAATCCAAACTAATGCGGAAGTGATTTGTTAGCGTCGAAACCGCCTTTAAAATGTAAGAACCAATTTATAAAATAGTCCTCGTATTTGGTTAACACAGATGTGATACAAGCACGTCTTTCAAAACCACCCTTATAAGTATTTTTCGACTTACTAAAAGAGGGAACACAGGATTCTGACTTGCAAACGCTCTTTGAACCTGGATTTGTTGTCGCGGAATGAACTGTGGGTAATGTAGTTTAATCTGGTTTTCAACGAGAAAGCCTTTGCGGAAGCACTTTATAAAACCTGATGTTGGAAAATAAGTAAGTTATTTGCCTACCTATCCTACTATTACTACTACCTACAAACAATAATAATAATTGGGACATTTTCGACGCAAATGTTAAATTTACCCCCCAAAACTGCCGTGCGTCATTCCCACTCGAGCGCGTGACTCGGTGTCATGTGACCGGATCTGTTGTCCGGAGCCGCACAGATGAAAAACACAACGAGGAAAGTGTACAAAATCTAAATCGGAGACCCCGAAGAATCGTGGCTTTTATTAAACGGGCGGTATCAAGAATTGAGTTGGTTTTGTATCACATTTAAAATGCGGCTTTTTTTGACGTTTCGAACCATGAATCTTCCCTTTGTAAAGTAACTTTGCTCTGTGCTGAAGGTAAGACGATCCTATCTTATCAGCTGTGGCGAACGTTTAACTTGCGACCGACCAAACAAACACAAATGGCACGTAACTGCCTGTTTACGCTGACATCTAGCCCCACAAACACGCTGTCTCCCTTTCAGATGAACGCTCTGGTTGCTCTCTGTCACTTCTGTGAGCTCCATGGACCTCGGACGTTGTTTTGCACCGAGGCGCTGCACCCTCCATCCCCCTCGTCCCACGCAGGTGCCCCGGTGCCCGGGGACAGGGACAGGGACAGGGATGGTGACCGTGAAGGCGAAGGGCTGACCATGAGGGCCAACAGCTCTGCCACACAGAGAGGAGAGATGTGTGAGGTGAGCCCACAGCATCAGTGTGAGGAGAGGAGGTGTTGGATCCCAGCCTCCATTTGAACTGAGCCGCCCTTCTTCCCACCGGTCTTTTTCGTTATAACACTCCAGCCGGGGCATCGTGGTCCGGATGTTAGTTCACAGTCCTGTCGTCCATCTCTCTCACTCGCCTCACAGGGATGTCGATCTCTTCCTGCGTCTCACCCGGGATTTATGAGCATTGACGAGGAAACGGGAATCCGCTTCCTGAGCCACCAACATCCCAGACAGCCGCAGCTGTTCAGCGTGGTCCGTCAGGCCTGCGTTCGCAGCCTCAGCTGTGAGGTAAACAGTGATGTACGTCTGCGTGTGTGTGTGAGTCACACATCTGATGCACTGAATAAACGTCCCGCATCCACATGTATACACATCTTCTTATTTGCTCTCCGTCCGTTTCTCCAGGTGTGTCCCGGCCGCGAAGGACCAATTTTCTTCGGAGATGAGCAACATGGTTTCGTGTTCTCGCACACCTTTTTTATCAAAGACAGTCTGGCCAGGGGCTTCCAGCGCTGGTACAGTATTGTCATGGTGGCAATGGATCGGATCTACCTCATCAACTCCTGGCCTTTCCTGTTACGCCACCTGAGACTGACTATACAGAGCCTGCAAAGCACAGCCTTAAAGGTTGGCTGTCCACATGGACCCAACGTACCTTTTGTTGAGTTTATTCGCATACAAATATGTGTATCTGTGAGCGCACACCTTTTTATGTATTGTTCTCCAACAGGTGTTCGAAAATGAACAAGGAGTTTGTCCCCAGCGGTCAGTGAGGATGAACAGTGTGTTCTCACCTGCAGTTTTCCCGCACCAAAGGAGCGGCAACGCAGCCCGATCGCTGACTTCCCTCACGCAGCATCAGAACCTGTGGGCCAGCCTGCACTCCTCCTTCAGCTGGTGAGTCCACACACGGCGTCAGACCCACCGCGACCTGCGGGCTGTTGTCCGTAACGGCTCACCCTGACGTGGATCTGCGTCTTCACATCGTCTGCAGGCTGCTGAAGGCGTGTGGTTGCCGTCTGACAGAGAAGCTACTGGAGGGAGCCCCCACTGAGGACACACTGGTGCTCATAGAGAGACAGACAGGTAGTGGCTTGTCTTTTTTTTTATTATACTGATGTAGTTACCTATCCAAAATCTGTTCAAGTCAGCCAGTCATGAAAGATGTGAGACTTGAGGCCCTTTTCTGGAGGATATCAGCTGATGTCATGTGCTTTTGCACAATGCGCCAACGTTTTATCATCAGTCTGAGAAGTACCCTGGGGAAGTGTGATTCACTCGGTCAGCCGGTGCCGACTCGCAGGAGAAAAAAGGGTCCTTCACACAGACATTGTACTCCCCGTGCGCTTTCTTTCCGCGTGTTTGCACAATCATTAGTCAAGATTTGGAGAGTGATTAAAAGATTTTCAGACATTTCCGAGTCCAGCGCAGCTTTTAGGTTGTGAAATGTTAACATCCTGTTCACTATTCTTAATATATTATTAACATTGGTAAGTACATACACATATTCCTCTAACACTTTGGCATCAAAATCCCAGTGAGTGATGGAGAATTACACAAGAAATACAACACGAGAAAACGAAAAGTCATCAATCGCACACAATAGTTAGGCATTACAATCTTGCCGTGACACTGCAGGGGAAGCTGTTTTATCTTGTCCTGGCTCGCTGACGTAGTATGGCAGTTGAAATGAGTCCTAGATAAGAGGTGAGATTGTACAATGCTCATTTTAGTTTGGAGATTACGTTACGTTCTATAGATGGAGAGTGACATTTAACCGGCCCGTTCAATGGGTTTTCTGTGGGATTTCCGCTGCATTGGTCATTGCTATTTCTGTTCATCGTGCCATTCTGTTACCAAAAGAGCAAGAGGAGGAGATGAGCTGCTGGGAGGGAGCAGAAGGAGGCTGTTCTTCATCACAGCCGCACCAGTTAGAGAGCGAGCTGGGCCTCGACTTCCTGTGTGATAATGACAAACCAACTGAATTACCCGGTCCAAAGTTTACGTCCCTGAGGCACCTGAGACAGGTAAATCTAGGTACTATTATCAGCTTGTCATCTTGTTTTACAGTAAACTAAAAAAAGATTGCATTGTTTCCTCAACCGTTTCACCTCAACAAACACTGTTTTTCATGAATTTAAAGTTTTGTGGCTAGTTAGATCTTAATTCACACCCTTTGCATCTGCGTCTTTCCCGTCTGGATTTGTTGTGCAGGTTCTCGGGCCTGGTGAGTTCCGACAGCTCGTGTGGCACGTGCTCATGGGGAATCAGGTCATATGGAGAGGCGCTGACCCCGGGCTCATCCAGTCCGCTTTCACGGTGCTCAAGGTAGTTCACTCCTGTCGTTTACTGCCGCATCCTTTCCGCCTCTTTAGGAGAGATTGTGTGGTGATAATGTGGGTAAATATCAGTTAGGGCACGTGAGAACACCGGGGTCCTCGTTAGTTCAGGCCGAGATGCAGAAAAGGTCGGTACCATAATAATTTAACAGACCTTGAAAAGTACCTGTGAAATAGAATTAATCATTTAGATCCGTCATATCTTACCTAACCATATTCGATGATGTATAAATCAATTAGGTCTCTTTTTTTAGTTATTTTCCCACAGTTACCTTTGTGCATTCATTTTCTGTTTTTCAAATTCTTGCCCTGAAGACCTCTTTGGGTTACACGCCTTGAAATAGTCTTTGCCTGTACATGCTTCCCTAATATCTTTATGCAAGATAAACGAACAAGACGGAGCCTGTAACCGCTTTCAGTCGACAATTATTGTTCCTTTTTACAGTAGAGAGACGGTTAGTAAAATTGTAAATAACTCTAGACTATAGTTTAAGATATTTCTTTATTACTATTATTGCCACTGAGAATAGTTTCCTTGTGATATAATTGCCTGTTTTATGTTACTTTTCAGGCCTTTTTTCCAGCAGAGATTTTGCCTTTTTGTTATTGTAGTAAATACCGAGGACTTAGTTCCACACTGAGGCCGCATTAAAAAAAACAGAACCCTGAAAGAGAATCTTCTTTATCATTAATCATGCAATCATTCACTTCATTTTTCTCCTGTCGCATGAGAGAGCGCCTTCTGTGAACAACGTCTAGCAGCCAGAATAACTTCTGTTTTCCCATCAGTCTTTGCTCCCGGTCGGCTGTGTGCGCTCGGTGCCGTTCAGTGCCCAGTACGAGGAGGCCTACAAATGCAACTTCCTGGGTCTAAGCCCAGATGTGCCGATTCCAACGCACGTCAGCTCCTCAGGTACGAGTCTGTCTGGATTACAGCAGTGAGCCTGCGAGGGAACAGTGATGAGAAGTTGTGCGCCGCAGCATGCCGGTCAGCTTGTCTTTGTTCTCTTTCTTTGTGCGGTAGAGTTTTCAGTGCTGGTGGATGTCGGTCCAGACAGAAGCTGTCCCATGTCAGCCGCCGGGGAGGAAGATATCTCTTCAATTTATCAGTTCGCCATCAGCAGTGCCAACACACAGCCCACAGACAGGGGTGAGTGTGAGAAGTGGTAGTTATAGATGGTCACGGTACATTCGCTTCCTCTTTCAATGCCAAAACAGTCCTCAAATGAAAAGCCGTTATGTCTTTGCACGTCTTCAAAAGTTTGACTAAGTGATTCATCTTGATTTACACTTTTGATCAAAACTGAATCTAAATCTGCATCAAAATACACATGTTGTTGAGTTTTGCGGGACAGATTTTGCGTTCACATAAGTGGGAGCAGAAATGAATGTGCAAATAGCAAAAATGTGTCCCGGGATTTGGATCCCAATATCTAATCCAGATGTTTTTCTTGGCCTAAAGCCTAGTTTTTGACTAGCTTTCCTTCAAAAACTGCTGCGTCAACAAGTTAGTGAGCTAACAAACGACCAAGAAGGGGCCAAAGACACAATATCCTTGTTGGATTTGGGAGGAAAACATATCACGGTCAACTTCAAAAAATAAAAAAAAGGTCACGCGTAGAACAAAAGAATAACTACAAACCATCTATCAATCTGTCAAACAATCTTTCCCTGCTTTGCTTTTTTTTTTCAGGTCCCGCATTATTAAACAAGCTTGAAGTAGCTCTGTCCAACGAGAACTTGTCCGTGGACGTCGTGTCTCACTGCCTGTTGTGTCTGAAGGAAGAGTGGATGAAGTGAGTAAAATTCCCACACTCACAATAGACCCAACTAAGCTTAAGTTTGTTATCACAGCCCCCCCCCTTCTCTTATGTTTCTCTCTCAGTAAAGTTAAAGTGCTGTTCAAGTTCTCCAAAGTGGACGGGCGAGGGAGAGAGGACACCCAGAAGGTCCTGGCCCTCCTCGGCGCTACGGGACCGGGCGAGGAGGACAACGTCCGGCTGCTCAAGTTCTGGATGACGGGGCTGAGCAAGACATACAAGAGCCATTTAATGACAGCCGCCCGAGGAGGGGAGCGCAGCCCCAGCCAATGAAGGGAGGGGGCGGCGGAGGCGGGGGAGGATAAAGGGAAATAAAGATGAAGGGATTCTAATAGAAGGGAAAGCGAAAGCTTATTCGGGGCTTTCGGTGGAAACAAAACGTAATGGGGATGGATGACGGAGGGGCTTCGGCTCGTCCCGTGTTATTTTTAAAGTAATTTAAGGCTCCTAACCTTGATTATTCTGCACAGATTAACACATTTGGTCAGTTTAGATAACGTGTGGGGGCTTTTATTTGTCAAAGGGAATTATTGTAGAAGACCTCATCCTACTAATGTTTAACTTGTTACAAACAGACTTTGCACTTTGTTTACTCTTTTTTTTTCAGACGTTTTTAAAATGAAAATAAATTAATATGAATAACGTCGCTGGTTCTTTTTTATTCCCCAATTGGCTCCATCTTGTGGCGAGCTGAAGGAAAAAAGAGGGAGTGAGTTGAACGAGGCCCCAGCTCACTTGTTGAAGTGGTGCGAGACACTTTTAAGGTTTTCTGGTGTCCTGAAATGTACAAAGCGGTTGCGTAACGCAGCTTCGCTCCAGTACGGCCGACCGCATCAGCTTTAGCTTCTTAATGAGCTACTAACTCTCTGATTTACTAAAGGAGTTTTTTATTTTCATTCCAAAGTTATTTGAGCCTCTTGCTTTGCGGAAAGCTCGTAGACTGCAGTCATTAAAACTCGGCAACATGCGGCTTTGTTTAATAAAGCGTGTGTGGGGGGCGTTTTTTTCCCTTTCTTTACTCATACCTATTTAGCTGTTGTGACAAATATATATATCCAATCACATATTGTTGTCTAAATGAAATGTGTAGTATTCTGATGGACTGGAAGCGACGTGTCTCCACAGCACTCCGGCTTGTGCGCTTTTATCTCCAAATGGTTCCATTGGGTTTTTGGGGGGTTTGCTCAATTTCTCAACCTCAATTTATTTGGCAGGTTTCACTACAAGAAGCACCGACCGTTTCATAGTTACTTTCCTTGATATGTAAGCGATGTGTGAAACAGGAAGGCGGCTCAATGGCGGGATATTTATACCCGTCATTAAAACACAGACGGCATATGCGAGGCAGTCGTGAGGTGATGATGATTCCTCCGGGAGCGTTAAGGCCGCAGCTCTCTTGTTTCCTCCCAACCCTCAACACACACTCAACTTTGGGACGCTGTCCTGTTTCATTTGGCTTGTGATCGACAACAAAAAAGAAAACCCAAGAACAAATTTCTCTTAGGCTTGAAGAAAAGAGTGTTCACCTCCTTCCTGTCGTTCGTAACAACTAACCTCTTGTGACATCTTCGTCATCGACAGGAAATGCAAGAATAAAGAAATCCATCCTCTCTGTAACAACACTTTACAGAGAGGATGTCTCTGTGGACACGTCTTGGATCAGAAAGGACTGCAGAAAGCTGTCAAATCGGGGAATGACTTGCAAGTTCTAGTGATGTCGTGTTGCAATCTCTCTTTCTTGAGGCCTGTGAGAAAGGGAAGAAAAAAAGACGATGGTTGAATAGATGAGATGGCGCACTGGCTCTGGAGAGAGATAGACGGGATCGACAGGCACAGAGGTGTGGGAGAGAGGTCCAAATGAAAAACATACGCTCCAACTGCATGACTAAGCTTCCTCGGGACTGGTTAGCTGGGAGGGGGGTGAGTTAATTGCTAGTGTCATGTATCTGGGAGCATATAGGGTGGTGCTAGTAGAGTGCCCGGTCAGTCAATAGTGAAGTAAAACGTGTGGCGGTGGGAGGGGCGAGACTTAAAGGGAGCACACTGGCAATCCGGCAGAGCACTTTCACTTTGAGCGCAGTGAGGACACACAGGGTGGCCGCAGGGACAGACGCAGAGGAGGAGGAGGAGGAGGAGGCCACGGACTCTCCCGCTTTAACCATTAACCAGCTTCCGAGCGAAAGGGGGAAGGACTCGCGTTGGGCTGCTCGGGAAGATTCTAGGTCAGCGGTGAGAGAAAGAAAGGGAAATCTAGTATAAAATAAACAAAAGCTTTCATAGGAAAGAGCTGCAGCCACTCAGGCTTAAGTGGGAAAAACCCAAAGTTCGAGAGAGGGAGATGGCGTGATAAGTAAATGAGACATTTGTTGGAAAGCGCCTAAAGGGAGTCAAAAGTAAGGAATGTTTCAGCGATGTCAGCGAGAAGACTGAATATCAAACGGTGAAGGAGGAAAAAACAACAAAAAACAGACGTCAAAGACCCCTGGGAGCCACAGAAGAGGAACCTTTCCCTTTTCCAGAGTGACACAGAAACCCGTCTGCAGAGGGATTGCCGTCAACAAGAGAAATGGAGAAGGGTCCATTCTTAGAAAGATAAAAGGATGTCACTGCCAGGTGAGGAACAATAATTCACTGCATGTTGCTGCTCTTTGCAAACCTTCTTTTGTAAGGTCCTTAGGGAAATAGTGCAACACCTGAACTGGCTATTAAGCGTATTTAATCAGTGAGTCCAAGCTAATTTCTTGCGTTACTTCTTATTGTCACAATGGCGTTTTCAATGCCTAAGGACAACAAGTAATGTTTCTTCGTTGTTTTCTGCATAACCAGTTGATTGAGGCAGGATATGATGTCATGTTTCTGAGTAAGTATGGAGAAACCCCCAGAAAGTTTCCATCAGTTATCTGAACGTGTCTCTTTTCTTCTTACTCATGCCTGTTACAGTTTTGCTGTTGCTATCACTCTTGGCTGTCCGATGTGGTGGATGCGAGTATGACTTTCAAGGTGTGAAAAACATTAAAGCAACTATCGACTCGAATCCGACTGGATTTGTAAGTATAAAACTTTTGCATTTGTTAATGATTTCATGTATTTCCTTTTGCGTTTCCTGCTTGTGTGAATAAGTTATTTGTAATGTATTTATTTAACTTAGATAAGCTCAAGATACACTTCTCCTATCACTTGTATGGTCTGTTTTTAGTTACTTGCTATAAATAATTGGCCAACGGTGAAGATCTCCCTTAAATGAATGAGAATGATCAACTCGGCCCCCCCGAGCTATTTGATTGCAACGTGTACAAGTCACATGCGTAGCTCAAGAAAGTTAAGGGAATCAAATAGTGTCTAGATTCAACTCAGTGTTACGCAACTAACAAATTGTAGCACTTAAATTGCACTTATACTTATCTATAGCAAATTTACTCATTTGATGAAACTGCACTTTCTTGTTTCTTGTTCTTCTGAGTTTGTGTCCTAATGGTCGAATGTACTTATTGTAAGTGGCTTTGGATAAAAGCGTCGTGTAATATTAGATTGATTGTGGAGTGTTTTCTACAGCCATACATTGTTCATGTCTCAGTTGTCACTGCAGCTCATTAGTCAAGGATCATTTTTAACCTTAAGCTATGAACGGAAACTTGTTTCATCTTGTGTTTCTGTTTTCTCTCACAGCGGACGGTATTTCCCCGGGATTACTATGTGGTGCACCGCTACACAAAAAACATGCTCTGTAACTCTGATCCGGTGAGTTGCTTGTCATATAAAAAGGGGGAAGTGCGGTTTGATGTTCAACACGATGTCACATGTGTTTTTGCACACTAACTCTGGGGCCGTTGTGGTTGCTCTACCTTCTTCCCCGCAGTGTTGTGTGTTCCCCGCCGCAGTGGTCCTCCTCGAGTCCTGGCATGTGCTTCTCGGAAACCTCTGGGATGAGCACCTGAATCGCTCCTTAATCCTCGACCTGAAGATAACGCTGAATAGAATTATACAAAAGAACATCAACACAGTGGTAGGATCTTTAATCTTTGCCGCAGTGTCTTATTTCCGTGGCTTTACTCTGTAAAAGAAAGTGGAAGTTTAAAACCACTCAAATGTCCCAAAAGAAGGCCAGAAATATCTCCAGTCATCTAAAATATGTGTTTTCTTACTGCATTCATGTTTACTCAACTTTTATTTCAAAAATGAATTCTTGTGGCACAAACAAACCAATTAACTCGTCTTCATTTGTCATGTCTCAGAGGTTCCAGGAGGAGACGGACCTGTCCCAGTTCTCCACGCTGTCGTCGTCCCCCGAAGAACTGCTCAAGCTAACGTCAGAACTCCTCGCCCGATGGCTTGATGTTGGGTGCTTGCCTATGATCAGAACCTGCATCCTGCCCACATTCCCCCCCCTCGGTGGTGAGGAAGGATTACGGCCCTTTCGAGGGCCCGGCTCTTTGACCACGCGAGCCCGTCAGCAGTGTGGAGGAGGAGGAGGAGGAGGAGGAGGAGGAGGAGGAGCAGGAGGAGCAGGAGCCTGACGAGATGATGGACATTAAACTGCCGCTGTCTAGCGGTGGTCCTCCGTCCCTTTCATATTCCGTCCCCCTCTGGGGCCCCGTGCTATTCAGACTTTACCGGTGGTTGTTGCCATAGTTACCGAAAGAGGATCTTTTTTTCTTTTTCTCGTTGTGATGCACACAAAATGCAAGAGGTTTCGTGGCACTGAATGTGTGTTTTCTCATGCTTGTGGCGTTTTTAATACAGCAAGCTTTGTTGACATGAAGTGGCATGCACAGGTTATATTTAATGTCCAAAGTTAGTTCACATAGTTGTGCAACAGTACTCTGTAACAGCTGATATCACAGATAAACGTATAGCCGTCTTCTCTAGAGCAAGTCACGAGCTCTAACTAGCTACGCTCTCCATGCTAACCAGAGATAAATGCTGAGCCCATGCACATAAACCATTGTTAATTGATGTGGGATTCATCACTGTTTACAGTTAATGTTATGTAAATGTAAGATTTGGGCATCTGCTTTTGTACATAATTGTAAATTTAAGATATTTAGATATATATATATATATATATATATATATATATATATATATATATATGCATTGTTAGTTTTGGATATAACATCCCAAGGATTCTGAGCTGTATTTATTGTGGTATTTGCAGTTTGACATTAGTAATGGAAGGTAACAAAGTACATTTAATCAAATGATGCTCAATTTGGTAGTTCCACATTGTATAACCTTACACTTTATTCTTTGCTACATTTCCGAGGGACATTTTGTCTGAGTAGTATGAATTTTACACACGCTAAATTCCTCTGAGAGTTGGAGTTTACAGACGTGGTGCGTCGTTGAAAATGAAACCACCTAAAAGTTTATGAAGCAGTTAAAAAAGGCTCCCCAACCACTGTAAAATGCAGCATGTAATAAGTATAGTGTAACAATCCCAGGCAGCACTTTTCTGCATTTTGTTATTTTTATTTTTGATGCTTTAATGTATTTTACAAAAACTACTCAAATAGTTTCATTTGATTTTCATTTTCAAATACACATTTTTTAAAACAGGATATGTAACAGCATATATTTACATTGCGGTATTCCTATTTTTGCTCAAGTAAAAGATCTGTATGACAGTATAAATGGCACTTTGATTTATTTTTTTGGACTTTGCATTCCATTAACATGACAGAGTTTGTGTTATGAGTCTGCGTTCATGGGAGCTCAACCGCCTCTATACTCTCTAAAAAACTCCCTCCCCGTGTTCAAATACTTTACTTCTATTTATTAACTTTTGGTGCTCGCACTTGTCCCTGCATGTGCACACCCACGCATGTAATGTGCAGCACTGTCCGCACAGGAAGATCATTGTTTTATAGTCCTCAGAATACAGAGGTATGTAGTACTGGGGAATACTGGGGAAACACACCTTTTGGCTTACACATCAACTTTGATTTGCCATTGAATTTGAAAGAAGGGGACAACCAAAGCATGAATGCAGATTATGAAGACTGAACATAGTGCTCAAAGACAACATTTTTACACAATAAAGAAAACGAAAATAAAGCCAAAGGCTCAAGTACTTTTCTTCTGGACTGTGCACACAGTACATCTCTAAGTAGGCCTATCGGTTACTGGCAAGTAGACTACTCACGAAGAACTACTTAAAGTACCTAATATAACTTCATTAGTTGACCCAATGTTTCCTACACTGCAGATCTAGTCTGCCGGGGCTACTGACCCCGGTGTCAGCTCCGTGCAGCTGCAGGTCGCTCACATGTGGCATTTAGCAGTAAGCTGACTCACTCGGTCATGTGGGAGATCTCGTCCTCGGCCCGGTACATGCACATGACCCACACTTCATGGTACTACTGCGTGTTTAAACAACAGAGACGGGCTGAAAAAACAGGGCGTTCATTTAACTCCCAGATTTAACGTGCATGTTCGAGCAACGCAGTCTGGTCAATTTCGGAGAAAAGTCCGATTGTTTCCTGTCAGCATGAGGCCAAGTAGGCAAAGGGGCCAGCCGGATTCCCGTAAACTGGGCGGGGGGGGGAGACAAGGAGAGTGAGGGTGCGGGGAAGGGTTACGGCAGCTGGGGAGCGCTGACAGTGCGTGCCGTTTAAACCACGTGACCGGAAGTAGGCGCGCGCGCGCTCTCTCTCTCTGCCTCTCTGACCCAAGATGTCTGCGCCCGACGACGACACGTTTGCCGAGGAAGGAGGCGAGATGGAGGAGCTGGCCGAGGCCGGCAGCGACGAGGACGAAGGAGTCGACATGGAGGAGGAGGAAGGGGCGGCCGGGGAGGGAGGGAGGAAAGTCTACGTGCCCGGGATCGAGCCGCTTCGGCCGGGAGAGCAGTTGGAGATGGACCGCTCCGCCTACCGCATGTACCACGAGTGTCAAACAGGCAAGACGAATTGTATTAGCAGCCCAAACGAGTCCCCGCAGACTTCGTCCCCGGAGCACTTGAATGGACGAACAACTTTCTCTGTGTTCAGGTGCTCCGTGTCTGAGCTTCGACGTGCTGAGAGACGGAGGTGGAGAAAGCAGGGAGCAGTTCCCTCTGTCCATGCTGCTGTGTGCGGGCACGCAGGCGGACACGGCGATGAGCAACAGGTCCAAACACCCGAACTTTAGTGAATACGGCCTTTCTACAACGCTGTCGGTGTCGTTTCCCTACATCAAGTAGTCAAACTTAAAGCGTGGTGCCTTTTGAGTTTATGGCGACAGCGTTGCTTCGCCCAGACGGTGGCATCAATAGTGGTATCTAGGCAACGGAGTCCAGAAGATATCATTTATATTGTTAATGACATCGGGAAAAGAACTGTCCACACCCACTAAAATTAGCTTTTTAATAGGATCGTTATAAATATCACACGTTATATCATTTGAAGATTTGTTTCTGGGATTTTGTGTTTTACAGCCATAATCAGTGGCTTTATTTCAACATAACACAATATTTGGAAGAAGCAGAAAGAAATGATTGGCAATGAGCAATGGTACACGTATCAGATTATTTGATTGTCACATTCAAAGATTAAAAAAAAACACTTCCTCTTACAGGGACCAAGACATGGTAAAATCAATAACTAGAGTCCAAAGGTTTGTGTAGAAGGGACCTGAAAGGGAGAAACTGTATGAATTCAGAGCCCAGATCTTGTATGTGGAAAAACTAAACATTCCAAACAAAAGTATAATTCTGTCTCAACCTTTATATTAACGTCATCTTCATGTCGTATGTGAGCGATGATGGGGATTAAATAATATACAACTTTTATAAACCAATAGCAAATTTCTGTGCATTAGTCGCAGTACAAAGTGGAAACAGGACGAATGTAGATTATCTTAAGTTAACAATAAAGTATGAATCTCAAAATAGGTTTACAAGCGTGGATCTTAAAAATATCTGTAATATTATATGTCAGCCCAAGTTGGTTACAGCATGTGTTGACAATGTGACACCAGACCCGTAAAATGAGTGTTTCTGACTGGGGTCTGGATGTTTGTATTTAGTCACTCTTCCAATGTGACCAAACTGCATACCAACCTTTGGAGTTAAACCTGTAAACACTACTGGTTTTTTTAGATGGCTTTTGATAATTGGAGGCACAGCGTTTGAATATTCTGGTCGATTTTCATTATTCATTGTGTGTGTGCCAGGGCGTAAAGCTTCGTACAATAGCTACTTGTGTTGTACACTTTCAGTTTTGCTTTGACATCATCCACCCAGCTTCAGTTAAGATCATTTTGTGTCATTCTGAAACTCAGAAGCATGGAAAGCTTATTTATCCCCATAGTAGTCTAATGTCTTCTTTAATGCATCCCCTCACGTTCCTGCAGACTTCTTGTCATACGTATGCATAACCTTCATGGAACGGAGAAAGACAAAGAGGGTGAAGAAAGCAGTGATGAGGAAAGCGATGAAGACGAGGAGGAGGATGGAGATAAGAAGCCGCAGATGGAGCTGGCCATGATGCCTCACTATGGAGGGATCAACAGAGTCCGAGTATGTTCTGACATTTTCTGTGGCGAACTAGTACATGAATTCCTGCTACACCGGGAACTCGTTCAACTTGCCCAAGGACTGATTTTGCTTCTGAATTCACAGGCGACCCAACGTGGAGAGCAGTCATTGGCTGCCGTCTGGTCAGACAAGGGGCAAGTAGAAATATTTGACCTCCAACCCCAGCTGGTAGCCGTGCACAGCTCTGCTGCTATGGCCTCTTTCATCAAACAGCAGAAGGAAGCCACCGCTCTCTTCAGCTTCTCCGGTCACATGGCTGAAGGCTTCGCTGTGGATTGGTCACCTACAGTACCCGGTAAGCGTCTCCTTGACCCCTAAGGAAATTTGGAGCCAAGTTAAATACACTTACTACTTTTTTTGGGGGGGGATGAGAAAAGGTAGCGTGTGTGTGTCGACTAAAAGCTGAAGGGTTCCATTTTGTTTTTATTATCAGGTCGTCTTGTCAGCGGAGACTGCAAAAAGAACATCCATGTGTGGGAGCCGCGAGAGGGAGGGACTTGGCAGATTGACCAACGACCTTTCAGCTCCCACAGCAAGTCTGTCGAGGATCTGCAGTGGTCGCCTACTGAAGCTACAGTATGTTTGTAGGAAAAATAGTGACGTAGTGCATTTATTTTATTTTTTACAATAGTCTCTCCTAATTACGTGCGCTCGTCCTATTTCCCAAGCGTCACCAAGCGTTTTTTTCTTTTCATCTAATACAATTGCCGACTTTGATCCATCATTTGGGTTTCTGCCTGAACCAAAATGACATGCATGCAGAGTAAGAGACATAAATATCAGGACCGTATCTGCACTTATACAATGACTTAAATGTGCAATTTAACTAGTCTCCGAACTAGCTTGTGCTATGCAGATGTGACTCCTGCAGCCTCACAGGGGAAGTTTCCTTTATGCTCCTGTGTGTGTGCAACCTTTCTCAATACATACAAAATCTGTACGGCCTTGTTTTCCACAGGTTTTTGCATCTTGTTCGGTGGATCAGTCTATTCGTGTCTGGGACATCCGTGCCCCTCCCAACTCAATGCTGTCAGCCGACGGCGCTCACTCGTCCGACATCAACGTGATCAGCTGGAACAGGAGCGAACCATTCATCCTGTCGGGAGGGGACGATGGACTTCTGAAAGTATGGGACCTTCGTCAGTTTAAGGTAAAAAAAAGAAAAATTTATTATACCCAACATTACAATTTGCAGTTTGAGTATTAGTAACTTTATGGGCAACCGTTTCAGTGTGCCATTGAACAGCTATGAGGTTTAAAGAGTGTCGTCACAACAAAGTAACCCCAGAGAGTAACACCATCCGATTAAAAAAAAAAAAAAAAAAAACACCTTCACGGTTTGGCCACACCCAACTAATAGTGTTTCATCTTGTGCCCGTTAAACAATAGTGTCATTACCGGAGTCACCATCCCCCTAATACTGCAGTCAATGTTTAATTTAGGTCTGAGACGCGTTCCTACGCCCTGTCAATGTGTTGACACAAAAGGCCGTGAATACAAACACGCATAAATCAGCCTTTCCCGTTCGGATTGATGCTTCTGCAGCCCGAGTGTTTGTCGCGTAGCGGGCGATCAGCTGTCACACCTCTTGTTTCCGCCCTCCGCCCGCAGACTGGACGGCCCGTGGCCAATTTCAAGCAGCACAGCGCGCCCATCACGTCGGTGGAGTGGAGCCCCGTGGATTCGAGCGTGTTCGCCGCCTCGGGGGCGGACGACGTGGTGAGCCAGTGGGATCTGTCCGTGGAGTCGTGTGACGTGGGTGCCAGGGTGGAGGGGGTGAAGGACTTGCCCCCTCAGCTCCTCTTCCTACACCAGGGCCAGTCAGAGATCAAGGAGATCCACTGGCACCCGCAGATGCCCGGTGTGATGGTCTCCACGGCGCTGTCAGGATTTAACGTGTTCAGGACAATATCTGTGTAGCATGTGTGTATGTGAGAGATTTTTGCATCGATATGAGTAGTATATATTTAGTGAGTAATGAGCATTAGTCTCTAATATGTAATAATGTACATAGCGCTGTGTGGGAAATAATCCTCCTTTTGGACGTTTCTTGGCCAACGCAGCCACCGTATGGTGTTATAAACTTTGCTTTAAGTGCATTTGTATGTTTATCATGCTTAAAATAAAGTGTCAACTTCAGTATGTTGAGGCAAAGAATTTACCTTTTTTATTTCAGGTATTTCAGGACACATTTCTAAAGAAAATACAGTCGTGGCCAAGGCTGATGAAATAGTTTAAAATCCCAATATTTGTTTTATTTCACAACAGTGATGTTTGAACCAGCATTTTCAACAGGTTTCTCCCTCATACAGTATTATGAAATAAAAAATAAAAACATTTCAAAGTAAAAGCATTATAAAAGCAAACAACATGAACAAAATACATCGCTGGTCACGATATACAATTGACCTTTTAAAATCCTGTGATTGTCTCAGCGCTGTAGTATTAGTCCAGCCTCACAGATAAGATTTTTGGAAACCTGATGTTTTAAACCGATGTGGACCAGGAACATGCAAACGTCTGACTAATCCTTATTTCTCTGGAAACCATGACGTTTGTTGAATACAATAAACAAGAGAAGACCCGTTGTAATAAAACATGCAGTATGAGAAATAACTATAAAAACATTAACATGGTACAATAGTGTAAGAAAACCGCTCTCTTTAAGGCACTATGACAAAAAGTACAATGTTGTGTAGAAATAGATGACACAAGCATCATTACCTTAGTCTGTTTTAAGAAACCGAGTCAATAAAAATAAATCAAAGTGCTACAAACCTTTCACCGATGCACTGATCTTTCTGAGCAAGAGGACAGTCTATTGCAAATCTGTTACACTTAAAGACAAACCATAAAATGCTTTTTCCAGTTGGGCAACATCGTCAAACTAAATTCTTCTTTTCAAAATCCAGTTGAAGTCCGTTTACGCCTCCCATTCAAATGGCACTTGAGTTACGAGTTTAAGAAAATACAGTCTACTTGATTTAGTCGACAGCAAATATCTATTTTAAAGGCAAAGCGGCACCTATGCCCTATAGACCGATTTCGTCATCAAACTCATCTTCAAACGTGTAGCCCCGTCCCTCCTCCTCCTCTGAATCAGTCTCTGAGTGGCAGCTGTCGACCCTCCTCCGGTCCAGCGCGGTGACTCCTTCGTACTCTGAGCTGTGCGACGACGCCGGACTGGGAGGCAGATCCACTTTGTGGTTGTTGAACTCCGTTTCGACCACCGCGCCGTCAGCCCTCGTCGGACTGCGGCACGCCGACTGATCCTCGTCCTGGAAGTCGACCCCCTGACCCTCCTCCTCTTCAGACGCCCGCCGTATTATCTCCTCGCGTTTGTCACTGAATCGTACTTTTGGCCGCGAGCCCTTTTGCTTGATCCCGTTCGCATCCGGCGTCCTGCCGTCTCCCACCTGGTCTCCATCCAACCCAGCCGAGTTCCTCCCGTTCAGCTCGTTCTGCGTGTTCAAGCGCATGTCCACGCGCCCTTTTCCCTGGTTGGTTTCCACCAAGGACGTGCCACTTTTGGGATGGAGCACGCCCTCCTCGTCGCAGTCCAACCCCAGACCGTCCATCACCCCAAGCACGTCTCCCAGCATGGACGGGCCGAGATCCAGGTCCAGGTCAAACGAAGACACCGACTCAGAGTGCTGGAGCTCATGGTTCTGAGGGCTTCCCGGACCATCCGTGTACAGCTCGCCGCGGTCGACGGCCACCTGAAGGTCGGCGGTCGGGCTCGTGCCCGGACTCTCGGGCTCGGGGCTGGCGGAGCCCGGGCCGAGGGTGGACAGGAAGGAGGTGTCCCCGAAGGCGTCGCCCCCTCTCCCGATGTGCATGGTGTGGCGAAAGTCTCCCAGCGGGGCTGAGATCATGGTGGGGTCCAGGCGAGGCGCCCGGGTGCTTTTGTGCAGCGGCATGACTGTGTGCAGATGGGAGGAACACGGGGAGAAAGAGGGATGAAACAGGGAGACGATTCATAAATACGCCGGAGCCGCAGCATGGCGGGACGATGAGACGGGGCAGTGTCAACACCTCGCCATGTTGTGCAATATCGCCGGGCAGCGATGAGCACTTTGGCACCGGCGTGGCTGTGAAGGCCGTGCTGAGACTTGTACTTGAAACACACTCGTGCAACGTTAGCACATACTTTTCTCTGGCCTCGGGGTGTGTGCGGATAAAAACAAGTAGCTTTCTACACAAAAAGTGTAACTGGGTCTACAGCATCAAAGGCATCGATCTCTGCTACTTTCAGTGGTTGTCTAAATTGAGGGAGAAAAAAAAGCTCAGAAATTTGAATTATTTAGCCAATAATTACTCCACACGTTTGATAATGAATGACGATTTCTTGATCGACGTCATATGTGGTAAACCAGAATTTACATTGTGTGTGTGTGTGTGTGTGTGTGTGTGTCAGATTTGGGAGGGGAAGGGGCTTACTTACAGGCCCACACCAGCCCTCAAGACTTTCCAATGACGTTTTAATTGGGGGACTTATAATATGATTTTACTGAAATACATCAGTACGATGAGCACGCGCGGGTCACACTCAGTGACAAAGCCGCGGGAACGTTTCGCATCCATGTTAAACTTCACGATCCGCGGAAAAAACAGCGACGCGGACACTTTGAAAGTGGAGAAAAACTTACCTCTAAAGGTGATATTCTGCTCTTTGCTCGGCTCGCTGCTCGCTTCCCCACTTTTTCATCTGGCTTTCTGACTTTCGTCTTTCTCTCTTGTTCTCGCCGTCGTTGGTCCGTGTGAGCTTTTCTGTGTGTGTGTGTGTGCGTGTGTGTGTGTGTGTGTGTTTCCAAAGGGATGGGCAGCGCCGCGAGGAAGTGACGCGTCGTTACTGGGAGCTCTGGATCAAAGTATCGGTGGACTCCGCCGGACTCTCCGTTAAAGAGGAACCGGACCATAAATAGTTTTAATTATTTGGGTTTCATTTGTTTAAATGGGATACGGCTGTTGTCATGTTCTATGTTTGTTTATTATGAGCAACATGAAAAGTCCAACATGTGTTGGTGGCAACTCACATTAGTTCCTGCAGAAGATGTTAATCCTCCCACAATGATGGTATATTTAAATAAATAAAAATAATTTTATTAAACAGCTGAGGACTGGACTTTTAAACAAAGTACTGCATAAATGTTTGTGAGTTTAAACTAAACTATTGCACTAAGCACGTGGGCCATTTTAACAAAGCATAAATCCCCAAAGACGATAAAGACAATGTACAAACAATTACATAAACCGACATCGAAAAGATTTTTCAAGCCAAAGTGAGTTCAGTTCAGCACATTTCATTTCATACCGACATTCTCCCAAAGGGTTTGACATATGGTGGAATGCTGTCAGTGAGGTTAAACCAACGCACCACTTAGGCAATAGCGTATTTGTTCTTGTTGCACAATCAATTCACACATTTATAACCCGTTCATTCCCTCATGTAACCAACAAGTCCACTTTAAAACAGCAGGAGAGAGTGTGTGTGTGGGGGGGGTTGCTATTCTATTTATCCAGCTTCCTCTCCTGGGTTAAAGAAACAAGCATTACCAAGGACCAGGTATTCAAACAATGGGCTGGGTAGAGGGTCATTGTTTGTGAGATTTTGTCACAAATGCTTGACATATTTATGTGATGGTGTAGCAGACAAGCCAACAATAGGGACACGTCATTCACTCAGCAGCCACATGATGTAATTTACTGTCATAAATGGTCTGGGAATTACGTTACTTTTTTATTTATTTGTAAGGGGCGCATCCTCATAGCGGGTTGGACAATGTCCACAAATTTAGACATTTATTAATTGTATTGTGGGGACTCCAAGAGGAAAGCATTGAATTCTCTTCAACATCATAATATTCATTATCAGCATTTAAGGGGCAATTTAATTTCAATTCTAAAAAAGTAAGAAATGGCAAAAGAGGATCTTTAAAAGGATTAAAAATATATTTGTGATTAATTCTGTTAGTTACTGCTTAAACTATTATATATACTATTGAATCATACAACAGATTAAAAAAAAAAAATCCACTCAACAGATAGGCCTGTATGGAGGAGGTGTGGGACAGATTGTCTGACAGGATGTGACTCCCCTCTCTGTAATACTATCACTATCTCACACACACACACACACACACATATACTGCAACATGTGGCTTCACAGCAGGGTAAGAGGACAAACTGATATATAAAATTGGCAACACCTGATATGTAGAGTGGTAATTGGGAATATGCTGATCATTAATGTATCCTAATACACAATATAATACACATACTATCTATAATCACCCCAAAAATGTTTTATTTTATTCTTTTCACTGCTAAGTTCAGCAAGGAACTATTGAGAAAAGTTTTCCTGTATTTCGTCGATCAGGCGCTACAATCATTTATTGAAAGGCCCCTCGAGCTGAAACGTTAAACCGGAATTAGATCGGAATTAGTCGGTAGGGGGCGATGAGGAGGCGACGATCACACGGGGACGAGCTTCGCCTGACAGGATGTACCCCGGGCAACAAAACACGTCACGAAATGACGTCACCTGACTTGGCCAGTTTTACTGAGCTGCCATTTTGTCTCTCCGCTGCCTGGTCAGAGAAGTTTGGAGTCAACGAAGAACGACGGAATGCGAATGTTCACCGCACTCGTTAATTTATACATTTATATTAATAACGGTCGATTAAAGGTTGGCTTGTTTGGCAAGCTCGGTATTTGCGGCAGCCGGGGCCGATTGCTCCCCTGATCCGTTGATCGTCGTGTCAGATTTAATCTTGTTTACGTGTTTTTGCTTTAGCAGGAGAGCTAACGACGTTAGCCAGCTAGTTTAGCTAGCGATCCACTGCCCAAGCGTTAGCTCTCAACGCCAGCCGCCGTCTGTGACGAAATGGCGGCCAACACGACCCAAGCGAACCCAACAACAAACTGGTAGGTCACATTTTGAGCTACAAAGAACACACAATACTCGGGGCGGATTAAATAGTTGCACAACAACGTTATTAAAACCTGTATGTACGGTATGACGGTTATAGCTCGGTTGGCAGTGATATCTCACTATTCGCCTAGCTGAGCTGTGTTGACAAGCGTTAGCATAACGTATCGTTACGCCCTAAGTGAATTAACCTAGTAACAAATGACTAACCTGTTAGCTGTTTAACGTTACCATTTTCCATTCATGTCGTTGGTTGTAACTGACCGTATGTTTTGGGACGAAATATTCTGGGGGAAAAAAGTTAACATAAACGTTAGTAAGATTGACGCTACTTTCCAAATTTAGACTTTATGTAGCGATGATTAACAACTTAACGTTAGTTAGTGTACGGTTAACCGTAACAAGTTAGTTGGCTTAAGTTAAATAAGACAAGCCAACTGCTGGGTAAACCCCATTGAGCCTATTGCAAACGTTTAGACAGGTTGCGTTACATTTTTTTGGTTTTACGTACAGACAGAAAGCAAAATATATTTTTAATAAGTCATTCATGTTTTGTTTTTTTACAATTTTAATCTCGCCATTGGTCGATATCTTTTTTAAATTGTGTTAACGATACTTAAGCTGGTGGATTTGAAGCTTGTGCAGAAGTAAAGTGTTGAAAGGTCTAACGTCGTTGTGCTCTGGTTGGTCGCAGGTCCTACGGTGCAGCGTCAGAGGGCCACATTCACGAGAACCCAGAATGGGAGAAGGCAAGACAAGCACTCGCGTCTATTAACAAGAGCCAGAGCTCTGCTAAGGCGGCACAAGCCAACCGGACAGCCGCGGCAGAGGTGTGTCTCCATGTTTATCAAACCTGCCGCTTTCAATTCATCTCCGTGGATCTTCTAACAACTTCTAACAATTGTATCTATCGCAATTAAAAGATCTCCTGACTACATTAAAATACAACGTTAGCAGAAGATGTCTACATACTGGTCATATGGCTTCTTCCTTATTTCTTTGTAAAAATACAGTACTCCTTTGGTAACAATGGTGTAGGAATTGTAAGTAATTAGTGCCTGAAATGGCAAACGGATGTTTGGATATGTAAGTTGTGGAAAACAGGATCCGTTTAACTCGTGGTTTGTAAGTACTTTCCTCAAACATTCTGTTTGTCTTTTCTTCTAGCGTTGACCTGTCTGGTTCCTCTATCTATCTATCCTCTATTGGGTAATGTAAATAACACATCTATTTGTTCACCTGTCTCATTTCAGGCCGGCCAGTTTCAGCCAGTGGTGACTGACTCTGCTGCAATTCAGCAACAGCAGCAGCAACCGTACTATCCGTGGTATCAACAAACTCAGCAATACCCTGGATACACGTACCCCTATAATTACTACTACCCCATGAATCCAGTAAGTACAAAAGTCCATTTCTTCTTCTCTGAATGTAAATAACGTCAAAACAAACAATGCACTTGCGTTCTATACTGTGCGCTGCAATGCTTGCTTATCTGTTCCTCCCAAATCAACATCTGATGCTGTGAGATGATTTTACAATAACATGAGTTTCTCTCTATGTCCAGTATGGAGCAGCATATCCATCAAATCAGTATGGTGCACCCCAAGGGCCTTACCCGGGAACTCCCCCCTCTAACGGACAGGTACGTAATAATCATTTTCTAGCCTATAGTGACATCACATGTATAGTAGCAGTTCACAACATTTATGGTTCGGGATGTACCTCTGCTTTGGGCTCAAGACTCACATGTACAGCAATGAAGCAACGCATAAAAGAAGACTATTCTTTTTCAAAATTCAACAGTGGCAAATTGGTACAATGTGGGTACGCTGAAAAGGGTGCACACACACAGGATGTGCTGTTCTCTAATGACAACAACAGACATAAAGGCTGAACTTCGACTCTACTTTATCTTTATTTAGTGTGCATTTATGTAGCTTAAATGTTCCTCCTTTTTTAAAAAGTTCCTAAAATTGTTATTTCCCATCTTCCTTTTTATAGCCTCCTCCAGTGCCGGGAATGGAAGACCAGTCCACTGGCTACCAGTCTCAATCACAACCTCCCCCCCCTGCCACTCCCCAGGCCCCCCAGAGCCCGACCACCTCAGAGAACCCCCCTCCGCCCCCACAGATCCCTCCCCCACCCAACTCCCAGTACCCCCCATCTCCATCACAAAATGCCTACAGCGCAAATAACTCCATGCAATACCCTCCCAGTGACTCCAACCAAATGCCAGTCTACAATCATTCCCAGGGAAGGAACAACTATGGACAGGGCTTCCAGCCACAGAACAACTATCAGACCTCTCAGAACGCCTCGCAGCAGCAGGGCCAGTATGTGCCAGGGCTTGGCAGAGGAGAGGCCAACAAAAACAAAAACCAGAAACAAGGACAGCAACTTTGGCACCGCATGAAACGTAAGATTTGCTCTGTTGTGAAGTAGCTGACATCCATACCAACCAGTGAGCTCTGTGTTTGTTTATTGACCAATCGGGCGCATTCCTTTTGGAAGAAGTGTGCGATTTAGAATATGAACATGGGACCAACGTCATGGTTCTACAGTGTGAAACCGTATATATCCAGATTATTTTATTCAAAGAAGTTCTGTTATCTGTTCTGTGTATCTCTGTACAGACTGACTAGTGGTTATTTTGTTATGGTTGTAGAAGGCTGCAAAGAAGGAAGAAAGTGTTTGTGTAAATTTCTTAATCATATGCCTCTCTGTCACAGAGGCCCCTGGAGCGGCTTCAGTCAAGTTCAATATTCACAAGAGGCCCTATTCGGTTCAGGGGGCTCCAATGTCAAATCAGGCTTTCCCGCCAGGCGAGCAGCCGCAGCAGCAGTCAGGAATGAATCCAGCTCCTTCCTCACCTTCCGATTCTGCCAGTCCTGCACCCGGAGGGGCTCAGACGCGGTGAGAACTAGTTTTCGTATCCTATTTAAAAAAAAAAAGGCAGCCAGTGAATGATAAGTGGACTGAGAATGCTTTCTCAACAGGCCCCAGGACTGGCCGCAAGCCATGAAGGAATATGTGCAGCGCTGTTTTACAGCCTGTGAGACGGAAGAAGACAAAGATCGTACCGAGAAGGTGCTAAAGGAGGTGCTGCAGGACCGGCTGAAGGATGGCTCTGCTTACACTATTGATTGGACTCGTGAACCACTGCCAGAGTGAGTTTAGAAAGTCCATTAGTGTGTTGTTAATACTTGGGGTCATCCAAGTTCTGAGATTTCACGTTGAACGTTGCAGATTTACAATATATTGATGTGGTTTTCTCTGAGTTACATTTTTGTGTTCGTTTTTAGTTACATTGCTGCGATAAAGCTTGATTTACTTAATCTGCTTATTTTGATCTGTAAAGTTGCGGATTGTGACTTGGGGCTTATTTTAAAAAATATATTTTTGCAGACTCAAGATGAAGCCATCGCGTTGGGAAGCCGTTCAGTCCCAGAGGACCTTGGATGGTTCAGTTAGCCACGGTGGAGGTGCGTTAGCTGCATCTTCCAGAGGCAGGGGTACTGCACACAGATTGGGCCACTACCGGAATATATTTTCACAGAGGAGTCCATCTTCGAGTTCCTCCCGCTCCTCCTCTCGCTCTCCGTCCCCGTCCCACGGCCGTCACAGAGACCGCAGCAACCAGAGGCACAAGCGCAGGTAGGAAACCAGTTCCCTGTCATTTCTCTGGTGGCGGTGGGCCTCTATTTTAAATTTTATTTTTTAATGTTTTTTTGTCTGTGCTATCAGTGATTCTGGCTCACAGTCAGACAGCAGCATCTCCAGCGACCTCCGACCTCAGTTGTCACGTCGAAGTCAGAGAGGCGCGCGTGGCCGTGGTAATGACAGGGATAGAGGTCGAGGGGAGCGCGGCCGGGGAAGAGGAGGAAAATCCAACAGAGGAAGGAGGTAAATAAATGCAACCATCTCATCAGGCCCCTGCTGTTCTCATCAACCACTGTTCTTTAAGAATACTTGCTACTTGATTTGCTCTGACATAATGTTGTTTTGTAAACAACCGTTTAACTTGTTCACCCAGAAACATGGACGACTCCAACGCAGCCGTTGGAAAGAAGAGGAAAGGTGGCAATGCTGGTCTGGATTTCCATGACCCCAACAGAGAAGCCAAGAAGCAGAGCCGAGCAGCTCGTTTCCACAAGCAGCTCCGCTCGGAGCCCCTGGTTCTCTCCATCAATTCCCTGGACTTGCCTGACGGAACGCAGGAAGGCCTCAGTTGGGAGGACTGTCCCATCGTGGGAACATGCCAGGACATCACCAAGTCCTATCTGAGGCTCACCTGTGCCCCGGACCCCTCCACCGTGCGCCCGGTGCATGTAAGTTGTGTCCTTTTGTCGGCCTGTTGTGTATGCTCCGGATTATAGTCTTAGAATAATGTCTCTAGGCTTTTTGAGTTCCATCACTGTTGTTTTCGCTGGATTTTTTAGCATACTAAGCAAAATTGCATAATGCAATGTAGAAGGAAGACATGATGTATGATGAAACACTTTCTACGTCTCAGAAGACAGACTTTGATCTTTTTCTAAATGTTTTTTCCCAGGTCCTGAGAAAATCTTTGCAGATTGTGAAAGTCCACTGGAAGACCCACCAGGACTACACCTACGCCTGTGAACAGATGAAGTCCATACGACAGGATCTCACGGTTAGTGATTATGAGCAGTCATAATCGTCCCTTGTTTTTCCATCTTTTTCAATTTGGTTGTTTTGTTAATGTCTTTTCCTGTCCTGCAGGTCCAAGGAGTTCGTACCGAGTTCACAGTGGAAGTGTACGAGTGTCACGCACGCATTGCCCTGGAAAAGGTGAACGAGGGTTTCCGTTTGATGAACGTTGAAGTGGCTGCAATTGACGGCAGTACACGTTGTAATGCTAACTGAATGTTTGTCTTCAGGGGGACCACGAAGAGTTCAACCAGTGCCAGACCCAGCTGAAGGCCCTGTACAAGGACAACCCCTCAGAAAACCTCGGAGAGTTTACAGCATATAGATTAATGTATTACATCTTCACTAAGAACTCTGGAGGTATGATCGCACCGTTTTGCTTTTCAGCCGTGTTTACACGTCGTCGTCCTCTCTTCCCTTAATACTTAATCTTTCTCCGCTGGACTTCCCTTCCAGATCTGACCACCGAGTTGGTCTACTTGACCCCAGCGCTGCGGGCAGATAGTTGTGTGGCTCATGCCCTCGCCCTCCGTGCTGCCTGGGCATTGGGAAACTATCGCCGCTTCTTCAAGCTGTACCAGGAAGCCCCTCGTATGGCTTCGTACCTAATTGACAAGTTTGTAGAGAGGGAAAGAAAGATTGCACTTCGGGCCATAGTTAAAACGTAAGTACAGTTTCCGACGGTTTGCACATTCGGGTCCTCACCTAATGGCCTCATAACTAATGAGGTTTAAATTTCTCTTGTCTTCTGCAGGTTCAGGCCTGACTTGCCAGTGCAGTATGTGCAGTCCAATCTGGGCTTCCCTTGTTTAGACTCCTGTATGGCCTTCCTTACTGGGCTAGGTGTCTCCTTCTACCCTTGTGACCCCCATAAGATAGACTGCAAAGCCAGCTCAGCCGCTTTGGCTGCTTGCTGATGGGGGGGGTTGGAGGGGAGTAGTGCCAATAAGGGAGCCGCTAAGGGGTCGTCACGGATCCTCACACATTCACTGTACTGCACTTCAGACACCATAGCCTGTTCAGAGAGGGTAGTTTGGAAACTAACAACTGTAGAAGACCCTTGTAGAACGACACGTGCCAGCTTCAGATTTCAGATGCAACTTCTGACACTCGGATAAAATTTCACTCAAATATTGTAGGTTAGCCTGATGCCCGAGTTCTCTCACCACATTGGTCAGGACAGTTTAGATGTGGGATTAGCATGTAGTCTCAGCATTTCGAGGCCCAGAAGTCACAGAACCAGATCATTGAGGCCCCTCCCCCGACCTCATGGTCTCTTCCTTAACCGCCATCAGATGTCAAAGCTAACAGTGTTCTGTTATGTTTTTTCCTTCCTCAAGTCAACAGCGCCAAGATCTGAAGATTCAAGCCTCCTCTACTGAACGCGAAATACAAAGCGCTGTTCCTCAAGTCACTTATCCAGCTCTCTCCTGTTTGACAACAAGCCAACTTTACATATGCCCCTTAGAGACTGTGAGCCAACGTGCTGAGAAGATTCCAGCAGTTTGCCTGAAGGAGGAAGAAGGTGAAGAGGAGGTGGTGGTTTGTATATTCTGTCCTACGCCTGGTTCCCTGGAGGTGTCTGCATATAGCTGTGCCTCTTCTGCCTCGTACGGAAAGCAAATGGCCTTTTTTAATGGAGCGATGGACTGAAGTCTCAGGTCTGCTTCCTGATTTCATGAAGCGGTATCCATTCGCCGGTCAAATTCATGAAATAATTGGCCATTTCTGGGGGGGGGGGAGAAGTCTCAACCTGACGAGCATTGACTTTTTGCGCAATAAAGAATATAGGCCAGTGTTCTTCATCAAGGTGACCTCCTCACTCCTCCCGTCGCGTCCGAGCCGAGGCTCCTCCGTCTCCAGAGTCCAAGCGACCAGAGGCACCGAGGGAATCCGCCTCCCATCGTCCCCCCGGTCACGAGTCCCGGCTGCGCCCGGAATCCAGCCGACCCCGCCTGCTCTCCGCGTTGTCCGTCTCCACTTCACCAGCTGTTTAGCCAAAGAAACAATGGCAGCTAATCTGCCATCTCTAAATACAGCGGGAGGTGAAGTCGGGGAGCGTCTGCGCACCGGCGACAAGGAATACCAATGAGTGGTTTGTATGCTGCACCCGGCTGGTAAGCGAAAGGGACTTCTCTGGAAGGAGGTGGATGGCGGCACAGCAGAGATGCTGCCTCACACTACTTCTGTGTTAAATGTGATGCGTCTCGTGCAGTATTTGCCTCGTAAAACGATTTATATCTGCAGGTTGATATTAGACTGGTGAATTGAGTAGAAATCCATTTGACAATATCCCCAAAGTGGCGACACCGGAATTTACTGCACATATACTTGTGCAGTCTGAATATCGTATGTTATAGAATTTGAAATTAGTTAATGACATTAATGACATTAATGTTATAAAGAGGGCCGTTAAAGTCGAATGAAGACAAGTGTTTTAACATCCATTTCACAGTAGTAGTGACAAAAAATGCAATTTTAGACTGTTTACGCATTACGTTAACTTCTCTGACAATTGTTCTACTGTCCACCATGATCTATAATTTGAATCCTTATTTAAGACAATTGTGCAGAAATTGAAAACACAGATTGATATCATTCCTTTTTTATATATATATATACACACAAACGGTGTTACCACTGTAGAAACATTGAGCTGGGGGTATTTAGGAATCCCCTGAACGCGAGTGTGCAGGCTGGACAAGTTAAATGTTTATTGCAAAGAATATATTTGTAAATATTGTATCATACTGCTGTGATTTCTTTTCAATTAGGGAGTTAGGGTGAGTTTTTTTTTTTTTTTTTTTTTTACACACGGGTAAGTGTGAAATATATATTTATTTTTTTTCTGGGTTTTGCAAAACTCATGTGAAAAGTAAAGTTCAACGCAGACCGGTCCGGGTTAGATTGTGTTCTATGTCTTCATCATCATCATCATCAGAGTGGATTTATTGATTTTTTTTTTTGCCAGTACAGCATGAAAATATTTGCAGTGGCAGGGGATATTGTGCACAATTTCAAAGTGGTAAAAGAAATATGGTTGTTAAATGGTCCCATTGGACGCAAAGTGTTGGCAGATTGTCCCATGCAAAACCCACACACACATCAATAGATATGTATCCATATAGATACATCTCTGACAATAGGAGCACTGTTGCCACACACATCATTTTAACACCTTCCATAAAGGGATAAGTCAGCATCATGCTGACGAAATACGCATACTAACCTGACTGTCATTTTGTTAGAGAAACTGTTCTGTTGTTCCAGCAATCATTTTGTAACGACAAAAACCTCAACATGTTTTCTTTCTTTCCCCTTCATGCACCTGGTCCCCTGTCTTCTCTGCTCTTCCCTCCCCTCAGTCCCCAAACCTTTTCTCTCACACGCCACCAGAGCTCTGGTTCCTCGGCTCGCAGCACTGCAGCTCTGCAGGAGCGAGACGATAAGCGGGCGACCCGCCTCCAGACGCCAGCCGGAGAGGGTGAATTGTGAGCGATCCCAAGTCTTGGTTTGACCGGCTCACTTTGAAGCCTCTCAGCTGATGAAATACATGGGAGCCTTCCACCATGAAATGTGGAAAATGTTGATGTTGCTGCTAACCCAAATATTAGAAATGTCTGTGTGATGTGATACTTTAATTGATAATAATTGATGTGTGATTATTGACAAAGTCCTCCTGTGCTGGTTTCTGTGTGTTCAGATGCATTTATACTTTTGGAAATTTCCCTTCAGCCGTTCGCTGCAAAAATGTCACTTAAGATTATTATTATTTTTTTTAATCCTTTTTTCAATATTTGGGATTAATTTGGCCGGTGTTTGTTTTGATGGACAGAAAAGCTAGAGTTAGTTAGTCACAGTCAACCGTATATTTGATCGAAAATGTGTCTGGGCATACAGAAAACGTTGACCTCAAAATTCACCAACATCTTAGTTTCTTTTTTTAATATCCTTAGTCGTCTTTAGGCAAAGTTTCTTATGTGACCAGTGCTGCGGCCGCTCCCATTCTAAGAGATGACCTGTTTAGTTTCCTATGTAAATTTGCCTAATCGATGGTTGTCTGTTGCCTTTTGGTTTGCGTCCATGTAAGACTCGTACACACCTGGTTGACGTGTGTGCATCTGTCTCAGGTCTTCAGCATTGATACAGCCATGGATATTCCCCTCACATTTTATTGTTTTATTTCTTAGATCCACCCACGATGACTAACAATGCAACTTTTTCATTTTGGATGTTTGGTTTTTCCTCTCCGATGCCTGAGTCATGTTTTCAGTATTTTATTTGCTCCCATGTTGCTGTGTACCTCCCATCAGTCTTTGTAGCTCCTTCCTCGATATTTACTGGTAGAACTCCTCATGTCCCGCCCCTCTGCCGTGTTCATTACCCGTCATTCAAATTAGCCTCTTCTCTGTTCTCACTTTCTCTCATTTACCTTCCCCGCATGCTGTCCTTTTCTGCGCTCTCCTACAACCCTCTAACCAGTATTTGTTCTTCATTCTTCTCTTTTCCTCTTGTGTTGAGTATGTTTGTGGCTGTTTGCCGTGTGCAATGAGTCACTCTCGCTAGTAAGTATTAAACAGCGTCTGAACGGCTTGAGTAGTTTATGTTGCTCACTAACAAACTAAAGCTGAAGGTTTATCTGCAATGCCTCCTCCCTATCTACAGATCCGACCCGATAAACTGCCATTTTGTAAATACTGTGTGTGCGTGTGTATATATATATTTTTTGAAAAAATCTAATAAACTTGAAGTACAAAGTGCATCCAGTGATTTTTTTTTTTCACGGTGGGAGATTTCCATTCACATATTTATCTAATTGGATTCTACAAAAACACAAGCTGATCAAGCAAGAGAAAAGGGTTCAAGTTCTTCATGGACTTTTTATTCTCATGTCATATATTCCTAAAAACTGTTCGGTTACGTCCTCCAATGACAGTGGTTCTTCATGTTTGCAGCTTTGATTGGCATTTTTATTGAGCTATAACACAACATCAGATACTTTGAGTAATTGGAAAAGAAAAGGTCGGATAATTCAGGAGTGTTAAAGAATTGAGTGGAGAAAAATGTAAAACTGCATGAAATTTGTTAGAATGAGTTCATGCATTCAAATTTGAAAGGGACATTTACACAAATAGGAAAGAACAGTGGGAAAATTTCTATTGAAGTTGATAATTTTAACAAATAAAACAAAAAACGTATGCCTCTAAATACGACCGTTTTGTAGTTCGTTGATGTAATACAATGGTACGAAATTAATACGGGAAATATGTTTTTAGCAAACTAGCTGTTAGAGAAACCTTTTAAAAAGAAAAAAGTTACTGCTTATAAAAGAGGAGCAAAACTAGCTAAAAATTCTAGACATAAAGAAGACAGAACTGAGCACTGACATGCAAAGAGAAAAAAGATATGAAGAAGAAAAGTGAGATAGTCATAAGCAAAGATTAGTTATTTGGGCAGAAAAGTTCAAAAGCAAGAATAAGATGAATTAGAATGGTACAACTACACCTATCGGTTACTTTTATATTTAAATTCCAATCAATCACAAGTCTTTGAGACTTGAGCAGCTTAGAACAAAAACAACCCAAAGACATAGACGACAGTTTCTCTAAGAAAGATTGAAAAATGTTATGAATAAATAAAGGGCAGAAGAGGAAAAGAGAGAAAATAGTTTTATTAAGAGGTAACAATCAAACACAGCAGAAAAGACTGCAACAGAAACAAAGAGAAGAAGAAATGATCAATACAAGTCAAGAAGTTATTCAACAGCTCTCAGTGAGGAAGGACAGAGAAGAATCTCAAAAGGCCGTGAAATAAGGAACCAGGAGTTTCGACAGAACAGAGAAGGACACTTGAGCAGTGAGCACTTTGTGACGTACTGATTAAAATACTTCTGCTACCTTGAATTAGCATTAATGGACAGAAAGAGAGAAGAGAACTATCTGCAGAATCAGAGAACACAAGCAGGGAAATCAACAGGGGATTAATAAAGATCGCTGTATTAAAAGGGAAATATGTTTGAGAGGTAGATTGTTAGAGATGCAAACAAACAAAATGAAATTCCAAACTACATCCAGACAAATATGGTTCTGCTGTTTGTGATGCTGATACCAGTGTCTCCTGGTTGAGCCGCAAACTGAACAATATTTATGTGTTCCCTCACTCATATGCACACACACACACACACACACACACACACACACACACACAGATGTTTTAAATATTCAAATAATACTCATTCAACATTGTACAAACTTTTTCTAGTAACTAACTTTCCGCCATTGACTCACAAAAAATTCATTCTCACAGTATTTATCTCCAACCTGCGACGTGTCAGCCAACATCGGTACTCTTTAAAATCAGAAAACAAGAAATCCTCTAAAGGTTTTCAGCGTCTGTCTATACGTTACGCACCCAGCATCCTCTCTCAGACGCCAAGTGCTTGTCAGCGGACCGGACGATGGGTCCTACACTATTTACATCAGTCTGTTCAGTCTCTCTTTGGTTGTGACGGAGGCAGGAAACTAAAACAATTTCCACATTTTCCAACGACCTCACAATCGGCCCTGAGGTGTCCGTGGACCAGCCGCTCCCAGAGTTAAAAAGAGACGTCCTCCCCCCGGGGTGGCTCAGTACGGGGTGAAGCGGTTATATCCTCCTCTGTACAAACTGGCCTGCAGACAGAAGCGTTGTGCCCGGTGTGACCAGGGTCGGCTGTGAAGTGTGTAACAAGAGCGCTCTGTGTGTTTGGACTCGACTCACCATCGTACCGACTCCGTATGTCGCTGTTGGTCCAACTGAGTGGTGGTAGGGATCCGCAGCTGTGGCGTAAATGCGTCCGTATCTGCTCAAAGACACCAGGAGCAGATGTGAGTGTCAAATGCCAGAGCTCGGGTTGTGGAAAAGCTACTAGCTGCTCTGTCATTGTCATTTTTCAACCGTTCGCCGTTCATAATCCCCCGATTTTCATTTTCCGCATGTGCAAACTGTCTTGGTGGGGGAAAGCGCTCTCCAAGGGTCTTTCTAGTTGACCTTTTACTGTTTTCATGGTTTTAAGGATCCATAGAGTAAAACTCTTTGAGGCAAACCTTCGTATTTAGACCAAAGACCTAGTTTAGAAATAAACTTGCACTCTGGTATAAATCCCACTATTTAGGAAGGACTTCCTGACCTTTAAAGCCATCGCAGCAGCACTAAAAGCTGATTTGAAATCTGTTTGTCTGCCTACCCGTCGCTGTAGGTCGCCGTGGCAGCGGATGCTGATTGAGCCATTCTGTAAGCTGCCGGATAGCCTCCCTGCAATGAAAGAAATAACATCACATGAATACAACTACGGCCGTTTTAAATCACATTTAGGTAGTAAACAAGTACAGCTACTTACATAGACCTCTGCTCCGTACAGCCCCTCCTGATATACCATCCTGATCAACACGATTGAAACAGCATTAGGGCCTTAAAGCAGGGAGTGAATGTAATGTATACACATGGCAGGGTATTACCCAGGGAAGCCGGGCACAGCGGTGGGTGCGGCCGCAGCGGAGCGGATGGTGTTGTAGACGGCTCGGCCGCGGCCACGCAGCGCGGAGCCCCGGTAGGCCAGCGTGGGCGTTGGCACGGGATACGGGAAGCTGGCGACTAAAGAAAGGATGACGACAAACAGTGGGAAGAGTGAAGAGTGGCGACACACCTCTGGTCTCGTCGCAATAACGCAGCAGTTTCACGAAGAAGACGTCACCTGTGTAGAGTTCAGGTGCGTACATCGCCCCCATCACAGGGTTGATCTTCCATCCAGAAGCTACACAGAAAAGGAGGATACGCTTGTCAGGAGACACCCGGAATCCTTCAGCGCACAAAGGCACGAGGGCGAAAGTGAACGAGGGGTCTTACTTGAAATGTCTGCATTCACCAGAGGAGTCTGAGGCTTTTTGGTAACAACTCTTGCAGTGGCGTTATTGACCTGGCGAGACGGAGAAATGGAAGAAAGGCAACGATTAAGGAGAAGTAAGCGTGATATTCATTATGGAGACCTAAATGACGAATTCTCCCTCACCTCAATCTTTCTCCCCTCCACGATCGTCCCGTTGAGCTTTTCTCTTGCTCGGTCGGCCTCACTTGCACTCTCGAAGGTGACAAATCCAAAGCCCTGCGGGTCATGGTATATTTTAGATTCTGTTTTTGTTCATTAAAGGTTCCAGCTCTGATGATTCTGTGGCGCTCACCTTGGACCCCCTCTCATTGAAGATTATTTCTACATCAAGGATCTTCCCAAATTGCTAGAAATGTGAGAATAAGTACATTGGGTGACTATAACCCAACGGATAGAAACAAATCTGTTCATTTTATTCGTACGACATCGTATCAATGCATTTGGGACACTGGCTGATACTGAGAAATTCGTACCCCAAACATCTGGCGGAGGTCCGGGTCTCTGAAGCGGAACGGGATGTTGGAGACGTGCAGGCGCTTCGGTTGGGCCTTACTTGACCCCTCCTCATCACTTCCACTTCCCGCTCCGCCCCCCGATGACACCGACACGCTCAGAGACTGGGGGTCAGAGGTCAAAGGGGCCAAAACGTCCTCCTGACAGGGTGAGAGGGTGAAAATAGGAGGAGAGCAAAGGAGCACAGGGGAAAGATGACAAATTGATGGGAAGGAAGAGGAAGAGGAAGTGAAAGAACGAACACAAACAGAAAGACGCAAATGAGTATGAATGAGATGAGAATAGGTGAGAAGAAAAAACGGAGAGAGGGCATCAGTAGGAAAACAAAGAAAGAAAGAGAAAGAAATGAAAATAATATAAAGTCAATTCAGGGAACAAATAGGTCAACATTTGATAATGACGTTCTGTTTGGTAAACAGTTCAGTCGTGTAAGCATCACATGGCATTAGGCACAAATCATTTTCATGGAGTGATTCAAACCAAAGGTCAAAGAGCATTCAGCAACCAGTGTTCCTTCTCAGGCAAATGTGAGGAGGCAGGAAAGGAATCCATTTTAGTGAGGCTTTGTCTTTGAATACATGCCTGTGGGACAGTATAAAGACTGATGCACTGTACAATATCAATAAGGATTATACATCTGACACTCAAACTACCTATGTTCACTCAAGCTGTGGCAAAGAGAATTACAGCAAATGTAAGATCCCCTGAAAAGCAAAAATGACTTTAACTGAGTCCTTGTTATCTAAGCAGTTGTAATAGTTTAAACATACAGTAATATCCAACTAAATAAATTGGCCTCATGCAGAAAAATCCAAGTACTAATGTGCCAAAACTAAAACATTCATTATCCCACAATGCACCACGATGCTGGTGTGTGCACGTGTCATCATCAACCAAGAGATAAATGTTAAATATATGTTTTAAGACAAATTAATGAGTCCAAACAAGAAAGTGAGAGTAAAAAAAGTCTGCAGGAAAAGAAAATACAGTGAGCTTCAGCAGTGAGAGCCAGAGGAGGAGCAGAGAGAGATCAAAACTGTACGTTCCACAAGGGTCAGTCTGGGGTCACGGTGCTGCTTTTCTGCCAAGGGTTAAAGGTCACTTATCAAGGGGCGCATAATTAATAAATTGGTGATGAGAAAAGGGAACAGAGACACATTCACACAAAGGAGCGTTTTTTACAAAGACAAATGCACACAGGCCACTGGATTACACAACACTGGCCATGGCTAACTACTGCAGATTACCGCATCCACACACACACACACACACACACACACACACACACACACACAGCCCAGACAGGGTACAGACGAGGGGAGACAGGAGGGGGGTGAGGTGGGTGGTGGTGTCATGTCACGATGCAGAATTGTGTTTCTCGACCTGAGCGATATTTCAGAGGGGGTCAGGGGGGTCATCTGGTCAGCCTCCCACTTTGACCCCCTCCCTCCATGGCGACGTCTCAACTTTCCCACCGAAAATCAGCACAGACCCGAGTATGTCAGGGATTCTAGTAATGAAATATATAGATGGGGCCACAAAACACCATTCATGAGAGCAGGGAGAGAAATGTTTTGCGGCAGGACACAAAGGATTTTACAGAAACGCTGATGATCGGCAAGTACAATGTTAACCAGTGTGTGGTTCAGTATGTGGATAAACTGACAATAAGATGAATGTGTTATTATGCTGATGGCTCACAATAATGTTAGTTTTGCATGTATTTGGAAATGTCGCAGGATTAACAAAGTGATTAGAATTGATCCTCCAGGGACCTTGAATTTCTGGAGCAAAGTCCAACCCAAAAATTGCTACCCTGGAATCAAAAGATTTTAGTAAATATTTTGGAACAATTTAATTTTGATGGTGTCATGAATCTGACTGAACGGGAAGATGTTGTCACTTAAATAGGAAAACAAGACATTACAGACAGTTTACAGACATAATGGCATGTTGAGAAGATTCTTTTTTGCATTGAAATAAAACAATACAAATTCTTTCAATTCCATTTCGCAACATTAAAACTTAATCCCTCGATTGCAAATCTATGAGATTTGATCAAATGAACCACAAAAACTCTCTAACTGTTATCCGTCGATATCATCACCAAACGTCACGGCCATAATCCCGAAAGGGGATCTGGTTTATCGCCTGCTAAATAAGACACCCAGGAGACAGAAAAGTGGAGATATATTTTCAACAATAAATGCCGCTGCTCACTCTGAGAGCGAGCGACATTCCCGTACATGGACACAACGTTGGCAGCGGCTCTCTAAATATAGAAGGACACTCTATCTGGTCGAGCTCCCCTGATAGAACTTGCGGATGTTCTACCTGAAGCGGCCGGGGTTTCCTGTAACATTTACTCACTGAGGGTCACATTTCAAACTGTCCTCACCGTGTTACTGGACGTCAGAGCCTCCGCCCCCTCCAGCTGGGGCCCCTGATACACTCTGAGCTGCGGATGCTCGGGGTACTCTGCACTGTGGTGTGCGGAGGTGAAATCAAGGGGTGGCAGTCTGCTCGCGGACGTCGGTGGCCCTTGACCGGGAGGAGGGTAGGAGGGCGGCGGGGCGTAGACCTGAGACAGGGCGGGGTCCACGCTGCCGGGGCCGGCCTCCTGGGAGGGGCCCCCCTGCGGTGTGGGGAGAGAGGGAGGCAGGAATGAGCCTCACAGGGTGTCAGAGGTGTAAACGGACTCACCGGCGTGTTGTCACAACTTCATGCTTGTTTTGGACTAAAATTAAAAAGACCATTTGTGAAAACAAACATTTACCGTTACCGAACTTTTCCGTATTTCCACTTTCCACGACTATAATTTTTACTGCTGCACAACAGCTTAGAAGCAAAGATTATACATTCTAATCCATCTGTATTTATTGGTCACTGTAATTAAATCAATTTATGATATTAAGCCTCACCTTTAACAGCTGCATTAAAGTTCTACACATTCATGTATCAATATTAATACACCAATAATTTAACAAGAAGCAAGAAAGTGCAATTTCCTCAAATAAGCCAATTTACAATTTTCTATAGATGAGTTGCGTTATAAGTACAATTTAAGTGCTACAATTTGTTAGTCTTTTAGTCGAGGTAGAGTCTGAAGAGGTGTGTCTTTAGTTTGCGGCAGAAGATAGAATACTTTGTTAATGACTTAACGGGGAAGATTACAGATCATTTTACCTTAATTTAATTATTTTATTTTAAGGCCTGGTCACTACAGTCTAATTTTGGTCGAATCACACAATAAAACTAACTAAACTAACAACCACCTCATACAGCGCCGACAAGTTTAATGTACCATGAGTTACAAGCTAAAAGCATTGTCTTACCTTGTTAATGCATTCCTCAATCTCTGATGCATTTTCCAACAACTGCTGCATCTTTTAATGTTGCTGACCACCCGCCTACCGCACCATGAGTGCTACTCATCCACCAATCAAATCAAATGATCTCCGGGGCATAAGAGACGCCACACCAGCTGTGGTCATCTGTAACTGTCAATCACCTCAACCCCCACCCGCACTTTCTATTAAAACACACACACACACGCTGCAGAAAGAGCTGTTTCCCCAAGATGAGCTATTTGTGCAAGTAAATGGTAAAGGTTGACTGCAGGGATACCACGTTTGATACGCCAACGTACCTTTCAGTCTTTTTAAATCACAATTCTTTAAAAATATTACCCAACCGCTGTACTGGAAAAGGTTCTTTCCTTCTTTTCACTGTAATTGTTCGGAAAAAAATGTTGTCAATGTTTTAAGTGGTTATGAAAAAATGATGAAAACAACACTACAGCCAGCAGCTGCCTGGTTAGCTTAGCTTAGCATAAAGACAGGAGAAAACAGTTAGCCTGATCTTTCATGAATGATGACGAAATGCATGTCGATAGATGAGCGTTAAATGTGCTGGTAGGTTGATTTTGTTCAACGTTAGAAAGGGCCAGGCTGCCTCCCTGTCATCAGTATTTCTGATCACTAGATTCTGTGTTGGTGCCTTAATAAATGAACAGATCTTCCGCTTCTCCACATATTTCCCTGAAGGTTGAACATTTCCCCCAACTGAACATTTTTCTATTGTAGTGTTAATATGTCCACCTAATTTAAAGTTCATATGAGGATTTGCGTATGCAAACATGCAAAATGCAACAAGTTTGGCATCCCTCATTTCATTTACTCTCATATCTCTGGGACAAATTAAAGATATAAAGACAGTGTGCAATAAAGGAAGAATTGGAGGCGGAATGGTTGAATATGGGTCAAATGCTTGAGCCAAGTTATCAAACTTCAAACACTGGAATGTCAGAATTACAGTTCATCAAGGCCCCTTTAATATGTCCTGTTTTTAAAGTCAGCTTTTTACAATCCAACAGACTGTTTACCAGAGGTTCGACTGAACCGAACCGTTTATTGGATCAGAGTGTGAGTTTGCTTCAGACTCACTGGCAGCTCGGTCACAGCTGAGCGTCAAGCTAAACGCTAACGTCAACATGTTAATATTCTCAAGGTCAATGTTAAAATGCAGATGTTAAGCGGGTACAATCGCAGTCTTTGCTTAAAGAACAGCGAATGTTTATACGATCCTTATTTTTAGCGCTGGAGGCCGGGGGGGCGTTTACCAAACGTCATGGCGACAGTGGTTGTTGGGACGTTTCACGCACACCCAAAGTCCATCCAAACTCGTTGAGATATTTAAGTTTGGACCAAAGTTTATTATTGTAATGCTTGTTAAATCACACTATAACAGATTGTAACAGATTTTACAGGTTGCGTAGTTTTCGCTTCGTTTTGTTTCATTTTCGTTCTGCAACACGTTTCCAAACTTGTCAACACTAAGGTTGTCTGTATTGCGTCCCATTTATCGCAGGAAACAGCCTGACTGCCTCCACCGTCCTCAAAGATAAAATAAAAATAAAAAGTCAAGATAAGACAATCTTTGAGATGTCGCGACCACTCTTTGTAATCCCTCAGACTGTCACTGACAGCCTCTGCCTAATAAAGTATTACAGTCCCCCCTCCCCCCTGCAGGCGTCTTTGGATTTCCATTTGTTCCCTCTTTCTCTCGTCTCCCCCCTCAGCTGTCACTTAGGGGTCAAAGGTCAATGGCTCTGAGCCAGGTGCCTGCTGGGACAGCTGCCACAGGATTTACACACACGGACGATACTAAACTGCGGATGTGGCCTTTTAGTGCCGGCCAAGTTACAAATGTAAGTGAACATGAAGCTCGTTTAGTGAAACTAAATATCAGTTTCTCCGGCCTTTCGTTGTTTGCCATCTTGAAGGTTATTTCTATTATATTCTAACGGACATTTCTAGGCATTCGTCAAATGGCAAGAAGGATGTTGGAGAGACGGAATGCAAAGCTGATAAAGTGATAAAAGACCCTGAGCAGATTTTAGAATTAAACTCTTCACACAAATGTGTTGCTTTATCCATGCAAATGTTTTTGAAATAAAACCTTTGGAAATAAAACTCAAGTCGCAAAAGTTCTGATTGCTTTGGAGAAGAAACTCAACCGCAAGACCTTGAACGTATATTTTTGGTCCCCTCCAAAATGTACCTCTCTCTTCTCAAATTACCACATCAATCTAACCACTAAGTAAAAGAATACATGTGAATATTGTGCTTGGGCAGCTAAAAACGTAAATGTACATCAGGCAGGTTAACACACATTGGGAGAGTAGAGTGCAGAAAACAGGAGAGGTAACAGAATCTCCGCCTGTCATTATCTGCTCAGGAGAGGAGGGCTAAAAATACAGCTGGTGTGAAGCACAGAGACAAGGTAGAGAGATACCAGATGCATCGTGGCATTAATGGTATGTCAGGGACACACACACACACACACACACACACACAAACACACACACACTTGTACTGCTTGCTGGCATCACTGAAACCAGCAGACTAAAGATAACCCCTAATGTGTCCTTACTATTAAAAAACTAATTAATTATAGTCCTTTGGTTTCCTCTTGGGAATTAAATGTTTTCTTCCACTATGGTCTTGATGGCTTAGCCACAGTGACGTTCATTTCTAACTTACAATAGAAAGCTAAATATAGTCCTTAAAAAACAAGCCTATCAGCTTCTTAAATTTGGAGAATTTGCTAATTTGTTAAACTCTTTTTATTTTGTGATTGTAAAAAGGTGTTCCCAACTTTTAGTCACATGTCAACAATGGATTAAGAAATGGTGATTTGTTAACAAGCACAAACTTATTCAACTATGGATTTTATTGGAATTTGCATTGATATAATGTCACATTATTCACAACCCCTTAATGGTCACCTTATAAAGTCTCGCAAACTGGACATTTGATGACGCAGGGTGGTGAAGACAACGATCTATGTGAGAGTAAATGAAGGAGCGTTTTACCTGAACTAGGCTGGGGTAGCATGTGGTGGTCTGTGGGTAGACGGGGAGTCCGTAAGGCTGCAGAATCACAGTGGGTGAGGAGAGCATGGCCCAAAAACCACGCACAAGGAAGGAGGGAAAGGTAGAAGATGGGATGAAAAGGAGATCGGGGGAAAAAAGGAAGGGTTACTCTGAAGGCAGGAGAGCAGGCGATGAGGAAAAGAGAAGAAAAAATCGGAACAGGAGAAAGCAAGATCCACGAGGGTGAGGGAAAGATGGTTTGAGACTCTTTTTAACCTCACAGATGAGTCATGGAATAAAAAAACGATAAAAGTCCACAAAAAAATGTCCTGTCCAGATTAGACTGTGTACAGAACAGAGAAAGAGAAAGCAAGTGAGCCTCTGTGTGTCCATCAGTTGATTACGCAGCCTGACAGACAGAAACACATGCAGAGGGTCCCATTTCAGAGCTATATAAATAGTCCCTCATGTCCTTCTCTCCGTGTTTACCACCTTACCACCCTCACTCTTAAACATGCTGTCATGCAAGATTTTACGCCACGTGTTACACACTTATAACAGCTCATTCAACAGTGTGTCAGACCTCTGAATAGGCTGCAAAGCAGTTGATTTTCACTCCTTTTGCAACGTTACTCTTAGTCATGCGCTCCACCAGCTAAACATCTGTCATAACTTTATGTTATTGGCCCATGTGACTTCATGACGTGTACTGATACACACATGTCTGCGGACACGTGTGAGCACTCACACGCGTTTATTCGATGTCCGTGTTGTCAGCTGTTTGACCAACAGAGGGCAGTAGGTCCGGCGTTTGTGTTTCCGTTCCGCTAGCAGCGGTGCATTGTGGGACTTGTGTACCTCCGGCGCCGCTGCTATAAATTGACGGGAGCTTCCTCTACACATTCTCTTTCCTGCGCTGGCCTGAGCGAAGCAGGTAAGAGCTCGAGCTAGCGCACGCATTCACCAGCATTTAGGCCTAGGTCACTTTTACATGCCTTCACAGGCAGTTAAAAGGAAGTTAGTTTTATCGGTGAATTTGTCCTTTAATCAACCAACGTATGATTTAGTAATGGCGGTTTTCCTAGTTTAGCGCTAGCGTTAATTCAGCTATGCTAGAGCTAGCTTGTCGCAGTGAGCAACGTGCTGCAGCTGCGGCCTAGTCGTAGGTTTGACCAGTAACACTAAGTATTTTTTCATTAACTGGTTTTTACTTTTAAATTACGTTAGTCCTGGTTACTCTGTAACGTTGCATAACATACGGTTTTAGACAAGTGCAGAGGGAGATATTAGCCTTACTGTAAAGCTATAGCTAACGTTAACTATGGTCAGCACGGTTTGGATTTAAACTTAACGTTAATTGTGTTGGACCAGTCCTTTAACAGCGCACGCTACTTTCATAGCATTTTGCACTACATTCTTAAATAAGTAATTTGGCACCAACTCAAAGGGTCTTAATAATACTACAAAGTTCCCGTCTGTTATATACTTGTTTGAATACCGTATCAACATAATGTCTGATGTTGCAGGCACTGAAAAGCCGCCATGCCCGTTGCCAGGAGTTGGGTTTGTCGCAAGACTTACGTCACCCCTCGCCGTCCATTCGAGAAGTCCCGACTCGACCAGGAGTTGAAACTCATTGGTAAGCTGCCCTTTCGCTAACCTTGTACAACATAGCCTTTTTTTAAACTAGACCTCATTTGAGTTTACTTTTTAATCTTCATTAAAGGCGAGTATGGTCTGAGGAACAAGCGTGAAGTGTGGAGGGTCAAGTTCACTCTGGCCAAGATTCGCAAAGCCGCCAGAGAGCTCCTCACTCTTGATGAGAAGGACCCCAAGCGTCTGTTTGAAGGTATTTAAAGAATGAACACTGCTTCGAGCATCGTATTGGCCGATGATTAAAATAATCACTTATTCAGATTATCTGTGGTGTCAAGAATTCCTCGTGAATGAGGCCAATACAGCAATTACACTCATTTTGCTTTATACACCTGTTCAGGATTCTAAGACCACTCCTGTGTGCTTTCCCAGGTAATGCTTTGCTCAGGCGTCTGGTGAGGATCGGTGTGCTGGACGAGGGTAAGATGAAGCTGGATTACATCCTCGGTCTGAAAGTTGAAGATTTCTTGGAGAGGAGGCTGCAGACTCAGGTCTTCAAGCTTGGACTTGCCAAGAGCATCCACCATGCTCGCGTCCTTATCCGCCAGAGGCACATTCGGTAAGCTCCAGACACCGGGGAACAGACCTCAAGTAATCCACGAGTCACAAGCTTGATGAGGGACTCGACAGAAACTCAATGCTTCCTCTTTCATCAGAGGACCAACATGAAACATTCTCAGCTGAGAACTGTTAAACATTTCAGCAAGGTCACTTCGGTATCAAAACCGTATACCTTGTAAGTAGAAATTGCCCAGAGCCAATCAAGCCACAGAGGGCTTGGACTGTGCCACTGTTGTGGTGTGGCTGTCAGGTAAGGTGATTGCACCTCGGGCAATTGTAGTTGTCCCTACAACTTGTAAAATGTACGAATCTGGCTTGTATAGAATTCCTTATCTAGACCACATGAATTTGGCTACAAAAAGCAACATTTGAATTGGATTATTTGAACTCTTGTCTGTCTTTGCAGCGTGCGCAAGCAGGTGGTGAACATCCCCTCCTTTGTGGTTCGCCTGGACAGCCAGAAGCACATCGACTTCTCTCTGAGGTCTCCATACGGCGGTGGACGTCCAGGCCGCGTCAAGAGAAAGAACGCCAAGAAGGGCCAGGCTGGAGCTGGAGGCGCTGATGACGAGGAGGAGGATTAAGAAGGATCTCCTCCAGGGACTGTCCTCTACAACCTGTTCTGTCAAATTTACAATAAAGCTTTGGTCTGACCAGAGAAATCATTTGTTGTTGGACGTTTTTTATATTCTGACTGTTGTGCTTCCGAAGCACTGTTTTCTGAACCTGGTCGCGTAAATTGGGGCATGATGATGGACATAAAAAGTAAACTTAAGGGATTCATTGTCAAATATATCTGATCATGACTTTGATCAACGTTGACTTTCAACCTATGTGCTTAATAATGGGCTGCTTTATTAGAACGTTTTGTAGTACTTGACTACACTAGCTGTATGTGATTCATTAACCACCTTTTATAGTCTCAAGTGACTTATGCTTTAATATGATAAGATCTGTAGCGCTCCAGAGGGAGGTGCGGCCATCAGGAAGCCTCTTGGAATATGACCGTTTATCCGCCTCATCCCCGAATGTGTCCGTGGGTGACCCCCCCCCCTACATTCATAATGGCACAGTCCTGCACGCTGTCCTAGTTTCACAACCAGGAAGTTAAATACACGACTGGCAGCGGTGTGAATGGGCTGTTGGATTTGCGGGTTGTGACAGACCTACGTTTTCAAATCGTGATTTAACGTTATTGTAAGTAACTCAATTTAATTCATGATTCCTGCGTGATGCACCGGCCGCCGTTGTAGCCGCTGAGCTAACGAGCATTGTTTGGACCTTTTTAACGGTAACGTTCGCGCCCCTCTGCAGCCTGGCGCCCGTCAACACGAGATTCGCTTTACAATGGATTAACCTCAACCGTCTCAAATTTATCATTTAACGTATATCAGTTTACGAAGCTGTTAAATTACTTTCACAGGCAACGTCTGTTTCGGTAACTCGTTAGCGGGTGAGCTCCGCTGGAAGTGACGTTCGCTTTGACACGCGAGGCAGTGGTGGAATGTGATGGTCACGTGTTAAAAAAGGCACTTTATAAATGCAACGTTAATCTGCTGAAACTCCTCACCGGAAGCGATTAAAGATGCAGCTGTTTCCTGTGGTCGAATGAAGGAGGTCGACTGTCCTGACTCACGTCGGGCTACTTCCTATGTTCGACTACGGACGAGCTCCCGTCTGTTATTTCCGTGTTATGTAATTTTGCAAATGTGTTGGTCTCCTGCAGTCCATCTCGAATAAGGCTTTTATTTATTTGATCTGTTTTAGATGTTCACGGTGCTGCAACTGAGGAGTCTCTTACAAAAGTCACCGGATACGTTGTGAAGATGTTTTCAGTAACGTTGCTCTTCAAGTTTCAACATGAAACATTTCAAAAGAATTAAGCAATTCACATTCCAATACAAATGTCCAAGGATTTAAAATATTTAGAGTAAACTCAATTTAATGAAGTACTAACTCATGTAAGAGCAATAATGTCCCCAAATTTCGAAATGGTGAGAGATTATCTGATTTTTTTTAATTAAACAAATGCAATCCTCGGGACAAACCCTGACTTTTTATGGTGAATTATTTCCTCCAATTGTAATATGTGATCAACCCCTGAGACCGTCCTCAAACCCAGTTTAGGATTTAATTATATCTGTGATGCAGTCTCAATAAAAATAGAAAACATTACCTTTGCCGAGGTATTAATTGTTGCGGGTATTTGGATGAATGTGTTGCATTTCCTGTATCCGTTCCTTCTGTGTGCTGTTCACTCATAAATATAGATTGTCTATTAATGCTGATTCATATGTAGGTATTTATAACTACAAGTTCAGGGCTGATCAGTGTCTTCTGTGCCAGCAGAGCGATGTCTCCTGATGAGCTCGTGTACTTGGGAATTCTTGCTGCATCCATCCCTGTTGGGTTCCTCTTCCGTTACCTCAGTAAGTATTTTGGAAAATATATTATTATTGTTATATCATTTTACATTTATATTTGTCTTATAAAGACCATAAACGAAGATTTGTTTAAAATTATTTTTGGACAAAAAGTATAATGAGCAGAACCAGAGATATATTATTTTTTATTCCACACATTCTTCTTTCTTGTCACACCTGGTGCCTTTGTTAACCAACAACGCAAGTCATATTTTCAAGACTTTTTTATTTTATTTTCCCGTCCCACACAGCTCGTGGTCAGCGGGTCGTAGGTGAATTGATTGTTCATGTTTGCTTTGCTTCAGGTCCTCCTGTGAAGCAGGGGGCTGCTCTTCTTGTGGGCCTCTCTATCGCCATCGCTACTTGTCACATCCACACCCTCCACTCGCTTGTGACCGTGATTGGAATATGGATTATTATAAAGAGCAGCTGGCGGTGAGGGATGAACAGAAGCACTTTTACAAACGTATTTAGCTGAAAAACAGTCTGAGCCAAAGATATTCAATTTACCATTTTATATGACAAAGAAAAGCAGTAAATACTCACATTGAAAAAATCCTTTACGGAATTTTTTTCTGAGACTGAACGTGTTTATCTTGGCTTTGGTTCTTAGGAGAAGTACACATAACATGAGCTGTTCGCTTCTGGCATCTCGTGGTTTATTTTAAAATATTTTTTATTTCTTTGATACATTGAATCGATCAAATATTTTATGTGAAAACAAATGGATTAAATAAAGCAACTAATGCACGTCCACATGAGCTGGGCTGTAGATACCGTGCAGATAGAACATGTAAACTCACTCCTCACACGTATCCGTGTCTACTAGGCATGCCCCAGCATTGAGTCTCACCTGGACCTTCCTCTACCTCCTCTTCTTCCGTCTTGCCACGTGGTTCGGTCTGCCACAACCGACACCTTTCGCCAACGCCATCCAGCTGCTTCTCACTCTCAAGGTACAGAACCACGTTCAGATCATCGGGGGCGACGCGCAGCGTCTTCACAGTGGACGCGTCTTTCCTCATGTGTCCTTCTGCTGTTAACGCAGATGGTGAGTCTAGCTAACGAGGTGTACACCTTCCACACCGAGAAGAAGAGTGAAGTGAGCACTTTTGCCAAGTCCCCCGTCATCGGTGGTCTGTCCGAGGAGCCGTCGCTCTACGATATTCTGTCCTACAGCTACTGCTACGCCGGGATAATGACCGGTGAGTCTACGGCATCGCTTCTTACCCTCTTTTCTAAATAATGTCGGCCATTCTGACTTCATGTTCTGAGACATTATGTTTGTGTGCAAGCTGTCCTCATGTTCCGTATGTTTTTGTTGATGTGAAACTTATTTTGCATGCATTTTAACTGTTATTTTTCTTTGTCTCGCTCTCGCTCCTTGTCCGATATTGTGAGTCAATATTACATTGTCTATTACTTAGAACTAGTTCTGGTTCTAATACCAACCCCTCTTCTTTCGAACCCCTCCGTCCTCCACCGTTTCCATTTTTTTCGTCTGCATTGTCTTTAATGTCCCATTTTTGTCGGTCACTGTCTCGTCTACACCGCCTTCATTCCTCCCTCTCCTCCCTCTCCTCCCTCCTTCTCACCTAAAGGTCCGTTCTTTCGCTTCCAAACGTACGCCGACTGGCTGAGGCAGCCGAGCCCGCAGGCTCTGCCCGGCTGGGTGCCGTGCCTGCAGCACTTGAAGCTGGTTCCCGTGTACGCCGCTTTGTTCCTGGGGGTCGACTCTGTCTTCCCTCTGGCCTACGTTCGCACAGAGGAGTTTCTGGACCGGAACGTTTTCTTCAGGTGCTTTTAGCAAATTGATAATACATATAATAATTAATTGAGGTTGAGAATAGTATGCATAACAATCAACACATGATTTCACAAATGTGTATTAATTATGTAGCAACTGCATAGGATACAATAATGTAGATGCTACGAGAAGAACTGACAGAATCAAGGCAAATAGCATAAAGAAAGTATTTTATCTTGCTAAAAAACAGCATAAAATGTACACCTAAGAAGCGTTGTGACGAGGTGCGAAAGTTTAAATGTGGCTAGTAATATATTTCAGAATATTTCTTCTGGTTTTTCTGGTAGCAACTAAACTTAAACTCCAGTGTTATGATTGTACAACGCGTCTACTAATTTCTTTGCAGGAGTGATGCTGCTGTATTTCAGGTGAACGCAAATGAAAAGAGACAAATGAATGAAAACAAAGCCCAGAGTACGATTCGCAGTGAGCTAAATACAACAATGCTGTGGTTCCGAATAGTAGTGGAGGACCTGGTAGTAGTTTAGGGTTGAATGTCCTGCCCTTCAGTTGTTTGGTGAGCTGGAGATGAATAACGTACCTTTCTCTCTCGGTCCCCAGGCTCTTCTACATGGTAGCGGTGTTCTTCGTGTTCAGGATGCGTTTCTACGCAGCGTGGTGTGGAGCCGAGGCTGGTTGTATCAGCGCAGGTCTTGGCTGCTATCCTGAAAAGGCGCTGTCCAAACCTGGAGGAGGACCCTCCGTCAACTACAGGTACGTGATCGCGGGACGAACCGGTGTGTCGAACGACGGTGTGTCGAACGACGGTGTGTCGAACGACGGTGTATCATCACTGGTGTGTTTCGTCACATGTTGTTGCAGGCGATGACATCCCAGTGTCTGACTAACTTGTTGATATTATAAATATCAAAAGTTGATATTTATGCCTCGTCGTTTCTTTGTTTGTTCCCCTCTTGTGGCCAGTCCCGATCCATCAAATGAAGAGAAATACGACTTCAAAACCATCCAGAACATTGACTGCTACAACACAGACTTCTGTGTGAAGGTCCGCCATGGCATGCGCTACTGGAACATGACAGTGCAGTGGTGGCTGCATCACTACATCTACCCCAATGCCCCCTTCAAATCCTACGCTCTCAGGTAACTCATCCATAAATCAGATAACAGACCCGTGTACTGGTGCCTCAAATGTGAAAGATGTTAGATGTGAGGTCATAGCAAGCATCTCCAGAAAGGTTGCGTAGTCATGGTTTCCCTTCTTAATATGCAAGTCTTTAAAAAATGTTCACGGTTATAGGTTTTTATTGTTCTTTAAAATAAACTACTGGGTTCTTTAGTTTTCACCATCAACATTGATATAATAAGTACAAATAATTCTGTGGCTGCTTTCTTGGATTTAGTCCACCAGTGAGTATTTAGGCAACAGGAAGCTGTAAGTTGGAGCGATGCGTGAACTCTAGGCAACAGTATGGATGTGGTATCATCTCTCCTGTAACTCTCAGGGCCGGCTGGACCATGTTCATCAGCGCCTACTGGCACGGACTGCATGTCGGCTACTACCTCTCCTTCCTCACCATCCCCCTGTGCATCGCTGCCGAGTCGGCCATGGAGGCCTCTGTCCGCGCTAAGCTGGGTCCTTCTGGTCAGAACATCTTCGACTGGGTCCACTGGTTCCTGAAGATGAGGGCCTACGACTACATGTGCATGGGCTTCGTGCTGCTGAAAGCCTCGGACACCATCAACTACTGGACCTCCATCTACTTTATCATGCACATCATCGCCGTTTGCTGCATCATAGTTGGCAAGGTTCTGGGGGGGAAGCGGGAAGGAAGCAGAGGGGAGAGGGGTCAGAAAAAAGATGTGGAGAAGATAGAAAACTTGAAACCGGGGGAGAAAACAGACTGAAAGAAGAAACAGGAGAGAACTGGGTGGGAACTTTTTTTGCGGGGGGTTTTGGGGCCATGAGGAGGAATTACTTTGAGACTACAATTTATAAACATAAAGTGCACCAACTCTTATCTTTCTAGAAACAAACACCCTGCAGGTCCAATAAGATTCATTGTGGGAAAATGTGAGAAAAGTTGGAAAAATCTGGTAATTGAACTTAAAAGTACTGTGAATACTGGGGGAGGAATGTTTGAGCTCAAGGAATGTTACTTTTATAGTGTGAGCTGCAACTGGGGAGTAGTTAATAGTTTAAGAGCATCTGCCTGTACAGTATGAGGTTCCTCATCAGAACTCGGATGTCATTTTTATCTGTTTTTGAATTTCTTTAATTTTATGTTACAAAATATTTCTGCTGCCATTTGGAGTCTTAAATCAGAGAATTGACTATTGACACCAGTAAACAGTCTTTACTGTTTTTACAATTTTGTTTTTTTTTAATGGTTAAGTTCAATCCAATAACTAGAGTACACGGTCCAGAGTACATTTGTCTTTTTTGTCTAATTGCGTTAGGACGTCTTTTAGATTTGGTTTCCAGCATTATAATGTTCCTCAAATAATTTTGCTTTTGTTTTTATCAAAAATGTCTCCGTTGTTCTACTTGTAACTGAGTGCATATCGGGAACATCTGCACTGACCGCTGTACATATAAGAGAGCAACACTCCCTTCACTGCCAAAATGTCTGTACTGCCCTCACGTACCGTTCACGGTTGGGACCAAACATTTGATAATCTGCTAATATAATTCATGAGAAACGGCACAGCTCGGGCCGGGCAATATCGTTGAGGTCACAACGTGGATCAAGCTATTTCCTGAAATTGATATATGCCGCGATGTAAAAAAAAAACATTGATAATTTAATAAAACTGATGTTCAATAAACTGTTGCTACGTTATGCATTGCATGTGACTAAACTAGACAAAAACAAGACAAATGTTTTTAATTAGAGGCTTGCTCTGAAACGTTATATGTACTCATCGCCCGGCCCTCGACCGTGATTAACACTTTTTTTTTTCTTTCACTCACTCTCTGACATCCTGTGATAACAGCTGCGTCTGTGTTGTAAAGGTCTTTTCTAGCGTTGGAAACCCGAGATCATTTGAATCAAAAACACATTCTGTGTCATGCTTTGAACCGTAGAAATGATTCCCTTTGTGTTCCTTATTGCGCAGTGATGATTGTGACTCCGCACTATTTATTGTTCAGCCTTTCGTAGCTTTGCACGCTGCACCGGCTGACGCTCCGTGTCAGTGTTACTTGTGGAATACATATCAGGATTTCCTCCTCAATGTTACTGTCTTGCCTTTTCTTTCTATAAAGTCTACTTTACTTTGTTAGCGAGGAAGCTGATGTTTTAATATGGAGTATAAATCACTAAGATAATTCTTGTAGAAGAATCACATTTTTTTCAGTTGTCCGACTGGGGAATCATTAACTCTCCGACATTAGTTAGAAAAAACAAAACCCACAGCTGCTTAGTCACCACACAACAGTGTTTCAGTACTTTCTTTCTTTAGAAGAGAAGCAGTAACATTTTGTATGCGGGATTTCATATTTACTTTAAATTATACATTCCATTTGTTACCATCTCTGTCCACAATTTCACCAAAATAATTGCTTCACTCTTCTTAAAGCTACACAATAATACAAATTAATTCAAGTACAATCTGTTTTCATACTGTCTGCAGGTAGTCAATTAATGGCAACTATCTCCATGGCAATAATGGGTTAAATCCTACACGGAAGTACCTGTGTGGTCGTTTACAAAAGGGAGTAAAGTCCGTGAGAGAAAACAATAGGGCAGGTGTTCCTGGATGGGCAGCATTTCCTCATGACGAGCTCGTCCACCGTTTGTTTAGTTCTGGATTTGTTGCTGGAAAACTGAACTGTTGAACTGCATTAGAGAAATGGCCAGTGAACCACAGAGAGGCTCGAGAGAGGCGTACGACTACGCTGAAGGTGTGTATTTTCCTACCTTTGAACACGTTTACTTAGATATAATTGTCCTTTATCCCTCAAACACCATCTCAACTGTCTAGATTTCGAAATCATGTCTCTGCTGATATGGAATCATCTTGCGGTCGGAGTGAATCGCGTTGACTGATGTTTGCTTTGAACCCTACTTGCTCAACTGCTCCCAGTGCGTAACCGCAGTGACCAGCAGTCGCTGCGGTTACGACGGGTCTCCTCTCGGGTGTCCAATCACAACTATCCTGAGAACGACCTGCGGCCGACTCCTGCAGAGGAGAATGAGGAGGGCGACAGTGGACCACCCCGGGAGCTCAAGACCATTCCTCTGCCCATGGCGTTGAAGAGAGCTGTGAGGTATGAAACCCGCTGCTGAAGGTTCACTGGTGTACCTTTTGAAGGTTTTGGTGATTTTATTACATTATGAATTATTGCCTTTTATCCCCCAGTTATATTTTTACTTGTGTTTATACCTGAATTGAGGCTAACTAATTCCCCTCTGCAGGACTTTCAGTCAACTCCAGCTCTTTTTATATGTGGTATATAATATTGTATATGTACCATAGAAATAAGTTGCCTTGAAACATGACTCAAAATGAATGGATGGATGTTTTGGAAGGTTTCGGTGGCTGCCAAGCTCCACATTGCAACATAAAAGTGAATGCTTAAAATCAGTTATTGCTGGTGCAAGTCAAATCATATTTTTTGTTCTTAGTGCACTTAATGTGTGATAAGAGGTTTAATATTTCCCCATTTAATTTAATCGGACTACAATTAACTGCCTGAACTAGTTGGGATGTCACAAAATCTTGAGCATTAACAACAAAGATTAAACTCAGACTTACGGTGAGGAAAGACAAACTTACTTACTTCAAACTCCTACACAATATATGACACACATCATATATTATTCATTAAGGTTGAAGTGAAATAACACTAAGCAATGGCAATTAATGGAGGGGATCTGTAATAGTTGAATATGTACAAAGCTTGTTCAAACAGAGTAGACTAATGCAACTGACTTAGAATAATTAGACTACGAATTAGACTAATTAGACTTAAGATTAAGATTCAACTTTATTGTCATTGCACAGAGTACAAGTACTGAGGCAACGAAATGCAGTTTAGCATCCAACCAGAAGCAAAATAGCAAAAAGTGCAGAGTATGTGCATATGAATAAATAGATATGTACAGTAAGAAATAGATATGCAATATGAACAGTAATTGACTTAATGTGATTGCTAGTTTCCCTTTAATAAACGCTAAATTAAGTACGGAACCATATAAGCACGAATTATACCACACAGTATCCAGAGTCATTAAAGTGTGTCTGTTACAGGCAGGCGCAGGAGATGCATGTGCCCGTGGTTTCCAGGAGGCAGGCCTGGCGACGGAGAAAGTCTCTGCATAAACTAAAAGAAAAAGCCAGAGAATGTCTCCACTTTTTCACACTGTGGAGAAAGTCTCTTCAAAAGATTGGAGGTAAACCTTTAATGGCTCATTTCTGGACTAAAGATCAGAAATGAGCCATTAATGTAACAATGTTACCTGAATAATATCGTTCAATTTCACTTTACTCAATTTTGGGATTTTAAATTAAATCTTTGGCTCCTTCCAGGGAACTTCGGAGGTGGCGTCGAGTCCTACTTCCTGTTCCTGCGATTCTTGGTGGTGCTGAATTTTGTTTCCTCTTTACTGATTGCGGGATTCGTCCTCATCCCCAGCATCGTCTTCAGATCTGTCGGGGGCAGCGCCGTTAACGGCACTGGTAAAGTCTTGTTCAAGTGGCAGTAAATTAAAATGAGTTTTAAAGCTGACTTATATGTGACTGTGTTTTACAGGTCCAGATGAATGCACAGTGTATGACCCCAATCCTCAAGGCTTGGACTTATTCTATAATTACTTCCTTAACTTACTTTCGGGGACGGTGAGAGACTACAGCATCATCACACTCCCCCTCAAAGACAAAAGAAGTGCAGAATGTTTGCACACGTATCAGTGTTTTTTTAAACCGTCAGCTTTCTATACATGTGTAAACTCTCTGTAGCCAGGACGTTAGAAGTTCTGCAGTCATGAGTCCTACATGTGGCTTTTTGAATAAAACGAAGCTTTATGCTGTTTAATAATTTCTAGATACATTTTATTCCTGGCAGACTCCTTATTTACCAAGACAAGAAGATTATTATGATATTTTCAGGATGTTTTCACAAACACAATTTTCAACAAATCATCCCTCAGCAAATTTGATTTAAAACACATCCCATGAACATCAGCCATGACTGTCCTCTCCTCTTTGTTCAGGGTTTCATGGAGTATTCCTACCTGTTTTACGGCTACTATAACAACACAACGGTGGAGGACAGGAACTTCTCCTACAACATCCCCCTTGCCTACCTCTTCACTGCCGTCTTCTACTTTGTCTTTTGTCTCATTTGTATCATTGCACGGTCAGTCATTGAACAAATCGTTTCAATATTAACGACAAAGAATACATGTGTATGTGTGTTCAGCCATCAGCGAGGCGTTCAATAGGGTGAAATAAACAGACTCACAAATAGAAGCCGGATTCGAGAGTTCAGTCACTTTGACCTGCATCCTCTTCTCTGTCTGGCTCTCGCCGTGAAGCATGGGGACTGCAGCTCAAGTTGCCGTGGCAACGGGAGGCGGCGCTGTGGGCAACTACAGCGTGATATTGTTCACCAACTGGGACTACGGCTGCCAGGGCGACCAAGCTACCAAACTGAAGCAGAAGAACATCCTTTACCGACTGCAGGTCAGACGGGATCCGTCCCACTTAGCAGGATGAAGGAAAGTCAGGAAAATTGTTTTACTGTGTGGAGGAAATGCCGTTCTGCAGTCATTCCCTGCATCATTTTGTCTCTTTCTTATTCTCTGTCAGGTGGATCTGGAGGAGGAGAGCAGAAAGAAAAAGACAGCGGCTCTGACTTTGGGGCAAAAACTTATTTTATACTCCCTACGTGTTTTCATGTTTTTGGTGTCATTGGGGCTCATTGTGGCAGCCTGCTACGGCATCTTCAAGGCCACCAACTTCAGCCAGGTACATTTCTGGAAAAGATGTTTATGGGATTTACGGTCTGAAAGTCATCTGTGACCTTTTTGTTTCCCATTTGTGACACACAGATAAAGAGTGGTGTTAAAGGGATCCTGGGTTTGGTTTATGAGTACCTACCTTCGATTGTCATCACCATTGCAAACTTCCTGGTGCCGCTGCTTGGTGACCAGATCGCCCGGGTAGAGCGATACTCCCCTAGCAATACTGTCATAGTGGCTCTATTAAGGTTTGCACTTTAAAAAAAAAACATTTTTAGACCAAATGTGTTTTTTTTCCATGCCGTTTTTCGACCCCACATATTTAGTTTAAAAAAAGAAGAAAATGACCTAATATTTTTGGACTTTTCCGAAGTCTTTGTCAAGTACCTATTTTAATATATTTTTTGACATATACGTTTATTACTTTTTTCCATTACATTTTTTGACCTAACACATTATGACTGTTTTTCATTTTCTGTGAGATCGGTATTATGTCAAAGCATTTGCCTTTAGTCATTTGTTTGTTATGGGTTAACACTGACTTCTGATATTTTACAAAATCGGCCACAAAAAAGGAAATGTGCATCTTATACTGAAAACCTTTCCTTAGGAAAAGCAGATGCTTAATTGCAATTACTAGTCCATCATGCAATAGTGTATTTAAGTAAAGTGATGCATTTTCAACCAAATGCAGTTAAACTATCAAAAATGTAGTGTAGTAATGAGTTGTCTTTTCTATTCCACTCATAGAGCGGTTTTCCTTCGTCTTGTGAGTCTGGCTGTTCTTCTCTTCACCCTGTGGCGTCAGATCACCTGTGAAGGGAACATAGAAAGTCCAAATTGTAAACTGTGCCACTACAACTATAATGACCACCCGGTAATTCTATTTCTTGAGTGTACATGTGAATTATTTTTAAACATGCTTCGATCAAAAAGGTCCCCCAGCTCCTTGACAACAGTTTAAGAATCAAACAGTTATTGCCATGTTTACATGAGCAAATACATCTGTATGCATATTTGCATCGTCGAGACAGTTTGAGTGGATCAACTCAGGAAATACCGGCAAGAATGAGAAACAAACAGATTGATGGTAGTTTTGTTTTGCCAAACACCTGTGAGTCACTAGAATAAAACATATGACATCATCCTGCTGAGGTAGTTATGAAACTGTCACAAAGTCATAACTGAAAAAGAGCGCAGCCAGCTGAGTAATCGATCATTTAATCCATGCAGTATACTCACAGCTCATGTAATAATAATAAGGAAATGATAGATAGATGATAAGCCTACGTTGGGCAACATAGTCCTTATTAAATCATTTGGGTGAAACCCAGAAGAAAGAAAAAGAAGGTTAATTTTGGATGTTCTCACCAGTTGAAAATTGTCGGAACATTTCCTGTTTGTGTCTCGGCGCAGTGCTGGGAGACGCGCGTGGGACAGGAGATGTACAAGCTGACACTGTTTGACTTCCTCGTCAACTTCGCTTTGCTCTTCTTGGCGGAGTTTCCACGCAGGTACAAGTCCCGGTGCTTTTGTCCATATTAAATTAGACATTTTGCAAATGAGTACAGTACATGAAGATTTTAATATGTCTGATAATAATTGTACTGCGTTTGTGTTTGCATGTTTGTCTCAGAATGGTGGTGGACAACTGGTCCAGTAAGCTGGCTCAGTGGGTGGGTCGACAGGAGTTTGTGGTTCCTGCCAACGTGCTCGGACTGGTTTACGGTCAGACGGTGGTGTGGACCGGAGCTCTTTTTTGCCCGTTGCTGCCGCTCATTAACACCATCAAGTTCATACTCCTCTTCTACTTCAAGAAGGTGAAGATGTTGCTTCGACACGGCCGACATTTCAACAAAATGCCAGTTTGTTGGTCGAGCAAGGACAAAGTTGTTCACCAACATTGATTTTGTCCCTGACCATGTCCACGTGGACACTTTCCCCCTCAGACCACGCTCTTCTATAATTGCCGGCCAGCACTGAGGACGTTTCGCTCCACCTACTCCACCGTCGTCTTCCTGGTGGTACTCCTGTTCGGTTGGGGCCTGGCCACAGTTGTCATGGTTTACAGTCTCGCTCAGTGAGTGCTGATTAATTTTGCCTTCTCTGCTTTACGAATCATGACAGAAGCGCTATATTAGCTTGGCGCTGGCTGTGACCAATCATTGTTTTTAAACAGCAGCGGAAGTGTACTTTGAGGTTTGTACCCTGCAGGTCAAAATATAAATAATCATAGGAGGCCTGGCAGATTGTAACAGTGTTCAATGTTGTATTAGATTGTTGAAGACAAGTGTGTCCCTCTTTCCACCCAGGATCAGTCCTTCTAGGGGTTGCGGTCCTTTCCGGTTCTTCCCCAGCATGTGGTCGATTGTTCCAACTTCTTTCTACCGCCTCTCTGAAACTACACAGGACTTTCTCTTCTTCATCGGCTCCCAGTCATTCTCCATCCCCCTGTTTGCATTATCGTGGTGAGTTAACTTATTCTGTCTGGAAGATTATTCTTCTGGCATATACAATTATTTACTCAAAGCCAAATGTTGAAGGAAGCTTATATGGAACTTGCATAGTATGCGGTATTTAACTGTCTATTGTATGATGAATGATCACGGCTGCTTTCTCCTTGGCAGTGTGGTGATGTGCTATTTTGTAGCCTTAGCCTCCGTTTATGGGAAATCTGTCGCCCTGTTAAGAGCTCAGCTTAAACTGGTAAGTTGTTGGCATTTACCTGAAATGTGCATTGCAATTGTAAGACTTGGTTACTGAATATTGACAATATGTATGTAGGCCTAGATTCTTTGTTTAATACAATAGCGGGTGTTTGGCTTACAGGAGGGCCGTGACAAGCAGTTCTTGGTGAAGCAGATTGAGGAGCTGAGTCGACATCAGATACTAAAACATACAGCAGGGGCATACGAGTAATCATAGCATAAGGACCATATTTTAGTTGTATCACCTGTTGTGGAATATTTTAATACAACTAGTTCCGGAGAAGAGAAAGATTTATTTCAATGGTTATCTCATAAAAACAAAGTCTTGATGACTGAAGTCCATTTATTGCTTGCAAGCAGGAGGTCAAATACACAAGCGCGTATTACAGCGCTCGGTAGAGATAGCGTCTCCGAGCAGCCAAAGCGCTGAGCTTTTATACACACACAGATGAAGGTCATCCCCAGTGGCAGGTGGCGCCAAATCATAACTACTAGACCACATGGGAGATGGCAGACATGAAACTTGCCAACCAAGTGAGATATGAAGCACGATGGTTACGATGGGGTAACAGACATTTGTCGAGCGTTTGTGTGAGAGCATCTTGACTCTCCCTCCTTTATTCACACACAGCTGCAAATGAAAACTTTGAATCATTCTGCTTTTCACACGTTAAACTTCAATACAGCCAATGATCACTCTTTTTAGCATAAGACTATGTTATAACATATTTCACTATTACACACCTAAACAAGATACAACATGATGAGGATTGTATGTATGAAGTGAGTGTCACATAATGCTGGCTTGGGTTAACAATCATTGTTGTTGGTTGTTGACACGTCAGACAGATATTAGTTTTTACTTAACATGTAAATGTATTATGTTAACCTAAGTAAGTGGTATATGATTGAATTACATTAAGATTATCATGTTATGTAAATTGCAACAAATCTTTGTTATCAATAAAGTGCTTCCCCCACTTTTATTTGTCCATGCAAAAGGAGATATTTTGTATTTTCTTCTTTTACATAATAAATGAGAGGACGTTTTGCTCCCTCTAGTGTCAAAATCTTGTTTTTGCAAAAATATGTTACGTTTACTTCCGGTTTGCGGCTGCTAACTAGTTCCTGTGCGCTACATCAGCAGCCCGCAGGAGAACCTCTCATCCCATTAAGTCAGTGCGATATATTTGTCCTTCTGTTCGTGTTACATATTTGAAAATATGAGTTTTGGGGAGCGAGTTAAATGTCTCTCCTCGCATTTGTATCATTAACCTGCTGCGTTAAGCTGGGAAATAGCATACCGTGGCTAACGTTAGCTTAATTAGTAACAGCCGCAACTGAACTGTGGCATTTCTCTTATTTTCTGACCGAAACATCCAGCTAATTTAACCCCTCCTCATTCTCCACCTGCTCGCTCTACAAGTGTTACTGTTTCCTTAAGTCAGTGTTGAGCTGTGTTTGTTCATACTTAAGTCAGAACTAGCCCGCGCGGCTATCTGACCGCTACCGTATAGGATCATCGGTCACCCAGGTAACGATGAACATCCTTCCGAAAAAAAGCTGGCACGTTCGCAACAAAGACAACGTCGCGCGCGTGCGGAAAGACGAGGCCCAGGCGGCAGAGGAAGAGCGCGAGGCCAAGCGGCGCGTGGAGCGTGCTGAGCAAGAGGTGAGCCCCTACAGCTATTCACTGAGCACACCTACAGGGTGTCACAGTGATCAGACCTACAGGGTGTCACAGTGATCAGACCTACAGGGTGTCACAGTGATCAGACCTACAGGGTGTCACAGTGATCAGACCTACAGGGTGACACACTGAGCAGACCTACAGGGTCTCATAATAAGCAGACCTACAGGGTGTCACAGTGAGCGGACCTAGGGTGTCACAGTGAGCGGACCTACAGGGTGTCACACTGAGCACACCTACAGGGTGTCACAGTAATCAGACCTACAGGGTCTCATAATAAGCAGACCTACAGGGTGTCACAGTGAGCGGACCTACAGGGTGTCACAGTGATCAGACCTACAGGGTGTCATAATAAGCAGACCTACAGGGTGTCAAGGTGAGCATACCTACAGGGTGTCACAGTGATCAAACCTACAGGGTGTCACACTGAGCACACCTTCAAGTCCCAGCCAATAGGGCTCCAACTAATTGTCACAAAACAAATACTGGCACATTGTATTGTATTATGTCTATATTCTTGTAATATTTATGAAGTTATCCTTGAAGGACTACAAACTGATTATGAAGAAGGCTGTATTGGTCTTTATGCATTTTTTTTGGAATAACAACTCTTCTTCCCCACAGGCTCGTACAGAGTTTTTGAGAAAGAAATCCAGAGCTGCTCTCCATTCAGCAGGAGAACAGAGGGATGAAGAAGCTGATGACGATGGTGACAAACAGAGTGGAGGAAGTAGAGCTCTGGAGCATCTTAATCTTTTCCCCCTCGAGGAGTCCTCAGAGAAGAAGGGGAATGAGGAGTATCTCAAAGACAAGAAAGATGAACAGGTGAGGGTGTTACTTCTTCTGACTCTTTCATTCAGCAGTAATGTATTTAAAAAGAAACAAACAAAAGTTAACATTGTTATAATAATTCTTTGTCACGGCATCAAGACATTTTGCTCAACTCGCATTTTAATGTGTTTATCCGTCAGCGTTGTAGTGATCATGTGTGAATGAGAACAACGTGAAAAGGCCTTTTCAATGTAGAACCACCTCTTTTATGAGCTTTTGAGCAGTTGGCCGTATGGATGGATCTCGTGTTGGGTCCTTCTATGCACGGGTGTTGTGCGCCACAGGGACACAGCTTGTGATCACAACGTTTTGACTAAACAATGTGCCTGTTGTGGCACGTTTATTCATTGAGCGGTTTGAGCAACTGTTACTTGTGTCCGTACTGCCTCAGTCATTAATGCATAGGAATATGAGGGAATATTGAATTGCAATATTTACAATCAGTGGCAGCAGTACGGTTCAGGTTGCGGACAAAGCGCATTATATATTATCTGGATGCAGGCCGGCCGCGTGAAGCATACGAGCAGTGTAAACAGATGGAGCGCGAGAGAAAACCACTGAAACCGCAAGAGACACAGAGCTGTTGATGTGATCCAGCTTAATAATCAAATCACAGTCAAGAGATGGGCAAAAGGAAAATTGAATAATTTTACAGTTATTGCTGTTCTCCACATTTGTCAGTATTTGGCGCTGCTGTCATTGTCAACACATTTTAGTCACTGTGGCGTTTCCCTGTGTCTTTCCCAGGAGAAGCAGGAGCGAGCTATCGGCTTGCTGGTGTCTCTTGGACCCCAACCGGGGTCTGAAGTCACTCCGTGGTACATGAAAACTGGCAAAGAAAAAGAGGAAGCAAAAGAAAAGGAAGAGCGAAAAGATCCAGAGAAAAAGAAGGGAATAAGTGAAGAGGAGAAAGAGAAGAGAGATCGCCGATTGAAAGATAGTTTGGACCCATTGAAAGAGATGAAGAAAATAATGGCTGTAAAGGACAGAAAATATAACAACAAGAAAAAGGAAAGAAGAGCCAAAGGGGAAAAGTGGAGCAGTGGAGAGAGGTAAGAAAGTCAATTTATCTTGTTACGTATTACTATAATATAAAAACTAATTTGAAATAAACTATCTGATCATCTAGTACATTGATTTCAACCCAATAACTCTACATATTTAGACGTGGTTGGCATTATTCCCTTTTTTCTGTTTAGTTTTAAAGTTCTTCTTTATTATATAATTGATAGCACGTTCTTTCACGTTGTGTCAGCTAGCGTACAGTTAGCTCAGCATAGGTTAAAGACCCGACCAAAGGGGAGGGGGGGCGAGAGGAGGATTCATAACTACGGCGTGACGGTCATGATATCAATAAAATAGAAATCTTTCTTTTGCAGCTCCATAGAACGGTTACGTGCCGAGCGCTTACAGAGGGAGGCGGACGAGAGGAGGAGAACCCAGGCCCTCCTCGACCAGAGGAACGGCAAAGGGAAGGAGCCGGGGAAGGACACGAATGAGAGGGAGAGACCGTACAACAGTGCTTATTTCCCAGAACTTGCTCGAAAGCGTCAAAGGCGGGACCGAGATAGCTGGAGGGATGAAATATTAAAATCATGAACTCTGTTTATTGCTTCACAGTGCTCCATGCTGGATGGTTAGTGGACAAAAGTTTACATCTTTTCTTCCCTAAAGGAAGCAATGTAAAATGTCAAAAGGTTCGATGGAAAGTGTTGGGAACCACATGACCTTTAAAAAGGCCACTTGTAGGCCATTTTTCATTTATTTTTATTTATGTCATTTGCCGTTACCTTTGTCGCCTGCAGCGTTTTGCTGGGATGACGTCAGCGGGGTAGATTTGTTGTCATTGTTTTCATCACAGGGGGCTTGATACTAGATGTGTTTATACTATTGTTAAAATTCCAAGGATGATGAAAACAATCTGCACACACTGCATGAATAAGTCTTTCATGTTCCTAATAATTGCGGCGTGAAGGTCAGCATATGAGTAAAATAATAGAAAATAAACTGGCATAGAGCTGAAACAACCATTTGAGTAATTAATTAGTTGATTGGTGGAAAATATTTATAATTATAAAGTGTAATATACTTTTTCTCATTTTTATTTTTCTAGCTCTTTTTTTATCGTATGAGCTGAGTTTGAGTTTTGGACCCTTTGGTACAATCAAATAATGAATGAACGTTTTCAACAACCATCTATGTCACAGAAAAGCCCTGCTATAAATAACTCCTGCTATGATGTGGTCATTTTAGTCTTTTGCATGTTGGCCCAACGTCTGGCTCACCGGGACAGAAGATGGAATGATGCCGTTTTTTTGTTCAAAGTCAAAACGTCTGCTGTTGTGTCATTGCATCAACACAAAATAAGAATATCAACTTGCTGTTTTCCTTTCTGTAAATGTTGTTAAAATACACACATCTGAAACAAATATTTTCATGAGTGATGCTCGTTTTTCTGTGGTGAAGATAAGTTGTGTTGGGCTTCACCGAATCATTTCTTGATCGATTTCAAGTTAAACCGAAGCTTTCAACTATTATCGGGCTGCTGTATTATGTAACATTGGCCATTTAATGTTATACCAAATAAAAGAAAACAAAGAAAGCTAGTATCTTTGTAGGCTGTTGACATATTTAATTATATTTTATATTTTTATAATGGAAGTGGACGTGGCACCCTCAAGTTATTTTCAAAATTGATTATGAATCCAATATGAGATCGATATAAACCCACTACCGAGCACCACATTAAGCCCTTTTACCTTCTTTGGGAACATTATCACCAATTATTTATTTCGTCCTCGGCATCACCTGGCAGCGTGATGATGATCGAACTGGACCATGACAATGCGCGCCGTGCGCGTCTGACGTAGGCTGGTGGAGGTGGGGGGGGGGACACAGACAACAGCGAGAGATAGAGGGAGAAAGAAAGAATCAAACACGCCGCCTGTGAGTACAGCGGGTGGTGTTTTCATTCCAGCGGCTGACGGAGGCGGAGCTGTAACGTGCAGCCGAGCGGAGGCCCGACGGATGATGCACAATGGAGCGTCGCGCGCGCCGCGTTTAACTGCGGATTAGAGGAGGAGGTTGGAGGTGGAGGTGGGGGAGCACGCAGAGCGAGACGCGCTTTATTATCAGGAGAAAAAGCGGCGGGGAGAAGAGGGGAGAGGGGAGGGGAGGGGGGGGGGGGACACACACAGATAGCGTGAGCCCGGAGACGACACAGACCGTGGCGGCGGCGGCGGCGACGACGGCGACGGGGGGGTGACGGGAGAGAGGAGGACACCAACGCCGACAGCCGGTGGCGTCGCTCGGATGGTGTTGTTGTTGTTGTTGCTCCGGACGAGGCGACGATGCGGCCGCACTGCTGGGTGATGGTAGTGCTGGCGGGGACCATGTCGTACTTCAGCCCGGAGAGAGCGCTCGGAGCCCCGCAGAGGGAAGGTGAGCGCGGTCGGAGGAGAGGAGGATGGGGGGGGGGGTGTTTGAAAACATGTCAGGGATGCAGGAGAAAGGAGGAGAGGGAGAGAGAGAGGCCTTTCCATATAAAGAGGGTGGTGGGGGGGCATTGTGTTATCATCCAATATGACTTAGACATAATGCGAATTCGTATATTGCAGCAGTCTACGTGGCTGACTTATAAAAACAGGAGCGAGGCTGATTCGGTGATGGGGAGGGTACCACATTTGCATGCAGTGATGAAAATATTAGGGGGGGGGGGGGGGGGGGGGGGGGGGGGGGGGGGGGGGTTCGATCTCGGGCCTCACATCGATGGCATTAAATAATTTAAAAAAACAGCACATACTGTCTGGATAGCGAACTGAACCACTCGGTCGGTGCGAGATATCGTCTAAAAATAGCCTCCGCTTGGCGCTGGAGATGATTTAGCTTATTAACCACTGCTGGCATCTTTGTTTTTCCTTAATCTGAATATGACTTCTACCCCCCCCCCCCAAGATCTGGCAGAGTGTTGTGTTTGTGTAATGTGTGCAGTCATTGTATTGTGGTGTATTGTTTTGATTGGAGCTTCTGGCACCGAGCTGGTGGAAAAGGCCCCGTGTTTGGTTCCTATTTATATGCAGTGTCTGTCTGGACGTCTGTCTATAACGATGCAAGAATAGCACAACAACTGAGATCGTTCTTCAGGATTGACGCCACCAGTTATATGTTTGTGGTGCATATTTAGGGGAACGCATTGCCAAAAGGGTATTCATATTCAGCCCTTGTTTAGCAGGTGCAGGGATTAAGAATTGTTATCAACAATTAGCTTTATTTCTCTGTTGCATGCACTAAACGGGCAGGACTGATTATCAGCATTTTAAGCATTTTAAGCAATTTTAAGCTGCAGATTGGAGCATTCACCAGCTTACAATTTGAAATGAGGGTGACCTTAAATGCTGAATAGATCTTTACTTTGAGCAGGATGTGAGACGGGTGAAATCCTCTTCTGTTAAAACACGACAAATACCAGAAAATAAAAAGGTGATAAATGTATTCATTTAAAAAAGCCACATTTTTATCCAGCAAATATAATCAAAAATCCCTTCATGTGTTATATTTTTAGTAGAAAGCTGGTCCTCTTTTTACAATATTTATCAAGGTAGTACATTATTAAATATACTTTGAAATTGATGTATGCAGTGTTTACAGTATCATGACCTTGTGAATGAATGTATTTTTGGATATGGGCGAGAGATACAGAATGAAATTGGGATATTTTAAGGCTTATACAAAATAAGCATATTGTTTCAATATCATTTTTGTTAATCTAACTCCATGGTTTATTATCACGTTTTCTCCAATGCATCTTTATTATCTCACATGCTAAAAATTATTTAAGAGTGTTTAGGTCTTTTCGTTGTGTAAATAAACTGTTTATTTATCTATATCAGTGGTACAGTTCTAAAGTTTGCAGACGCAACTAAACTATATGAGCCTAAAATGCTGCTATATTTATATCGACTTGGACAAGGCTAAGTCGTGGTTTGAGTATACCTTTATATATATAAGCCCTTCAACTTCTGACCGTATGAAGGTGTCATTGCTCTTCTCTGTTGTCGTCTTTGTCTACTGATATAATGTTTGACGTATTTTGGCTGCAGTAGTAAAGGAAATACCTGAAGGGTATTTAATCACCCTGCCCTGCCCCTTTTCTTTTCTACAGATGGTTCACTTCCCACAATCGACTACGTTGAGGTACAAAAATCAAAATGTCCCGATCCCTCCCTGTCTCACCTAATTAGTCAACTTTCCTGATTTGAGTAACTCTTTCCAGTTTCCAACCCTTCCCAATTAGCGCTCCTTTTTCCCTAAATGACAACCAGCCACCCCTCCCCTGCTTCTTAACTGTGTTTCCCGAGTGGAATGCCATCTCCAACATTTACCCTTTTACCCCGTGCTTTCTTCCTCACCGGAATGGTACATTATCCCACTTTCAAAATTGTATTCAAGTCTCTGCTTTCTTTTAATGATTCAGACGTTTTCTTCAAGTGAGTTTCCCTTCCTGCTTTTTACTCCCAAACCCCCGATGCAAGCTGTCCGTTGGGGTCCTCCACTGTTTCCCCAAACCTGCTGCTAAGAAAACGCTTCGATGGTTTCCCTCTTAACAAAACATCTGTGCAATAAGATTTCAAACTTTTCTGATTCAGTCAAGTGTCTCTTCTTCCTTCTCACTGACTCAAACCTAACAGCTCGTACCCTTTTATATTCCTGTGTTAAACCCTTTCCTCTCCTGTCCTCTTCTTTTCTGTCTTCAGTGTCTCAGACCAGAGCTGCTTCCCTCTCTCCTCCGCCCTACGTCGTCATCCTCATCTCTTGCTCTGGCCTTGTCTCTTTTGTCCTGCTCCTCCTGACCTGTCTGTGCTGTAAGAGAGGAGGAGTGGGGTTCAATGTAAGTCTTCAACATGTAAGAGATCTATTCACCTCCCTCTGCCGCCTTGGTTTTGTCACACCATTTTGTGCATGCTGGCATGGCTTTGATTTAAGCCTGACTTAACATACCACTGCGGGAATGGAAACAGGGCTAAATAATTCCAACTTAAAGAAGTAAAAATGGTCAATAACCCTCTGTTGTTTAGTCTTAACTTCCATCTTTGACCTTACCTCTCGACCGTGTTGTTGGGCTGGCAGGCAGGGTGTTATTAGTTCAGAGCGGCTGCACTCTCTTTGTCTGTCCTTGTTATTTACATCTAAATTAAATTATTTAACCAAATTATTTAGAGAGCTTCTTTTCATATTTTCAATTATACCCTGGGTGGGTTTTTCCTGTGCTGTTGTGACACAACCAGGAGTTCGACAATCCAGACGGGGAGGAATGCTCCGGAGGCTCCAGTCCCATCCAGGAGGACAGCCTGTCGTCATGCGCCTCCCTCCCTGAAGTCTACACCTTGCCAGTCCGAGAGAGGCCCAGCTGCCTCGCCCGGCAGGATGGAGCAGGTAACAACCTCAGACTCTCATCTGATGCACAAAACCCCGAAGGGGGAAGCCTCACGGTCGGTTGCCTCAGTCACTGTGGATCCACTGAGGCCTCAAACTGAGGCAGCGACCTGCGGTAAGATTCTGGTGAGTGATCCGTGTGAGGATTCTGGAATCAGGAACATTTATTGTCAAAGTATATTGGACATACAAGGAATTTGACATGGCGGGTGGTGCATAACATTGGAACATAAGATTATAAGACAAAGAGACAGCACTCCAAGTTGGACATTTGCCTAAAGAGGATGTTATTAGTGCACCTTATGATGTCTCTATTGGATCTTTCATTCAAGATTCTTTATGAAAACTAAGAAGTATATATTATTTCTAAGCATTTTAAGTAGGTAATAAAATATAAGGCTTACGGTAAAACATATGAGCCAAATTACATTTGAGTTAATATCATAATTATATATTTTTATTTGTCTTACAAATTTTCTGCAGGGGATCTTTAATGGCTTGATGAACACTGTAGCTGTGATCATGTATATTGCCTTTTTATTGTTTTTCTCACCCTTGTGTAAAATGCAATGACTTAAAACAAAATCAAATGCTGACTAATCTTTGTTTATTTCTCTTTTCTTATTTTTTTTTACAGACTCTAAGACTCAATGGTTTAAAAGACACACTTTAAACTACCTTCAGGAGATAGGAAATGGCTGGTTCGGAAAGGTAAGAAGATTGCCTCTGTGACGATCTGTCATGTGACTTATATTTCTCTGTAAATATATAATTTTACTGCTATTCTGCTTCTCCTGGGCAACATGTAATTCCCCATGGATGTCTCCTAGGTGATCCTGGCTGAAGTGCTGTGTGACTGCACCTCCTATCAGGCCGTGGTGAAGGAGCTGCGTCTCAGCGCCAGCCCTCTGGAGCAGAGGAAGTTCTTGGCCGAGTCTGAGCCGTACAGGTGGGAGAGGCTGCTCAAACCCGTGAAGCCGTACGGGACTATGTAACCTTAGCTGTAACGTGGCCACGCAGACAAGTAGGGAAGTTGACAGACGTTAACATCAGACACCATCAGGTTGTCATGTCAGACCAATTCTCATAACACAAGCTGGCTAAGCCACGCGCACGCACGCACACACACACACACACAGACACACACAGATATACACTCAGAAGGTGTCATTTTCACACAATGCTGCATCTACTGTTTCTTCTGCTTTTGCTGAGGCTCAAACCCTCCACTTGTCCAGTCATCTTTTCACCAGCAATAAGCACATTTGCCCGACTACACAAGTGCCTCTACTTTCTTGTGTAATGCAAATGCTGTTCCTTTATTTTATTCCTTATTTCTATCCATCCGCCATCTATCGGTCTTTTTCCCTTCAGGAGCCTTAAACACCCCAACATCCTTCAGTGTTTGGGGCAATGCAGTGAGAGCATTCCCTTCCTCCTGGTTATAGAGTTCTGTCAGCTGGTGAGTACAAAGTGGCCATTTAAATATGGAACAAAATTAAATTAAATTCTTTAAAGGCTTTTGATATAAAAGTAATTACACGATAAATTAATAATTTTGTATTTTCTTGTTTAATTAGATTTTTCATTTCTACCGTTTGCGTCATAAAATCTATTGTGTTCCACTAGTTTTTCAATCCCATTAAATGTTGAGGGTATTTTTAACGGGTACTTTACATCAATAAATCCCTGTTTTGCTGTAATTTTATGTAAGTAGTTCTTCATATTATGTGCTGCAGAAGTGACACATCATTGGAACTATAGAGGTTATGGTGTCACGGAAATCTGCTTTGCTTTGGTAAAATTGGTTTGTGTTCCTTCCCTTAATCACTGAAGAACAATTGATCAACAGATCAATTACAGCAACACACTGAGAGATGCCGTAACACTCTGGGGGCCTCACTGCTATTTGATAAAGTCTCTTATTGTCCTTTCCTCTTGGCATATTTTACGTACTTTTATATAGACGTCATTTTGTTTACTTGCTTATCCTGAAACGTAAATGAATAATACAAAGGCTGCCGGCTCATGACCAATTCCCCTGTAGCTTTTGAGGACTTTGGAGGTCACAAATATTATCCTTTCGTGAAGGACATGCACACTTTGCACGCACACGCTTAATGGCCAAAATAGCATCATCACTCATTCAAATCAAGTCTCCATGCATTTTACTGAGTATTGTCATGTACAACTAGGGTGACCTGAAGAGGTATCTGAGAGCCCAGCGCAAGTCAGATGGGATGACCCCTGACCTACCGACCCGAGACCTCTTGACTCTCCAGAGAATGGCTTATGAGATCACCTCTGGTCTGCTGCATCTCCATGAAAACAGCTACATCCACAGGTTAGTCCGGATCGTACATAATTAGAACCCAAATTACATTTCATCCCTCGGATAGACACAGTGTGGCGTCTTGCTCAACGTGGCTCCTGGTTATTCTACTCTGCAGTGACATGGCTTTAAGAAACTGCCTGCTGACATCAGACCTCACGGTTAGGATCGGCGATTATGGCCTTTCACACAACCATTATAAGGTAAGTGGGTCTAACATCATTTTAAGATATATAAATGTATGCTACCAGATAACAAGCCTTTGTTTTGTCGTGTAAACGATGATTGAGTATGAAAATAATTCTTGTTTAATGCATTTGTGAAGGAGGACTATTACCTAACTCCAGACAAGCTGTGGATCCCCCTGCGCTGGATTGCTCCTGAGCTGCTGGAGGAGTTCAGAGGATCTCTCATTGTTACAGACCAAACCAAGACCAGCAATGTGTGGTATGTTTTAGAGCTGTTGAAGCTGTCAATGTGCAGTGCAATTAAAACTGGGTACGGCCAATTCATGTGGATAATGTCTGCTGGCCATTAGGTACACCTGTTACGTTTAATACAATCACATACACAGATTGTTTGTGGTTTCATTTTGATCTTTGATTTGGCTCAAATTGCTCTTTTGAATTTTATACGTGTAAAGTAAAGACAGAGGGTCACCTGTTAATCTAAAACAAATCAAACCACAAATACTTAAACACACCTACGTCTCAACATCAGTGTGACCTAATTTTTGCTGAAGCAGTTTGTAAGTCCATCAGTGTGTAAGCATGTTCATTTCCATTTTGTGGCAATGATGTCTGAATGAATGGTGGACGAACAAGAGCACGAAATGTCTTCAATGAACCCAAAACCCGTTCTGGCAACAAAACAAGAGTACTATTTCCCCTCGCAGAAGAAATGATGCCTTAAGATTGAAGTGCTATTCATAATCATGTTTCTTACCTTGAAAAAATATAATGATTCAGCTGTTCTGCCATCTAACATGATACTTTTGGACAATATTAATATTTTTGTTTTCTTATTGTGCATCTCAGTTGTGTTTACGGAGCTCTTTTTAAATCAAAGTGCTAATATACACGCATGAAATAATAAGGTACATCTCAAGGTATGTCTCTACGTTGTCTGTTTCCTTCAGGTCCTTGGGGGTGGTCATATGGGAGCTATTCGAATTTGGCTCTCAGCCCCACAGGCACCTGAGTGACGAAGAGGTGTTGACCTTCGTCATTAGGGAGAGACAGATCACGCTGGCCCAGCCCAGACTCAAACTGTCGCATGCAGACTACTGGTGAGTACTCGTCAAACCATGTTCAGAAATAATGATTGATATTATTGGAATCTCTCCAAACGTAACTCCTCTGTCCTCAGGTATGAGATCATGCAGTCCTGCTGGCTACCTCCGTCTCAACGCCCCTCCGTGGCAGAGATATTCCTCCTCCTCTCCTCCCTCCTGGCCGCTGAGCGAGGAATGGCGAGGGGGAGTGGCGGGGAGGACGATGAAGAGGATGAGGAATATGAGGAGGGTAGAGGAAGGAGAGCGGAGAGCGAAGAGTCGTTTGAAAGACGCTGGGACTTACTGCGCCCGCCTAGCTTTCAGTCTGCAGCGAGCAAGCGTAGAGAGAGGGAGTACGGCAGGGAAGACAACTCCTACCCGCTGCTGGACCCTGTAGGGAACTGTATCACCACGTCCTCGTCTGAACTGGACGACATCCTGACAGTCACAGAAACCAGCAAAGGTTTGAACTTTGAGTATTTCTGGGAAAAGGCTCATGCCAGAAGAGGCTACAAACCTCTCCCTCCTCCTCAGCCAATTCCCACCACAAACAATAACCACCGACAGTCTTTGGACACACCCACCGTGGTGCCGGTGATAAGCGCCCGTAGCCCCTCCCTCGCCAGCGAGTACTACATCAGATTAGAGGAGCACACTCCCCAGGACAAGTCGCCGACTCTTAAAGGGAGGACTCAATCCTCTTTCCGCTCTGACTCGATCTGCTTGGGAGCCATGGAGCTGGTGGAGATTCGCAGTGGGTTGCTGGGAAAAGAGCGAGTCCCTTACTGTTCCTCTGACAAGTATGGAAAAGGCCTCCAGACCGTCAGATCAAGTGAGACTCAACTCCAGGTGCCCAACACAGGTGTGGCTGAATTCAGAGACAGTTCGAGCAGAGTGACTGACTTTTCAGTAGTTGATTTAGGAGATGACGATGAGGAGGACATGAGAAGGGGTAGTGAGGGAAATAGAAAATCTCAAGCCCCGGTCCTTCCTCCCAAGCCTCGCTCTATGTCCATGTCATCAGCAAACCACCTGCACTCGCGCCCTCTGCCCGCCCCTCCACTCAGTTATCGAGGACTGCCTCACTATACCGTCGGTGGAAAAATCGAAACAGACCCCCATCACATGAGCAGCTGTCCACATTCTACCTTCGATCACCTGGGGTTCCATCGGCCTCGACAGACCCTCCCCCCGTCTCCGTCCCTCTCCCCGTCCCTTCCCCCGTCAAGCCATCCCATTTACCCCCAACCTCCTCAAGTGGGTGCCCCGCCCCTCCCTCCACACTCCAAGCCACAAAGAATCTGCCCCAGCTACAATACGGCAGAGACTTATTCAAGATACAGTAGGCCGCAGATTCAGAGATACAGTAGAGACCCATTATCCTGTGACTTGTCTGACAGAGAAGGTGGTAGCAGGCACCTGCCATCAGTCCACAACTCAAGGGAGGCTTCTCATTCTCGCGCAAAAGACTTTGACTCTCCCGTTCGTCGGGAAAACCCACTTCGCCCCATTTATCGCAATTTGCCCCGACCTCAGCCCACGAACCCCCAGATTGACAGACAGTCTTCGTCCAGTCCCACTTACTCAGATGAGGATGACTCTCCCTTCATGTCCCCTGAGAGACCCAGCGGCGGGACTACCGTCACTCACTCCAGCCTATCTGAAGATGCAGACCCAGCATGCGCCGAGCTCTTCTCCAGGGGAATGAAAAGGACACAGTCACGCCTCGACACTATCCTGCCTGCCATTTGGAGGGAAGATGCTGAACTTCATGCAGAACGTGTGGCTGCTGCCAAGAAATCCCCCATGCATCTGTTTCTGACAGAGATAGCTAGTGTGACAGAGTCCAGTGAGTCCAAGTCAGAGGCTTCCTGGGAGGGACAGAAGGAGGAGAAACGAGATGGAGAGAGATGGGGGAACTTTGTGGTGCCCAACAGAGGGATGCGCCGCTCCCAGTCGCTGATAACAGAGCTGGGGTCAGCGGGACATTCGTGGGGACCAGAGAAATGTAACAACAGGGAAGAAGCGGAGTACGACAATACAGTCACTAAAGACTCATTCCAGAGGGATCTTTTCCTCACAGAGATCGACACAGGAAGGATGGACACAGATCCGGAGGGAGGATCAATGACCGATCCAGTAAAATACCTTTATCCTTCAGGATCCAGATTGCGTCCCTATGTCTGTGCTCCAGGACTTCCCACATACACCGAGGCCGAGGAAGCCTATTCAAAGGGTATGCGGAGGTCTCGCTCTCTCCTCTCTGAGATCACCATCGGAAAGCAGGATGCTGAGTTTCAGCCGACTGAGAAGGAGTCGCCGAGAACAGAAATGACCAGAGAGGAGTTCCTCAAGGAGATCCAATCAGCAGAGACCTTTCTGACTGAAATCATATCCAGACAAAACACTTCTACAAACAGGATAGAAACGGATACATCTTACTCCCCTACTCCACTGTCTCCGGAATACGAGTCCATATGCATTGACCCAAGCGCCGCTCAGACCATCAGATTTCAGTCGGAGAGCTCATTACGAGCGTCACAAAAAGGCAAAGAGGAAACAACAACCGAGGCCATCTACGCACAAGTGACCAAGCGTGCTAAAAAGAGTGAGATAAAGGTTTCTATGAAACCAGAGATACCAGTCCTTCATATAGGATCAAATAAAACACCTCTTAAACCGGACTGTGAACGAAGCAATGTTGAAAACGGACAATCTGATGAGTTTGTGTTTTCTGAAATCATGCCCAAAAATGGTCTGTTGCACAACCAAACGCCTGCATTCCACAAAGAAGAGGAAGAGAGTTCAGATGGACCCGCTTTACCTGCTAGAGGAGAGCAAATAGCTCACTCAGAGCACTCTCCATCTGAGTCAACTCCGAGTGTTAAAGAATACAACCTGAACAAATCGCTAATTATGAATGAAGAAGGTAGTCAAAAGGCTGCTGGTACGGGGAATGGTGAGTTAATGAAAGAAAACCTGCATGGCAGCGGAACCGAGAGAACAACTCAAACAGCTCAAAAGCCAGGTACCACGACATATGATCCTCATAAAGGAAAGTACCAAACTGATGACGTTTATGGGGTGGTCTCTGAACACATTAGAGAAGCTGATTTGGAGAATTTTGGAGAACATTTGGGTTCCCAGAAAGATGATGCGACAAAAACTGAGAATTTCCTTCATGACAGTGACACTGGCGAGGAGAAACACTGTCACGCTGCTGAAAAGTCCCTCATCCCAGCAGCCACTCCAACCTCTCCAGACTTGGATCCATCCTTTGACGTCTCACTCATCACCCCAACCGACTCGGCCCTGTCGCCCATGACCTCCAACTCAGCCGACTGCCTCACACCTAGTGACTCCTGGACGAGCGGTGAAGGAGGGGTTGGAGGAGGCGGGTGGCGAGCTCTGGGAAATGAAACACCACATCGAGACTCTGCCTATTTCTCAGACAGCGAGGTGGAGGGGGAGGGCATGAACAGGAGGAGCAGCGATGGACTTTTTACTTCCAGGCCGAGCGGCGGTCGAGGAGGGGATCGTGGAACTCTGACAGGAATTGAGGAAAAAACTGAGGAGGAGGCAGAGTTAGGAGAAAAGAGCCCATTGAGAAATAGCATACATCTGTCAGATAACAAAAGGGAAATTGGAGAAATAATTGAACTGTGTGAGGGAACCGGGACTCCAATTCAACATGCTACAGGAAAAGCCATCTTCAATTTCGGTGATGACAGAAATATTCTAAACAAAGGGCTGGAGTCAACACAGAGAGACGATTTTGGCATTTTTCAAAACGAAAGTAAAGAGTCAACACTGCTGTGTGATGATCCTCAGGCTAAGGACCGTGTTGACGTAATTGACAAATTGTTCTCAAAATTAAACGACGAGCCACTGAAAGGACCGCACAGCTGTGGGTATCCAAAGGACAACAACTTCCAAGAAGGCGTCGTCTCTCTAAAAACTGATTGCACACACCAGGACTCTGGAGGGAACAATTTAAATCTACAATCCAAGAGCATCGCTGAGACAAATCATTTGATTGAATCGGAATCTGGCAGCCGGTCAAACGATTGTGTGTTAAGGCCCAGCAATAAAAAATACACAAGTGTTACAGAAGCAGGTGTTGATCTGTCTGCACTGGAATCACTCAAACCTGGAGATGACACTGCGGAATATGTAACCCAACCAGAAGTTGACAAAAGAGAATCGAGATTATCAAAACTTTATGGCATTCAAACCGAAGAGTCCCCTCTCGGCGATGACACCCTGTCAGCAGTTGAGCCGTGTGATGATGGGAAGTCCGTCTATGATAAATCGAGTGGTTCGACCTGTCCTTCTTGGGCCGAGGAGGGTGCTGAAGAGCCCGAGGGAGGTGAAGAGAGGCCCGGTCTCGACCACAACGAGCTGGGCCTGAGGAACCTCCGTTGTTCAGACGGCAGCGAGCACAAGAAGGTCACGACAGAGACAGAGAAACAGCTGGCTGCCGCAGAGCTGAGTAACGCCATGAAGGAAAAGTCGCCCTTGAGAGGAGCAGCCAGTCGGGTGGACTCCGCTAACAGTGCAGAAAAAGACTCATGCGAGGGACTGGATGTGAAGACCAAAGAGCTGTGGAGCGCTCTGGAAGAGGATGAGGAAAAGGCCGTTTCTGGCGTAGTTAGCGGAGAGTTTGACTGCCACCGCTTTTCACAGTCAAGCGACTTGCGTTTGTGGCCTGATGAAAATGACCAGTGGGCCTCTCCGGAGAGGAGATGCCAAGACGCTGAACTGAGAGCGGAACTCTTCTCCGGGTTCATTGATAAGGCGTGGGAGGTGGGGGAGAGGCTGGTTGTGGGTCAGGAGTTTTGGGAGACTGAAGAAAACGATGAACTTGCAGGAAGCGAACAGCACCCTGCCATCTTGGAGGGCTGCGAAGAAACCTGGAACGATGAAACGCAAGGACTTGCTGGTAAACTTGCCGTTAAGGAAGCATGGGAATCCTCCGCCGATAATGAGCGACAGGCTCTCAATGTGTTGGATGTGCAACAGGAGGAAAATATTGAGGACTTAGGGGAAATTGGCACATTTAACAAAGATCTAAAAAGAGAAACCTCGGAAATGGAAGTAGAGAATAGAGAAATTCCAGAGCAGGAGTCCTTGGAAAAAGGAGAGATGGTGATTTTGTCAGACGCAGACACAGTCCAGGATGGGGAAGATCTGCTAGACTGCAGCGGAACAGAGGAAAATCTGAATTTTAACAGATGGCCTCAGAAGAACCTACAAAACGAAGGACTGACCTCAGCTGAGCTTGTTGACAACGAGAAAGGCTCTAATTTAGAGAACTGCTTCAGTCACACTTTGGATAACTCAAATATAACCATTTGCATCACCGAAGCTCCAGATGACAACATTTCAGACCTGGAAAATGTTGAATCAGGTGCAGATTCGGAGCCTGAAATGAGGCCATGGCTTGCTAGGCAACATATAGAAGAGACAGTAAGCATTATGAATGAAGAAGATGATTACAGAGACATGCCTTCTCCACCCAATCCCATCTCTTGTCCAAGTGACCTTGATGTGCAGGACGAGCCAGATCAGTCTTATCCACAGGAAGACAATTTCAGCTCAGTAGATTTCCCTAGTCCTCCAACAAGCATAGACCTTGATGTACAATATGATAAATTGGAGAGTTTAGACGACTCGTTTCCTAGTCCACCACCATCTGTTATAGAGGCAGAGGAATTTATTAGTCACATTAATCTAGAAGACTTTATTGCTAGCCCTGAGACAGAGCCGTATATTACCCCGACTCACGTCGCCAATGTTTCAGAGCCGACTCTGCAAGAATCCCCACCCGCCGTAACTCAGAGTAAAGGGATCTCCGCCAATCTGAACCCTCCCTCTGTGCACATAACCCCGGCTGATGAGAGCAACTTTGCATCTGTCATAAAAAGGCAGGATGAAGATAATAATCTGTTCCAGAAAACATCCTCTGCCTCCCCATCTTCCCCCCAAGTTCCCCTCAACGATCTCCCAGAATTACTCATTTCTGAGTGGAAAGATTTGGACGAAGAGCCCCTGGAGGACTTTGAAAAACTGGAACAACTGTGTTGCATATCTGGAGACGAGGAAGACTGTCTTGGTGATATTTTTCTGGGGAACCTAGAGCTGCTGGAGTCTTTGAAGAAAACACCCGAGCTGAGGGGCAGCAGTCTTGGTGATAGCAGTACAGGTGACTCCCAAACTCCTCAGGGGAGCGCGGTGGAGGATCGGACCTCCGATAACTCTGACAAACTGATCCTGGACTCTGAAGAGGAGAAGAATGACAGGCAGGGTTCATCAACAGCTGATGTCAAAGATCAGGGCTCTCTCTGTAAGATGACGAAAAAGAATGGCCTCATGATGCAGGTGAGCATTTTTGGGGGGAGATTTGTTTGTTTTTGGAGTGCTTCCGATACAAACGTCTGAATATATTCAATCCTCCTTACTGTTTTGTTTTGCTACGTCAGGTGTGTGAGGAGAGGCTTCAGTTCTCCCTCAGTGAAAATGTGAAAACAAACGTGCTGTGGGGGTCGACTGTTAAAGACACAGTGAAGCTGCGGCCCTGGGGGGAACAAATCAAAGAGAGCAGCAGTGAGCTGGTCACTGTCGTAGAACAAAAAGAGGATGAAAGGTAGGATGACGGCTGAACATGGAAATCTAAGGTTATGCCACAATTACAAAATATATCGGCACATTTTTCTTACTTTTCTCCAGTGGTATTTAATTGAAACTCAGCAGAGTCTTGGCAGAATCATTTGGGTTTTATACCAAGCATTCGAGAATTTTGGTTTTCCTTCATAACATTAAAGTAGATGGTGGGAATGAATGGATTTACTTGCGCTGAATCCACAGTTACTGATACTCCAAAGAGTATTTATTTTGCTGTAAGTAGTTCCTTTTAAAACGTCAAATTACAGAGAGATAAATAGTACAAAACACAAGAGGCAGGTGAAAGACATTTTATATATGATATTTTGGTGATCTGCCCTTTTCAATATCCTTGTTTTGATTCATTATCTTGTTGTTGTTAAAGCCAAGAGGATCATGAAAGTTCCCCCGGCACTCAGGCGCCCACCGATGCTGATGAAACTAAAGCTGAGCCGCTCACTGTGATTGAACAACCTGAGGTCACAACCCCTCAGCCGACTGCAAACCAGGCAATGAAAGGTACCTTCGTGTTGCACGTGTTGCTAATATTCGAAGAAAGGAAGGAAAAATGAGAGGATGTCAATTACCAAATAACTGCTAATACCCCAAAGCAAACTGTTCTGGTAGAGGGTCTGCAAACTTTAATCCAGATGTTTAAAGAGTTTTCTGACTGGGAAGAGGTCGGGTACCTCTCATATATAACCTCTTTTTCCTAATATTAAAATTTTTTAACTTTATTTAACTTTATTTTAACTTTATTCCCTTGTTCTAACCCATAGCCTTAGCCTACTAACCCATTGCATTAGCATTTCATTCTCCTTTATTTTATTACTTGTGCACTGTTGTCCTGTCTGTCTACTGTCGCGCACTAACCGCCAAGACAAATTCCTTGTATGTTTGGCATATTTTGGCAAATAAATGTTTCCTGATTCCTGATTCTCCTTTTCACAGCAAAACTAGCTCGTCTCTCTCTCGCCCTCCCTCCACTCGCTCTGACTCTTCCCCTCATCCCCGCTGGTAGAGGAGGTTATGGGGACGGTGCAATTGGAAATCGGATCGGAAGGCGGAGATGCATGTCCGCAGGGAGCGACCCTGACGACGAGGAGGAGGACGAACAGGAGGACGAAAGCTCCAAGAGGATGATTGTTGTCACGGAAACAGATGTGGACAAACGTGTCGGCCTGAGGAGTCTCCTGAAATCCCCCAAAGAGCCGATGGACCGAGAGAGGGACCGAGGAAGAAATGTGTCCTTTTTTGATGATGTCACAATCTATCTTTTTGATCAGGTATCTTCCATTCTTGATTGATTTATAGGACTGTTTTTGATACAATAATTGACCGTTCGATTTTTTTCTTTCAACAGGAAACTCCGACAAGTGAGTTGAGCAGTTCAGCCCCGACAAGTCCAGCCCCAGTGTCCGTCAAAAGCACCAAGCTGGATTTGCGTAGTAAGATCATAATCTTTGTAGGCATCTAATCATCTCACTTCAATGATGAATTTTAATGGCATTGAGGGTCAATCGTGCACCACTTACATGTTGTGCAGGAAGTCATTGTCCCCAGAGGACAAATCCTACGGACAGGTGATCTCCTGACTTTTCCTCTAGTGCCAGCAGTAGGTTAGAGGCTCTTCCTCATATCGGGAAGTAATTGTAATCACTTGTTCGAACACTTTAAAAAAGAAGGTGACGTTACCGACGTCCTGATGTTGTGGTCTGTGCTAATTAAGCCACGCTAAAGCTTATTCCTGTTTAGCAGCAGCAGGTTAGTGTTGGAGGAGTCCAACGTTAGCGTTGAGCTCAATACATGCCTGTGTCTGAGTGCAGCATCAAAGAACGGCTGGTATGCAGACGACTCTACTCATCAGACAACAGGCAATGCACACTAATCTAAGAGAAGTCTATTTTTATACGCGCTGTCACTCCCACCTTGAGCCGGAGAATGACAAAATCAAATCTAACAGAAACTAACTCCCCAACCGCTGAAATGGAAAAACCCTTTGTTCAATCATCTCCTCCACAAACATGCAGCCAAAATGAATCCTCTATAATTATCCCCACCGACACTGTGACAGGTGGAACTAAGCAGTGACATGAATCCTGCACTCAACAGTCCCAAGCTGTGTTTCCTAAACCATTTCCACTTTCTCTCTTGACGCTCTCTCCATTTTGGACACTGATTACCTAATTTATTTGTATTTGGAAGTTATTGTTCAGAATGTCTTTGGGCTGTATGTGCACACATGCAGAAATGCAGAAACTCCAAAATGAGATGCTTTTATGATCTTCTGTAGCCTTAAGAATTGAAACTTTAAAGCTGTGAAAGAAGAGCCTGTGTTCTTTTGAGTTATTTTGAACTAAAAACAGAATTGCTTCAGTAGGATTCTATTAATAGATTCAAAACATTATTTTATCGTTTCTTTTCTGGTTTGGTGCATGTTGATAATATCTTACTCTGTTTGTATTGAAGAAATGTGCCACAGTCACTTATGTGCTTAATTTATGACCTTTTATTCTTCTGTCTTTATTCGAGGAATGTTGATTTCACATAGTGCTTGATTTTGTTCTTTTCCCTTTTCATCAGGGCCCAACATCAAGAGCAAAGAATTGAAAAGGAAAGAGGATTTATCACTCAAACCAAGGTCGCCTGCGGGGGCCAAATCAGTGACATCATCGCGCTTCACTGTCAGCCCTGCCAACGACCCCCACTTGGTGTGATGTTTCATTGCGTGGGAAACCTTTAGAGCTGAACCCTCTTGGACTGGCCAGTGAATTAACCACAACAACCAGCCATTCACCCAGAGGCTATTTTTTTATTGAAGAGGCAATTCGAAGAATGGATCCCGTTCTAAAAGCTGGACACATTCCAGGTTTTACCAGCGACAGGATTTTGTATGACAGTGGTTGTTGTGCTCCTGCCTGCCACTATTTACAGAGCGTATTCATAGCCTTCAGCTACAAAAGTCTTTGGAAGAGGCAGCATATACTACAAGAGGAGCTCGGAGCTTTGTTGACAGCTATGCAGTGGGATCTTGCTGTGTACCAGCTAACCTTCTCTTTTTCTTCTTCATTTTGTTGTGTTATTCCCCAGATGTGCGGGGAATGCCCTTTCTTTGGTCATTGATCTAACTATGTAAACACTTGGATTACAGTCCTCTCTTTATTAAAGAAGTTTTTCATTGCAGTCAGTCAGTTGTTCTTGTAGGCAGCCGTTTGGACCAGAAATTGCTTGACTCCTGTATTTGAGAATACTCATTTGTACAAATGTCATCATACAAGTGAAACCAATATCATTTTAGAGCTGTTTACTTTTAGATGTATTCTTAGACTGCACGGAAAATGAAAACAGCTATGCTTCTTCATACTTTCAGTTGTAAAAATATTCCTCTTATGTTATTAATTTATATTATTGACATTTGTTACATTGTTAAATTATTTCTGTAAAGCGAGTTTTTATGCAATATTTTTTTTATTTATTAATCTGTTTATTTATTTTCTTTAAGCAATTAGCATATATTAACTTAGCTATTATTTGTTTGGGACTGAATGCATCTAGGTTATACCTTCTCTAAGATCTTCATAACAAATAAATCAAAATATTTTCCCAAACGTGTTAATTGCTAAAAAAGTATTTTGTATAATTTGACTTGTTAATATATGCCAATCCGTATGGAAATATGTCCTGTAATGTGTAATTATTTTCCAATGTCTAGGATTTTTTTAGCTGTCTCGTCATTATTTTACCTGGTTTAAAGACCATTAATGTAGCTTAGCATGAAAAAATCAAAGCCTTTCAACAGTAAATAACTCCATTTGTTAGTGTAGGGCTGTTTGTTTGTGTTAATTTACCCTATTTTCTACTAATTACAGTCCATTCTGCAGTCCGGGTCCAACTAGTCCTAATCCACAAGTTTTGTCTGTTTAAATGTTGGTTTAAAACCTGTATTGTTTAAAGAATGGTTTTCAAGGGGTAATTAAAAACAAGGGGAAATAAAAACTACAAATGTGAACCTGTTATTGAACCATTTCATGGAAATAAATTGTATTGTTTTGTAATTGTAAAGTGCACTATTTTTAATCATCTAGCTCCAGCTGAAATACTTTTGTTTATGCAGTTTTGAGATGTCTAGGCCGGGGACTGAACGTTTAAATGTAATGTATCTCTGAGCAAGAATTGATTGTTCTCAATCAATGAGAACAATCCAACGATCCAACAGTCCAACGATTGAACATCGTTGGACCTCGATACAGTGAATACAGTGTTTTACAGACATCCACCCCAGAATCTACTAACCAGGCATGTTGGATTCTTCATATATTGTTTGGGATTATTTGCAGTTTCTTAGCGTGTTCTTAGTGTGTAGAGTGTGAAACCATTGTGTGAGAAATGAGAAACTAGTCCAGAGAGCAAAGGAAGTGGCGAAGAGAGAATATGTGGAGATAAATATCAAACACAAGCAAGAGTTGGAGGGAAATAAACACATTTTTGACATAGTGAAAAGGAACAAAAGGAAGCTGCTTGATTAAATAGGGTAAAAGACCAGAAGGCGGCACTAATGCACCCGTAAGCTGTTGGCCAAATGCTGTTAAAAGCAAAAGAAGAAGAAAAAAGGAGGAGGAGCCTCGGCGTACCGATTAAATTTCCCACAAAGCAGTTCGAATGTTACTACGTATATATTCTGCGTCAATCGGTTTGACAACGCTACCGTTTGACGAGGAAAACATCATTTAACGAAGTCGTTTTTACCTAAAACAGAAGAGGAGGTTGGAGCCCTCATAGGGCATGTTCATTTTTTTCATTGACCAACCAGAGTTTTAAGGTTAAAGGTAAATTTGTGTTTTTATAAAGCTTTTAGTGGCATTGTGTGTAGCTAACATTTGCTAACAAGCTAGCATGAGCCGTATGCTAATGAAACAATCACTGAATTTAGACCTGAGTTTGTGTAACCCTTTCTCAAATAGCTAGCTAATGCTAAATAATTACTTTTCGTCTAACGCGTTCATCTCATTTATTCTGTTTAAAATTGTTTGCCATTGTTAAATGGGCCTTGTTACCCTGAAATGGTTAACATTAGTGTTAACGTGTTTTGGTCACAATAACGAGTAACGTTAATTAAATGTTTTTTGTATAATATCATTACAATGAGTCATATCGTTTATTTGTATGCGTCTTAAACTATTTTTTATCTTCTGTTAATGTCCTGCACTTTAATGTTAGTCTCCCCTTTAACCACCCTATGATTCTTCACATGCAACTTCACTTATAACAGTCTTGTTGTAATTTTGATTTGATTTTAGACTGATTAAAACTGTCAAACACGCTGGATAATCTGATTTATTTTTAGAAATGTATCTGGGCGGGCAGATCTTATGCAGTTACCTTAAATGTCCTCAAGCCTTCCGCTGCTGATTGCAGATGTCTCTGGCGGATGAGCTCCTGGCCGATTTGGAGGAGGCCGCTGATGAGGGGGATGATGGGTTGTATCCAGAGGAGGAGGAGGAGGACAGTGATGGAGAAGCTACGCAGGGAAGGACGGAAGCAGGGCTGGAAGACATCCCAGAAGAGATGGAGGTGGACTATAGCAAAGCGGAGAGCGTTTCGTCCATTGCGAAGCTCCGCAATAGCAAACAGGTAAGTTGTAACTTTTGAGAGTAATTGCCGAGCAGTTTGCTTCCGTTTTTGTCAATGAAAATCTTAATCTGTCTTCTTTTTAGTTTTCAGAAATTATGGATAAAATTACGATCTATAGTGGAAAACAGCACAAGAACTCAGAGGGTGAGTATGGCTTTTTTTCCCCCCCCCATGGTCTCCTGTATTCATAACAATATGGTCTTTGTTTAAAAAAAGTTCCTCATACTATTTCATTCTACAAACAATCGGAAACAAGTTGTCTTGATTTTGTTCTCTTTTAGACTCCGGCCCGGTCGAGTCTAACCCAGAATACAGACTGATCGTCGCAGCCAATAACCTCACAGTGGAGATCGACAATGAGCTCAGTGAGTTGGCCGTTTTGTCAAATAAAACAAGTTCAATGTTTTGCTCCATATAATCATTTTCATATTTTTCTACCTGGGTTCCAGATATCATTCATAAGTTTACTCGGGACAAGTACTCCAAGAGGTTCCCAGAGCTTGAGTCTCTGGTGCCAGATTCTCTAGATTACATCCGCACGGTCAAGGTAAAACATGTTAAAATGCTTAATATGATTTTAATAACATTTAAATTAAATCAAGGTATAATAACTTCTTTGAATTAAATATTGGTCACATGTGTCATGGAAACCGGAATGATTTATTATTTTCATCAGAGTTTAAGGGATTAGGTCAAGTGTAGTGTTGAAGGTAAATGCATTGACTTGATGAATGCTGTAATTAAAGTCCTTCACAATTGCGACCCTCTCGGATATGATCATAATATTTGTACTACATGTGAAAATGTATATTATAATTAAATCTTATTTGATCATACAAAAGGTTATTCTGACATCGTATAACGTCCATTTCTACTCGCTGGTTAGGAATTGGGAAACAATCTGGAGAAATGCAAGACCAATGAAACTCTGCAGCAAATCCTCACCAATGCCACCATTATGGTTGTCAGTGTCACAGCCTCGACCACACAAGGGTGAGTTAGTAGACTATTGTGATTTAGCGATTTCATTGCTCCTATCCGCAAGGCGTCTGTCCGCATGACAGTCCACATTTAAATGCTCATCGTTGAGTTGACTTTTTGTTTTCACGGGTTTAGGACACTACTAAGTGAAGATGAACTGAATCAACTAGAGGAGGCATGTGACATGGCTCTGGAGCTAAACCAGTCCAAACACAGGATCTATGAATACGTAGAGTCCAAGATGTCATTCATTGCCCCCAATCTGTCCATCATTGTTGGAGCGTCAACCGCTGCGAAGATCATGGGTGAGACATGGAGAAAGATCAGTTTTAGATTTAAATTATTTAGCTCTTAATGGACACAATTAAACTGTCCATGTTTCTCAAATAAAACTCATATTATCCATCTCACGTTCTCATCGCCGCAGGTATCGCGGGCGGCCTCATCAACCTCTCAAAGATGCCCGCCTGTAACCTGATGCTGCTTGGAGCACAGAGGAGAACGCTGTCTGGCTTTAGCAGCACATCCTTGCTGCCCCACACCGGATACATCTACCACTGTGATGTTGTGCAATCACTTCCACCGGTCAGTAAATATATCGACATTAATCTATTAGTGTTTGGTTTTTTCATTAATATCTTTTCTTGTACTGAGAATGGGGATCCTGTTTCTTTGTATCGTCAGGACCTCCGGAGAAAGGCAGCTCGTCTGGTGTCTGCAAAATGCACTCTGGCTGCCCGAGTGGACAGTTTCCACGAGAGTTCAGTTGGCAAGGTGAGTCCAAATGGAGAATGTGCGCATTATTGCTAATCTTATGCTGTGTGGAAACACAAAAGTGCAACAAGATAAATGTTGCACAAAAGGGCTAGATTTTTATGTCTCGTTTTGTGACTTCATTTGCATATTCCAAGGAACAAAATGTATACTGGTACAATGTAGTCAACGCAGCATAAAGCATGTAGCTACCATTGTCATATAGTTGAGATTACACTGTCAAGATTAACAAGTTTTAACAGCTATATTAAAGGATTATATTAATCTATTTAATTACATGTTTTTTTTATTATTTGTAGGTTGGCTACGATCTAAAGGAAGAAATAGAAAGAAAATTTGATAAATGGCAAGAACCTCCGCCAGTGAAGCAGGTCAAGCCGCTGCCGGCTCCTCTGGATGGACAGAGGAAGAAGAGGGGAGGAAGAAGGTACAAAACAAGGCGCAGCAATAAACTCTCACAACTTTCATAACAAAGTTAACTATGTTTATATCTTCACTCCTCTCCTGAAGGTATCGAAAGATGAAGGAGCGTCTTGGACTGACGGAGATCAGGAAACATGCAAACAGAATGACCTTTGCAGAGGTCAGTAGATATTTTCCATAAAACCCACTGTCGGTCATTTCTTTAACTATGATCAATGTAAGTTTCTTAAATATTCTCTTAATGCCACTTTGCTAAAAATAGTCATTCGGCCATCAGATCTAATACTTAATGAATGTGTTTCCCTTGTATGCTTCAGTGCTGTACAAAATATTAATGATGTACTATGACCGTTTTCAAAGTATTCTACTGTCACTGTTTCTCTTCTCAACATCGTACACTTTATTTATTTATGAAAGACTTTCTTTTCAACATGCTATGGTTTTTCTTTGACTCGTGAAAGTAAAAAAAATATATATTCATTTTTTCACTTCAAACACCACAAACTCTTCAACACACACTATACCATGATGTTTCTCTTCTTCAAACTATATTCTGACTGTTTGTGATGTGACTTTCAGATTGAAGATGATGCGTATCAGGAGGACCTGGGCTTCAGTCTGGGTCAGCTGGGAAAGAGCGGCAGCGGGCGTGTCAGGCAGGCTCAAGTGAATGACGCCACCAAGGCCAGGATTTCCAAATCCCTACAGGTAAACCTTCATCTTCACTCCACCATTGAGTGATTGTCTCTTCTGCCCCCCTCTCACTTTCTCCTTCTCTGTTGCACAACAGAGGACCTTGCAGAAGCAGAGCATGACGTACGGAGGAAAGTCCACAGTCAGAGACCGCTCCTCCGGAACCAGCTCCAGTGTGGCGTTCACTCCTCTTCAGGTAAGAAATAATTCAACACCATCTTCTTTTGAACATCCCTGTTGCACCGTGCAGGTTTTCTTTTAGTGAACCGACCCTTGTGTTTTCTCGTCTGCAGGGCTTGGAGATCGTGAACCCGCAGGCTGCAGAGAAGAAGGTGGCTGAAGCCAACCAGAAGTACTTCTCTAACATGGCGGAGTTCCTCAAAGTCAAAAAAGAAGCTAAGCCGTGAACACAGACACACATCCGCACGCGACACTGTAGAGTGACGGCATATTCTCAATCTCGTTCCACATGTGCTCTGTCCTGTATTTTGGTTTTACTCTTGTCCATTTTAATAAAACTTTAAGATTTCACAAAGCGTCTCGTCTTCCCTAAAATAAAAAATCCTTTACTGTACAAAGTAAATGAATACACTGAATCTCAACCCATTAGCTGGATTTTGATACTTGGCCACATCCACCGTAAAGCTCCGTGGCTAACTCATTTATTAAATGAGTGAATCCATATTCAATTTTGGAATGACAGGACACAGCTCTGATTTTTTTTTTTTTAAATGTCTTAGGTATTTATTGAAATTGTACAATTCTCTTTATACTCCTGTTTTTTATAACATCTTCCATGCAGAACTGTGAGAAATTGTAAATACACCTTCAAATTCACATTTTAGCAATTTCTGTACTGACCATCCCTTTCTGAAAACCTTGAAAGCCCAAAAATAGAATCCTATAAAAGGCAAATCTCATGACTTTGCTGTATTTTCACATTCTGATTTCCCCCCAAAGTCTGAAAATTAATCAAGCATAACATTTTAAATGCACAACAAATCTAATGTTTTCATGGTTGTTTAAATGGAAAAATCTGATTCAGTTTAACTCTCCATTCAGACTGCCAAGGAAAGATTGGATCTGTCCCACACAAGATGTAATGTTATTGTTCTTCAGTGTACACATGAACAACCACAGCAAAGTGGCCATTTCTCCCACCAGAATTCTAGATTTGTGTCTTCACGCTACATGTAAACAGTTTGAGTGCATATGGGTTCACTTAAAATATCAGGTGATAATCAAACACTGGGGATTTTTAGGATGAAGTGACTGAAACCGAATAAAATCTTTATGGGAAGTTGACTTAATCTCAGATTTATTATCTAACGTTATCCGGGGATTTTGAGTATTCACTGTTACTGTGGAATTTTGCAATATAAGGAGGATGACAACTCAACGGTGTACAAATCCAACATCCCATAGATGAAATATCTGAATCCCATTTAAGATTTATTTTACAAGTTTATTAATTTGTCACAAACATGAATGCGCCATAATGCATTTGACAAGTTAACTTAAAAACATTTTATTTGCAAAGAGAGGGAGTCAGAGACCAGTTCAATTGCATAGCAATTTAATCCATGTCCAGGACTCTTTCCCTGTCACAGGGAGAGGCCCTGTGGTCACTCTCAAGCATTTTATTTGACCAAGACAATACCAATAAAAACTATTGATAACCGCTCACTATTTGAAATAGTGACCATATTCAACAGGCATCGTAGGGTCTTAAAAGAAGCCAGTCCTACACACGTGACCAAATGTCCACTGTCCCCATTCCCCTCGACCCAACTACAGTAAATACAAGATGGCCTGTTTGGTAAATCAAATCCAAGGTGTGTTTTGTGTCAAGTCAAGGCTTCCAGGCTCATGTTGGGTGGGTGGAATAGAATCGGGTTGAAACGGAAAAGAGAAAGAAACCATGAGAAACATGCATGGGGGAGGGGGGGGGTATGCTTTCCTAATGCCACATACTGAGTGTGCACACAGACAGGCACCGACGCAGATCTCTAGTGAGAACCCTACCGGCTCCAGCAGCGGGATGCATTTGATCGGGCCCACGGGGCGTTTTAGTCAAAAGCAAAGCGCCACAGGAGGGGCGAGGGCTTCACGTCGAGATGCAGCCTATACCGACACCGGTCTCCTTTTTTAGGAGAGGGTCTCCACTACACATCACAATCTATCCACAGTTTGAAGTTCAGTCTCGGAATGTCAACAGCAGCAGGGTTTTTTTTTTCCCCTCTGTCCTTTTGTGCCACTCTGTCAGTCACTGCAGGTCCCGGTCTTCGAGGTACCTGTACTCAAAGGTGAACCCCTCCTTCTTCCTCTGGCCCCATTTCTCATAGTCAAAGTAGATGTAAGTGCCCTGAAGAAAGAACAGAAAGAATAAGCATACTTCTTTCCAGTTTAAAGAGAACGTGTGGTCCGAGGTCAGTCTGCACCTGTTCAAACTCATCCGTTATGGTCTTTGGCTCCTCGTGCCTCTGGAACCACATCATGTACTTCGTATGAAACCTCCACGACTGTTTCTTCAGCGCCTTAGCAGACAAATACTGAGCCTTGGTGCCCTGAGAAGGAAATGCACCATAAACTCACTTCATTGGGAAACAAAAGGTTGTCTGGGAGCAATGTTGAAGTGGATTTATTGTTTTACCTCCAGGTAGTAGAAGATGAAAAAGAGCGTTTCTGTAGACAGTCGCTGGTAGAACTCTATAGAGTCGGAGTGGTGCGGTGGTATCTGATGGTGGAAGGGCAACGTGGGACAAGGATTCCTCATCAGGTATTGTCTGTAGGAAAGAAACAGAGTTTGTCATAAGGGGGGGGAGTGTAGAGAGATCCCTACAATACATAGAAAGGCTGAAAATGTTATCGTACAGCATGTTAGAAAGTCTGCAGAATAAAGCAGGTCAAATTGTGTGAACTTGATAAATGATCTAGTAATAAATAAGGGTTGGCTTTGTATTCCTCTGATCTTATCGGGCCCCAGGTTTGTTTTTTGGCACTCACGTCATGATAAGTATGAGGTTTGCAGTGTCCTCACCTGATCCTCTCTGAGTCAGAGGGGTGTGGCATGTGTGTCCACGCAGATTCCTGCATGGCCTGCTGGTAGAGCTGGTCTTTGGGGAGAGGGGTGGGGCCAAGCGGACAGACGCCAAGCGAGGGGGGGATGCTGACCTCCGACACGGACGGCTGAGGGGCGGCAGGTGTGCCGGGCGCTGAACTAGAGAAGATGTCTGCAGAACCATAAATCAATCAGGAGGAATCAGGAAACATTTTTTTGCCAAAATATGTCAGACATACAAGGAATTTGTCTTGGCGGTTGGTGTGAGACAGTAGACACAAAACAGACAATAGACAAGATGTTGTCAAGCTTGAATGATTGAGCTGATGAGACAAATACTGCACAGACTCTCTCGAGCTCCAGAACAACTCTCCCAATATATATTACTTCCTTCTGGAGCATTTTCCTTTAATGAAAATGTGTTTAACTAAATAACTCCTAAAGACCACAGTGTTTATTAAATATGGTAAATACTCTATTTAGTTGTGTTTACTTACTGACAAGTTCTGTCTGTTCTGGACAATAGTTTTGACAGTCAAGCGATGAATTCATTACATCTGCTAGGAACTTTCCCCTCTCAATCCCACGTGTCATCAGCCAGGATACAAGTGACACATGGTTTCCAGTTTAAAATTGTGAGATTGTTATTCTTCGCTAAGTCGGGGTAAAAAGAAGAAAGCGTCTGACCGTTCCGACCTCGGTCTGTTAGATGCAGGTTTGGAATCTCTCCGTCCAGGCTGGATCCCAGTGCCGCTCTCTCAGCCATCGCCTTCAGAGAACTGAGCGGTTCAGGGGCCTGAGGCGGGAACGAGAGAGATGCCAATTAAGTCAAATTAAGTTGTGAGAGGAAAACCTACAGTTATGGGCATCTGTGAACAGCAGGGTCGATGCACAGGAGAGTAAAAAATAAAAGATGAAAACCAAACTACTATTACAGCGCCTTCATTGAGCAAAAACAGTCAAGAGAAGCCGCCTGTGGAAAAACGATGCACGATTATCGTTGGTCTAATACACACTGAGCCATGTCTGCAAAAGAGTCAACATTCAGCAATTCATCTAAAACGCTCAAAAACAACAAATATACAGCACAGCTAACATGTTGTAGCACATTCCTAAATATTACTACTGATTCTATGATACTTAATTGGACTAAAACGCAGACGGTAATTAGCTGAAGCCACATGCTGTGGTGCCTCACCTTGAGCGCGTCAGGCGCCTGAGTGTAGGAGTGAGGCCCGTTGAGAAGACTCCCTCCCCCGGGGGTGCTGTCTGAGAACGAGGGGGACGGAGAGCTGGGAGGCAGCGTGATGGAGCTGATTAAACTGGGACCATTGTCCATGCTGCTGCGAGCAGAGCCGGAAACACAGAGAGACAAGTTTAAAAACTATCATGTAAGAAAAAAAAAAAGAAAAAAAAAGAGGAAGCGATCGAGTGGGCAACAAATAACTCACGGCTGACTGGTTGAAGAACTGAGCGATGACGGTTGGCTGCTTTGTGACTGGCTCGGTGTGCTTAGAGCGGATTCTGTTGAGTTATCTGCCACTACAGCGCTGTAACCTGCAAGGCAAACAAGGAAGTAGAAATAGAGGAAATATAATTTGTAGAGAAAGTTGACTAAAAGGTCACATTAGGCAAAGAACAAGCAAATAACGTACTTGTGTTTCCATTCTGCTTCAGTCCACTGGGTGGTCTAGCAGGAGCAGCATTCACTCCTCCTCCTCCTCCAACCACGCTGACATTCCCTCCATTGCCTCCAATCATGCCAACCACTCCGGGGGTGGTGCTGACAGAACTTGGGGGCAACTGAGAGGCGCCTAGTTCTAGGTTTTGCCCAGGAACCAGTCCCAGAATACTGGCACTCAAAGAGCCGTGGGCCGCGGTGGACGCCAGCAGGCCGAGGCCTCCCACCGCCCCGTTGGTGGTGACTCCACTGGAGCCTGAGGTGGGTATGGAAGTGCTGCTCTCTACCGAAATGCTGGACTGGGTGCTGCCGCTCAAACCCAAGCCTCCCGACGCTGCCGCCTGGGCGTACGGCGCAGGGGTGGAGCCTGAAATGAGCCCCGCCATCGTGTTTAAAGGGGACGAGTGGGCAACCAGGCCCAAAGCAGACATTTGGCTGCCACTGCTGGTCCCCATCAGGCCAATTTTGCTCAATCCCAGGCCCAGCCCCAGTCCCAAAGTGGATGCTGGGCTGGGCACAGATGTGAGCGGAGACTCCGAGCTGATGGCTGATGAACTGGCCGTACTGGGCGTGGGGAGAGAGGGTGCAGTTGAGGCTGGGAGATGGGGGTTGCTGGGCGGGCTGGGCGCATTGTTTGAAGGGGCCGGGGGTTTTGTCTGAGGTGGCTGCTGCTGCTGCTGCTGCTGATTGGTCTGCTGAGGTTGTTGCAGCTGTTGTGCAGGTTGATGCTGATGTTGCTGCACCGCACTGCTGAAGCTCCCTATGAGACTGCTGCTCGGGGGACCGACGGGAATGCCTCCGACAACACTCGCAATGGACACAAGGGAGGAGGACGAGGAGGATCCCGAGGTGGTGGACGAGGAGAACGAAGACAGCAAGGATGGAGGGCCGTTCTTTACAGGTGACTGAAAGTGAAAAAGCACCAGAGAAAAAGTCATTGTAGACTAACTGTCCGGAAATTAAAGCTGAGCAAAGTGAGTGTACAGTGAAGTCTACAACCAACGAGAAAAACGCCTTCAGCGTCTGTGCCCCTCCAGGACGGTTTATCCCCTGTCATAGTACAGATGAGCGCCTCTCACCTGTCCAACTTCGCTGTCTGTCGACCGTCCCCTTTTCTTATCGTCCTCAGAGTTCTCCTATAGGACAAGAAACCTCGATATGACGCTCCACTTTGGAAATGTTGATTCAGCAAAAAAGGTGAGAGATATGTGCAAAATCTAACGCAGCCTCCCATAAACACAGCCCCCCCCCAAGTTGCAATAAGCCAAATAGAAGAACGTACAGCAGTGCAAGTGGCCGGTGATGGGGGAATGGGTGAAGAGGAGGTTGTGGACGTCGGAGTGCTGCTAGAGTTGAGAAACAGCTCGTCCTCCAAATTGCCCTGACCTGATGGAGAAGTTGCAACTAATGCCGCGGCTGCAAGAGGAAGAGAAAGTTCAAGTTGTCAAAAAGCCACCTGACGTCAAACATAAGCAGCGTCGTAGCGCTCAGAGGACTCACGGATGTCTTCCAGGTCTAAGTCGTCATAAATGAACTCGTTCTCCTCAAAGTCCGGGTCTTGGGAGGAATCGATGTAGTATTCAACATCATCCTTGATCTTCTGGATTGCATCCACTGGTACCGAGTCATTGTCCAGCATTCGTAAAATGGTCTCCAACATGAGAATGTGGAATCGATGCCTCTCTATCAACCGCTTGAGCTCCTCAATACGGTCCTGCTTCTTTATGAAAGACAGAATACAGGCTTGTGGTCTTGCACTTCTACCAGACTACACTACACTGGATAGTCACAGGAATTATGTTACTTTACAAAGTGTGCCGGGAAAAACGTTTAAAAAATAAATAATGACTCACATCTTTATCGCCCTTTTTCTTTCTTGTTTGAACCGAAAGAGATTCAACCTCACTTTCAAATTGATCCACCTGCATATTTAGAGTGTCTATTGTATTCTGTGGGTGAGGAAGAAACAAGAAAAGAGGATTAATGTATTCTTCAATAATAAGTCCCTCCTGAAACACATGTTTTTTAGATTTAATCAAATATGTTATTGCTGGTCTTTGACCAATATTTTCAAAAACAATATATGAAAAAAAAGGTATAGATGAAAGCGGATATATTACTGTTAGCCACTGTCCCGTATCCTCCTTTTCCCTCTGAGCAGGATCCACTTTCTGAGCAAGCCCCAAGCCTTCTTTAGAGTATGCTTTTGTTTTTGTTTCCCGTTCCACCACCTTGAACCGCTCCATTTGCTGAGGAGGGGGAAATTACACAAGGCTTAATGAGTGAACAGTTTTGATGAGCCGATGTCCACATGCTTTACCGCATAGAAACAGAAATAGAGCAAACACAAGAAAGGACGGAGAAGCATACCGTCTCTATAAGTTTGCGGTTCTCGACTAGCTGCCTTTTGTCTTTGATCTCGTTTGAGGCCACCCATGTTTTTATCTGATCTCTCAATCGCTGAGAATAAGACAGACATAGAAAAACTATGTCATTACATTTTCAAAATCACGTATTATTGTCAGAGAGCACATCCACTGTAAAGCATCATACGTGTTTGGTAACTTGACTTACCTGTAGTTTTTTAATCTCTTTCTTGAGGTCAGCCTCATATTTTTCCTTCTGGTTTGCATTGGCTGCATTGTGAAGCTAAAAAAATACAAATAAATGGAAAACCTACAGTTATGGGCATTTGTGAACAGCGTGAACAACATTAGTTTATGTTGCATCAACTTTAAGAAATGAGTTACAATTTTACAAAATACTTGACGCAAACAGCTCTCACCTTTTGCCAGATGTCTTCAAACTGTTCTACACCTTCAGCTACTTTTTTCAAACATCTATCGATCTCACCTGTGGAGAAAAACAGATGCGGTCCAACATCCTTCTAAAAAAAGTCTGTGCAACACAAACACCTTTGCTAGATGAAGTCCGTCTGAGTGTCTGCAAGATGCCAGGCTGGACAGTGTGATAGATCCAACATTACTGATGAATGACACCAACAGTCTTACCTTGTAGTTTTCTCTTGTCAGCCATGGCTCTGACTACGACTATGTCCACATTCCGTCTGTCACAAAGTTAACTATGTAAAGAAAACCAAACGTGCATTCAAACAATACACAAATCCCTTCAACACAGCATCAGTACAACGATTTCCAAAGTGTGGAACTGACGTTACCTCCAGCTAGCTGGCTAGTACACGTTAGCTGCACAAATAACGTTATTTATAAATAATTTAAGCTACAACGTGTATGTGGTCCTTTTGTCTATTGTTGTGTTTACGTGGACGTAGCTGATCTTGATGTTGCCAAAAAGACTGACATGGTTATCTGATAAAATTAGCAACCTAGCAAGCTAACACTACTATTAGCCTGTATCTTAGCTCGTCCACCTCGCTCTGCTACCAACTGGCCCATTTCAAAACAAGTACCGCCAAGCATATTGATGGATAGACATTCATGCATTATTATTTTGGGCCGCAGAAAAGCTTTTATATGGTGGTTTTGCATTGTGAAAGGTAAAATATATCAGAACCCGTTCTCATCGTTAACCTGTTGGCTAATACAGCTAACTGTCTGACTAGCTTACCTAGCTGTTAATGCATAAAATGCTAGATAGCAGCTTAGCTAGCCAGCTAGTCAAATTAAGGTAAAAGGGAAACTGGGTCAACAAGAGCATCTAGATTTATAGTTGTTTACGACCTTTACCTATGTTATGGGCTTTCGTTTGTCTTTTTTCAAATACGGCCAATACTAATTCCAGAAAGTCTTCTTTACTTCCAAATTGTGTTTTCTTTTCGACAAGCTCGCTCACTGTAATGTAACGTTAGCTGAAGATGGACGGACGCTAATATCCCACCTCCGCATTTAGGCCCCGCCCCAAAACCAATCTTTGGGATCTAATTGGTCAGAGCTCAACACTGTCATTAACAGACATCCACTGGAATGCGATAAAGCCATTGGCTCGGTCGTGCGATGAAGGATGATGGAGACAAAAGAAGAGCTGCAACTAAAAGTACTGCAACCAAAAGTAATCACCAAAAATAAATAAATGGAATCGGATCTTTAAATTTAATCTTAAGGTGAGGTTTTAAATGAATCTAGTCATCATATAAATCTTTATTCTGCTTGAAAATATGGTGTTTACACTGTAAATTGCAGTATATTTCAGTATTTACTGTGCGAAAATTGTAAACCATGTCATCATTGATAGTATCCAGGAATTTATTGTGAAAGCCAATAATAACACAAGTTTGCAACCCCATGGCTTTATTTAGGTTGCCAGATATCTACCAAAAACGTTGTCCATGACAGTGTGCAAGGTTTGCCACGTTTTACAATTATTATTGTTTTGTTATCATCTCCAACGTACAAAAAGCAACAACAGAAAATAATATATTCAAAACAACTGAATATATGTACTATGAGAATAATATGAAATTTTACATGACATTAATTATTTCTATTCACAATGTTCAAGTACAAACAATCTAATAAATGGCTGAACAGAGGCAAAGCATTTACTCATCAGTTAAAGAAACAGGGTGGCCCTTCTTCATCATCATATGTGCATCGGTGCAATGCAAGTTTAGATTAGTGAGACAGAGAAGTTGGGCTGGGCATATCTCCAAATTGTGTGTCCGCCAACACTGATAGTTCTGGTTCAGCCTGGAAGAATATGACATCAAAGAAAACAGAAACTTAGTCAAAACCAAATCCATTAGTCTTACGTCAATGAAAATCTATCTACATGCCCCCCCCCCTTCTCATTCAGGCTTCCACAACTACATGTTTATCCAAATTACAGAGAGCGATAGAGAGAGCCATGTGAAAAAGGGGTGCAGGGAAGATTTAGAGCTGGATGAAACAACCCTCGGCTTAATAGCAGAGAGTGCTTCACCTACCTGCTGGTCTTTCTCCTTTTCTTGCCGTGGAATTCGATGCCTCCTCCTCTTCGGTCCGGCCACATTGGGCATCGCTGTTGGCAACGTGGAACCAGACACACCGTTGAGACGTTCATCCTCCACTCCAGACGCATGATCTAAATGGGCTTCGGATTCATCCTTATGTCAAATTAAAAAAAACAGGTTGCAGATTTCAAATGTTCAGGCATATCATCTGAATTTAAATATATAGACTAAAGTGATTACTGAATAATTAGCTGGTCTTGTCAAAATCCAAATCAAGAGAACTTAACTATAGTTTACATTCTCCTCACAACATTTTTTCCCCGGCCCAGTTAATCCACCATGGTGAATTGCTATAGTAAAATCGGCCTGAATTTGACAGTAATACGAAATGTAAAATGTTCGGACCCATGCAAGCAAAAAATAGGAGATAATGATTGTGAACACTGGGGTGATGAGTGCAATATTTTACATTTTAAATTGCCTACGTTAACTAATCCTCACCTCAAGAAGTATAGTCAGCTGGGCGTCTCTGTAGTCGTCCCCATGACCATCTAAAGTTTTCATGAGAAACCTGCAAGATTGCCGTGATTGTCAGAAGGGCCATAAAGTGGAAAATAGCCAAAATGCGTTACGGTTATACGGTTTTGTACCGTCTCTCCTTCTTCAGGTGCCGTGTAATTCTTTGAACTTGATGAAGACGACCTAGAATCTTCTGATTCACCTGAGAAAAACACAATTGGAATGACTTCAGGGCGCCAAGTGAGGAAGTGATTACAGATGCACATTCATCCTTGTCAAATATGAATTTTAAATAACTGCATCAGTAACGGTCCAAAAACTAGAATTATGTCTTTTTCAGACATAAAACAGCAAAATAATCTGAGTAAGTATCGTAGTAAGAAAAAAGAGCATCATAGCATCTAAGCGAGAAAAATAAAAGGTCCACGCTTAGAAATTAAGTGAGAAATTAGGAACTGAATTGAAAAATAAATGAGTGAATAAACCCAAACACACCCTGTGTGCCAGCTGAAACATTTCTACACGTGCATATGTAAGCTTGCGGACACCTGTTCAATATCTTTACATCTCCTGTTCAGAGCCAGACATTTCCTCTTATCAAGAGCTCTTCTCTCCTCATCCTCCTGAGCTGTACTCTCCAGCAGCTCATTGCTCCCCGGACCCAGCTCCACCTAGAAAGAAAAAAAATAGTTACTGTTTTGTCTTTGGCCCTTTGTGTTTTCAATGTGTTTAAACATATATTAAAACACATATTGCAGAAATGATGGTGTTCCTGCTTAGATCTGAAAGACCTTTTAGTAACAACCCAAGTCAAAAATGAACCCCAGCAGAGCCTTTCTCCATCCTCCGAGCTACATGTAAATAAATTACTACATGTTCACAAGACACTATGGACTAAAGTATTTTGATTTTTTTTTTGCCATTTGTAGATCAATCATATTTATGGCTTATTTACAAAAAGACCATGACTGTAGCTTCTTTCTCTAAAGACAGAGCTCGGGAATTAGGTGGCGTTAAATCTGGTAACAATATTTGGTGTCGTTAGCACCAATTTATCTTTTTACTCTGACGCACTGAGACCACTGGCTACTGCTTCTGCCCACTTGCTCCAATCAACATAACTGTTACCATGATCATTAACATTCACATTACCTCTCCTGGTTCCAGCTCCACACCACCAGGCTCCAGCTCTGCTTCCAGGATGTGTCCTCCAAATAGTGGCGGCAGAGCCAAACCAGAGAAATCCTCCATCATCTGCAAAGGGTGACGCAGGAGATTTTGTTACGCGAAAAAACCCTTTAAAACTTTCAAATTAAATTAGTTATTTACATGTGGTATAAATAGGTACAATTGCACTATACATTCAATGTCAATTTGGATTATAATTAGATTTAGTGTTGGATGTTGCAAGTTTAGCAAGATTCCAGTGTAAAAAATGATCCCGCATTCAGACTCTTTCTTAACTATTGGGTATCAACAGTGAAAGTATCCATTATGCAGAAAGGAACATTTAACGCTGCGTTCATGTGTAACACCGCTGATAATACAGCTGGTGAAGGTGCAGCTAATAATAATTACTTTATGTAAAGCTGGGTGACGTAACCTTAAACAATATCAAAGACTTTCTTAGTTGATATAACGTTATTGTTTCGTATTCATTATCTTATTCTTTAAATGACCCAGTAAAACTATCAAAGAAATGTAGTGGAGAAAACAGCAAGTCTTGTGAATTGTATACACAGTGGAGTGAATTAACAAGTACCTTTATATAATTCAAGGAATCAGCTTAATTACTTACATTTCCGAATGATTAGTTCAACGACACTGTTGTCCACGCGACAGCGGAGACGCAGCGTGTGTTTGAAACAAACGGTTTCTAGCGGTCAGTTTACCCTGAAGACGGCGTGTTAGTCTGTAGTTAACACACACAGTCGGCTCAGCGCATATAATAGCATTACATTTTACTCAAATCAAACGTAAAGCTACTCTCTCTGCCGCTATTGACAACGAACCGATGTTTTTTTGCGACCGGCGCAGAGATTATACGTCACACAGTAGTGACTACATTTCCCAAGACCGCCCACTGGATTGAAACTACACAAGACAAGATGGCCGGTATGTTGCTATATATTCATCTTTTATCCAAACATCATGGGGAATTAGCTCTATTACGACCTCTAGATAGCATACATTCATATGTTAACATTTGAAACTACGCTATTTAAGGCTCAGAGTTAACTTAATACATCGATATCCATTGAAACGAAAAAAGTGACCTTGGATACGTTGCTAACGGTGGCTAATATGAGCTAACCGTAGGTTAACTGTCAGTCGTGGAGGATTTTAACTTGAACTGTTTCTTTTTTTTCAGGAATATTCGCGTTCCTGAAGAATGCGTGGAATAAAGAGCCTGTTATTCTGACGTCCTGTGCTATTGGACTGATAGGTCAGTAATCGGCAGTAAACTTAGATCAGACATGTTTCCGACAGAACAAGAGCACAAAACTACTTGGTGGACATGAAAGTAAAGCAACATTTGAAATAAAAGGAAATTAGAAATAACTCCTTAGATGGACCGGTGAGAACTTTACTGTAACTGACTTCAGTCCCATTCAGGTTATTATCTAAGGAAGTGCAGTTATCTAACATATGTGCCTTGCATGGCAATAGTAAAAGGTAACATGTAGTTCTTTTAAAACCACTATTCATTGTTTCTCCATTTGACAAAATTCTTCCAATCAGATTTAATCTAAAAAATGACTACATTTAGCCACAATTTCATCTAATCTACTTATATTATGTTACACAACTGTACATATGAGACAGAATATTTTTTAAAAGAAAGCCAACAACACCTCTGAAGATATTGTCCTGACATCTCTTTATATATCCAGAGTCTGCTGGGAAGTTATGCAATTGTGATTTGAAAACGTGAATGTACGGTGATGCCTTGATGTTTTATTATTGTCGACACAAAGTTATTGTACTCCACAAAATTGCTATTCCAACAATAAAGTGTAATTAATATATTGAATGTAAAGTTATAATAACTCTGTATGTCCTCAGGTGTTGCACTTCCATTAATCAGCCCCCTCACAAAATACACAGGAATGATCAATTCGTCTACACCCTACAACTACCCAGGTAAACACTGCTTCATCATTTTACAGCAGGTTGAGTGTCACTGTAAGATACCACACAGTGTGATAGAGCTCCGGGTAGTTCAACCATTTACTTCTACACCCAACTATTTCATTATTTGACCTTGTCCTTTTTTTCCCAATGCAGTCCCCGTGCGAGATGACGGAAACATGCCCGATGTCCCTGCTCATCCGGGTGAACCAAAAGGAAAAAATCTGGATTGGCTCAAAAAGTTTTAACTTGCTATTTGCATGATCAACACGTGTGTCGATCCTTTTGTTCATATGTGTCCGCCATGTTCCACCTATTTCCCACAATAAAGATGTATTTAATTCTACATTTGGGCCAAGTAAAATGTTTCATGTCTTTGTAGATTACAGACACCACGTGAAGACTTTAGAAAATTATTTTTTTAATGTAATTGCCTGAGTTGAATATGGATGTAGGGATGGTAGACCAAAGTTTCTTCACACTGAACACATGTTAAAACAATCACATTTTTCCATCACAAGACACAACCCAGTTAAGATTTATTTTTGATTTCCAGAGCAGACTCGGAGAGTTTTTAATCTAAGCTTCAACACCACCCTAAACCGCAAAAGAGCTTAAATTGTCAAAACTGGAATCAGATTAACTAAGTATAAATATGAACTCCTTGCTTCATACCGGCAATATTTGACTTGCATGAGTAAGAAAGAATATTGAAAAATACATGGAGCTGTGCTGCATGAAAGCCCTTAAAAAGATCCAGCTGCTACAGTAAGAATTATGAAACTATTACGCAATATGGTGTAATGCATTTCAACACGCGTTTGTCTCAGTCTGCATGTACTTCGCCCCCATAGACTAAACATGTATGCAGAGCAAAGATTGAAAAAGATTTCCTTCATAGAACTTTTTATTTCACAAAATTCATTTTTTTTCGGATTAAAATGGTCTTTCTCCACAGTACTCATCATCACATCTCTAGTCTCCAGGATTTGATTTTGATGCAATTCAGAGAACAGACTGAATGACTAAACCTAGGAATGGTGTAAAATGGGTTGCAAGGTGATATTTCACTTTGGAAGAGGAGTTATGGACTTTGCAAAAGTTCCTGTATTTAGTACGATATTTTTATAAAAGGTTCCTTCTGCAGATGCCAATGCACAGCTACACATAATTCTTATTTACAACATTTCCGGTTATTGCATATTTAGTAGTTTAGCACATTTTTAAACTAATGTATTTCTTACAACCTATTACAGCATTGAGATAAATTGTTGTAAATACACTACATTTACATTTCTGAACAATTTGTAATATTCTACGGGAAAAAGTTTTTTGCCCCAAACTCTGGCCAAACTCTTATTTTATGACTCACCAATACACTACATCCACTGACTGTGAAAAAAGCAATGATATTTCATCACTATTCTGACTTTAAAACGTATTCGGACCCATGCAAGCGAATAACATCTTATTACATACTAACTCTGTCATTTCCTGTTCAGAGTTGGAGAGAAAAGTTTATTTGTAAAAATGATATTGGCATGGAAGTTTACTGTGCATGCAGCTTTTACAAAGTCACAATGTCCACCAAAGTGAAATATACGTAGTTATAAAAATAAGTCAAATAAAAGTCATACCATCACACATGTTTTAAGCCCTATTTACAAGCATGAATAAGCATTAGCGCTATCATTCTACTGTCACCATTAATAATGATGCCGTACTACTTAAAGTAATACATTTTCTGTTATGGGGATCTTGAATATCCAAAGTACTAAAATATTACAGAAACTCAAGGTAGTTACAACAGGAACATTAAGCATTTCAGTTTGTACAAATACAAAGTTTTCCTCTTTAAAGCGGACAGGATTTACAGGATTTTACTTTGGATGTGTCTGATTTACCAGGAGCACTTGCTCAGACGTTGGTCAACTTCCAGTATACATTCTTCATCACCTTCATAGAAATATTTCCCCCTTAAAACTTAATCCTATCGTCGTTCTCGGCTTTCAGATCCCTCTAGAAGATTCTGCTCAGTCTGATTGGTCAATGTACAACTATAATGAACTAGCCTAGATGTTGTCTAGTTTAGATTTAGGACTGAATCAGGACTCAAGAAGACATCAAATCGAAAGACTTAGCACCCATGTTTCTCATTCTTAACACTCTAACCTTCCAAAATATGATACTTTCTAAAAATAACAACAAATACTTTCGGTAATAACACTTTCCAAATGTTCAACCTTAACTTTCAGTTTCAAGCTCATTCGTTTTTCTGTTTCAATGTTTTGTAGGACTCTCTCTGTATTAAATAAGTATTTCTACACACTTCACATTGATCAATCGTTTGAATTACAAAACATTATTTTTAATGCAGCAGATTGTATAGAGTAAACTGGTATAAACATACAATCTATGTAGTGACTTTTCCCATGTTCAGTCATTTAGCATAGAGTAAAAAAAACTCTGCCCCAATTTCATTACATCAAGTCTCTCTCAACCAAACAACCATGTTTTAAAATAGAAAAATCACTCTGAATAAATGTCAATGTTCATCTTCACTGAAACCAAGAAACAATATAATATTGTAACAGCACTTTTTGAGTAGGAGCCTGTCCTCTTTCTAATAAAACTCCATAAAAGTGAAAGTAAAAGTTCACAATCTGCTCTTAGGAGCCAGTCCACGGATCAGCCCAACAAAGGAAACTTTTATGAAATGGCACAAAAAATAACTATAGCCAGGTTATGTTGAGAAATAAAATCTAGCAGCGGCATCTTTCATAGGCCGGGAAAAGTGTTAGTTATCTGGAGGATACATCATGTCGATCTTAACCACTAAACTAAGAACAGTTGAACACTATTTCTGTTTCAGTAAGCAAACCTAGATTTGATTTTCATGTCCGTGTATCAAACAGAACTTGAAGATATCAAAGGGATTTTGTTTCTTCCTATACACTAACTAAAATGTAATGGATTGTAGTCACATTTATAACAAGTCAACCTTTACACATGATATACTTTGATTTAAAGGTGTTCTATTCCTGCACAAGAAAATTCTGTGTCTAATTAATTTGCCAAAGAGAAAATCCAAAGCAAAGAATTAACATCAACCGATTAACTGCTTCCAGGATTCAACCTGATGTTTTATGACCTAATGAACCACAGAGAACAATGTTTCTGCTGCTGTGGGAACAAATCTTACTCGATGATGGGAGCCGAGCGATCGTTGGTGACAGTTCTTCTGAGTCGGACGTGAGCAAACGGATTGGCCCTGAAAGAAGGAGAGAAGGAGAGTTGCTGCACTGTGAGGCTATCAAAGGGGTTTTGCATGCACACACGATCGACATGCTGCTGTTCAGGTATAATGTTTAGCTTGTTAGTATTTTTTATTGAGCTATTATTTATTCAATTCGTGTCACGGGGAATTTCTATCAAATTACATGGCATATTTCCTCATGGTGGCATTAAATAAAAAGTTAAGTGATCACCAATGTCCGGGCAGCTTGAATGTCTACACAAAAATGACATGGAAACTCATCAAACAGTTGAGGTTTTTCGTTTTTAACCAAAGCAACAGTTAGTTCAGCTAAAAAACCTAAATTGAGAGCAAAAAACCACTGGCTTCGAGCCCATAGCTTATTCTCTTAGTCCCGCCTTCAAACGCCAAGCTCCTAGTAATTTATCCCTCCATCAGTGTGAAATTATTACTCCCCAAGCACAATGTGACTAGTACATTGCCTGTATATAAAGCTGGTGGAAAGCTTCTTTAATGACAAACAAAGCACCTTTAAATCGCTAAAGCTTACCTGGTTGGAGACAGTTGTGGAGAGACCAATTCTGCAGTGATCTGAAATGTGAAGATAAAATGATAATTATTAGATATTCTAACTAAATTGCCATTATTATGACGAGTCTTTATCTCTTTCGTGAACAGAGAGGCTGAGTGGGGAGAAGACGTTGACCTTCGACCTCCTCCCACAGGTTTCACGTGTCTGACCTTGTTGCTGTCGGCCATGCTGTACGGGCGGGGGCGGAAGGTGCTGACCCTCTGGGGAGGAAGGGAGTGCTCCTCCTCTGATTTGGTGGCCGGCAGACCTGCAGACACCAGCTTGTCGAGCTGCCCCGTGCTGGTGCTGTTCGCCTTCGACAAGAAGAGAGAGCTGGAGGGAAGGTCACAGAGAGGAAAGAACATACGAGCAAAAACACAAAAGGAAACATGAGTCGGGAGGTGGTGGTTTTGTGTTAATTCATCAACAAAGCTGTTAGTGTTGGAAGTGAGCGTGTCGGAAAGACCGAGAGGGCAAACAGAAAGTGTCGTTCTGCAGTTCATGAGTTCCTTCGCACTCTGTGCGTCTGGCATGAAGGATGTTTCGATCTACTGAGATTACAGAGGGAATTGGGAAGGGTTTCATGTTATTTTCCATTTTGCTGATTGCTGTCACAGAGCTGAAGGGAAGTGAAGGAAGAGGTTCCGTCACTAAGAGTTTCAAAGTTCATCAACAATGTCCAAACCCCCAGATCGGAGTGTTTCTTCTTGGGCTTACCTCTCGAGGTGATCCATCTTACTGTGGTGGGATTGAGTGTAGGAGAAAGGGAACCAGCCTTTCCTGATGAATAATATAACGCGAGTATAAAAAAGCTATTCAAACAACTGTACATTGTCCTATATGCATATATATTTATTAAGCATGTAAGTTCTCTGAATTAAGAGTTAAGAGTTAACTTTGAATCTCCTTACGGTTAAATACTTAAAGAAACAGACCAGTGCTAAACACAACAAGGCCGTCTCTTGTTAAACTGGCGACCATTCTGTGGTTTTCAATGCGAGATTTGTAAAACATACCGTCCGGTTCGCTCATTTTGACCGTAATGCCACCCGTCTCTGGGCTCAGAGATGAGCAGGGTGATGTTGTCACCAGGCAGGAAGTGCAGTAAGCAAGCCCCGCCCCCTAAGCCGCCCGTCTCCAATGCACCGGGGGTGTGAGGGAACATGGCCTCCACGCGGGAAGGATCGGATAAAGTCAGCGTCCTGGGGAGACTGGAACCTACCAGGAGAAGACAGAGGAATAAAAGGCTATAATATCTCAGAAAGGACAAATGGTTGAAAACCAGCTTTACTGTTTAGTTTTACTCTCACAGCTGTATTAAGTCACTGCTATTGAAAACACATAACAGCTACTGGGGCGGTTACCACAGCAACCACACATGCCGCTAAATGAACAGGCTGGTAAAAAACATCTCACCCTGAAAGCCGCCCTGCCGGGTTTCACTGCCGGGTCTCCTCGGCAGCGGGAGGGTAGCGGTCGCACACATGTCGGCGGTCTTCAGCAGCCAGGGGTTATGTGACGGGGACAAAGTGTTGCTTCCTGCTGGTCCCCCGTGTTGGTGCAGCAGCTGCACAGGAGTCATGGCCCTGGAGAGAGGAGCGCTGTGGGGCAGCGGCGGGCTGTGAGGAGCGCTGTGGGCGATGGGGAGGGTCATGCCCTGCAGGGGGCTGGCGGCCGAGGACATCTGGCTGAGCGACATCACCGTGGAGGGGATGAGGCTCGGGGAGAGGTTGGACGTGTTGGTGGCCAGGAGGAGGGAGCTTTGCAGGGCCGAGCCACCGGAGCTGGTGGGGGTGGACGCGGCAGGGCTGCCGCTGGCACTGCTGTCGGGGGGGGAGCTGGCTGAGGCGTCAGCGGGTGTGCTGCTGTGCAGGGGAGACGCTCCTTGTGACGAGCCTCCAGCAGCTCTGCCGGTGGAGAGAGAGCAGAGCGTCTGGGGGGAATCCTGAGGAGGACCGGCTTCGCTCTGCGAGAAGGAGGGGAGCGAGCGCTGCTGGGAGCGACCGGAGTCCCCATTCAACAGAGGAGGCACTTCTTGAACAGAGAGCCTCTGAAAAATCAAGGATGGATACCAGAGATTAGAAGTGAGTGTTACAAAATCTAATATTGTGAAGGTTTTATTTAAGTTTTTAAATAAGACGTTTCCAGGTTTCACAAGTGTGAACTTGAGTCACCTGACCTTACAAATCTGGTAAGTTAGCATAATCAAAACGGACTGTGTGACTTAAATCTTTCGAACTGGAATTACAAATATAAAAACATACTACTACTACTGACTACTGACAAGAGATGATATCTCAGATTAATAAGGGTTTACAGACTATGCGTTCATGTCTTCCTTTTGAATTAATAAGGAATCACCAATATCTTAACTCAATATCTGATATTGATGATTGTAATAAATTATATCATAATTATTTTAGCAATAAATATGACCTGACTCACAACTTCCCAGCGAGGCTTAAAGTTACTTTAAAGCAAAACAATGACTTTGTCTTTTGAGGGGTTCAAGCCATCAACCTGTAATCCTTCTGTGGAAACCACACACGACGCTGAAGTTAATGATAAATCCAAAGAACATATCAGACACCTGACGCGGTACAAATCCAACATGATCTGACCTGTTCCGGCTGAGCGGAGCCGATCTTTGTGTGGCGGAGGACCTCGGCGATCCCGGCAGCCCCCGAGCCTTGAGGCGCAGTGTGACGCAGCAGATTCAGAGCGCGCTCTGGGAGTTTTGTGGGCTGAGAACATGACTGCTGCCAAGAAGAGAGTTTCTGGGACAGAAGCTCTCTCACCTGGGTAATATTTGAAATGTTAAGTCTCGTTGTAAACAAGCCCCAGCTGGCCTGAATGAATACAACGGCACATTTGAACAGATCACCTTTGAGTGGTAGTTGATGAGCAGCTTGGTGACACAACACTGTCTGTCCACTAGGAAGCAATACCGTCTCCTCTCCTCTGTGAGCGCGGACTTGTAACCCGAGGCAACCAGCGTGTCCAGCTCTCCTTGGCGACGACTCATCAGCTCCACAAACTTAGGGAAACATCAGAGACATTTCACTGCAAACCTGAACGTCCTTAAATAAGCAGGCGTGCACAATCACGTGCACCCAGAGACGCAGTGACCTTCAGTGCACATTGTACGGAGAGGGGAACGAGTGAGGTCATTTCCTGCCTGTTGCACAATGACAACCAAATCCAAAATCATAAAGCTCTACGCTTTTGTTCTGGTGACCTTATTGCTCCAACCAAACCCTCCGAGTGGCGAAACCCTCTCATCTTCTTACATCATATTTCGCCAGTAAAAGCTTGTGCACTAAGTTGCTAGTTTTCTGAGGAATCAGCTGAGGCCGATTGTTCTTTAGTCGTATTTACAATGGCCAACTTCTCACGCAAACGCTCACACACCTTTTCCCCCTGCTGTGGCCCCTGAGTGTTTAAGATCGTTGTGCCTATTACTGAAGAAAGTGGATTAAATGTGTATTCCTTTAGAACGGCCCTCTGGGCTTCGCCCACCTGCATCTCTCGGTCTCCATATTTGTTGGGGTGGCGGCTGGCCTGGCTCTTCCTGCGGAGTTTCTTCAGCTGTGACTGGCAGCGCTCGATGGACTCAGATTTAGACCTCCGCTCACTCTGGTACTTCTTCAGAGTGGCCTGAGAGGGAACGGGAGAATAATCAAAAGATAGATGTAATAATAAGCTAAAATGTAGCTACATTTAACACAATTATTGTTTGTTTTTTTACTTACTGTGAGGTATTTTATATCCAATTCCAGTTTCTGTTCCAACTGGGCGAGTAGCTCAGAGTGAAAGAGCTTCAACTGTTGATGAGAAGATCCATATGCAGTTGCTGAAAGATACGCTACGACCAACAAATGCACCCTGTTTCTTAATAAACTAAATCCATTTTCACCCCATTAACAACATGTATCTGTCCATGACTTACCACGTCTTCCAGCTGCACCTGAATCTGTCTGTGGACCTCGGCCATCTGAAACAGCGTGTCTCCTGTGAGCGCCAGAAAAACACAGGCAATCAGGATTATATATATATATATATATATATATATATATATATATATATCAGCTACGCTTGTTAGTCATGGTGCATCGTTAATCTGTGCAGAGAATTTGAACAACGATGGCTGTTCACAACACAGTGTGAACATCAGCGGGGACGAGCATGAAAAACGCATCAGTAATATTGTCATAAAAACGTTATGTTTTGCCACAGTTTGTGATTTACAAAGTGGCGGTCAGCTGTGTGTCCCTCCCTCGGCCACACAGCTCTGTAATATGTGGTAGCTGGCATCTCGCCCTCCGACTCTCCTGCCCGCCTCCCCCGCTGTTTTCAGCATTACAATGAGATCATGTGGTGTTGTTAATCTCCCAACAATGACCCTACTCTCTGCCTTTCCCTCTGTTCTCTCCCTCTCTCTCTCTACATTTCCTCAGTCCCTCTCGTCTTCATCGCCCTGACCAACACAGCCTATTTTCAGCCCCCTCCCCTCAGCTGTCACTTCCACTCTCTTAACTTTATTAGGTCCATGGCAAACTTAAAAAAAAAAAAATGATTTGCTCTTCAACTGAGGTCCTTCTCCACCAGCCGTCCACTCACCCAGTTCTTTGGAGCCTTGGCTGTCGCTGGCCAGCTCTCCGAGTTTCACCAGAGCATCAAAGTACCCTTTAGCAGCCACGGTCACTCCTGAAGGAGGAAAGTTCATATTTGGGAGAAGGTTTAGCTCGGGGATGGAGACGGATTGAAGGGCAGCGGCTCCCGAATCATCCTGTCTTTGACTGACCTGTCAGGGCCTTCTCATAGTGCTTCCCCATGGTCACAAAGTTCTTCAGACTGGGGTTGAACTGGTCCAGAATCCCCTGGTGGCAATGATGCACACAGACAACAAGAGGTAGAAGAACATTTGTGGAGCTTTTTTATATTTCAAACCATTTCTCTACACTTGGCTGGGATCAATGTGGGTGTGGGAGAAATAGTCAGAAAGAGACAAACCTTGTAGACATTTTCCGTCATCTTGTTGACTTCTTCTGTTCGAGACATATTTCTTCTGGTGGTTTTGCGCTAGCACGATGTTGACTTGTATTTTTTTCTTATCGCTGTTGTTCAGGGCCTTAATCTTTACAGCAGACAGCTAAAGCCTAAAACAGGAGAACAAGAAAAGCGACTGATCTTTAAAAATGACCCACGAGAGTTACGCAAAAACCCGATGAGTGGGTCTAAATTCAGTTGTTTTTAAATCGGCACGTCGATAGATGCACTTATTTGTATAATTTTGTGGTAGAAATGTGTGTTGTGCCGCGCGTAAAGAGGAAAGCATTTGAAATTTTCCACAAGAACAACTGACTGAAAGATTCTCCTTTATTCCTCAGAATAAACTACACAAATATGAAATCATCATATTCACAAAACAATCCGCTGTTATATTAATGTACGAGTGAGAGTTAAGCTCTTTGAAGGCCATCGAACCCTCACAATGAGTGCAGAGGAAGTGGGATGGCCTGCTGTTTTGTCTGAGGGCGGCGGTGTTATTTTACATGGATCTTCTCCGTGTCTCCGCTGCCGGTTTCTTCATTATCACGACGCAACATTACAGCAACCTAAATATTTCTCCAGAATTTGTGTGCCAGATGAGTTATACCATCTCAGATAAGAACAATGGGTTCCTCCAGTCCAAGTCAGGGGTGTCAAGAGCACTGAATCAACACGCGACAAGTTTCCTCTGCTGAGAGAACGATAAAAGGAGGGTCTGGGGGGAGGAGGGGGGCTGCAGGGTCAAAGGATGGCCAGTTTGGATTTAATGGCAAAATGCTCAGTCGGTTTTCCGTGTCCTCCTGTGTTTACACGGCGGGGATCACGGCCGATCAACTAATGGTGCACGACACAAAGAACACATTTCCAGTCTCTTGCTCATTAAGGCCACCGTGGGGCATCGTGTAGGAAGTCGGGGAAGCCGTATTATCATGCAGGAAAAGACTTGCTGAGTTTAGTTTAGTCACTTTAGAGCTTTGCACGTTGATGAAAAATATTAAATAAAACGCTAAAGCTCCATAAAAAATGATTTTCATGTTCTATCTTAATGTGGTTTAATTCTAAGACATAAAGTGTTGCTTGTCTCAGGATGCCACAGGAAAAGTCTGCAGGTGGTTGGGAAACCGATACAGAAGATTCATTCATGCGGTCGGCCGCCTTAAAGTGTTTGGAAGACAACATTGCATTTAAAAAACACCAATTAACCGTTACGACCACTCGGGTCTGCAACTAATTTGATCAGCAGAATAATCATATCTTAACTTTTTAAATAATTGAACACTTGTTTGAGTCACTTTTCAGTAGCTGATGGTCAACTGGGTCATTGGGTTTTAGAATGATGGTTAGAAAAATGATTGACTGAAGAGCAGGTTAAGGAGGTCTTTTTTTTATTAATGATTTGTTTAAGAATTAAAAGTAAGTTTGCGTTCTGGTGGTTGTGAAAAGTTTCTTGGTCAAATGATGCCAGATAATCATGCATTCCTCTCAAGAATTAATGGTGCTGCATTTCAGCTAAAACGCAAAATTAACCTTTTCTTCTCCACCATCTCATCGCTTTTTCCAACAGGTACGTCAAAGTATCTGGAAAAACTGAATACAACCCCCCCTACAAAAAAAGTCCAACATGCCAAATACCAGCGTGCCTCTGCACATGAGCATGAATACATGAGTGGGGTAATTACACCGCGGGTGTCGTTCCTGAGTTTAACAATAAAGAAAAAGCGCCCTGCCGTTCGGCCACACGGTGAATACCTGTCGGTTTATCAGCTGCCATTTGTCAAACAGTCCAACGCAACTCAGCTGGTTTGAAATAAAAGCTCACGTACCTTCGCTGTTCTCATCGCGGGCTCCCGGAATGCTTCCTGCTCGAGTGTTAAATGAACAGTGCGACACCCCCTCTTTTCTTCCCATTAGGCTACTTTCCCCCTCGGTCAGTAAGTGGGGGGTTGTTTCATCCAGCACGGCACTAAATCTACCCCCCCACCCCTTTTTCACATGACCCCCCCCCACCCCCCCTCTCTCTCTCCCTCCCTCTCTCGCTCTCTCGGCCTCCCCGCTCGCAGGAATCGGGGTCAGATATTTGGTGCCGTTCGGTACCTCGATCTCCTCCTCATTACTGAGCCGATTACTAACATGCCTTCACGCGCGCACAGACCGGCCAGAACCCCCCCGCACCCAGTACAACCAGCTCCCTGCAGTTGGAAACCAGTCAGCCTCCCATTCTGTGTCTCTCTCTCTCTCTCTGTGTGTCTCTGTCTCTCTGTCACGGGGGCGGAATAACAATGAGCCAACGGGACCCTCTTCTGAATAGAAGCAGGAGAATAATGACTTGAACTTTTTAAGCAGAGGGACCGACCGGGCAGCGAACGCAGGACCGACACACCGGCCCGCATTCACATATCGCCCGCTCCTCTTCCCAAAGACACTCACAAGGCCAAAGGCCAATGGAATAGAGGTCCTGGGGGAGGTTAGAGCCGGGGGAAAGGCCCCCAAAAAGTAATTCACTTTCGCCAAGTAGTCCGCACAAGCACAGTCTTGAGCCACTTGTTCAGAGACAAATGTGCTTCTTTTTACTTCAGGATATTTGGTTGACAGCTTTAGTTGCTTTGCTTAATTAAAAAGTTTTTCTGTGGGATGTGGTTTAGCACACAGCAGCTTAAATAGAGCGTTTGTGGTGAACAGATGGGGTTAAGGAAAGCAGCAACACTGTCAAACAGAAAAGGTGCATTGGTATTATAACAATGAAAAAGCCTCTTTGAAGCTGCATCAAAGCGCTTTGTAAAACCTTTCATTGTGGCTTAATGGGTCTCACTGAAACGGCCCCACTCCAATCTAAACAATGATAACACTTCATGACTGGATCGAGTGGTTTGCATGAAAATTGAATTGGTCAAATGTACCTTGAGTGTGAGATAACTGTAGTGGCTGTGAATATTTGGATACAAAATGCAGTGTGTCGGTCAGTGTTGAGGCTTTACAGCTGCAGAGTATGTACATAAGTAGCCCATGCAGCTAGAATGGTGGACATGTGTCGCGTACAGGTGCCCGACTGAAGCTTTTGTTGCAGTGGCAGGTTTCTTCCAGGGGGCGGCGATAGCGTGGCATCCTGCAGCACTTAGACCAGCCGCCATAGTGGTGCAACAAGTGAAGACCGTAGACTTCAAATCTGTATCCTTAAGACAAAAAGTACACCTTTATAAACACATAGTGTTGATCTCAAAGTTTAATGAAACCAATAATGTCACATTACAGTGTCCACAGTTCAAACCTGGTTGTCTCTCCACACAACGTGCACTTACATCGTGTTTTGTGTGCGCGGACACAACCGAAACAAGTCAAACCCACATCAGAACGTATCAAAGCGTCTTTACACGGCAGCAGGCTGCCAGGACCTTTACTCAATTCCAAAGACGACGCTTGGCTTCAGTCTGCCGGCGTTAGCGGATGCTCTTTGGAGTTCTGGGTCAGCTCGGCGTGGAGGGGGGTCACACCGGAGAGTCTGAGATCAGGTCCTTGGACCTGAACCCTAAGGCTTTTGGCCTCGGCTCTCTTGGATTGACCAACAGGAGAGCCCAACTCACACCAACCACCCAGAGAGGTCGAAATCAGTCTTTGGCAAATGCACATTTCCAGGATAAAAATATGATGACGATGGGGCAGCGAGTAGGATGTCAAAGAGTCCAAAAGCGCCAGGCGGGAAAGGAGGTGTGGTCTTCCAAGAAAAACAAAACAAGGGTGAAAGAGGGGAGCAGAGGAGGAGGATAGAAAAGAGAGGCAGAGACGATGAAGGAGGGAGAGAGAGAGTTGAGCTCTCTGGAGTAAATCTCTCAATCTGTTCAGGGTGTGAGGTGGACTAACTCACTCCAGTGGACAAGGACTCACAGGGATTCACAGGTACGGACGCTTTAACGGTGTTAATTTACTACAAACGTGTGTTAAAAGTTGTAGAAGAGATAATTTAAGAGTTGCAGTGTGGCTGTGTTTTGCTTCTACAATTTAGAGGCAATTTCTGTAAGAAATTTGAAGGTTTTGTTAAAAACAATACATGGCCATTAGTCAATTATTATAAAATAACAGAAACCAGTTAGATTAGCGAAAACAGAACATTTGCAAATTGTTTATGTCAGCTACTGAAAGCAAATGCAACTAAAATGTAGACATCTGCAGTGATGTGTCCCTCTGTCACATGTTGCATTCAACAAAACACTTTGCTTTAAGATAAAGGAAACCAATTTATTAATTACCCTAGAAACATATTTAACTGAAGGATAAATGGAAGAATTGGACACATTTTGTGTGCTGGGTGTGTACGACATCAGCGACCGAGTTTGTTAGATTATAACTAGATACAAATCTGTCAGAAAATACACATTTTCACTGCATGTCCTGTTTGTGTAGCTGCATGACAATGAAGTAGCATTTATCCCATAATGGATGGTTATATGGTACATCTCATAAATAAATTCATGTATTATTCAACATATAATAGAACATGCTAAATAAGAGATGCTGTAGCAGTAATGAGGAGATGCTCTATAGTAAACTTCCAAATCTGTATTCTAAGAAATACAGAGTATCATTTTACAATAGAAAGACTTTTATGTAGATGAAGTACAAACAATAAGAACTCAACTGTTTACACTAATAAGGACCGTTCTTAAACTTTCTTAAATTGCCATTAAACGCCATCCAATCTGTCTGGAAATAATTGGTTTGTTTACAATAGAGAGATTTCTTTTTAATCTGTTTGTCAGAGTCGACTATTTATTTATTTTTTTGATCACAGGCCTAACTGCTATTGTCAGTTTTCAATTTGTGACTAATCGCACTACTTAAATATCCACCACGACCATATGGTGCCGGGATGGTGCACGAGTCCAGTGCTCACCATGGATTAACCCCCCCAACCCCTCCCCCACCACACACACACACACACACACACACACACACACACACACACACGAAAGGCACACAAGCCCACTTATCTCTGCTGAAGTAAAACAACTTGGTGCAATTAGGTTAATTGAGGTTGCTGATGAACTTAAGCTAAACTGGGTGTCACACGACCATCTGTCTCCCCTGTAAACCCTGGTAATCACAACAGGCAGAATATATTTGAGTTATCTTTATTGTAATGCAGAGTACATTATAAGAGATTCTCAATTGTTGATTAATTTGTTGTTTTAATTAATTAATTTTGTGGCATAGCAACTAATTCTTTTATTTTTTTATTTTCATGCAGTTAGAAGGTATTTTACCTTTGTGTTTCCTCATTGATAAAGTGCAGTGAATCATGTATGAACTATACACACACACACACACACACACACACACACACACACACACACACAGATTGTGGAGGCTGGTCACTGTGAGCAACAGGTGGTCAGTGAGGTTTAGCTGCCACATCACGTGTGTGCCATTTAAAGGCCGAGCCTGTATAATGAGGCACATGTTACTGTGCCCAGAGGGGTCAGTCCGGTCTATTTATTCAGCGAAATTTAAGGATCACCCTACTACCCGTACTGCTTTTAATACTATTAATACCAAATGCAAGTACAATATTTAGATTACCACCGAATTCAACTTCGGGACCTGTTTTATTAAAAGAAAAGATTCTATGTGTCCTTGGAGTCTTCAGGTAGTCTGCTCACACTAAAGGGTCCACGTTGTGTGACATTGTGTGGTCCAGTCAGGATGTCACACTTCTCATTTGGACTAATCCTTGTCTGGACACCTTCTGGCAGTTTGGGCACGTTCCCATGTCACGTGCGACGTCCCGCCGAGATGTTCATCCACTATCACATCCAGCTGAGAACAGAAATAGAACAGCACAGATAGAAAATTAAAACAGACATTTCTGTTAACTTGTAGATATAAATACAGGACACTGTGACAAAAATATCAGCAACATGAAGATAAAATGCAAAACAAAACAACGTCAGCATTATAATTGGGAATGGGGCTGAATGCGTACGTCTCAATCAAAAAGGCCTTTTAGCGCACACAACTGTGCTATTGTTGAAAACCTCAATCTAAAATCGGATGTTTTGTTTCACAGGTTTATTCCGTTCTTCAGTGGCGCAGGGGAGCGTTAGGAGTGGATACTCTGCAAATGGAGACCTTTCTTCTTATTTTCCCTGATGTCTCTTCTCCGACATCGAAGAAGTCAACACAACCTTTACATTAATTGCCATCGCACGTTTTGAAGTGAAGCCAAGCTCCTTAGACTTACCGGCTAAACTGTGGATGGAGATTATGAGGAACTCTCAGTCTCTGCACGTGTTCCTTGTTACCTTTGCGTTTCCTTTATTTTCAACTCTCCTCTGCCCTTCAAATGCCAGCTCAGGGTCTGATTATGACTACGGAGCCCACCCACGCTTTGTATGCACCCCTATTCCCGTGGACGCGGACCCCGCCTGCTTCCCTACAGGGGGTCCGGGCGTAGGGGCGGCGGGGCCCAGCGGACCAGGTCATCAAAGTTCCCCTCCTGCTGGCTGGTGGGGGGCGAGTGAGGAGGCAAAAGCCACCATCCTCCACCTCAGGGAGAGCCTCGTCCAGCAGAAGGAGACCATCCTGGACCAGAGGGAGACCATCAGGGAGCTGACGGCCAAGCTCACGCTGTGCGAGGGTCTCGGACGCGGCGCGGCGTCCCACGACGACTTCCACGGCACGGCCTCGCACCCCCAGCACGCCGGGTCGGCCGACCATCACGCCGTCACCGACGACGGGCACTATGGCGACCAGCAGGGTCGCCATGGAAACCTCATACCAGACTCGCCGCACTACGGCTCCGTGGGGAGGCAACGAGCCGACGGGGGGCACGGCGTCAACCACAAGGGGAAGGATAAACACGTGACACCGGGGGACATAACGTCCTCGCCGGAGCAGATGGAGAGAATGCTGCAGGCGCTGAAGGAGAGGCTGGACAATCTGCAGGTGAGTAACAAAGGGGGAGGAGGGGAAACCTTTTGTTTTAAACTTATTGCTGGCAAACAAAACTATAGGAAAAATGTGCATTAAAGAAAATATGATTCAGTTGATGAATATGAACGTTTTTTGATGAAGCGTCCCGTTATTTGTCTTTTCATTGTTCATCGGACACATCGATGCTGCTGTCACCAGAATGCTGAATAATCATGTCCCAAAGTGGTACGCGCACTAAGTACTTGAGAAAAGGGAACAATTAAGGACCTAATTGCATGAAGCCACTTAACGCATTGGTGACTGTGATGTCCCTCAGGGTGCATCTCAGAGCAACTACAGGCGCACGGGGGGGCGAGGGGGGTCGTCGCTGATGTCAGATGCTTAATTCACCTCAAGCATTGGATTGACTTATTTAATTTATGGTGGTCCTTTTTTTCCCCTTAGTTACTCACGATGGTTTCACTCCATCGGTTCATCTATTTATTCTTTTCTGCTCGCTCGTCTCGCTGAACCGCGCTCACAGATTGATGTCAGGAGCCGTTGGGCGTTTAGAGGAGATGGGGGTGGAAGCACAGGTACAACATCCGCAGTAATTATCGTAGTCTCCCTTGACATACTGGTAATTAGGGCGCGCACATCGACAAAGCCTGGATTACCTGGAGGGGAAGAGAAGCAGAAGTAAATACAGGATGATACAGTTAATATCTGACTGTTGCGTTTGACATTGAAAGATTAATCGTGAATGTAAACAGCAGGCAAAGTAAGCAAAGAAGAAGACCTGATTCCTGAAGGTCACTTTGATGGGTTTGATGCCTTTGAGCTCAGACAACTGTTATTGTTGCCAGTACTTCACCTGTGGGTCCTTCACCAACCTCTTGCAGAAGAGGAACACATCCATCACCTACTCCAGTTCTCTGAAGGAGCTTCTTCAGAGGAAGATCAGCGCTCTGGAGCAGCAGCTGCACCATCGCGGCTCCTCCATCAGCGGCTCGGACCGCCACCACGAAGACGGTGGCCACGGAGACGACGGAGACCATCACCACGACGACGACGACGAGCGTCTGGATGGCAATCACCGCGACGACGGACACCCGAACGACCACAACGATGGCGGTCACAGCGACAACAGCAACCACACCGACAGCCACGGTGACGACCGCCATGATGCAGACACGGGCCGTGACCATCACCACCATGACGATGATGATGATGATGAAGACCGGCATAATAACGAAGCAGACAGCCACAGTTACGTTTCACACACAGGATACAGAGAGCCAGCGCCACGGACCGGTTTTCACTCTCATAAATTGGAAGCAATGCTCAACCAGCTGCACCTGACAGGTAAACAAGAAGTGAGGTCACTTTTCTCAACATGGAGTCACTTCCAAGAGCTTTTAAAGCAAACTCGAGATTTATAAAATGACTTTGTATATTATCGACTGATGACAAAACCAAGAATTAATTAGTTATAAAGTTTATTCTGGACATTTTGAACAAAATTACTTAAAAAATAAAAAGCTCCAAAACAGCTACTGAATATTATTAAAGATTTTTGGATTTTGACTCCAAGACAGTCGCTAAATGGACCGTGACACGACACACGGTGTGATGTTATTTCTCTTCAAAAACAGGTTCCGCCAGGACAAAGTTAGAGAGTCCCGACGCCTTCCAGATCAGCTTCCCCATGAGAACCAACTACATGTCCGGGCGAGTGAAGAGGACGCTCATGCAAGAGATCTTCGCTCTGACTTTGTGTCTCTGGATCAAGGCGGGCGTGGCGCCCGGCCTCGGGACGCCTTTTTCATACTCTGCCCCCGGACAGGCCAACGAGCTGGTGCTCATCGAGTGGGGGGACAACCCCATGGAACTGCTGATCGACGACAAGGTGAGGGAGGACGCGTAGAACCACCGCAGCACTTTCTCACACATCCTGTACATTTATATTATATTATTTATATGTATAAGTCTTATACCACCCCAGGACGTAATCATAGGATTGTCCCATCCGCAGGCCGTGACGCTCCCTCTGTCCCTTGAGGGGGGCCAGTGGCACCACGTGTGTGTGACCTGGTCGACCCGGGATGGACAGTGGGAGGCCTACCAAGACGGCGTGCAGAAGGGGTCCGGGATCGACCTTTCCCCCTGGCACCCTATCAAGCCCGGAGGGGTCTTCATTCTGGGGCAGGAACAGGTACTGTGCAGGCAAAGGGTTCATTATCTGTCGATGCTCGAATGCGGAAGAATAATCAATTAATATGTTAGATACTGTTAACTTACTACCCAAGCTGTTAGCTTGAAAAATGTTACATTTCAAATAAGTCTTTTTTTTTTTTTTAAACATGGACGGCACAAACTGTGCATTGTTTTGGAGAACAATGGCCGCCGTTCATGGTGAATGTTCACTCTCTCTTCTTCAGGACACTCTGGGAGGCCGTTTCGACGCCACTCAGTCGTTTGTGGGCGAGATGTCGGACGTGCACATGTGGTCACACGTCCTGACTGCGAGCGACATCTACAGCTTGGCCTCGTGCGGCAGCCACCTGCGAGGGGATGTCATCGCTTGGTCCGAGGCGGAGGTGGAGCTTTTTGGAGGCGTCGCCAAATACCCCTTTGACCCCTGTCACTGAAAGGCCATGTGACGGAGGGGTGTGGGGGGGGGTTACATCCTGGGGCGGACTGAGAACATTTATCATAGATCAAAATGTGCAAGAATAAGACAGAAAATCCTTTGGCTTTCAGGTATTTTTTTTGGACGACCACTCAGCGGCACCAACTCAATGCCTTCCTCTAAACTTAATCAGAGAAAAGAGCAATAAACCTAATCTGTGTTTACAGAGACTTTGAGTATTTAGTAGACTTTGGTCTTTAGGTTTTGGACTCCACTGTAATCCTGAGCTAGTTTTTTTTTTGAACAGACAAGTGCTGTATGTGACATATTGTCATATTGTTAATAAGACTTAATATTGTAGCGTCTGCGATCAAATGAGCAGACCTCACGTGTGTTCTGTTGTGGTGAATTAACAGACGTTAGTCATAGATATGTTTTGAGGAATCGATTTGTAATCTGGATGCTTCTTTTTTTATTAAAAGGTGAGCCAGAAAATACAGCTAATCAACCAAAGAAAATGTAGGATTGAAACACTTTGTGTCATAGATGTTTTGTTTTTGGTTAAATTTGATTCATTTTTGTTTGAAACTGTGTATTTTGTGTGTTCCAGTCATTGCACGATGGCTTCTTAATTTCTTACATGATTTGGCCTTGACAGTTTATTTGTTAATGTACTGTATATGAAACACTGAATTTTGGCCAGATTTAATTTTTGGTGTTAAAAATTGTGTGCGTGCGAGTTCTTTCTTTTTTTTATGTTAAGAAAACGCAAATAAATAAAAAGTATAAAAACAGTCTTCATTTCATCAGAAACCCAAACCTGAAAAAGGTCAATTAGCAGATTGACAATAAATTACTATTATTTCTTAACGACTTAAACAGACCAACATTGTTTAGTTGTTTGTTACATGCTAATATTCTGCAGGTATAACGTCAATGTGCTGAGATGTAACCAAAGTTGCTAAAAAACATACAGCAATTCATCATCTCTGTTCACCATTCATTTATTGTTACATAGTAGTTTAGTGGCACCGGTGTGTCATTTTCATTTTGCTACATTTACAGATGATCTATCATCTTCACCTCACAGTAAATAAAAATAAATAAATACAAAAATGAACATGTTCTGAAAAGGGTGGAATCAGAAATGGAGGCCCAGCTTCAACTTGATCATTTCAGCGTTCAATATTTAATGGCAATATTTGTAGGCCCAACAATTCATTTTTGGCAACTTCGAACTAAGAATACCCAGAAAGTGACGGCCTACAGACAGCCCGTGTTTAGTGTGGAGGCATGTATACAGTTAGGCCTTTTATGTCAGTTTGATGGAATCGTGGTGAAAGGCAATAACTGATCTGAAGGACTCATCACACTGTGTATTTAAAACAAGGTCTACATGTTCTGATCGGAGATAAAATACCTCATTCCATTTCAAACAATGTGATCAGGTGAACAAATACGGCACACGTTAAAAAACAGAAAGGGAGAGCTGGCACTGACCAGGTGGTGACGCTACGCAGCATTTCTACACAGTTCAGGGTTCATCCTTCATCATATTGCAGTGTGTGAGATCGCCAGCAGAGGATGACACGGAGCACTGAGTCCAAGTAACAACATTTTCTCCAAAATGCTAAAATTGATAAAGTGCAGTAGACAAGTATTTTCACTCCAATTTCAATCCAACAGACTACTAGTAATAAGTTCATGAACTGGAAGTCAAGCAAAGCCATCACTGGACACAACTCTGGACCTGTTACCGTTCATTTAATCTGAAAACTATTACATAATGAATCAAAGCTTTGTTAGTGTTCCTTGTTTTGGCGTCTCTTCCTTTGCATCACTCTGGCAAGACGGAGCGTTTCCGTTTGAGTAAACAGCTTACTCCCACTTGGGCAGCAAAAGAAGGTAAAACTGGACGCGTTTCAGTGAGCGGGAGACTCATTGCTGCTTGTGCTTTACAGCGCTGGTTTACCCAGAAAACCAACAGGCTGGGCCACAGATCAACCACAGTACTAAACATTTCCTGAATATCGTTTTGTTTTCCAATGAAAATATAACCAACAATGTTCTCTGTGGATAAACCAGCTTCCGTATTAAATGCAGCTCTTCCGTGTCAACAGGGAACACTAACACTTTTAAAATCAGTGCACTAGCATGATCAGCGAAGCGTCAGCACCGGCGACTGACACCTCGATCTACCAGCATGCTGTCCTACAGTAGCTCGTACAAAAATCAGACTAAAAAAGAATAAATTAAATCATTTCTATGTGTATCGTAAAGAAATATGCTAACATCTATTTACAAAAAGTATACATTGTAATGAGCTGCCTTTGTGATTCCTCGAAACTCGGCGGACAGACCCCAACAGTCATTAATGGTGAGAGAGATGTCGATGTTCGTCGGCGAGAGTGAAATGATTTGGGGCATGCTTGAACATCAGAGAGGACGATCGCTGCTAAATGGACCTTTTAAATCTAGTGTTACCAAGGGTTTGTAAACAAGCCTACAGACTGGAACTACGCTTTACTCTGCTATTGCTCAAACATGTAAAAAACATGCTGAAGAGGAACATATATATATACACGTGTTGTCTCTAAGCGGAAACAAGCAGCTTTTTGGAAGAAGAGGAACAGCCGTCTGCGATAATTGAAGCCCTCTTTCCGCCTGAACACACGACCACATCTGAAGGTCAACCGTAACGAACAGGGACATTTCCCCCACACAAGGGTTACAGTGTCTACGTGTAGACAGTAGCAATTTGAGTCAAAGCCGTGAGGAGTGCTGTAGCAAGCAATGGGCATATCTTTAATTGCTTGCTACTTTGACTTAACAGATTCCTCGCTCTAAAATAAATGTTGTTGTGGATGGTCGAATAGTGCGGTCACATTTTTTTGGGGTGAGCTGCCTGCCCCACTCAATAAGATTATATTCACACTAATGCAGACAGATGTCAGAAAGATACATTCAGGGGATCTTCAGTCCACGCTTCATTTTCAGAGTCTAAAAAGGTCCGTCGTGCATAACAAGTACCGTTAAATTATTACGCATGCACAAACTGCTTCAGCCAGGACCATTACATATTTCTGCTGAACAACTGCCTGCTGTTTTTAAAGTTTTCTTTGTGGTTTAAGGAGCAATTGTGAATGACAAAGTAAGAAAGAAAAAACTAAAAGTCCTAAAAATCCTGACAATCTTAGCATTTTTAAAGCATCTATTTTCCCAGCGTTTTCTCATTTGTCCATATTGGGTCGGCAGCTTTGACAAAATGTTCCTTTGAGATCACCCACAGTAGTGTGCATATGGCCCGCGACACGTTTCACTTTACTTGAATGCCGAGCGAGTGAGGAAAGCGGTGAGAAGACGGGACGGACGGTGCGCTCGGGCTGTAGTGCGTCGGGTTTTGTGTAGAACAGCAGAAGTGTGAGAAACAAGATTACAAGAGGCAGCTACAGCTGGTGAACGCGTCACTCTGCATGTAGCTTTCAAGAGTCTAGTAGGGAGGACAGCAAGGAGTCCTCGTGTCAGGGACAGGACGCATTCCTGGGACGGGAGGGAAGGAGGGGGAAATCAATACTTATGACGGGGTGGTGAGGAGAAGGGCTGAAGACCCGTGTCCGGTGTTGGAAGGCGGATGAGAATGGAGAAAGGAAGAACGGGAGAGAATGAAGGGAATACTCTATGGTTGTTCCTCCTTCTTCTTCAGTGATATACGTTTCTTCCTGGCAGCGAGCATTTCATAGAAGGGATCAACACTGACAGCAGATCTGTACAAGCGACAAAGAAACACTATTGAATTGTGTGGATGATGAAAATGTACAAATAAAAAGACCAGCCAGCAGTTAGGACTTTTTTTTAAACTAGGCCTTTAAACTCTGGTTTGGGCTGAAATGTCTTGCTGGTCTGACACTACCCCCATTTGTCTTGAGACACTATCCTTCCATTTTTATTTCCATACTTGATGCTGTGGATCCACTCATCCTTCTCCTCGGGCGTGGGGGCGGAGATGCGGTACACGTTGTGGTTTCCTTCCACCACTCTCCCGTCGGCCTCCGTCTTACACGCCTTGATCAGCTGACCACGGTTGTTTGGGATGTACAACTCAAAACAGTTCTGTTGGAAGAAAAGGAGAATTGGATTAACAATCGTACACACGGAGTTTGATGAAAGTAACATTCTGATAATTGCATATGCCTTCATAAAAAGATGCAAACTCACAGGTTTTCTTGGGTCTTCGACCTCACGGATGCTAAGGTTTTCCAAGGGAATGATACCTCGCGGCTCCTTATCCTGTTAGTGAGACATGCAATCACAGCAGATTAGATTCACAATAAAAAAAGGTTTAAATCAGTTCCAATAAATATTTCCGATACAGTAAATTACCGCCAATTGGAATTTGCCCCGAGGTACAAAAAAGCTTTAACAGGCAATCGCAATTTAACATTAGCCTGCAATCCTAAACATCACCACATTTTATTGCAGGGCACTAAATATATATGTATATATTTTTTAAATTAGGAAAGCCTACTCAATTACAGCAGCAACACCGTGTAAGGACAAAAGGAGAAACTCCTGTTGCATGTGCACAAAGACTCACTGTGGTATACTCAAAGTAATAAAGGCAGTTGTCTGTGAGAATGAACCATCGTCGTTTCCAGGTTTTCACTCGTCCCCCTGAAACACAAGAATCCGGTTATGTGGATGAGTGAAAAAAGACTTGAACGGATACTATTCTACGGTTTCTACATTCGTATAGCTAATCTTTTAAAACTACAACAAGTGTAAGTACATACCTCCTGAGAAAACAAGCAGCGGCAGTAGAGGGTGGAAATCGCAGGGAAGAAGCAGAGACAAAAGGGGACCAGAGTATTTAGAGGAAGACAGAGGACAAATAGAGACGGATGGGGACGAGGAAGAGAAAAGAGATTCATTAGTGACACGGAGATCACAGGTCCCGCCATGCAAAAGAAAAATCAGATTTTGCCGTGACAGAAGAAAGAGAGTCTCTTGTTCACCATCATGCTTTGGCAATGTACAAATTCCACAACCGAGCGCTGTTAATCCAAGTGGAGGCAAAGAAACAGCAAACCTCTGACAACAGGGCAAGTTATTATAGGACAGAACCAAGTTAAATACTAGCAGATAGAGAATTACCGTCTTGACAATTGTAACATTTAAATACTTGATTTGTCGAATTGTAAAGATCGGTTTAAGTTGGCGCGAAGGTTCGAAGTACAGAAACAACTCCCGCGAGTCATCTCACCGAGTTTAAGCAGCCAGCCCTCTCTGTCTGGGTTAAAGAAGGTGTGCGTCAGGTCATTGCCGTCGTCTTCTGGGATCTTGAAGGGCTCATTTTTAATGCTTTCGTAGAGATTCTGTAATAACATACAAGATAACTCACTAAAAGATCTTCACTGGCCTAATCTTTATTGTCACTTAGCCATCTCCAAAGAACAGCAAAGTAGAGCTCAACGTACTCTGAGCAGGTCTTCAGGCAGGTCTCCTCCCTCATTGATGCCTCGGTTCATCGAGATGAAACGATCCACTCCGGGTTTGTCCCTCACATTCGGGTTATGGAGGCTTGTATTCAGCATAATGATCGCAAAGGACAGCACGTAACACGTGTCTGCGAACAGGAGAGACACACAAGAGGAGGCACAGCGCTGAATTTGTGTTCTGGAAAAAATAAAAAGATATAGCTGAACCTCACTTCAAGGAAAGAAAATCAATGAAAATCCCCAAAAATGCAAAATGGTCGGAATAAAAAACATGTTTACAAAATAGGCATATTCTGCATGTTTCCACATCTGTTAATTTGTGTTAAAGGGCTTGTTTGTGTGAGTGTGCGCCTTATGTGTATTGCCCCATCCTGCAGTACATTGTTTGATTGAAGCAGACAAACAAACACAGAAGTTGTCCTGCATCACATTGGTAACAGATTAGGTGAGACGCATTGTAACGCGTTTGTGTTTACCGGTACTCTGGAAGACACCGGGGTTGCAGTGGCAGTATCTCTGAGCAAAGGCCTCCATCATTCTGTCAATTTTCTGCGCTTCACCAGGCAAGCGGAAACTCCACAGGAACTGTCTGCAGAGGACAGGTAGAAGTTCAAGTCAAGTCAGAGAGAACAAATTTTGCAATCAAAATAGAGCCAGACAGTCGCTAATGTTCCCTGGTACAATTTCACCACCTCCCTGAACTGAAGTAACACAAAGACTAAGACAAGGACTATCAGAGCTACGGCCGGGATACTATTCAAGGGATCTGGTGTTTGGTTCAATACCGCATCCCAAAGGGCTTACCTGAGGGCCTGCACGAGGTTCAGATCAGTAAACTCATGGAGGTCAACGAAAGCCTGAAGAACTTTGATGTTGAAGTCGTCTCTGCAGAACAGCAACAGCGGGATCACCGTTAAATAAGGCTTATGCAAAAAGGGAAAAGGGAAAAAAAAGGAAAAAAGGGACGGGATATATATCGTAAGACCAATCACCTTTCTCCGAGGTAATCTCCTATAGCGGTCTTGTTGAGGCCCTCTCCTTTGTAGAGGAACTGCGAAATGTCCTCTGAAGTGTGTCTGAGCAGCTCATTCTCCACCAGAAACACGATGCCCTGCAGAGAGGGGGGGAGAGTCCGTCACTACACAGCTAAGGGGAGGCAAGGTAGACACCAAAGTTTTCCACGACCATTATATCAGGGGGTACCCCCCAAAAAACCTTACGGGAAACACTGGAGACATACGAGTGTTGACGGGTTTTACCTTTTTTGGGTCCATATTGAATTTCTTCCTTCCCATTGCCACATGCCTGCTTTTCTGAAGAGTTTTACTAGAGAGCAAAAAAAGTAAAAGCATTGTAGGATTCATGTTATATCTCCTTAACAATAATTCTAACAGTAGGGAAGAATTAACCACTGATGATCACAAACAAATATTACACTTATAACTACTATACACTACTAATAAAATAAATAAATATCAATAAAATCGCATTTATTTGACCGTCAAAAGCTTGTGTTGGTTTGACGACGTTCACAACAGGGAGAGAAACGTTCAAGTCCCGTTGGGAGGATGATGTTCCAAATAACCTAAGAAATGCAATCAGCGAACAGGTTTCCCAACTGCAAGTGATAACGTATTTGGGAATGGGAAACAAAACCCTGTGCAGTTTAAGCAAGCGACCTCTTGTCATTTTGGCAAAATTTGATATTGTTTAGAGTATTGTGGCAATGTTACTCTATGCATTCGTCTTACCTGCCCTCTGTGCTGGTCTCCAGTCCCTCCACCTCCAGAATTGCCTCTCTTAATTCCTCTCTGAGCCTCTGGATCTCCTGCAGCAGGATGCCCTTCCTCCTGCGGATGTCCTCCAGCTCAGAGCGCTCCTCTGGGCTCAGGTCTATGGGGACTGTAAGGGAAGAGAAGAAGAATGACCCCATTACTGCTGCTGCTGCAGATATAACAAATGGTAACTGTGCCCCAACAACATAACAAGGCCTATGGTGTCTTTATTAGCAACATAAAAAACAAAGTGCAACTATTTTGAGATATGCAGTGTGGCTCAAAAATGGTTGCGAGTGCTCCTGCTATCCACGTCTTATGGTGCAGAGGAGTGGGGCAGAAGCAGTAGTAACTAAGCCAAATACAAAACATATACTAGTGAAGAGGAACTGGGCGAGGAACCTATAGCGAAGATAATTAATCTTTTAATTTTAAATGAGTAACTATACAACTCCACACTTGTCCCTCCCTTATCCTCTGCACTCTTTCCCTAATCTCCTGATTGCACCGGTTTGTTCACTCTGTAATAAAATACTGAAAAGCAGCAGTCTCTTGCCCTACATTCCCCTCACAGAGCAGACAAACACTTCATGGACTCGACAGACTCCCACGCAGACAGTGTCACGACGCAACGGTAGAACTCAACGTCAGACTGTCGGGTTGAGTCTTCTTAACATTCCTCTGAGAAACACACTTGAATAAGACACATCTATGGTTTCAATAACGCAACATCAGCGCATTGATGAAAAGCAAAAACAATGTAAAAAAATATTGCTTAACATTAGCGGAATAAGATGGGAAATTATTTTAAGTAGCATATAATGTGAACGGTTTTCATTGCCAGTACTTTCCACTGGAGAAGTAGCCCTTTTCAAAAAGGGGTACTGCAAGTTATCTACACTTACATTTGATCACATTATAGATGGGGCTTGAACCAGGTGTCCAAACAGGCTGGTGCTAGAAAGGTTAATTAAGTAGCAATCTATTTAGATAATGTCGACTAAAGGATTTGTATGGCTTGAAAACCATGACACAATCAATTCTATCAAACCGGTCATTAAATGGAGGGATGGGTGATATATCGCCACCGTAATCGCAAACATCAGGGATTTCTTCAACAGTGAAATTGTTTGTTTTTCATGGTTTCTAAAGCTGAATTTGAATTACACGATTTTACCAAAACTCCCTGTTTCGTACCAGACAGTCAACCGTTTTGAGAAACATAAAATAAACTAAGCGAAGCATGACTTCCGTCAGTTGACACCTCGATAGAAGTAGGCAGTCTAGTAGGTCAACAGTGCACTGAATCCAGGCTCTTGCATTACACATATTGCAACATGTCAAGCCACGTTAGATGATTCAGCTGTGAAGACTGTAGTTTCATATGATGTGGTATTTTGTATTACACTCATTTTTTAATGTTGTGTCAGTGATGGTGGCCATATATATATACAAATGAATGGAGACTGTAGTCTCTGAACAATTAACCCAATTTGAAAGCAACAGCTCAAATGCCAGTTGAACAACAGAACTGCCATATTTCTTATTTGTTGCAATCTTCTTTAACTGGGTGCGCCATGTGAACCAAACTAGCAACTGTGTCTGAACGCCCCGTTATATATTTCCATTTGGCACAAAACGACCGGGTGTTTTATTTTTGATCAAACCACCCGGATCAGCCGAGCCTCCCAAGACCAGAGTGTTTACTCTGCAAAACAAACAGCTGCTCTAAAACAAAACCCGCCACGCCCACACAGCCCGCGTCAACAGGACGGTTCGATTCCCACCACAGCGCCCAGGGTATCTTTACGACAAGGCGGGAGGTTTCACCAGCAAGTCAGCGATGCCCAAATGCAACAAGCTCTCGCGCAACCTGAAGGCTGGTCGCGGTGCTAGCGCAAATGCCCAGCGACGTTAGACCCGATCACCGCGAAATAATCAATGTGTTAGTCGGCGTCGGGCTAAGCTAAAGCAGACGAACCGAATCACATCCGTGCTTCTCAGAGGAGATGCGTCGGGTAAACGGTTCATCGTTTCGTGTAACGTCGGCTGTCAGGCGGAACGGTTAAAGTGTCACACCTGAACAATTGAGCTGGGGCTTGCTGCGACTAGCCCGTTAGCTAGCGGTAGCCCGTGCAAATAGCTAATTAACGTTAGTAACGTTGAGCCCACTTACTGTAGTCCAGGTCGTCCATTTTCGGCGCTTTACTTTTAGGCATCAATATTTCAGAGTCGACTGTCATTCAATATTAGAAAACTAAGGATATATGTATAAATATATCCTAAAAACTTAAGGGAAAAATAGACAACCCCCTGGTGTCGAAATGTTGGGCCGGAGACAAAGAAGGTGGCGACACCGGAAGCGGTGTCTGCTGTCGGGGAGGATTGTTCCGGTCAGTTGTTTTTCAAAATATAACACTGGACATAAATTCATGTGGTGACTCAACAGTGAACTGGTTAGTGTGTGTGTGTGTTTGTTTAATATTCACAAGGCCCTTTTCGCAAACCTTTCTCGCGCTACTTGGGAGTTAGAGGATCGCAGGATTCTAAATGTAGTTTAACATTTGTGAGAAGCCCTCTGAAGTTGTCTGGATGTTTGCAGCTAGCAGCACACCTCTTAGGGTTACTAATATATTTTAATAATTATAAAATCATCCATGTGAGAGTTTGGTAGTTTGTATGAGTAAGATCAGTCATCAAATACAAAGGTCAAACCACATTGTCCACTCATTGCTTTTGAATGTACCAGATTGTCCTCTTGATTTCCTCTGGGACCAGGGGACCTACATTGTATTTTCCCAGGAGACTTTGATGAAAGGCCCTTTCTAAATGGAACACATTCACAATTGACGAGATTGAAAGAGTAAAAACAAGTGACAGAAATAGTGAAACTGTATTATAGATATCCATCTCTGTTTTTTTAATAGTACACTGTGATTGAGAAGAGTGGAGTTTTTAAACAATGCCATTTGTTATATTTGGCTGATAAAAGCTACCGCCCCCTCTTTTTATCACATGAACACTTCTCGCTGTATTTAGAATTGAATGAAAAATGAATGTGACAAAAGTAAAGTAAATTCGCTTCAAAAAACTTATTAAGTTACATTTATTCAAAACCATATAACTATCAACTGTACATTGTGTATTTGAATATTTCATATATTTATATGATTACCATTTCATTGCAGGTAGCCCACTACAGACAACTTAATGGCATGATCAATAGAGAGTTTATACCTCGACATTTTGATTTCAAATTGGTCTATGACACCATAGTCAAAGCCATCAACGATAAAATTTGAAGGTGAACTAGTCACTTCAATATTGGAAGTAAACATTTGGCCCAAACGACTTCACTCAAAGTGTATATCATCTTGCTATTTAAAAGCTTGGACTTAATAGTCCGCACAGTGTAGTTGTGGTAGTATAGCTGCATTGTGTGCTCAATGAAAAATAAAAAAATAATCAAAATAAAGGCCTAGTGAGCAAAAAGTTTGACTCCATTTTCTGCAGTCGGGTTTTGACAATTTTTTATCAACAGCCAGAATTTACAGGCTTATTTTACAAAGGCATTGATTTGTCCAGGCATGACCAAGTCATACAGTATGTGGATGGCGACCCAAGCAGGCGGCACAATATCTCACTGAATGATACACTGCACATGCTAATGATTTATGCTTCGTCCAAACCCAAAACACCTTTTACACGCTTCCAAAACTGATTCATATAAGACGGAAGTTCCTCATGCCAGTTCCAAGATCTGCTGTTTTATTTTTATCAAGGAGCAAATAGTCATTTGGAAAAAATACAATAATATAACAATTCTTAAGATATTTCATTTAAAAAAAACAATTGATCACTTAATTTCAACAGATTAGTTACTCTGCCGGATCAAGTTATTTTACCACCATCTGATCGATCGGTTGATCAAGTCTGGTGTAACGAAACACAGATGCTGGATTTAGTGTTTTGCCCTTATTTGGCAGGATTTTTTCAAGGGTTTTGGAGTCAGTTCCATCTTTCAATTGCTGTGAGCGTTCAGATTGAGGCATTCATTGATTTAAAGCAGGGAATGTGATTAGTGTAATATAGTATCTGGGTTATTTATACTAGTGCATCCCTTTCTAGAACAAGCATTGTATTGGATTCTCGTTACTGTTTTGATGTAAAAGTTACAAAGCATTCTAGTGTTGTGATATTGTCTACTGCCTCCAGTTATTGTGCAAAATCAATGCACTCTTCCTACTTAACAAAAGACAAGTGAAGCCTTCTACAATTTTATTGTTGATTACTCAGATAGTGATATTTTCGAGACATCTATGTGAACTTAAACTTTCCTAGAAAATGTACATTCTTAAACAACTGTATAAGAAGCTTGCTTTGTTCAGATCATTTCATGTTCAATATCTTGCAAAAGTTTAAAATCATCGTCGAGCAACCAGTGGCTATAAAAAGAGGCAAATTATGTAAACTATTACAATTATCACCGTTCAACGGTTCCATTGCTCCTACTAATGTAATGACCCTCAGAAAAGCTTGAACTCGCTGTTCTACATCGAGTCCCTTGGATAAAAGGGTCATTGATGTGTACATTTGTCCAGATTTTCTCCATTGACGCTTAAAACAGTGGAAAGTAGTGTGCTCAAAGATAACAGTAAGTAAGTGGGGCTACCAGCTGTCTAAGTAAATACATGTAGCTTTGCTCTGATGTCGTGGACAGACACCAAAAATAGGTGGAAAGAGGCTCATGTTCCGTTCACACCACGAGCCACACGGGGAAGGTCTTCATCTTCATCATCATCATCATCATCATCATCAGAGGCCTGTGACAAGAAGCAACAAATTGACGCCAAGGACGTGCGACTAATAGGCGAGTTGGTCTCAACTTTTCATTTGTGTCCTGACAACGCAACGAAGCGTCAACCAATCAAATGTCCCTGTCCCCTCTGCCGGTAGACAGTTTCCAGTGCTGTTTAATATCATCACTGCATCTGTGGGCGCTTGTGAAACACTTCAATGTTGACACACATAATATAACGTTTCCGCTGCCGATAGGCTGTTTTGTTGCTTCCGACGCTCGTAGTGTGAACACAGCAGAGGAATATTTAGGTTTTTTAAATATGTAAGAGCAAGTAAGGGCAAAGGTAAAACTGTACTGTCCATGGAGGGTCGGATAAGGCATTTCTTTCATGGACGGAAGCTTTAGTCTACAAAAGTTAGACATTGGGATGGGTTTGAAGATACGGGGTCGGGGCTGATTTAAATTAGGCTGTTGGTCCAAGTGAATCTCAATGTTGTTGTTTTTTAGCATTTTATGTTTAAGGACGTAATCTGATTTATTTTGATTTCATTAAAAGGCAAAATCCAGTTAGTGCTTCTCTGCATGCATACAACTAAGTATACATCCAACACATGCACTATCTGCATAAAATAATTCCATAAACATTCGATTGTTCTTCCCTTCCAACTATCCCAGGCTGTGCAGTTTTCATGCTTGGGTACGCTTTGCGTAATCCAACAGCTGTGCAATGAGGGGCATTTTTCATCCATTTTCAAATTCTCTATTAATCCCTGCAGTCATGCTTCAGTGATGGGCGGACTCGGTTGGTTATCCCTTTCAAACCCGGGAAAGCAGTTTCTCCAGTCCTGGCTAGTTCAAGTATCTCAGATACCCCGCCCTCTCTTCCAGAGTATGGCGACAACAAAGATTACGTAATTTAGTAGAGCGCTGTATCCGTCAATCGGCTCAACCAATCCCTGATTAGAATCTGGTAATCTTCACCCCAGAGTCACCAACGATGAGACGAGCCAAGGAGGGATGAACCTGTGAAATATTAACAGATGAAAATGAATTTATCACCAATGATAAGATTTCAATTCATTAAAATACCTTTGCCATAATTAAAATGTAGTACTTGAAAAGCATCCAGTATATCTGCAAAATAGACTAGTTAATAAATACAAGTAATCAGGTGTTATTGTCAAACATAAATGCAAAACAGATCAATCATTTAAAGCTTCAACACAAAGTAAAACCCATATAACAGCTTCCAAAATCAAAATATCATATCTGGTGCAGCAGTGCAAAAGTATGTTGCAGTTACATGATCCCTGTCCTTTACATGAGGTGGAATTTGTAAGGAAGCAAAACCCCTAAACGTAGAAAATAAGGACCACCGCCTATTTGATCAGATACATCAAAAGTTAAACCATGTTCCCCTGCTGACCTGTGCTTGAAGAGGCCCATAGGGCACCAGCTCTCCATCCACAGTGAGTGTCCCCCGCGTGGACAGAGGCTGCAGTCGGAAGGCCTTGCAGGTGATGTGGCTCACATACGGCGAGGTGACGGAGTGGTGGGTTCCTCTTTCCATGGCAAAGAACAGCCTCAGAAGAGTGGCTCTGGAGATCCCCGCCCGCACAAAGGTCAGGTGGATCAGCCCATCGTCAAACCTGGCCTGGGGTGCAGCATGAAGATCAGCCCCAAGGTGGGACTGGTAAAGGGCCAGGACCAGGACAAAGTCCCCTTCAATGGTGACCCAATCTCTGGTGGGAATGGGTTGATCGAGTGGGGGTAACAAGTTGTCCCGAGGGACATTCAAAAGTGAGACCAAAGGTCGGCTCTTCAGCGCCCCTGCCGGCTCAGCAACGTCAAAGTTAAAAGATGGTGACGGCGAGGTGGAATTTGGGGTATTAGGACGGGGGACGAGGTAGGACGAAGAGTGCGGCGAGGCACATGAAGGGGAAGATGGCGGCGTGGGAGATAGAGACAGGGAGAGGGACGGTAGTTTAGGGGGGAGCGAGTTTGAGTGGGAGTGCTGGAGAAGAGAGAGGGGCCTCGGACGGGAGGCATTCTGGTTTTGATCCAGGGTCTTGGGCTTGTAGGAGAAAGGAGAGTGACGAAAGGGAGAGGAGATGGTGAGAGAACGCTCCCGAGAAACGTCCATTTGGTAGGAATCCTTCTGGTAGTAGGTCCCGTTCAGATCCACGTCCTCCACCCCGTATGAGGTGCCAGAATCCACGTCGGCCGCCGGACTGAGAGGCTGGTTGAAGAGAGTGTCGGCTATCTGGCTTGAAGGTGCTGAATTCTTTCTCAGCGCCTGTCGGATCTCCAGATGGCCATCTGGGCACGTGAGATGACCCTCCTGCCCTTCTCCGACCTGTCCCCCTATGTTTTCCTCACAGTTCTTTTCCAGCCCTCGTGGGTGCAGCACTCTCTCCCCCTCGGCAGAACCCCCGCTGCTTTCCCCATCCCTCCCCCTGTCCTCCTCCTCCATCTCACTGGAGTCTTGCTCCACCTTTCCTTCATCTTCCCTGTCAGTCTGGATCCCGGCCAACCTTTCTACCTTTCCCATGTTGCAGTCTTCCCTTTCGACTGACTCTGGAATCTCTGAACATCTCTCTGACCTCCCCTCTTCTGCCTCCATCTCCACCTCTCCCTCCCTCTCTCGGTCCTCTGCCAAGCTGCTTGTCCTCACGACACCAGCTCCTCTTCCCCTTGCCCTCTCCCTCCTCCTCTCCCTTTCCCTCTGCCTCTCCTCTTTTTCCCGCTCTACCTCACCCATACGCAGGCTCCTCTGTTCACTGATGCCCATGTCGGAGCAGGTGCGATGGATGGGCGTTCGACAAAAGCCCTCCAGGCCTTCTGTGATACTGCGGGAGAGGGGTCTTCTTGGCAGGGGGGGCGTGGCATCCGGCGATGTGTCGCTGCTAGAGGGAGGCAGGAAGGACAGACGACCCTTGTAAGATCGAAGAGAAGCTATGCGCACCAGTGTGCCCAGGGTGAAGCGAGCTGATCCCAGGCCACGATACCTGGAATAAGGAAACATTAGCTATCTTCTGTAATAAAACCTATTTGATATTAGGGGAGAAATAAAGTAACGTTTAGATGAACAAAATCTAATGATTTGACAGCAATTACACACCCACCTCTCACTCTCAATGTCCACATCAGACACAAAGCCCCAGGCAACGGAGAGGAAAGAAAACAGTCTTCTGGGTGATGCAGGGCGGCTGTTGATGGAGGGCGGAGGGCTTGTTGTCACGGAAATCACGTCCATGGGTCGGACACCACCTCGACAGAGCAAAAAGCAGCAGTTCAAAAGAAGGGGCTCCCGAAGGCACATGTCATACCTGAGGGAGATTAAAAAAAAAAGAAGGACAACGGGTCCTGTGAGTAAAAACAACAATAGAACGTTGCAAACAGCAGATTAGTACAGAGCTGTTAAGCGACAAATGGGTGTAGATGACAAGGTGAGGACAAAAACAGCCAGACAGCTGTGTCCATGTATGAGGGTTAATCCTCTGCATACGTTGAAAAGCTCATCTTATCCACTTCACACTAACACAGGCGTATTTATGGGCCACATGCAGTGTCAAGGTTTGTACTATTGGACACCCACCACGTTCAATATTGATACACAACAAACAAACACAGCTCTTTGCAGCAGTGGAGGTGGGGCTTCAGGGCTCTACAGATTGACTTGGTCATTTTGGCATCAGAAAGAAAAAGTACAAAAAAGCCAAGATAGCATGTCCAATGTGGCACGTGACAGGGTTAGATTAGGTCAAAACCTAATAAGAACAATGTTTACTGTATCAACAACTAAGAAGATTGCATTGAATCATGGAAACTGAAAATAGTTCTAAAATAGTGATAATAGTTTCTTTAGTAGTTTTCATTTAGAAAGTATAGAGAAGCGATGTGATAGGATGTCATAAATGATCACTTTTCTGTAAACACTGCTAAATAACTGTCTGGTTTGACATTGGGCTGGAAAACAAGATTGGACTGAGACTAACCTTTACAGATATGAATGAGAAGCATGCTTACCCTGCATGGTGATTGAGTGAGCCAGCCAGTGCATTCCCAGATCCACAGGGAAGAATACCAACAGGGGTTTTTATTGCTTGTTCCCAGTCAGGACGCTCCATCAGCCCATTTATTACCTGTAGGAACACGGCCCAGAGATATTATTTATCCTAAATGTCCTAAAAACAGACATTAACTGCCCGGAGCCAATCCCTCTACCATGCTACCCCCAACAAAAACAAGACTCACTTCGTGCAGCAGGCCATCTCCGGAGACGATGATGATGCCGTCCCAATCTGTGAGTGATATCTCTCTGATGAGCTCTCTGGCGTGGTTCTGACGCTCTGAGACAGAATGATTGAGTCAATACCGGCTGTGTGTGTATGTATTATATGAATATATGATGCGTCTTTTTCCTCAATGGGTTACCTGTCTGTATAAGGTTGTAGCTGATGTTGGCCTCTCTTATCATTGGCAGGATGTGGGTCTGACACCACTGCATTGCCTGGCCTCTCCCACTGAAGGGATTGACCAATAACATTAGCCGCCTGGGACGAGGTAGCAGACTTCTTGAAAATTCTGTATGAAAAATGAAGAGGCCACAAAGTTAAAACTTACCCAGAACAAAGCAAGGAACGCACGGGTTTACACCAAAACAACCCGACAGGGAGCTATCGTTGCAGTTTTGCCCGACCCTGTAGTGCAACCAAGCATTTGGGCTCCTTTACTTGACCTCACAGGATCCACTTCACACTGTATAATACTGCATCCAAAAGAGAGTCTGTTACTCAATTCAAATCCAGATGACACAAGTACCATTCAGAATATAGGGATTAAAAAAAACAAGGTGGTGAGATAATCAATGATTAATTCCCTTTCATCCGCTTAGTTATAGATAATCATTGACAATCCAACAACAACACTACAGCAAAATCAAGCAAATTAACAGAAAACTCTACGTGGTTCATGAGCATGAAAACGTACGGAATCAAGACAGCAAGTGATTCAGATATGGTGGTAATAGATGAGGGAAATATAACAGAAGGCTGTGTGAGCAAAGTGGAGTCGACACTAGGGGTGAAACTGTAGGCCAGCAACACTGAGAAAAAAACAGGTTGGTTTGTAACAAAGTATGAAGGAGGCGAGAGCAGGTCAGAGACAAACAAGAGTCACAGGAAAGAAATAAAAAATGAGTGACAATTTTACCTCTGGGAAGGAGACAGTGATGTGATAGGTAAAGACTGAGGAAGACAAATGATGAAGATATTAGAGAGTATTTATGGGTTTAAGATTAAGTCTACAGAGGAAAGATGGAAAGATAGAGGAAGAAATGGGAGATGCTGGGCAGGGCGCATTTAGTAAGTACTGGTGTGAACAAATAAACACACACAGTGAATGTAAACACTACGCAGGTCCTTGCTATCTGTCGGATTATTGAGGCTGGGGGATACAGTGTTTGGGAATGGAGAAGGGCAAATTCTAGCAGCCCCACCCTCACGGTCTCTAAATTTGACACTGAATGATACGGGACGTGTGTGCAAGGCAGATAAGGGAAACAAAGAAATATTAGTTAGTGAGAAGTAGTTGAGTAAAACAAACAGTGAAATACAAACTAAATATTCAGAATAATCAATCTTGTATCCTCTTAAAATGTATTAAGGTTAATCCCCCATGGTTTTTTTGCCTAACTACTCTTCTCTGTGACCAAATGTGACGGGTGAGAATCAGAAACCATTTTTGGCCACATACGTTACACATGGAGGAATTTGTTTGTGTGACATTAAGCTACACTTGGCAGGCATTAACAAAGGAAGAATTAATCAATGCGACACGAGGCGACATTGTGTCAGTAAACAAGAATGCAAAGACTTATTAATGGTCACAAACAATACGGTCAACCGAAGTAGATCCCACATCTACTGCAAACTAGCCATGTTGGCCATTTGATAAAACATTTCACTGCCAGGATTACTAATAACTAGCAGTTGCATGCCTCCCCCATCAAGTTGAGTGGCACTCAGCATCCGCGTCTGTCCGAAAAGGTATCACTTCTTCTTTTATTAGACATTTTGTGATCAGTTCTACATTTCAGGACTGCCAGACTTCACGTGAATGCCTGTGCCTTCAGTGCTGAGACATTTAAATAAGACTACTAGGGGTTTTAGTGTCGAGGAAAATTTAAATTGTAGAGAAATCAAGATAAATGGGATACAACGATCACATGTAACTCCCATCTGTTAACTCACCTGTGTCAGCAGTGACGGTCACACCTCTGAGTAGACACTGCACAGCAGCCGACCACCTCTCAGCTTCACACCTGCTTTCTGCCAGGTAGGCCCTCACCTGCCTGCGTCGAGACACGCCTTTCCGTCGTTTGCCCGGCGGGTACCAGTACAGCACCAACAGAGGAGGCGCGGGGGCGCGAGGGCAGCTGCACCCCACTAGCTCTGATAAAGGCAGCAGGAGGCGGGCTTCCTTCCCCGCCTTTGGTGACAGCCGTTGGATATGTATGTGGGTGTGAGTGAGGGTCAAGGCATAGTTGGAGGCCGGAGAAGGGGAGGCGGCCGGGGAGAGTCCCCCCGAGCCGCTGGGGCTGTTGGGGCAGCTGTTATTGTTGCTGTTGCTGCCTGAACCCCAGCTGGCAAATTGGCCGTGAAGGAGGGCTTCTGCTGTGGATGGTGAAGAGGGTTCTGGAGATCGCATCCTCGCTGCTGAAGCCAGGATAAAGTGGGTCTGCCAAAGCTTGGTGAGCCGTACTCTCTAAAGTTACAAAGCTTGAGAGGAGATTTGAAATAAAATCAAAATGGATCTGAATGCCAGTCTGGGAACTTCATCCCGGTGACCTCCTCAAAATCATTCTCCCTCCCACAATGTTGCAAACAAAAAACGCTGAGTTTCGGATTCCGTCTGTGCAGTTAAGAAGTATCTGTTCATTTGAAAAAAAAAGTTGAAAGATTCCTCCCGTAGAGTATTTATCCAGTGAAGATAGGAACTTTGTGTCACAGTTAGAGAGCTCCCATCACAGCTTGATCTGAAGGGTTGTCAGCTTCTACAGTTTACTACCAGTAGACAAATGTGTGTGTTACACACTAACATGGTCAAAGAAAACATCAAGACATCAATTTAACATGTACATCTTCCACAACAAGCTCAGTCATTCAAACAAACTTCTTCACAAGTTTGCATTGGAAAAAAAGTGTGAAAAGGGCAGCAGAGCAACTGCTCGAAATCAATAATACCGTGTTAAATAATTACACAACGGAACAAATAATTAAGCGAACTACTTATGAATAAGACAAACACACCTTTTTAAACAAGGAGGCTGCAATCATTACATTCAATGAATGCACAAGTAATGAATTTTGTGGAGTATGTTGCATGGTAGGTGCAGCCCAAAAAGTAATTAATAGCACAAAGATATGATAAGTGAACGCCTTTTCAAGACCTTTGATACCTGTATTGCTATCTTTGATCTCAGTGATATAGGAGGCACACAAGAGGAGTGACTATACTAATCCTCTAGACAGTAGTGTAATACATTGACGTTTCAGCCAAACAAATGCTCCTGCATACAAGTTTGTTATGTTTTCCCCAAGAACACTATGTAGACAACAAAAAAATATAAAACAACAAAAAAGACACACAAGGAGACAGTTCCAGGCCGGCCCTTAGTTTAAGTCATGGTAGTGTCCTTGAGGCGAGCATCACGTTCCCTCCCTAAGATCTTTGTTCCTGTACGAACACAAAAGAGTAGCAGAGGACAAAAGTCAATTGTAGAAGTTTTATTTAAAACGTAGCAGAACTACAATGCGTGAGTAATCCACCCGGGTACATTTTTGGAGCGGAGAAAGCCACATTGAAGTCAGCTAAATGGATTGTGCCTGTAATTCAACATTGATTTCTCTGTGCATAGCTGACTATTTCTGTACCATATTTTGACAATTAGAGGAGATAAAGTACAAAGAACAGCCATGATAAGACAAAGAGATTAAAGCTTAAGCAATACAAGACCTACCGTGCCCTTGGACCCCAAATGCCTCTTTTTACTTAATGACTAACAGTCACACATCCTCATGCGCCTTGCTGAGACAACACATTATTTTGCGTCAAAGCTAGAATGTGGATGACCACGTCTGGTTAACTTCTGTTTAATGGGATTCGTGGAAATAGTACTTCATTCACAATTGGAATCTAGGATTGAGATTTTGCAAATTGCTGACCGACATGGTTGTTCATTTAAGAGGTTTCCCAGCATGGAACAACAAGTAGCTTCATAATGAGCCTGTTAGAAATGAAATGAGTTTAGGATATACTGTATACACTATGTGAGAATGTTTACATAAGCATAAATAATACAACAGCAAGATGACAGGCTTAAGTAATATTAAAGCTCCAGGCCAACATAACTCAGTGCGTCAAAGCGAATCTACTGGACTATCACCGCGGGACTTGAGTTTACTCTAAATTAATAAACTGGGCAAGTCTTTCAAGTTCCATATCAGCCAGGAAACATTATGCAAGCTGTGGTCTAAATCAATACTTGGCTGATGTCCTGTTTAGATAAACACACACACATACACCAAACGGAGCTCTCTGGTGTCCATTGTTGCACCTCAGGTCCTCGTATCGCAGGGCGGGGACACCCAGAAATAATGTCAGCAGGCTAATTCTGTCCCCCAAACAATGAGCCTGTTGTTGAGTGACTTCGGGGTATTTTGGGAAAGTTTCGACCACCTTGTTTGATTGAAGAGAACTCACACACGACGGGCAGGTGCACTCTTACAGACATGGTCTGAACTCCTCAAACAAAGTGACGTTAAGAGCGACCGGTTCCACTGTCACGATCCCAATGACATCCAGGCGGTGACAGGCTGTTAGCCCGCAGAACAACTGCTTTCCTGCTGGAGTTTAACAGACTTCCCTACGGCGTTACATTTTTCATTTCACTGTTAGTCTTTGCGGGAACGAAAGGCGTTAAAAGTGACCGAACTCTCGGTTAAATGAACGCGAATAACCGCTAGCTAACGCGGGTCCAGCAGCTAACGTCGGGTGCTGTAGACTGACAGCGGGGTCAGTTGGAATGCTAACGTTAGCATCGGATAGCGGGGTTCTGACCAACACGCAACAAAAGTTTAAGCCAGCTCATGGCGCCATTTACAGTTTTTTCTTTAAAAAGACGGCGCCGTGCGCGTGCTGAAAACGGGGCCATTTGATATTTTGCGTTTGGTTTATTGATAACTTTAAAGATAAAACGTTAACCGAGCGAGCGCAGATAGCGGTATTGGATGACAGCGTTAAGCTAACGGGTTTCTTCGCGTTAACGGCTCCCTCCTTAAATCCCCCTTTTGGTCAGCGCCGGCTTGGAAGGAGCAAAGTTAAATGGCGTAATTCTAAGCGAAACCCAAAACGTACCTCATGTTGTCTTCCTCCCCCCCCTCATGACGACAGGTAGTCGCTTGCTCTGGAAACTGTAGCCGGGAGCAGGAAGCGTCTGGAGACGCAGCAGCGGCAGCTCTGAGCGGCGGACAGGAAGCCCAATGGCGATAAGGAAAACACCGCAACACCCACCGACATTCTCCAATCACCGAGGAACCACTTCCTGGTCAAATATTTGACCCCCCCCCCCCCCCCCCATAGACCACTCAGTCATTACTGATAAAAACGTAGTGACGTGATACGCTGATACCGCGGAGAAATGAAAAGGGTTGTAAACATTTCGGGATGTTGACCAGAAATCACGTAGGCTAAAAGTCAGTGGCTTATATATTTAAAAAAATGGCACGCAAGCCCTTTCATTTAAAAAACACACCTAAGACAACTTGGTACAGTCGATCTTTTATTTGTATCAGATTGTATGGAAAACACAAGACACAGACTAGTTCTTGTATCCACGGCTGGCTCTGCGGCCACGAGCTCTCTCGAACTTCCTGCCCTTGGAGCGGATGTAGGGCCTGTGAAAAAGAGGAGAAGTTAAGTAGAAAAATCACCCAATACATGTTCAATTAATTTTGGCTTTATCATGGTTGCCTTATAAATTTGAACCTAGGACACTATTCACAATCATTAACATGGGCCAAGAGCAATCACTTAAAAATGTCCCCTTTTACTCGCGTGCTAACCACTCACTCAATGTTTCTGACAAAGCACTGATAGTAACTCAGACTTAGAATGGAACTCAGTGGCGTTTGGTTTCTATTCAGATTTTGAAAGGCAGTATCTGGAATTTTTTCTTAAATATACACATTTAAAGTATCGGGATTGAGCGTGACAGTATAGGCCTTTCACAAAGATTTTACATTCAAATAGGAAGAGCACACGTAAATTGTAAAAAAATAATGACTATACATACATACATATATATATACCATATATATAACATATATACCATGTTAGTTATACCTGTGCTTTGCTGTCGCTCAGTGTTATTACTTCTACAGTAAATTTGAATGATAGACAAAGATGTCAATGCCCAGATAATTTGAAATGTAATCTAGATCACGTGTACACATCAAATTACCTTTGATTTAAATTAGAATTTTTTTCTAGACATTTGTTGGGATCTAATGCCAACACAAATACATCAACTATACACATACTTGGTGTGGCTGTGGGGAGTTCCAGGGGCTTTTCCAAAGTGTCTGTACACCTCTCTGCCTTTACGGGGTCCTAAAAAATAAAAACGTTCAGATTAAAAGCAGATACAACCGTTATACAGTGTCAATGTCAATCTATTAGTATTTCCAATTCAATTCATAAATGTCTTCCTACGTTATGCATATTTGAATGGAAGTACAAAATTCTCAAATTATATTTATTTAAATTTCAGATCACTAGAATTAGAAAAGTAATCCTAAGAATGAAAAGTGAGAACAAATACAAGATGACTTCCATTCAAATTCTTAATTCACTGGTATTTACTTGTGAAGAGACAATTAACAGTCTTTTTAACTGAGAAACACTTCTTAATCAGGCCTTGAAGAAATTACAATATCCATCAGATCAGTTTATAAGACACAATGTGTGTTGATCTGGTGATTAAATAAGATTATTTATTTTTTACTTTAAGGAATGGACGGTTTCAAAAACTGATTAATGAAAGTCTAATTTAGACATTTCTCTAGTTCATTTTGGAGGGATGGCGAAAACTAAATGTTTGGAAGACATTAATGTCAAAGTTGTATTCCTGCCGTTTTCTGGCAGGAATACAACCGGCTGTCTGCCTATTTTCATGTGAATGCACAATAACACATACAGTACTCAGTATTATCATGGCATTCCCCATGTTCCCCACAAGTGCCTCCTTAAAGTTAATGCATGTAACAGACATCTGTTTTAATAGATCACTCAAAATCATTTCATATAAAAAATACACAATGGCTTTCATCTGTGCATCCAGGGTTGGAAATGCCAGGAAGTACCATGTGTGTATGTATATAATTTAACATCTTCAACACCAATGGTAAACCCAATAGCTGTTCTTAAAAGGACTATACTAAACTAACTTTGTAGTAAATGTGAATTGGATTTGTAGACACTTCGCCCGAATTCACAGCGAGGGCTTACTTCATCTACTTTGATTTGCATCGTGGTATTATAGGACTTGAACTAATGTTTAGTTACCTGACAGCAGCACTGTGCCTTGTCCTTTGGGGGAAGCCAACGCTAACTGGTCAAAGGTCATCACCTCACCGCCTGCTTTCAGGATTCTGCGACGGGCACCATCAGTTACCCTCAGAGCGCAGATCTGTGGGAGGACAAACAAGAGGTGAGGACGATCTCGAGACGGTTATAGGCAACACAGCATTGAGACTGATTCAGTTGACTTGAATGAGACTGATTCAGTTGACTTGAATGTCATTTTAAGTGGCAAAAACTAAACAGAAGTCCGCCAAAAAAAAAGGTGTTGTTACCTTGAGCTTGGGGATTTTCTGAATCCTGACATCATCAGTGACTGAACCCACAACAACAGCGGTTCTGTTCTCACGGCCAGGCATCTTCATCTTACGAATCTGGACGTTATGAAATAAAATACGATCACATGTCCGAACAACTAACGCAGGGCCGATACACCTTCAACATCAAGTCTTCTAATCTGTGCATAACATGCGACAATTTTTTTTTTTTTAAACCAGTTATTTATTTCATACATTTAGTTGCAATTTAGGATCCAAATTAACACTAGTTATATAAAAAGTCCTAAGTCAAACCGAACTGTCAAAGCTTGCATCAAATGTTTTATCAAAACATGTATCTTCAGTCCAATTTTAACTTTACATCTTTCGACTAAACTTTAATGACCATTTCTTAGGGTGAAACAGTATTTGATAAGTATTCGTCGTATTGATCCTGTACTCCAACTGATCAGTCGGTTTTGATCTGTGCGTGGACAAAAACATTCAAACCCAACGTTCTCTATCAAAATGAGACATTTGGGAACTGACCAGGCGGGAGATGGAGAGAGGTGGCCTGTGGATCCGGCTCATAAAGAGCCTCCTAAGGATGACCCTGTTGAAAGGAGCATTTGAGCGGCGGGCCAAGAACCTGTACAACTGAAAAGAGAACATTTATGGATAAGAAAACGTGCAAGATTGGATGTTGGCTTAGAAATATTTTTTTGTTGAATATTTGTATTTTTGACAGTGAGTGAATCATAATGAGTAAATGGAACTTACCTTGACCAGGAGCCTCAGGTAGATATCCTGGCTCCGTGGCTCTTTCCTGTGCACCTTACGGTCCTTGTTGTGTCTGATGTCAACTCCCTTAAAAAGTAATAGCAAATGGTGAGTTTTATAGATTAGCAGCCAGCTCTTAAGTGGTATAACGCTAAGCTTTACAGAGACTATGGGCACCCCGGCTCCATTGCTCCTCTCACATTAAGATCTAACACGACAAACACAACGAGCAGAATTTGAATTGCCAAACTATAACAAAAACTAAAACGTATCTTGTATTAAAGCAACAAGCAAGCAAACAGGTAACGTTGGCACAGGCCGGTTCACACGTTGACACACCACAGCTAACGGCTATCACGAGCGACGTCACAGAGCTCACGTCGCTTTGTGTCTGAATTGGCCATTTGGGAACAAACGGTCATTTTGGGGCAAAACAGAAACAACTAACAACATATTCTGCCGCCCGAACCGCTTTTATAGCTCATTTGGAAGCGTGAACCGGCCGCCTGTACGACACCAACGTTACATCGGTAACAAACAGGGTACGCTATAATCATTTAATGATTCAGAATTCGGGAAATCGCGCAAGGATTATAAAGTAAATTATGTTTTAAACAACTAAGGAACGCCACTACGAAAATTAGATGTATTAATTTGAAGGATGATAGTGGATAGTTAAGTTATTGCAGTGAACATTTTCATCTAGCAGCACCTACCATCTTGGGCTCAGAGCGAAAAGGGAAACGGAAGAGACGAAGTCTCGCGATAAAGACTTTGCTGAAATCTCGGGTTTCTGATTGGTTGACGAACAGGCACTTCCTGCAGGCAGCGCCTCCAGTGGTTAGAGGAAAGTCTCATTACTTATTTGACATATTACTGTAAACATATTCCCTCTCCTATTTGAATTTTCTGTGTCCCAAAACCATGACTGTAAAGCACACATTGTGAATCTAATAATTCTTTGTACTATGAAGAATTCTTTCTCCTATAAATGCAATATAGATTAATCTAATTAATTATTAAACTGATTAATCTTAACATTAATTACTAGGACCTTTGAAATTGCCTAAATTTTAATTTGTTAATTTTAACATTCTTACCATATGCTCTATACGGTCATATTGCACACTGCACTGTAATGGCATTCCATTTAAAATGCAATTCCGTCAAATATCTTATTTGAAGGAAAGAAATACGATCTGATTTAACATATTCTCCACAACATGAGGTTTCCAAAAATTACTTTCAGGTTGTTAATGACGAAAGAAGTGCATTTAAGGAATAGAAGAAAGTACATCTGAAAGGGCGCTTTTAATTTCACGGGTAAAAGACTTGTGCCGTGTCCCCAAAGTCTTTAATAGACAATGTAAGTCTTACCTTTTCATCTAGTGCATTTACTTGGAAAATAAATTAAACGCATGGTTGTCTGTTTGTACTCGTTAGAAGATCTGAAATTGCCCTAGAATCATGTATACTTACCGACCCCCAAATCTAATGGAGCATGAATTCTGCCCTTAAATAAACGTTTTCTAATGTCACAGTCATTCAGGTTTGTGGCCACTCTGCTCTCTGAGGTGACACAAGAAGATAGTGAAAGTCAGCGCGATGCCTCCCAGAAACACTGTCCGTGCCACAGGGGGGACGAGGGCAAAGTTCACTGCCTGAGATGGTGCAAGAGATCAAGAATACATCATTCTACATTTGTATATACATTTTTGTCGCCTGAAAGGGACTAATGATGTAATGAATAAGCATATCTTACCTGCATGGTTGACCAAAATACCACTCCAGTCTAGAGAAAAGGACAGAATATGTATTTATGGATACAAACTGGCAGACAGAGGGATATTTTTTTAGGGCATTAGGAATCAATCGCAGTCTTTGGTCAACAGCACCTTGTAAGATGTCCAGAAATTCTGTCTCCAGTCTTCGAGCAGGTCATCTTTGTTTTCTAATAGACTTAAACCTAAAAGGTAGAGCTGCCTTTTAAATATTTCACTGATTCCATTGATCCATTTCAGATAGTATTGTTCAAGCGTTCAAATAATATGTATGGGATTCATAGTTTATGTTGCCAGATTTGCTAGTAATAATGTGACACTCACATCACTGTCATTTCTGAAAACAATCTATGCAATTTCCTAAAAAACTAGGCAATACATTCCAGATAACCATTAGTGTTTTAGGCAGTGAGTCAGATGAGCCCCAGGAATCCAGGCCACCAATTCAGTGTTCAGTACACAGACTAACACATCGGTTCTGGGTTTATATGGACGTAACTGTTTCCCCAATTCTAACCAACAAACTGTCGCTACCATTTATCATATCTTCTGATCAATATGGGATATTTTACACGTATTACCATACGCTGCTTTTTTAGTAGTGAATCATATTTTGTGGTTTCAAAATAAATTGAAAACAAATGCTATTTTCTTAAACTCTATTTGCTAAAAGAAGTTATGAGTATTTTATGTAAGTGACCTAAATAACCTTTGCAACACAGGCCTGCTCACCAATGTAAAAGGCACTGATAGTGAGAGGAGCTGCGACCAGCTGATCCACCATGACCTTTCCTGTCACTGCCTTGACTCCGCCTCCGGGCAGCATCCTCTCCAGCCCTCGCAGCCAGTGGTAGTTGAAGTTGGCGTGGAAACAGAAGCCCACGGTTGCCACTCGAGCCGTCTGACCCCAGTCGATGGCGCCCGAATCCTCTGACGCGGATCCCGCAGCCGGTTTCCCACCCAGCACGTGCTGTTGTATCAAGTCGGCAGAGGCGAACAGCGTTGTGTATCCCAGGGTGTTACTGATGTACGGATGAGCCTTGATCGCAGCCCAGGCCCGGTTCATGGCGCGAAATCTGTCGAGTCAAGTCAAGCCGCTGGGAATGACTGATTCACAATATGGTATTTTAAGCGGTGACATGCAGAAAATATTGAGTCAAATGATCAATGATGGCCAGTATAACATGACATAATGTGTCACTCACTTTTACTGATCTAAAATAGTCTAATTTTCAGCTTTTACCCAAGAAGAAGTTAAACCTACCTTTCAGCGTAGCTTTTCTCACCCCCTCCCTTTAATTCCCTCGCCAAAGAAACACAAAGCTCTTTTCGGATTGGTTCTGTTGGATGAGGAGGAGGAGCTGAGATGAAGGTCTTCTCCCCGGGTCAAAGTTCTGTCGATGTAGAGAACGTGTGATAAGACCTTTATCAGCCCGCTGGGGAAGAGCCTGAGGAAATAACACGTGAAAAACGGCAGCAGAAAGAAGGGGTCCCGTCGAGCTGTTTTACTCATTTTTCCACATGTAGACTGAATCTCCAGTAGTATCGCCAACTTTTTCATCAGAATAAAAGCCACATGAGTCGCCTCCTTGCAGAACAATAAATGCAACTCACCATTGACTTTTCTCACTTGGTGAAGTGTGGAATTTGAGACCACAGCCTTAAGGTCTCTGTGCAGCCCTCTGGTCAGAGGCACATGTGGTGTCGCTATAAATAGATGCCACTCCTGCAGCAACGTTGCTATGCTTTGAGTAAAGCACCAGAAGATGCACAAAAACGCCCCTTAGAATTTAGAAGGAAGACAAGTTGCGCTCTTGCATCGAATGGGGCAGAAAGGTGTTTGAGATAAAGCATCTTAGAAGAACTGTGTGAGATGTGTGTAACAATTTTTTTTCGGATGGTTTCACTGACAACACTGGAAGTTGAATTTGCCATTCCAAATGCAATAAAAACAGCTTTACAAAATTACGATTAGGTTATTTTAAAAGTAAAATGTGAAAGCAAAAAAAATAAAATTGCACATAAACTTTCATTTACGGTATATCCTTCTGCAGCTTTGTGAAGAGACCAGCCTCTCTCTGCCACCACCTGCTGCCATAGATATTTCCAATTCTGTACGTGGAAGGTTTGCTATTCAATTGGAAAGGTCAATTAAAGCCAGTAGCAACCATCTTAGCTCTTCCCTCTGAGAATGTCATAATTAGGGCCAGAGTTTAAGCTGATCAATTAAGTGCTCGGTAACTGCCTCAACTGGTGCGTTTGTGTCTCCCAGTATTTAACAAGCTGCCTTTAGTGTGCATGGCGCACAATGGAGACGTGTGCCCACACCTCCAGGGCGGCTGACTTCTCAGATAATTGCCTCTTTCTTTTCAGAGATTCCCATCGTGTCTCACTTCCTCCACCGCAATCAATTAGCAAAGTGGTTTTCTATTCATGCTGCAGGGGGGGAAAAAGGTGAATTTGAATTGGGCGATTGTGTCACTTGAATTAATTTGCGCGCACACACACACACAGACACACACAATACATGCAGAGACTACATCAGCAATTAAATCCCCGCACCTCTCTTTCCCTCTGAGGCAACAGCTGAGACCTCGGGGCAGTTTGCAGGAAGATACGAGGACACACAGACGCAACCGGATGAGGAACAAGGTAAACAAGAATTTATTTCATTTTAAATCGAGTCTAACTGGATGGAACAAAACGAAATCCAACAGTTGGAGTCTGTTTATAATGTCTGTTTCATGAACAATCATCCGGTGTAACAGTGATTGACTGGGATCTTTTACTGGAGCAAAAGACACATTTTAAACCTCATAACATGTTGAAAGTATATAATTTCCAAGACAGCTATGTGCTGTGAGGTTACATTTAATTTTTAATATTTATTAAATGCATTTTAAATGTTAGACATTTGTTACATTTGAACTGAAAGTGCAATTCACTTCCGATAAACATATTTTCACCCCTTTTTTCTCCTTTCATGTCTTTAACCGTTTATGTCTCATGCTGTTCAAACGTATCTCTGGACTCCGAGTCTCTCTCTCTCTCTCTCTCTCTCTCTCTCCCTCTTTCAGCCATGCGCCCCTCAATCTCTGTGACTCTTGAGCCCGGTTTGGAGAGAGGAGTCCCGTGGGGTCGTGACCTCTACACCTTTGTAACTTCAGCAGCAGGTCACATGATGAGGACTCTTCAGAAACCCAGAAAGAACCGACCTTCCAAACGACAGGTCAACCACCGTCGCTTCCTGCACAACATGATCCAGAGGTGTGGAAGCATCAGACAAGCATGCCGTCAACTGCAGTACAATGTAAAACAGAAGAAAACATTTTTGTTATTTTATAAGGGATTCTTTTTTCTTCAGGCCCCTAAAAATATTTAAAATAAGAATCCCTCTCGGCTCCTCATCAGCGTGACGACGCTGCTTCATTTCAAATTTTAAAGTTTGACAATTTGGTAGATACAAGTGTATATATATGTTTTAATAGTTAGATGAGAAATGGTTTTGTGCTAAGCTAAAGAGCTATCAATCTTTTCATCTAACCCTTGTTAAGAGAGTCAATCAACTTGTATTCTTTTGAAGTGACACAGAAACTAAACGACTTTTGTTCAACATTTCATTTCATTCATCGTCTGCTTCTCTCAACAGAAAGTTTGCGGACATTGAGGCAGCAAACCATCGGCTGGCATCTGCCCTTTGTTTTAGGGAGGAGGAACAAAACGCGTCCTCTCCGCCCTCCCAGCATCCGGAGACACTTGACCAGTCAGGTGGCCCGCCGGGTTGTTATCTACAAGACCCAGATAAACGCACAGATGTAGATGGCATCTCTAAGACCGGGACTGATGTCTCAGTTGCCTCACAGGAAACAGAAATCAGCGAAAATAAGCAGCCAGATTCGACACATCTTTGGAAACGACACCAGAAATCACAGCGCGCCACCGGCACCGGTAGAGAGAACAACCATAACACGGAGAGACAGAAAAAAGAGAAGGTGAATCGTCTATTGTCCTCATCATCGACGAGTTCCCCAAAAAGTGCAGACGATCACCACAGGGCAGAGCTTCTTGATAGCGAGTGTTATGACAATGAGAGCCATCGGAAGTCAGCCAACAACCTCTCAGAAGACTCTCCGTCCACTCAGCAGGAGTCAGATCTTCTCCAATTTAACCAAAATGTGGACACCTCTCCTTCCTCCTCTCCAGAGCTCTCTCCGCTGTCTCTAGACTCGTGTGACTTCTCCATCCAGATGTTCACAGACATCTCAACTCGCCTGCAGGCTCAGAAGAGCATTTCTGGCATTTCAGAGAGTCAGTGGACAGACATCTTGGATATTTTCAGTGTTGGCAGTAAGGATCCAGGAGGCTGCATGGATGTGGAGACCTACTTTGAGAGTATCTGCGCATGCCAAGGGGACGCCGGGCAGGAAGTCGTTGCCGATGGATTTGCAGATCAGTCAGAAAGTTTGGGAAAAATATCTGAGATGGAGGACCTACGCTGTGAGACCGGTGAGTACAGATATCAATACCGTTGTCATGGAGATTGGGGTTCGACACCAAATCGCTTCCAGAGTCCTCGGAGGAGCTTTCAGGTACCCAAAGGAAACGGAGACCCTGCCGAGACACAGTTTAACCATTTCAAGCCAAACCAAGAGACGGAAGTCGTCCAGGATGAGTTCCCCACACCAGTCGCCTACCACTACCACAACCAGCATCCTCAGGTTGAGAGTTCCTGTATGCTGGTAAACTGCGAAAATAACCAAAACCTTACACCGTTTGAGGGCGTCGCTCAATCCTTCTCTGTCCCGCTGCATAATCCAGAGTACCGCCCCATTCCAACGCCGCCGCATGAGGACGAGTGGCTTTTCACCGATATCTTAAAGGACAGGAAGTCACTGGACTGCTAGGAGAACGTGGGTTCTTAGTGAGCGGTTTGTTAAATGTTGAGGGGGTGAGACAGTGGAGTGTGTACGGACCATCGCTTCCTCATTTTATGGGACCAAGAACAATCCAGCATTTTTTATTTAAAGCATTACACGGGACTTTCTTTGTGATTTTTTTTTCTGTCATATATCCGGAGAAGTTGTTTGCATTTTGCCCTAATATATTTCAGAATATCTCACAATCTTTTGAATATGTTCACTGCCTGTTCAAACATTCTGGTTCAATCTCAAGAAAAGTCTTTGTTGTTATAATATAATATAAAATGAGACGCTTACACACTTCAGCCTTTACTTAAAAAGGGAGAGACACTTTTCTTCTTATGTTATGCAAAAAACCTGCAGCTCAAGCAGCAACATGATCAAAAAGTACATCTGTATCACATATATTCTATGTACTAATATATGGAATAGTTTTCTATTGTATTCTATATTGCATAGGGACAGCCCTTTAAATGTAAATGTATTATTGTGTTTTAAGCTTCCTTACTGCAACAAGATCTGAAAGGACAGACATTCAACACATTGACAAATGTCCTTTTTTCAGTTTAAACACAAATGACCGGCAGTGAATGATAATACATTTACTTAAATACAGTACATTGTAAAACTATTTGTATCAAGCTTTTTCTTATGTGACGATATGTAACAGCTGTTACTTGAGCTGTGTCTCAATCTGTGCATTGATTACAGTTGTGTTATTGATGAAATGTTAATGTTTAAAGTCGTGAGAAATTTTCGGAATGTCAAAATATGAAAGATAAATGCTGTTATAACACTAATAACTACTCTTGTGTGTTGGCGTAATGGAGTACTCCAATATAAAAATATTCAATTACTACAAGTAATAGTCCAGCAGTAAAATTGTCATACATGTGTATTATTGGAAAATTGTACAGAAAGTATCAAGAAAAAGCATTTAATGCAGAGTAAAATGGCCTTCTTGAATATTATACTACAAAGAGTCATCAAGTATATCAATGGACTATTATTAAAGTTGCATTATTGCATAAATAGCATTTTTAGTTGGTTGAGGCAGAGGTATTTAAAAAAAACTGTTTTGTGATTTAATCTACAAAATACATCACATCTTTTAAACTTATTATGTAAAAGTACCATATTTCCCTGTAAAAGGTGAAAAGTGGCACGTAGTTCCTACAGTTTGCACTGAGTTCAGCTTGTGCTGTCAAAGAAACACACAGAAACACAAAGATCAAAACCAACGACATATATTAAAGTCAACCCCAGTCAGATGTTTTATAATTACAGCATCATTCAAAACAAAAAGAGGCTAAAACAATAAACGTTTTGTTTTTTTCAAAACCTTTCCAGTGCAACAGTAGCCAAAAAGAAACAAAAAGTGAGAAGTTACACCATAGAAGCCTCTGCCTCATCTCCTGCTGCAGGCGAACGGACGGGATGAACAAACTCGCAACGTTTCAACGTCGATTCGACATTCTGAGAATGCGACATTAAACAGTTCAGAGTGACGGGTCGTGTTGCCGTGACACGTGACGTCTGCTCATTTGGCTTAAATGCTTAATGTCGCTCCGTTTGAGACACATTACAACCTGACAGAGCAGCCGCGATGTACCGGAGATGTCTGGCTCTCTTTTTTTAATCTCCAGTGTTAATGTGTAAAGTGCAGCGTTTACACAATATCTAAAAAAACAAAATGAAACACAGCTACAAACTAAAAGAAATTGCATTTTGCTCAAATAAAATTTAACATACAGAAAAATAAAAGCCTTTAAGAGAGCTTTAAATACATATCGTCAGTAGTCACAACTCTTTCTTGATCTTTCTTCAGTCGTCACTAACCGTGACTCAATGTGAACCTGGCGTGGAAAAAACAAAGAATAACACGTGCAATGATACGGGGACATGAGCACTGTAAACGCTTACTGTGCTCGTTTTGCAGATACTAGATATGCATTGCTTGTTTCATTAAAATACACACATGTAAATTTAAAACAGAAAGACGAGGCAGCGGTGATGAAAACCCTGATTACCGAAAACCACTGCTGGTTCTGTGCGTAATCAACGGCAAACACTAACAGGATCAATAATCCTATTGGTTTATATATTAGGTCACCAGAATACGAAGAAAACATTCAATGCAACATTTGTGATTTATCTTTATCTTTCCTTAGTTCCAATTGATAGTTAAAACCTCGGTGACTTTCCTCCTAATTTAAAGAGGTAGTTCCACATTTCGGAAATTGGCTTTTTAAAAAAAACACTTTTCTGTTTATTGAGCAGAGAAGATCCAAATCATTCTTATGTTTGTAAATATGAAGCTACACAGGCAGTATACCATTGACTTAGCTTAGCACAAGGATTGGAACCCAGGGTGAACAGCTAGCTTCTGCATGAACAGCAACAAAAACAACCAACGTCTCTGAAGATTTTATCTTGCTGGTTAGTCTGGCAGTTAAATGCCAGTTCTTTTGTTAGTGTGGTGTAATTGTTTTTGAACATATGTATGAGTGTTAATTAGATTTAGAGACGCTAGTAGCTTCATGCTAAGCTAAGCGACTGCATCTTCATATTTATCTCCCAAAATGTTTCACTACTTCTTTAAAACATTGCTATTTGTGTCTGATCACATTTATTTCCTGGACAGGCTCAAAGATATGACAGGCAAACAGGTGCTGAAGGTCATGAACAACATATATAAAAAAAGACCCATTAATTGATAAACAATAAATAAAAGATGCTGAGCAACATGGAGATGCATTACCAAAAGAAAAACACATGAAACCAGGTTTCTCAAGAACATTGTCTATTTCACAGCAAGGTGATCCAGCTGCTTGCGTTTGGTTAACACCAAACACAAATGTCATTTTGAGTTGATCTCTTGAGTGAAAAAAAAGAAAAATCTGCTTTTTTCCCCATTCGCCTCGTAAAAGTTAATTCTTCAGTGCCTCCACTGTAATTTCTTATCTAATACTACTAGTATCTGAGAATGAGGCTCTACTCCTGTCTTCTATTCGACGGCTACTCTACGTTTACTACTTGTTTAAGTCCCTTTTTCTCATCCATACGCCCACCATTTGGTTAAACACAAAAGCTTTGTTTGATCAATAATTTACACAGATAATCAGTAAAAATCAAAATTACAATGTACAAGATGCTCGTCTAAAAAACCAAGAAACAAACAAAAAAAATCCATTGTTGCGATTTATTTTGCTTTGGATGAAGAGATGAGTTAATAAAGTTCTCCAGGTTATTTAGGAGAGCTATGTTGCAGTAGCCAATCAATCATCTTCTACACACGCAACAAACCGGTAAAACCAGATATCCAACAGAAAGATCTTCCATGCAAATCTACCCACGAGACTCGATGTTTTACCACCGACTGACCAGTTCAGAAATGATCAGAGTAGCACAGAAAATAACCAGCAACCAATAACTCCACATTGGATCTAAATTATACAAATTCAGATTTCCGAAGCAATATGTTAAGATTTTAGTTAAAGAAACTATCTAATACTAATGAATTGGTTTGTCTAACAACATACCGTTTTTCTAATCTACAGAATTTTTTTTTTTTTTAACGTTTTCCTGCATGTATGCTGTTTTTATGGTCAAATGTTTGTCTCTCCACAATTCGGTTAAATTATATGAAAATCAGATAATATATTATGGAAGTTAGTTTCATGCTTCCGAGTTTCTAATTGAACATTTACAATAAAAAGTGTAATTAAATATTGGTTACTAACTGCTTTAGCTAATTCAACTCATTCTAATTCAAAAATTCCCTCTATTTCTCATGTTTTATATTTTTCAGCATTACGCCAGGTTTTTTTTCTTTTCTTTTTTTTTAAATCATTTTTTGACTTATGAAAATTTGAGGAGTCACATTGTTTCACGTCTGTATTTGACCTATCTTGTTAACTACTTTATGTATAACAGATTGTCTCAATAACTCATTGAAAATATTTATTTTCACCCTATGACCAATATATACACAGCAATAAAGCTGTAGTTTATTTATATATTCCTCATCAAAGCGGTAAACATGGCTTAGCTTTAGCTTTTAAATACTTCCTAATGTAAAAGACGTGACAACCACATTGTTTTCTTCCCTCTAATTACCGTACAGCATCCTGAAATGTGTTGATAGTAATACACATTCACCCCAGAACTCAGGGAAATGTAGTTTAGTTTATCAGAAATGCATCGCAGAGATGTGTCGTAGAAATCTCCAGTCTCTGTAATGTCATTTTTCATGTCACAGTTGGTTACAAAATTAAAATGAAATCCAGTTTCCTCTTTGAAAAATCTAATTTTTTACACTTTTCTGATTTTTCAGTGAGGTCGTTTTGCAGTTATAGCGCCTGATGAATTCATCTCAAATTTACTTCTATAAACTACAGTGTTATGTGCGTGTTGCACCTTCACCCCTGAACAGTGGCGGCTGTGAGAGGCCGATGTCTGCGTGTGTGGCTCCGTGTGTATTTGTGTGTGTGCGGGATGTTTGTAAACCGGGTCTGTGTGTGCGTCACTCTGTGTGGTTGACGCTGTAGGGCGGCGGGGGGTCCAGGCTGTGCTCGGAGGAGGGAGTCGGGGTCCCTGGGAGTCCAGAGGAAGGGGTCGGCGAGGCGGGCGGCTCCTCAGAGTCAGAGTTCTCCAAAGAGAAGTCGTCGACCAGCGCTCTGCGTCCACGCATCGCCAGCGGCAACGGAGCACGCCTGGACAAGTAGAAAGACAGAGCTTACAGCATGTCCCGCCGAGGGCCAGACATGTGCATTTGTCAAAATATCTACAACCTTGACTACCTTATTTGTCCAAATCTCTACAACCTGATTATCAATCTTCACATGCCTGATTTTGGTAAAAGACTCTCGGGAGATACGTAGCACTTTCTAAGCTACTCCCGTTTGTCCCTGAGATCCTGTTGGTCCTCAGGCATGAAGTCTTTTCTCTCTCTATCCGTCCATTGAAGTAGAATGTGAGTTTAACATGTGAGTTTACTTTTGACTTATTTGGAAGTAAGCTAAACCATTCTGCATTACGATCTAATATTGTATTGTATCGAGCCCAACACACCTCATCTGCCATTTACTTTTGTAAAAAAGTATCATAAATACCATAGTTTATTGATTACAAGTTGGAAGTGATTTTTCCATAGATATTCTCAGGTTACAAACAAAAAATGAGTTTTCCTTTTCTTTCTTAACACATTGTTTAAATGTTTAATCAGTTACTATTTGATGGTTGTCAATCGAATGTATAAAATAACTGATTGTTCAAAAATAATACACAACACGAATGAAAAACAAATTCAATAATAAAAAACACGTGTACTAAATGTGCACGTGCACTAAGCCATCACCTACACTCACACACACAAACACACAAAAATAAAGACACACACATTGACCTACTGATCTGCCTTCCATTCAGGGATGCTGAGTGTTGGTGTTACGGACACAGATGGACAGTTTGTCAGTGTTAGATGGACACAAACGTATGCAACAAAAGAGAACAACAAAACAAATGATAGTGAGTTAATGGGGGGGTTAAAAACAAACAAAAATAAATGATAATTCAAACACAGAAGATATTTGCACACACACACACACACACACACACACACACACACACAGAGGCGCGCAGGTTACCTGAGCTGGCTGCGGAGAGTGGTGATCTCTCTTGTCATGCTCTGACAGCTGTCGGTGAGCTCCTCCATCTCTCTCTGCAGCTTCCTCTTCTGGGCGTTGGAGCGAGAGTTGTCCTCCTCCACCTCCTCCAGTTGCCTCTTCAGCTGCTTCAGGCGGACCATAGATTTATCCAGCTAGGGGGAGGGAGGGGGGCAGAAGAAGTGAGGTGGGGAGAGGGAAGAGGGCCGAGCATATTGCAGAGGTCAGGGCAAGACAGAACATTGTAGGAAAGAGGGGAAAATGAAGAGAACGGGGGCAGATATATAAAGAGAGAGAGATTATTCCGGGAAGAGCAGGACTGAGGGGATCAGAGTCAGAGATTACATCTGATGATGTTTTGGTATAGGAGTTTGTGTCTCTGCTGATGGATTTATTCTTAGGAGTGGAACATGCTCGAGCTCCCCAATGAACACACAGATGCCGGGTGGGATTAGGATTAGGTTGGACTGAGCCGGATGAATCATCCATTTCAGGATGATTTTTCAACACTCTTTGTGCCCCGGGCCACAATTAGAGCAGCTTTCCGAGCTACGCCGACCCACCTTAGATTCTCTTCCACTTGTGGGTAATTGTTAATGTTCTTACCTGTTCTCTGTACTGGTCTGCGTGTCTCCTCTCGTCTTCTGCCTGCATCATCACTTCCTTCAGTTTCTTCTCCGTCTTCCGCATCAGTTTGTTGGCAATGGCTCGTTCCCTGAGAGATGGACATATTCATGTTAAGATACTTGGGGCACCAAGCAATTCCAGACATCTATAAAACATTTAATAAACATTTTTAACATTTAAAACCATTGTACATTGTATCTATGGTAGCCCAGAACTGACAAAGCAATAACTGTCTCTAGAATCGGCACTTCACTCTAGTTCTGATAAACACAGAAACTTCTAGTGGCAATCTGCAACCTTTACGGTCAAATGCCCTCATATGTAGTGAAAAGCGTGTATGATATGAGGGTTTGGTGTGCGTGTGTGTGGCCAAAGAAAGCTGTATTTGAAATAGCTATTTTATGCATTTTTATGTCAATTCAGTTTTATGGATAAAATTTGGATTGACCCCTCTTTTCAAGATCTCCTCAACAATAAAAAGCATATTTTTGGCTGTAATTATTTGAACTGTGCGTCTTTTTCTCTCACTGTCTCTCCTGTTCCACCAGCTCGTCCATCGACTCGATCTTGGCCTCCAGGGCGGCGACGCTGAGCTTGTGCTTGCCCCTTACTGCTCCCTCCAGCTCTGCCAGTCGGGTCTTCAGATCCTTGTTCTGTCTCTCCAAATGCTCCCGGGCTGCCTCGGCCTTTTGGGCCAAAGTCCTCTCCCCCTGCAGCTGCACGGCCAGAGTCTCCACCTGGAACGCAAACAGTGCAGCGATGAGGAAGGTCCCGGGCCACACAGGCCGTGTCATGATGTGCCATAGAGAGTGTGTGTGTGTGTGTGTATGAGAGAGAGAGAAGTTAAATTACCTGTGAAGCAGTCTTCCTTTGTCTTTCCGCCAGCAGTTCAGAGTTACTCTGCTCTTCCTCCAGCTCCTCCTCCAGCTGAGTGACGCGTGCCTCCAACCTCCTCTTTTCTTCAAATATCGCGGTCCTGGTCAGACATTCCATTTTAGTAAACCCAACACGAGTCCATGTACAGACCAACACCAGTGAAGTGAAGTGGAACTCACTTTCCAGAGCTGCTGTTGACCATCTCATCGGCCATCTCGTCTCTCTCCTGCTGAATCTGTCTCCTCTGCCGCTCTGATACAGCAAGCTCCTACACGGTCAGATGAAGGAAGACAGATTTTTCAGAGTCACTCAGAACACAAACACCATTCTATTTTAATATTTCTGTTGGGTTTAAGTTAAACAAACAAACCTCAGTGAAGTGCAAGACTTCCGCCTCCAGAGTTTGGATCTTCTTTTCGTTGTCTTTCGACTGTGAGATCACCTCATCCCGAGCCAGCCGGCTTTCTTCTAGCTCGCGCAGAGCTTCCTTCATTTGACCCTGTAACAAATAGACTTCTTTAGCATGGATGCCATCGACAAGTACAGAAAATCTGAGTTCATGAGTGGGGAATAAAAACGGCTTCACCTGCAGCCTGCGTAGCTGCTTCACAGCCTCCTCTTTCCCCCGGCTGCCGGTCTCCGCCTGGGCCTCGGCTTCCTGCAGTTCAGCTTCCAGCTGCTTCTTGGCAGACACAGCCTGAGACCGCTGACTCCTCTCCTCCTCCAGCTGGATCTCCAGCTCCTTCACCTGGCATCGCATGGAGGATGAGAATGTTTTGTGGAATTTGGAGAGGCTTACAGCGACAACATATTTTCCTCTCTCCTCCTCCTCCTCTCTCTACCTGTTTGCTGAGCGCCCTCCTCTTCTCCTCTCCCTTCTCCTCGCTGGTGCTGATCTCCCTCTCGAATTGAGCCTTGAGCGCCTGCAGTGTGACCTCCAGCCTCAGCCTGGAGTTCTCCGCCTCCGTCAGCTCCTCCTCCAGCTCCTGCGTTTGAGCCCGGAGGTTCTGGGCTTCTGTCTCTAATGACCTGCGGGTGCGTTCCAACTCGTGCACCTGATTCAGGGGCAGATAATGAAGCGGTGACTCACTGAGGGCCGAGACAGAGAAATGACAGAGGAGTCCCAAGAGGAGGATTCTTACGCTCTTTCCGACGTCGTCCTGCTGGTTTACGAGCTGTTCCATCTCCAGACGGAGCAGCTTGTTGCTCCTCTCTAGCTCTTCCCTCTGATCCTGGGCCTCCTACGCACAAACGCAAGAACATCAGTCCCCGCAAACACAGATGCGTTAGGAGAATGATTTCACCGTCTGATGTTTACCTGCAGGGCTCGAGAAAGAGACAGATATCTTGTCTCCTTCTCTCGGCTGTCTGCTTCCGCTCTGTCCTTCTCCTCCGCCAGCCGGGCGCTCACTGCCTTCTCCTCCGCCAGACACTGACGGGGTCACGGAGACAAAGTTTTAGTGAAGGAAACATTTTTGCAGCTGGTACGTGGCGGTAAACCAGTGAGGGCCTGACCTGGTCAAACTTCTTCTGCCTCTTCTCCAGAGCCGTGCAATTCTGTCTCTCTCTCTGCAGGGCAAGTGTCATGTCCTCTATCTCTTCCCTCAGTCGCTCCCTCTGCCTCTCGACACGATCCTTCTCCTCCTCCTTCTGTCGCTCTCTCTGCTGGACGCTGTCAAGCACTCTCTGGAGTTTCCTGCGCGTCTCCTCCCCGGTTTCCACCGCAGTGTTGACCTCCTCTGACTGCTTACGAAGCTCTGCCAACTGAAGAAGAGAGGGGGTAAGAACCAAACAATGTCAGTTTAACATCTTGTGAAATTGTCAACTGTTAAGGGATGAGACACTTGGACGTATGAGAAAGTGGATGTTTTTGTATTTGCATGAACTGTTTTTTTTCTTCTTTTTAGCTTTGATATTTCACTGCCGTGGACCATGGTCTGGAAAAACAAAGCTCCCGAGGGTCTTGTACCTGCTGGGTATGAGTCTGGATCTGGCGAGTAAACTCTTTTGCTTTCTCCTCCTCGTCCTCCAGTCTTTCCATTAGTCCATTCTTCTCCTCCTCCAGCGCTCGCACCCTCAAACCCAGAGCCATCTTTTGACGAGTTTCATCCTGGAGCAGTTCCTGAGTGAGAAGAAAAGACGAGACTTTCAAACAAACCCCCTTGATAAGTCTTGACATCTTCAGAAGATGTTTTGAAAAAAGATCGCTACTCTCTCAATAGCTAAAAACTGCCGTGGCCGTAGCTTAACGCCCCATATGCATCAACTGTGGTGTTTCATTTTGTTACCTTTGCATCGTGCAGCTGGCTCTCCAGGCTGCTGACCTCTTTAGTGAGTCGAAGGGTTTTGGTGTCAATGGAGGACAAATTGCCAGAAAGATTCTCAATTTCGCACTGAAAAGGCCAGAGTTGGGATAAAGGTTAAATATTATGAATATCCCGACCAAACTACACATTTGAGGTGTAATATTAGCTGGAATCCATTTTCACCTGTAGCTTGTGCACTCGCTCCTCCTTGTCCTCCCGCTCTCTGTCAGCCTGGGTCAGTCTGGCGCTGTACTCCTGCAGCTGAGCCTCGGCTCTCTTGCGGCCTCGCTCACTCTCCGTGCGGCTTGCTTGGAGGCTCTTGAGCTCGTCGCTCAAAATCTGCCTCTCTTCCTCCAGCACCACCTTGGCCTTCTCCAGGGACTGACGTGCCTATAGGAGAACATTGACGGCCTATTGGGTGACACGTTCACACGCATGCATGTTTGTGTTTTCATGTGTGTGTTCCTCTTACTCTCTTGGTATTGTCCAGCTGTTCCTGGAGGCTGTCTATGGCAGCGCTGTGTTTGACTCGGAGTTCTGATAGCTGGGCCTCGTGGTGGCGAGTCTCCTCTTCGACACAGCGCTGGAGATCATTTAACTCCGTTTCCCGACGCGACCTGCGTGGACGGACGAGGCAGGAGGTCAAGGAGGTACAATCCTTGCATCTATCAAAGTCTATCTTTATGATAATGTATGCGTGTTTCCTTCACCTTAGCTCCTGCTGCGCAGCTGTGGTGTCCAGAGTGTCCTCCAGCTCAGTTTTTAGAGCCTCCAGTTCCTCCCCAAGGTCTCGCCGCTGTTTCTCTGCCCTTTCCCTCATCTGTCGCTCGTTGTCCACTTCCTCCTTTAGCTCAGATACTTGTGACATGGCCTCCCTCAGTGCTCTCTGAGCTTCTGTGCGACGTGCTCCTTCTTCCTCCAACCTGCCAGAAACAGAGGAAGACAAAGGGGGAATTAAGGGAGAAGTGAAGCGTGAAAGCTCTATCACAAGCCTTTATTTGTGTTGCTGCGTCTAATATACGGCGTCTTGTGTCTCACCGGCCCTGAAGGGTGGTAATTTCCTTCTCTTTCTGAGCCAGACTGCCCCTCAGCTCGGCACACAGCATGCCCATGTCTGACAGCTGCTCCTGGGCGTCCACCGAGTCGTTCTCCATCTTCCTCCTCCACTTCTCCTGCTCCAAGCGCCCCTGCTCCTCACGCTTTAGGCGCTCTGCGCATAGTTGTGTAAACAGCGGCTTATAGATATGTATTATTTGAAATAATAAAAGGTGTGGAAATTGCTACAACTCAACATTGTGCAAAATGAATAAATAAATAAATAAAACTGAAAATAAGTATTTTAAATATAAAAAAGTTTTCCTCAAAAAAATATATCATAAAATCGGCTAAACCTCTAAATATAATTGATTTCAATCCAATCCTAGCATGCAGCCGAGAACAGTAAATGTGCAGGTTGCCCCTGGAAGGACATTAGGACAGTTACCCTCGAGGTCAGCGATCACAGCCTCCTGTTTGTTCTTGAGTTTGTTCAGACTTTTGGTTTTCTCCTCTTCCTCGGTGAGCTGATCTGTCACTTCGCTCAGACGTTCCTCCAACTGTTTCTTCTCCTGCTCAGACATCGATATCCACATTGTATCATGGAACATGTAAAAAAATGTATGCTGTGAAATGAGTATTAACGTGACGCTGACCTTGCTGAGTCGGTCTCTGTGGTCTCCTACATTCATCGAGTCGGACTCAAGACTTTTCACTCTGGTCTCCAAGGAAACCTTTTCCAGCAGGAGGCGCTGCCGGGAACTTTCCTCCTCCTCTAACTGTTCCTCCAGGTCCTGACAAGAAAAGGACACAATTTAAGCAAAGGGAAGGAGGTTTAAACAACTTCAATATTCATGCAATAACACTGATTTTCCTCACAGAAGATCTGGAGTCAGTAGTATTTTTTTTTTACATATTGAGATTCAACTTTGTTCCCCCCTTAATCTCCTAACCTGTATATTCTGCTGCATCCTCTTCTTCTCAATGGCGAACTGCACGCCTCTCTCCTCCTCTTCCAGCAAACGAATCTCCATCTCACCCAGCACCTCCTCTAGCTCCTGTTTCCGGTTGGCCAAACTGGCCCTCATCTCCTCTGCCTCCGCGAACAGCTCGGCCTCCGCCTGCAGCTGGTCAGCCAGCACCGACTTCTCCTCTATCAGCTAGAAGGGGACAAAGGAGTGGTGAGCGAGGCCCTGGTTGATAGCCGACGGCCTTCAGTCCGGTGGACAGGCAGCAGAACAAGATGGAGGTTTACTACCTGAGCGTGTTTCTTATCGAGCTCCGTGTAGTCCTGCTCCACTCGGGTAAGGTTGTCCTTGGCCTTCTGGAGCTCCGTCTCTCTAACCTGGATCTCCTCGTCTTGGCGGGTCACTTGCAGCAGGGGCTTCACCTGGTTGGCACAGAATGAGGATCAGGGGTCAATGTGAGGGACGCCCTATTCCTGCATGCCTTTTGTTTATTATATTTCCTGTATATGGCTCTTTATTATCATTGTATTGCTTTTACAACATATTGTTTCGACATTGAGGCTCCAACACCCAATACACTTGAGCTCTAGAGTTTATCATTTTGTATATTGTGAGCTGGGGTGTGATTTTTACTGTCACCGTACAGCACGACTATTTAAAAATGGTGGTTTAATTAACTAGTACGAAACGAGACAAAAGTTTTTAAAAGGCAAAATGAACGGAAACATTTCAGCTGTGTTAGAGATTAATTGTGGATGTGTTGATGTATGTTTGATGTCTTTGTTGTTATTTGGCTTTGCGTTCAGTACCTTGGTGAACAGCCGCCACCACTGCCAGTTCCTGAGTTTGAGGTAAGCAGCGCAGTTCCTCTGCATGACCCTCAGAGCGCTCATCTGCTGCTGCTTCTTCAGGAAGGATCTGAGAAGTAAAAGAGATACCACAACAAAGTGGGTGCAGGCAATCTCCGAAATAATTCAAGGCAAAGAAATGTCCTTTGAGAAAAGGAAACTACAGAACTAAATAGATTAGATGTATAGCTCTTTACCTGAAATCAATGACAAGTTACAACTCAAAAGATATCAAAAGCTAAAGTTTCATGTCATTAAAACGTGTCACTTGGATGTTTTTAATGCTTTATGTAAAGCACTATTTAAATAAACATACCTTTAATTAGTTTGTAAAACCACCATTGTAAAAATGAAAATGTATTAGTCATGTCTTTCACAGGCCAAATATCTGTCATTGCTGTTGCTGAGCCACTGATAGGGGTTGACTAAAGATTAAAATATTAATGCTCCTTTAAGAGTGAAATTCAACACTGGCTCTTAGACAGCAGCGAGTGAGCGCTCCTTAAAGATGAACTCAATCATACTGCTCTCTCTCTGTTATTGTTCAAGGTTTGAAAAGCTCTTACTTTCGAGCGAGGTAGCCTCTCGAGGCGCTCTGAAAGCGTATGATGGTGTCGGTGATCTTCAGGTCTCTTTCTTCTTCCAGATGAGCCAGGACTCCAGCTCGGAAAAAGACTTTGCTCTGACCCACGCGGAACAGGTTGAGATCCAGTTCCAAAGCTCTGATCTGAATGAGGAGAAAGGGGGGTTGGAGATTTTAATCATTCAGTTGACATGCGGAATGACTTGAACAACTGAAAATGGTCTCACCATGAGTTCTGACGCCTGTTTGCCATCCATGAAGGTGCGAGGAATCGCATTCGGAGTCAGGATCTCGTATCTGGATGAAAAAATTACATTTTCAACGTGTCAGCATTTGACGAGACACGCGAGGCTGAGCTTGTGTAAAAAAGGATAACTAGCAGGAGGAAAGTGCTCAATACAAAAATACAATCAAACACCACACACCTCTGTCTGAACTCCTGGAATGGGATGCGGTTAGGGAAGCCTTGTCTGCAAATACGGATCCCCTCTAGAACTCCATTACACCTCAGTTGGTCCAAAACCAGATTGGGAGACAGCTTACCAGACTGAAGAGGGGGTACAGAGTGGCGAGAAGTTTAATCCAGACATTTCTCCAGCCACCTTGTCTGTTTTGATTCCACGTGCCTACGCAATCCCACCATCTTACCTTCTTCTCGTGGTTGGGGATGATGCAGCGCAGGAAGTTGGGGTTAGTGTTCCTCAGCGTGGCCATCAGCTTTGTGAGCGACTCCTTGTAAAGCTGACCAACGGTCCTGAACATTCCCTTCTTCGTCTTCAGCCCTGACGCTCCAAACGGGAGTGGCCCACTATTCTCCCCCGACGACACCTGGTCCAGACCCACAATCCTGTCCACTGGACCAAAGACATGGAGCAGGGCCTCAGTTTTAGCAGCAATTTCAATTTTGGGGGATTGAAGAGAGTGTTTGAAAGGTATGGCACGAGGATGTCCGTGTGAAGGCCACACTAATGCCATCTGGATCATGATCACACAACTGCTTACACATCTGTTATCAAGTCTCTTGACGGATGATATCAGGTGGTTGACAATAGAGGAGTTCATTAGAGATGCAATGACATGGTTTCAAAGCCAATAATAACATAATATATTATTCTATTATGTTACCCGGCTATTGGCCAGTAAGATACACAAACTACAGTGCAGGTAGCTAGCAAGAATTTTAACTCAACCTGTTTTTGTTAAGTATTAAACACGTCCCGGCAGGCATGCCTGCAGGTTTAACGGTCTATCATTTAAAACAAAACCAAGAGGAATTTGTCGTGTACCCGAATTTCACAATCATCCAAACATCTCTATCAATAATATAAACCAGACCAATTTTGTGGTTATTTCAATGTCAGTACTGAAAGCCAATGTGTTGCATCTCCAGAGCTCATTCCGGATCACATTTCTTCCTGGCTGATTTCCATGAAACTAGTCCAGCGGCAGTTGATTGTGGCAGTATTGTGCAACACATCTCTTATGTGATCCTGAATATGTTTTTTTTATGACTAATAATGAGCATGCTGCTATATTCACGCTTTCAAATTTCTACACAACCATGATGGACTACTTCACACAAGAACAGCACTTATCACTAAAAGCTCAAATTTGGTAAAAGAGAAAGCGAGAAAAAACTGAGCAAACAGCACAATGGCGATATGAGAATTAGATAACATCTAAAAGCAAATGACACTGCAGCACAAATATAAACTAAAAAGACGCACAACAATGAAACGGTGCTTTAGACAGAATACAAAGGAGTAATGAAAGCGGAGGTGGGAGTGAGCATTGTCGGCGTGACACACAGAGGAGGAGAGAAACCTACTGTCAGAGCCATTAGCCTGTATTGTGGCATACGAGTCAAAGAAGTACACGCGAGGAAGAGTTTGAATATCTGATGCAGGAAGGAGGGAAAAAAGGGATGGAGCCCAAGCGAGCACCAAATAAGTGGAGTGGGAAGAGAAAAAACAGAAGGAAAAAGGGCAAGAGGCAAGAGGACACAGGAGAGAACCAGAGGGAGGAGAAATGAACAAAGAGAGAGGCAGCAGATAGAGTAGTTGCATGACAGAGAAAGAGAGATACATATAGTTTGATTAGTACATTATACACCAGAAAAAGCTTAATTATCTATTCTTGAAAAGTTTAAAACAATTATAACACATAAAAATAGTCAGACGTCCATTTAAAAGTTAAATGTAAAAGAATTCTGACAGGTCTCAAGTCTACACTTTACAGGTTTACTTTAAAGAAGTGAATCAGTCTCACCCTCCTTCCAAAGCTCTGAGACAAAATGATCAGACGACTGGTGGAGAAGAGACGCCACGTTGTCATTGAGAGGGTCCATGTTCTTCACTAACCAATCGTGTGCCTTGTAGTCCACCTGCGATGCATAACGGGGACAATTCAGTTGATGACTTTGAATGGGAACGATGGCAGACAAGGAAAGGTGTTAAGAAATGACGGCAGACCTTGCCAGCGTAATGAATGATGGCGAAGTCAGCTTCCCCACGCGGCTGCTTTGGTTTGAAGAATTTTGGATGGCTGCCTTGTTCGGAGGACACCTTCTCCACAAACGAGCGGTCCGTCGCCCGCGGGAACCAACACTCTTCGTCCAAAAGGGCGAGGACACCAGGCGGTCCGGCCTGGCAGAGACGGGGGAAAACCAGACCATTTGTTGCGAGTTGTGACGAGGGATCATTGAAGAGAGTGTGCCTGCATGTTTTTATTTTTCTATTTATATTAATTAATTTCATTTCTCTCTCATCTGTGGGTGTGCGTCTGCAACCTGAACTTCATCATGAGAACTCCGCAATCACTAAACAATGCACGCTTTTTATATGGCAAGTAAATATGGACTATCAGCATCCATAAAAAATATATAAAGAAAGAAAGATTTTAGCGTGTATGTACTGGTCTCTCGATGAGGTCAATGCAGGGCTGCAAGTCAAGGCCAAAGTCGATGAAGTTCCATTCTATGCCCTCCCGCTGGTACTCCTCCTGCTCCAGGATGAACATGGTGTGGTTGAAGAGCTGCTGCAACTTTTCGTTTGTGTAGTTGATACACAGCTGCTCAAAGGAGTTCAGCTGCAGGGATTTGGGAAAGCAAATAAGTCAACAATTCATGTGATGTAAACCAAGAAACAACATATATGCCTGACATATGATGAGACATTAGAATGGTGGAAACCCAAGCTACTGCAGGCTTACTACCAACTCTAATCTATCCTCAAAAAAGCATACATTAGGAAATGAAGGAAAATGCAAGCATGAACAGACCTGGAAGATCTCAAATCCAGCAATATCAAGAATGCCTATAAAGGAGGCTCCCTGTCTCTGTCTGCGGTCCAGAGCTCTGTTGATCCGGTGGACCAGCCATCTGAACAGACGCTCATATGTGGCCTTAGCCAGGGCCTCCACGGCAAAATCCGCCTAGAGAAGAAGGGTATGCAGTCAGATACTCTCCACAGGGACAAGAGCAAACATCCATGCACGCAAATCCTACCTGTTCTTTCGTCTGGGCCTTCTGCACATACTCTCGACCCACTTTGATTCTAGGAGTGAGGATGGCCCGCGTGAACTCCAGCACGTTGATGCCCAGCAGGTGGCACAGTTTCTGAGCAGCTGTGTTATCAGGCATTGAGGCCTGGTCATGATTCTTCTCCTTCATGAAGGAAATGTTCCCCAGCTGGAGCACAGCAGACATCACCTTGAGCATGGCTGAGGAAAAAAGAAGAGACGGGAGAGGCGAGGTGATTTATAGCAAGGATTAAACGATAGAAAATGACAGAAAGCAAACTACTTTATCTTTTCTCTTACACAGCGACTCCTCTGGGGTGAAGCCCATTATAACCATGGAGTCCATGGTCTGGGTGAAGTTTTCTGAATCGCTCTGACCAGGAACAGGGATGGAGCCTCCACTTAGAAAGCGGTACTCATCAGCGGTTCCTAAGAGCAGGTCCGCTGGGTAAGGGAATAAAAACAAACAAAAAAACAGGATCAAATGAAATAGAAATGTCAATTATTAGAGGGCATGGAAACACTTTCACCAAAATAACATATCCAATACCATAGCAACATTTAATCATTGACTTTTGTACTTTAGCTCACCTTTTGTCTCGGCTGAAGTTCCACACAGCAACTGGTAAAAGATGTGGAACGTCCTCTCGTCTTTAGCCTGACGGGTGGCCCTGGATTTTTCAAGGAGGTCTGGATTCATATGGTCATGGACATGTACACATAGTATTTGCTTCAAAATGCAATTTAGCTAATTCAAACAAAAGATACACCCTAAAAGCAAGTACTCCATCAACCGGAGTTTCAATGGACAAAGTCATGAAACTATACTGTAAATTAAGCAGCTTACTCTTTCATTTTACAAAAAAACAGTGGGGTCACGTCAAAGGATACAGGTCTCGATGTTGGCACCCACAATGTACCCCGCCACATCAAAGTTAATCCGTATGAATTTACCCTGAAGTAGAAAAGGTGGTTTCAAGTTTCAGTTGATTTCTATAGAAAATGATTCAGAAGATAATAAACATGATCGGCCTGCATGATGCATCTTGTCTGCTCTTACAAATCTGGAGGAGTTGTCATTCTTGACAGTCTTTGCGTTTCCGAAGGCCTCCAGTATGGGGTTGGCCTGCAGGAGCTGTCTCTCCAGCTCACCCTGGGACACGCAGGAGACATCAGTTCAGATTAACAGCACATCAAAAGACAACAGCCTCAACAAAAATAAACACATTTGCATACATGTTATATAGAAGTGACACAAAATGCTGCATTTTAAAGCCAAAAAATAGCATCCACAACCACGAATGATTCTCAACGTCCACTAAAGTAAGGAGCCTTTATTTAATTAGCAATCAATAGTGAGAGCATCAATACGGCGGTGTACTTGCATACTGCCATGCGAGAAAAAGAAAAGAGCATTGGTACTGTATTATAACGTGGATATCTTCAGGTTATTACAATCTAAACGTATCACATTACAACATGAAGTTTGTAATGTTGTAGCAAGATCAGTAGAAGTATTTTATATTGTTAACAGAGTTCCTTGTTTCAAAGTTAAAAATACTTTAATGTACTGATCTGCTTTGCTTTTTTCTGGCATATACGCTTAGCAGCACTAAGACGCTTAAACAATTTTGCTATTATTCTATTAAATTGAATTTTGTACACTATTAAAAGGCAATCCCCAAAAAACAACAAACAAGAGTCAGTTGAGAACCACTCTTGTAGAAAAACAACGGCAGAGGGAAGCTAGAGATCTAAATGCTAACAGCACAATGCTAGCTGCGATGCATAAATGCAGCGGTCGCATTGCCCGTGCAGCTTCGATTGATGCGGCAACAGCACAGCAGCAGCCAGCGTAGCGAGATCGTGTAGCTAACGCAGGAGAACTGTCAAAGAACGTCGACAAGCCATCCGCGTAGGCAGATCCACAAACAAACAGGATCAGCACTTTTTATAGTGCACACCGTCCATGTGAACAAAAACACATTTTAAACGTGTACACCTGTTAAAAGAAACTACGTAGTTGGGCTGTGGCAAAACAACCACACCCAAAGCACTCATTCCACACACACACACACACACACACACACACACACACACACACACACACACACACACACACACACACAGTACAGCTCATAAGATCGAAACTGTCTCTCCAGCAAACATGCGTGTAAAAACATGTGGCATTTGCAAGTCTGGGAAGGGAAAGTCAACCATCAAGATAAAACATGCCAAAACTAGCGGCCCATAAAGAGGAACAGCCCTGCGCCCACAAGAAATGATTATCGTTATGAAGCGAGACGCAAAAAGCAAAGTTTGAGCTTTGGAAAATATTCTACAGAATATAAATTCCAAATGAATGTACCCAAAGTTGTCTTGTATAATATTTTCATACTCACATATTGCATACTCTGACGAATTGGGTGGAAGGGGTTAGGGTTAGCAAGAGGAAAGGGTGGATGGTGAATATGTGGATGGGATAAAAAAAAAAAACAGAAACAGAAAAAGACAAATAAGACAATAAGAACAACAACAACAAATAAAGGAATACAAAAACAACCCAAATTAAACATACTGTACACGGCCTGAATGGCATGAAGAAGCACATCAGGACTGATGTTAGTTTAAGGCTACTCTGTCGTTTAGTCTGCACCAGTGTGGAGTTCCTTAAGCAGAAAAAGGAAAAGGACGAAAGCACAGGACAGGAGGACAGGACAGTTCACTCACCTTGTTCCCCAAAGAACTGCCTCTCGTTAGGGATTTAGAGCCGTCCATCTTAGCGCACAGGAAAGAGAAAGAGGCAATGCAGAAAGAGGAGAAAGAGGGGATTGAATGTAAGCTTCTTACAGCCTCGTTATCTTTATTTCCTTGATCTTTTATGGGTTTCTTCTCAACGCCGCTTCACCATCTTTCCTGATATTCCAATCTGAATGTTCCTAGATGGCGCTTCTTTGTTTATGTTGTTTTTCCAGCCGCTCTATATTGTTTTGTATTTCTGTCACTACTGTGACATACCTGTGTGGCTTCCTTGTTTCTACCCAGCGTGCCCCCCTTATGGGAGGATGCCACATGGGCCAAATACTGGATGACTTTCTTAGTGTTCTCCGTTTTCCCAGCTCCAGATTCACCTCTGGAAGACACAAAAAGAATACCTTTCTATTCACAAACTGATCTTAAACATACACACAACTAGTAAAAAGAAAGAAACACACGGGCACAAGGGCCGAAAACGTCAATACAATATATAGAGGCCATGCAGTGCATTCAAAGCCACAAATCTAAACAGAGAGCAGGTGTGGAGGATACAGGGCGTGTCGGATTTGTTGCTTTTGAAGAAGAACGCAGGAGAATGGAGTAAAAATAGCAGCTGTGAAAAATCTAAAAGAAGCAGATGCCTTGTCCCAAATACACAGATCCAAGGAGGGCATAAAGTGGGATTGACAATGCCTGGAAGAGTCGGACAGGAAGATGTAAGGACAGAGAGGCCGGCCCTCTGGCAAGAAGGTAGCGAGACAAAGCTCGGGTACAAACACAGGGGGATGCTTTCACATTACAGCACGGAACTTTCACTGTGGATGTAAAGATGTAGATTGGGGCTGATTCTCTAAATTCATGTGGCTTAAAACGGACATCGGTTGGAACATTAATACGTCCTGCAATTGTACATTTGCATGAACAAAGAACGGATGTATACAGACGAGTGAGAGAGAGCAGTCGGCCCGATGGAGCGCTTTTATTTTATTTTTGTTCTTCCAAAAAGAAAGAAATCAGATCAAGTCACATTTGATTCACTTGAAATCGGAATATGTTATGTTACACATGCACATTTTCATGGAGGCAACAATGCATACAAATTACACTTAAACACAAGAAAACACACCAGACACACACACACACAACCACTCCAACACACTGGCAGCCGGCTACTCACGTGCAGAGGATCGCCTGGTCTTCTCTGTCTGTAAGAGAAAAACCATGTGAGCACAGACGAGCGACGGTGTTAACTGGGCGGTTTCATACATTGTGGAGAAGACAGCAAGTCAACAGCCAAAACAACTACAACAAGTATTCCAACGATTTCAAAAGTCCACGCATGCTGACATCGTAAACCTTGAAATAACAGGCGGACTGCTGAACCTCCAGTGCCACATGGACGCCGGAAGTCAAAGGGGGAACATTGTTTGCAACATCACCATGTATTGTCACAGATTCCCACACTTTCAGTGTAGAATTGGATCTGGTCTTACAGGTTCAGTCAGTGTGGTAACACACCTGCAAACTACCCTGGGGGTTGCGGGAAGTAACAGACGCGTAGACACGACTTTTTATTACCAAGGAACACACAGACACAGTCCTTAATGGCATAATAACGGCTTTTACTCTCACTCTCTCAACACGACGGGGGCGAAAACGTCATGTAGCGTCAAAGTGGTTGGTTACCACCATCACTACAACAGATATGCCATTTCGACCCATCTGTGGAAGTGACACACCTAGAAAAACAATACCCCCTCGCCAATTTGACTTAACTTTAAAGGCTTTTGACAGCAGCAACTTGTCAGAACTACAGCGCACCTTTAACTGGAGCTGATGCCGTGGCTTTGCGATCAAAGATCACAGACAGGATTCAGTTTCACGTTTCAGGGCGAGCTGATAGCAGATGTGTGGGTTTGCTATAGCGTCAAAGGTACTCAGGAGTCAGAGGTGACGGATAGGGTTTGGTACCTTGTAGCATGCTGCGATAGGCGGCCTCTGATATGGCGTAGATGTGGGGGGGCATCTCGTGGCGTTTTTTGCCCCGGTACATCTCCACAATGGCCTCGGTGTAGATGGGCAGGTTCTTGTAAGGGTTCACCACCACGCAGAACAGCCCTGAATATGTCTGGGGGGGGGGAAAAGAAAAAAATCCAGGCGCAGGGAGGTTTATATTGGCCTTATCCTCCATGTATGAAAATGAACATTTCGGCTTGTGTAAATGCAACCAGTGATTATATTTTCTGCGATGTTTGGGACATGTTGATATTTGCATACTAGATTCTAGCTGTAGAGTGGTGTTTGTATCCTGATGATGATGCACAAACCATTCTTATCTTATCATAAAGAAACACGCCTCTCAAAGGTATTCTAACTATCTATCCCTGCTCCTCCCTCCTATCTCCACCCTGTCATTCGTTCCATTAAAAGGCAGCTTAACTGTCCTTAATTGCGTATGTATCATTCTTTTTTACTATGCCCCCTGGATATGTTGATTATCACTGACTGATGTAACTTGCACTTCTATCTACCATATCTTCTTTGCACCCTCCTCCCCCCTCTTCTGCAGGAGAAACTGGAGAAGCCTCCGACGGCCACCACACACACACACACACACACACACATAAACTTTGTAAACTGACCTCTCATCTGATATCGGTTACACAGGAGATGCCAGGGGAGCCGACGAATGCGTGTACTGTGCAACGCAGACTGAATGTGCAGACAAACATGTATGCATGCATGTGGTTCTGTGCCAACAGGCACAAATGAGTGTAAGATCCACGCGATGAGTGTCAATGGGCGTAGGAGCAATGCACAACAACGGTATGCACGAGTTTGTTATTATTTATACTCTGTGAACAAGTTCCCCTTTCCTCGTGAAATCATTGTTTTGTCCACTCACGTAGATCAAGCCCGAGTAGTATCTCTCTCTCAGGTTGTGCAGCACCGAGGCTTCGTTGAGGCAGGTGAGGTCGGCCATGTCCTCCACTTTGCTGAAGCGCGGGGGGTTCATGCGCTGCACCTCCTCTCTGGACAGAGTCAACTTCCTCTGGCTGTCAGTCAGCTCCACCTCCACCTCATCGCCGCGCTCCTCCCGAATACTTGCCGACTGGGGATGGAGGCAGAGAGAGATTTAACAAAAGATGAAGGAAAGAAAGGCAAAAAAAAAGCTAAATAGGACGTTTATCAAAAGATTCCAGAATAATAAATAAATGTGAATTTCCTGAAGGAGTTATTGTGAATTTAATAACTTTTGTCATTGACTCAGATCCTCGGATACATCTGAAATCTGGGATTTTGCATCTTCCAACAGGAAAGAGCTTTGTCATAAAGTCATTAATTAGATTAAAAACAGAATGAGCTGGGATGGTTTGCTGAAGCTGCTACTTTCGAGCAGGTTTCGAGATTTAATAAAAAAGGTAATTCATTCTGCGCCGAAAATATTTAAAGCCAGCAAGAAGGCGGAACTTCTGTTAAAACAGAAGCAGTCAAAATCCACATTAATGTAGCAATGCTGTACAGTTGTAAGTAATGAGCTATAACACAAAATAACCACTTTAATACTACAGTAACACAGCGCGTCTACATGTGAAAGGTCCTGCTGGTCTTATGCTTGTTAGACACGAAGTAGAAAACTAATTTTGACCATGTCACAAGATTCGGATGTGCTACACGTTCTTCTCTCTGTTTAACACACCCAACACGCAAGATATATGCTTGTTCGTGTTTGCCTGTGTGAACATTAGTCACAGATTGAACTGTGTGTGATACTGTATGAATTTGTATTTTCAGTATGTGTGTGCGTTTGTTCTACTCGGCCATTCTCAGATCATGAGTGTAAAATGAAGTCAGTTTCGCTACAACGGCCTCTTAACATTAGGAGGCTGAAGGAGGGTATTGTTCTATTCATAGAGCTCGCTGCAAAACCAGTGCAAAAGAGAGAGAGAGAGAGAGAGAGAGAGAGATTCAGATAGGACACCAAATTCCTATGTCACATCCTACAGTATGCAGAGAACTCCTAATGTGTGCTGAGTGAAAGTGGAAAAAACACATTTTACGACAAGGGTTTTGTGACCCCCGAATCCGTTGAGGAGAGCATCAAACGGAATATTAATGAACACAAAGGACGAGGTGAAGCATGGGAATAGGTTCTTGTCATGGGAATAGAAACCTTGTAAAATGTGGTTCCAAACACACACACACACACACACATAACAAACGGTCACACGCCCTGTGCTGCAGTCACTAAACTATTTGACACACCTTCAATCGAAAGCACCCACGAGGAGCTAATTATTTACCAGAGGATTTGTACTAACAAAGTGAGAAACGGGAAAGAAAAAAAAAGTGAATGACATGAAGTTCAACCTATTTACATCCAATGGGATTCTAATTTGATCTCATCCATTTCTCTCAGTACTCGGCTTACCTCAAAGCCGTGCTTCTCTGACGGCACCCACACCAGCCTCTTAGCCGCCCAGTCGGCCTGGCTGGCGGCGGTGAACGTGGGCTTGGAGGTGGGAGACCCCGGCAGTGGCGCCCCCGACGTAAGGTAGTGGGTGACATCGTTGATGCCTCCCCCCGTTGGCTTGGACATGGCTCGTTCTACAGGCACTACAAAGAACGGGAGACAGAAAAAAACGATTTACAATGGAAAAAGTGAGCCTGTTTGTCGCACGACTTCTGTCTTGGGGGGGGAGGGGGGCCTAAAAATGGAGCAGGGAAGATGAAGGACTGTCGGACAGTGACACTGATGTGATTCTGTTTCAAGAAGTCACACACACACACACGTACTCCATGTGCACCCAAACATAAAGGAAGAGCAGTAGTAGCGCGCAAGTAGCAAGCGGGTCAGCTCGGAGTGGGTCAGGAACGGCCTAATTGAAAGACAGCAAATCAAGGAGAAGAAGAGAAGAAGGCAGACAGCGAGTTTGGTGCGTGGAGAGGAGGAGCGTGGAGGAAGACCGAGATCCGTCAATCGACTGAGGAAACTGACATGACAGTGAGAGGGGGAGGGATGGGAGGCAAGAAAAAGTGTATTGAGAGTAGTGAGGGTAGAGGAGGAGATGGACTGAGTCTATAGCGAAATGAATGAACATGAACACTTTGAGGCAAAGTAATTTTGGGCTATACAAAATAAAGTGAAAAAAAAAAAAGAATTGTAACATAAATACAACCTTCGATCAGGGCGGGTGTTTCTAGATTTGCTCCGGCATCTACAAAAAGTACTTTTTGTACTTGTCGTACAATGTACAACGATGTCGTAGGGTTGGACACAGGGGCTTTCACAAAATATCTTTTACAAAAGTCTAGAATCTCAAATCACAATATCCAAATAATATGAGGCCAACGTTATTGAAGCCAACAGTGTAATTAAGGGATTACAATTACACTACTACTTTTCTAAGAGACCAGAAACGCGGTTATTACGGATACGTCCATCCGACTTCACTGAATGCGATGACCCGATTTGCATTCAACAACGAAATTACACGTAAAAAACGAACCCTTTACGCAGCCCCACTGGAACTCTGCGGCTTCACTGTTGTCGCTGGGTAGATTTGCTGTTTGATCCGCTGGCATGGTGATGTGTCGATATCAAAATAATGTGTCACAACAATCATCCTCATGATTGGGGCTTTATGGAGGAATGATTCAACACCACATCCTCTTGTCATCGTCTATGAGCCATGTATTGTGTTGAATCCTAGGCGTCTCCACGCCTCTGCAGGTATGTCATCGGGCTTGATTCCTGTGTCTCAGTGTCAGTTTTTTCCACTCTGTCTGTTCACGACAGAACCCTGCCTTTAACCATACCTGTTACTCCGATGCGGCTCCGGGTGTGGATACGGGTTGACAAAAGAGCCGTCGCCTCCACCCAGCTACCAAGTATGGCAAACATCTGCCCCCCCCTCCCGATTAACACCTTTCAATACTTTGCGAGGGGCGCAACTCTCTTGTCTGTGGAACTGAATCCCAGGCCCGTTTGGTTGGGGGACTATTTTCACACGCGCACGCACGCGCACACGTTGTCGCAGTACAGCCTGACCAGCAAACTCGTCCTGCAGCAGCTGGAGTTGCCAAAAGCCTGACTGCTGTTCTCCATAGCAACAGGAAGCAACAGCCCACAGACAACACCTCCCGAGTGTGATCCGAGGTCATTCACAGCAGGGGGTCTCGTGGGGTGTGTGTGTGTGTGTGTGTGTGTGTGTGTGTGTGTGTGTGTGTGTGTCAAAACAACCGGAGGAGCAGGAGACGCCTTTTTTTTCTCCCCTTTCTCTTCAGCTTCGCCTCGGTGCCGGTGTGGTGTCATCGGCGCACTGTAGCTGACAGTGAGGAGAGGTGACATTACTGAGCCACCGGCTATGATGGTCGTTACAGCTGCGCCGTGACCCCTGTAAACTACACGCGTCTCCTGACGGAGGCAACCACACCTCGAACATAACAGACGTGAACAATCACGAGCCCCCGCCTTTAATTGACTCTTAACAACCGCATACATGCGGGACTCGCGTAACCAAAGGCATTTACACTGAATATATATATTTTTTAATATTTATATTTAAGTATGATTTATACATGACACAAAGATCACAGTCGGCCATTACCTATTACATTTAAAGGGTCGAACAACCATCTGCTACGGCTACTAGGTGGACACCGTTTTCTTTGGCCGGACTTCAGGTCACCTCGATGTAAGCCTCTCTAGGAACATGAAGACCAGACCGATGTGAACGTCTCTGGTCCTTCTCTGGTCTTTTTAGGCGTAATGTCACCGCATGTAGCTCGACCAACCTAGCGATGTTAGCCAGCTCCACTGAAATATCACACGTTCGGGATATTACGCCGGCTATTTACGCGTTGGGTTGGATTAAAAGGCAATTAAATCCCTCACCTTCGTGTTCCGCTGTGGGTCTTGGATACGGTGGTGATGCGAGGAGAACCGGGTTCAGGGTGTTTCGTGGGTATTTTCCTGCCTGATAGGTGTGTAGCCTACCGCATATGCGGCTTTTATCATTGCAACCGCTCTCTCCGCGGAGCCGCACTCACACTTCTCGGTGAGAATAAAACAGACGGCAGTGAGGGCAAGACGACGGCTTCAGTCTAGAACACGACTTCCTGCTAGTAGACCAACCAGGTGCGAGGAGACGGCGTCTGGTTCCGCCTCTGGGAGGAGTGTATCCAATCAAAAGCTACAACTGAGCGGTAGACCCGCCTCATGAATGCGACGGGAGCGTTCCGCCCCATTACTGGCATGACGAGCGAGCGGTGACGAATGGTGTTAACGGTCGCCCGGGAACGTCGTCCGTTAGCCAACGCCGAGGGTCGAGAGGCGGGGCTAAGCGTGACTGACGCGTCAAGAGGCCAACCGGAGCGCGGCAGCAGGTGCCAGTGCGGCACCCTCGCGCTACGGCAGAGAGATTTACGCGCTCTTTGTTTATTAGTCAGTGGTGGCGAGCGTCCGCAGACACAGATCTGGGATCGGATTTGTTCGAATCCCCAATGAAACAGAAGCGACGGTCTGCTTGGAAAGATCTGATCCCAGGCGCGTGATTCAGATCACCAAAATCCGAATGAACCCGTGGTGCCAGGGTTCCAGGCTTTTAGTAAATATTTACGCCAATATGAAACACAATCGCGTCATAGCTTCATCTGCTGAAGTATTCTATATCAGCCGTGATTCTAAGCGTTCTCTGCTATTTTTCTTGGGCAACTCATATTCAAAATAACCATTTTCACATAATGGCACAATAAAGGCTAGATTATTATACATACTTTGGCATTAGCAGGTGTTTATTCCTGATTTATCAACAGTAATGGAGTTTTGCAAAAGCTTATTTTGACACAAAATATATCACACACACTGTTTAGGTTCACGCTGTATTCTTTGACATTAAGGGCCATCGTGGTTATATATAGTTGTGGACATACATAGGGAATAAAAAAGTTTCTTTTGTAGCAAAACAAGACTTGGATGTTTGGTTGGTGTCTGTAAGAGTCTCATATTTGGCAGCAAGAAAATGAGAGAGTTAGGTAATTATAAATGTAATCTGCATTATTTTGTTCTTATACAACATTTTTTTATCAAGAAAAAATAGATCACGTCAATGTAAATGCAAGGGGATGAGTAAATTACACTTTTCATATGGAAGACATTTTGAAAATGCTCGTCGTAGTCGTCCCCCGCAAGCTACTGTACAAAAAAAAGAAAGAAAAACAGACCAATGATTGCAATATAATTACTGTGTTTTATTTGCTCTACAACACAGTTCAGTTTCTTTTAAAAGATCTCCGTGTTTGAGGCAGTTCTGAAATTACATTTCAGAGTAAGAGGGTTCATCTTTCTCCTTAGAAGTTTAACATAAAATAGAAAGGTAGTAACAGCTTATGTGTAGGGTTACAATGTATTTTACACAATGTTAATTACAAATACATATGATTTAAAAAAAGTGTCCACTGCAAGTAGAGAGTCCTAGATAACCACTGAAATGACCAAATAGTCCATCTGTCTATTTGTTTCTGGGGAGTTTAAAAAGCCGATAGTTAAAGTGATAGTCCAGAACGTTCAAGTTACAAATGGAGGGAGGGTGAATGACATGATCCACCATGCAGCCTATGAATAGAACATGGAAGCCAGAGAGGAGAAGGGTACGGGAGAATGCAAACATAGAACAGTATTAACACTAATTGTAAAAGATAATATGTTAATACCTCACGCCTCAAGCTTATCACAAAAAACTCTCAATAACTGAAGTGAAACACTGCAACTGATGCTTTAAAGTTAGCGTGTGCTGATCCAGCAACACCACTGTGCTGTTCTAGAGCTTCCTTTGTGATATTAGTCTCCATTTTTAAGTGCAAAGTACAAACAATTGGTTCGCAAGATGTGCGTTGGATAGGCTGATTATTGGTCAATACTTCACAATGTCATGCTGCACCCCTGAAACTCACTTGTATTTACCAATACTTTCTATAATTGAACACTTAAATACTCAAATGGCATAATTGACTGCAAATAAATACAGGATCCAAACAAACATTCCAAGTACTTTGTAATAAAACTACAAAGTGCCACTAATACAGTCTACAATATAATACAATCCATGTTCATATTGAGACTATTCAGCTACTGAGCAGATTCACAGCATCAATATTTTTCTCCATAGAACAACATCCTGCAAATGTTAAAGCATTTGAAAACAAACTCCCTTGCATAAGTAGCATTATACAAATTCACAATAAAAATAAGCTTTAAGCACATTTCAAATGTGAAAGTAACTGCTGCAGATGAAGGGCCAGCAGCAGACCATCTGGGTTGTTATGAAGGCACCACTCGTTACACCGTTCTCACAATTTGTGAGAGAAACAAACCGTTACACATTAGAATTAGATTAGGCTTTATGGGCACAAAAATACAGAATCATTTATATGAACTGGGTGTGGTTGCCAGTTCAATCCTCGTCCGTCTGCACGGATGTTCGACAAACGTTTAATTTGTCAGAAATGGTGACACGGCAAGCCATCATCACAACATCTCTCCCACTCCAGTTATGTTCAGGTGAGTTTGGGCCTCCAGTGCATTAACAGTGAGTCCCCGAGAGCGGACCCTCATTCAGTCCGAGTCGATGACAAGGTCACTCGCAAAGTACTACAATCCAACAGCAAACGAGCAGCACAATACTATGTGATAGATTTAAAAACACCGGACATTATAAGACACTGTAGATCACAGTGCAAGAAAGAATGTAAAGGAATTAGCGTATCTGGACACAGCTATCATTATCTGTCATTGTGTATCACTGCAGTAGTTTGCTGCAATTTAACTCGACAGGTTGGATTAAACTAAGCAAATGTTACGATCAGTGAACATTTTTTGAATCACACAGAAAATAAATGAATTAAAAAAAGCCCCCAAAAACAACATTCAATGAACAACATGGAAAAGAAACTGCTCAAAATTGCTGCTGGTTTTTAGCAGTTTCTCCACGTTACTGCTCTGCTTTGGCTCTTCAAGAAGATTCAACTTCATTACCAACAGCCTCCACCAAGCTCAAACGTTCCCCAAATGTTCCCTATCCATACTTACCATGCGGAAAAATAAAAACATTCCAATTTTAAGTCGGCATCATAGAGGAATACATCCCTGAATTGTACCTCACAAAGTGCATTACCCTGGCTTCATCCAGAAGCCACCTCATATAGAGGTAAAAAAGTGCCTGCTCAGGCAGTTGCGTGTTCGAGCCACCGTGGGGGGCTGTTGTTTATTCTGCCAGTCAGGACTTAGAGCCGGATGAGTGTGTTGTGGTAGCGATGGGCCAGAAGTGAGACGTCAGCAGAGAGTTTTCAATGATCTTGAAAGATTGCCAGGACCAATCAGACAACACTAGACAGTGGAGTAACCCTTCACCAGAAAGAAAGACTGACCCAAAATAAGTCACTTTCCATACATCTATTGGTGCAATCTGCATAGAGATGCTCATCTAAATCTTTCCTCATGACTGGCTCTGATTCTGGACTTTCTTTCCTGTCTTATTGCTATTAACAATACTGCGTCCTATCTTTTATCTCGACACTGGCCGTATCTACTTAAATCAGGTGTCACTTGGTCTGCCCATTCATATCCCTTTCTCCTTTGCCTGTTCTTCCTCTAGAACTCCTCTCTTTTAACCTTGAGGCTCCCATTCCACAGGTTCAGTTGTAGTGGAGTTGCTCTGCCAGGGATTGCCTTCGGGTCGTTGTGGTGGGACGCTCGGGATCTTTGCCAGGCTCATCATCGGGGGAGACGAGCTGCAGAGCGACCTCGTTCTCATAGCAGAATGACGAGCGTGAGCTTTGAATGTACTTCTGCTCGGCGAGCTCTTTAGCACTGCACGAGGGTGTGTTTGGGATTTCATATGTCCGATGGAAGAACGAGTAGTCCACCTGAAAAAAGTGAAGTGAGACTTTACGATACACATCTTTATAAGATGAGAGCCTGTAGCCATGCTTTGAGATGAAGACCAGCATCAACATTCTCACAGTAGCAACGCCAACATGCTGATGTTTGGCAGATTATTGTTAACCATGTTCAGTCTTACAAAAGCATCTTAGCATTCCATTTTTTATTTGCTAACTAAACAAAAGTACAAATAAGGCTGATGATAATATCGTTTTGCAGGTGTTTGGTTATTAACTAAACTACTGGACAAAAACGTGAACCTATTAATGGCGCCAGATGACAACTGACAACCAGGATCACCAGAGTCATTGGCATACATTGTCTGGGGACCATGAATGTCTGTCGAGCCGTTTGAGCATTGTAATATTTCAATTTGGCTCAAATGGGTTGTGGACTAAAAAAACAACAATGTTATCCCCAGAGCTCAACTTTACCATAGCTTAAAAGGCTGTACACATCTCCATCCTTCCTTTCTGACCTGGTAGCAGTCTTTCTTCTCAAAGAGCACTGGTTCGAATCTGTGTCCCCAGAGTATTTCAGAAGCCAGATAGGAGCTTCGGCACTGCGTGGTCATGGCGGTGGCCTCCACCATACCCTCGAGTATAACCACCACCTCCAATTCAGAGTCGATCTCCAGGGTTTTTCGGTCAATCTCAAAGAAGGGGGACTCGTCGTTGATCTCATGGACAATCGTCACTGGCGAGACCAAGAAGATGCGGTCGGTGCCAGTGTCAAAACCCACGTTGATGTCCATATTATCCAATGGGAGGAACTCTCCCTCTTCTGTCACCCTTGGCTAAAGTTGGCAATGGAAAGTAAAATGAAGTCACTTTTTAATATATCGAACATTTCCCATCAGATGTTATGATGTTGCAGAAATGGATTATAGACTAATCTTAGACTAGCCAAAGGTCTGCAGAACATGATTAAGTAAATGCAACACACTGGTATAGATAAGAGGACAGTCACCTTGATTATTGTAAATAAAAACAGCATTTCCTAAATTAATCTTTAGAAATCAAATGTATCACCCAGATCCAAGAGCTTAACATTTTGTTATTATATTCATATGAATTTGACTATGCAAGATTTAAGTCATACCACCCATGCGTAGGCTTATCACTCACCCAGCCCTTACTATGGAACAATATCCAGTCCCAGCATTTAGAATTGTATTTGTTTGATCCTAGTAAACTTAATCCCATCTGCCCCGTCTGAACTTTGATATGGTCATGCTATTATGGGAGATCAAATTGTCGCTGTAGACCCAATTTTCCTAAAATATTGACCCTTGGAAGAACTCAGCGGACACAGATGTATACACACATAGCATTGTTGACAACAAACCATTGATATTGATAGGAAACATGTTTAACACTACCCACACAAGGCCAGTAAGACAGGGAAACATAAGCATACACACAGTGCAATCACCCAAACCACATAAAGGAAAATGAGATGATGAAGGACAATGGTTCTCAGTTAAAGAACCGGGGGCAAGTTAATCCACGGTAAATCTTTCTGGCCCCTGAGGGGAAATAAAACAAGCTCTCATTAACTGCGGCCCTCAGAATACAGGCCAGATGGTCTCAGCATGCTCTTTCTCTCAACTGCAACCCATTTTCCGATAGAATCATTCTGTTTTAGCATCTCTTTGAGCCTTTTCTCAAAAACAGAACGGGTTTTCTCCTTTATCGTGGACAAACGTTCTGACCTAATTTTTTTCTCATCGTGGTCATCATCCATCTCCCCCCACTTACCTTCAGTAGTTGTGCTCGAACATGTGCCTCTACCAGGTGGCTCTTGCGTAGGTTTCCGACCCTCCACATCATGCACAGTTTCCCGTCCCTCAGCGCCACCACAGCCGTGTCAGAGAAGATCAGGGTCTCGTTGCGCTTCTTGGGCTTAGCAATCTTTGCCATGACCGCCCCGATGATGAAGGCGTCAATAATGCAGCCCACAATGCACTGCAAAACGACCGCCATCACCGCCAGGGGACATTCTTCGGTCACGCTCCTAAATCCATAGCCGATGGATGTCTGCGTCTCCAAGGAGAATAGAAAGGCCGCCATGAAGCTGTTCACCTGCAGGAAGCACGGCTCCTCAACCACTTCCTCTCCACCGGCCTCTCCTCCAGGCCCGGCCTCTCCTGATCCCGGAGAAGAACCAGAGCTGGGGCTAAGCCGAATGGAGAGGTCCCCATGCACAATGGCAATCAGCCAGAAGGCAAATCCAAAGAGCAGCCAGGAGAGAAGGAAGGAGAGGGTGAAGATGATCAGCATCCAGCGCCAGCGGATGTCCACACAGGTGGTGAAGAGATCGCTAAGGTAGCGTTGGCCCCTCTCGCTCATGTTGACGAAGGTGACGTTGCAGCGTCCGTCCTTGCCAACAAAGCGTTGTCGGGGCCGGCGGCTTGAGCGCCTGGGTCGCCGGCGTTTGATAGTGGAAGGGGAAGAGAGCGAATCCTGGTCTGGGGATGATCGGCCTTTCCCTCTTCCTCCTACACTACTCCCTCTTACACTCCTTAGCCCGGAGCACATTCCTCCAGCTCTCACCCCGCCTTCTCCTGCTTCTCCCCCAACTCCAATGGTACTCTGCCTCCGTGCATTGTTGGTCTGAAGAGGTAGAGTTTTTCCGTTCGGGGCATGAGTAGGCGAGGGACTGGTTGGGGTCTCTGTACCCGTTGGACTCCCCCCTGCCCGGGCCGTGTCTGCAGCACTCTGTGCCAGCCTCATGATCTCCTCTTCCTCCACTGGCCCATCGACCACAGCACTGAAGCGGCGTTTCACACGTGCCGCTCCCATCATAAAATACAATGTCTGCTTTTGCTTACGGTACACTGTATTCCTCAGTGCGCCTTGAGTTGATTGGTGTGGAAACCAAGCAGCTTAGTTAGTTAACTCAGTTTGTGATGCCAACAACACAGGAAGTCTTTCAGTCCTTGTTAACAAAGAGATAACTGTAAGTCCATCACCATGGCCAAGGGTAACCAGAGGATAATTTCCTCACAGGCCGCTGATCAGTCACTTATTTTCCACACTTTCAACAATAGTTCCCAGTAGATTATCTTTTCAGTGATAGTTCGCTCAGCCAATAAAGTGGGCTTTCTTCAAGTAGCTCCACTGGGTGCATACATTAAACAATGTCCTTAAGTTATTCTCACTGAGGAAGTTGAGCTGAAAAGAATGATGTCAGCAGCAGGAGTCCATTTCTGTGACTCCAAGTTTGGAAAAATGATTTCGACAAGGAGTAGTCTGACAACAGACGACATGGAAGCATGCAATGTTGGTTGTGTTTAGTTCAAAACTATCAAAGGGAAGACTTGAGCATGGATCTATAGATACAAACTATAAACTGATAATGCAATGGAGAAGAAGGACACATGTAAAGGATATACAGCTTGTTAACGGATATCTACTATAATATAACGACAAGATGCATCCAAGACAGACAAATGCTCAAAATTAACTTGAGGACGATATGATAAATCATTTCCAACATGCACTAAAAAAAAACAAAAAACATGCAAATTCTTACGCTCAAAGTTCTTTCCAGTTTCACAACCCCTTGGTACGGACATGAAGAAACACAGAAAACAGTTCTTTCAGAACATCACGCCTGCCGTCGTCATTGCTCATGAAAAATTCACTGCCAATATTGGTTGAGTTGCAGTGGTCACCTTTGCCCCAAAAGAGGGTCCCAACTGAAAGAATGTTTTGTTTGCCATTTCCTGTTGCATCATGCCAATGCCTCAACAATTTGCCATTTCTTTTTTAAGGGTCTGCATATCTGTTTGATGACCATCGTCAAATTTATTGTAGGCTTGTTTTAGTAAGTGACCAATATTGACCTGAACTACATGGCTGTTAGCAGTAGCCCGCAACAGTTCCTCAGACCAGACATACCTTGTTACAGTTCAGCATTACGGCTGACAAATCACCTGCCTGACAAAAGTAAGCAGGGAGGAAAAGAAAAGACAAGAGTTTATTTGATCTCCAACAATACTTGAAGCTTTTAGCTTTAGGTGGAAGATGTATATGTATATATGAAAAAACAAAAATGCACAGGTCACCTGAGAACGTTTTCTATATTTTTCTGGAGGTCCGTCTCCAATGCAGATACATCAGGTTTATGCCACAGAAGGAGAAGAGCTGAGAAGGTCTCAGAGCTAAAGTGGCTGAGAGTGTAACTCAGTTTGTGGGTTTTAGTTTCTTACTCATCATCTCTGGGTGAATCTGATCCCAAAAGGCTACCTGATCATCAGGGAGTTTACACAAACACAAATGAATAAAGAAGATTATCCTATGCAGAAGCAATTTCAATAACAACTGAGAAGAACTTTAATGTGCACCATAAATACTATCTGAGATATGTGCAAATATAGCCGTGAATAATAATGTATGCCCTTAGAGCTAGTATTTACCTTTCCAAACCATTTCCAGAGACCTTAACTGTTCTGTCAAGTATACAAAGCATCCTCTTTGGAAGAGAAGACAGAAAGAAACCCTCAACCGCTGAACCGCGGGGAGTACAAAGGGAACTGAAGAAACTGACGAGCTACGGCTCTAACTGTACAAATATAGAAGAACCCATTTCATTCAGATAGTAACAGCAGGGCAAGAAACATCTACAACAAATGGAAATGGGGAAAGAGATCCCTCCTGAAGTGCGAAGTGACATAAGGGTTCATCTTCACTTATGTGTTGACCTTTCTTCATGACACAGGTTCAGTCAAACCATCGAGCTTTGTGACAAAAATTAAGGAAAGTATCAGCTGGTCTTTTGATTGTCTTCACACAGATGTTGGTTGCTGGTAGTCCTTTGGTTTAGGACCTTCTTGTTTAACACACTGCAACTCTTAAGAAGACATGAGAACAAAAAAAGAGAATGATAATTAAAGGTAAGTTAAAAAATGACAAACTGTGCTTCAACATATACTTTAGTAATTATCTACTGGTTTGAGTAGGAACAATTCTGAAAATCCTTAAAAGCGTCACATTTGTGTCAAATTAGATGTTAAGTAGGCTGAATATGAAAGCATTCTAAATGGATGGTTATCAAAAACAATATGCAGTGTACCTCTTAGGACTCTTCTGTCGTTCTTGGATTATTTCATTGGTCAAATATATTGAGTTACTCCTTTGGACAGCCTTAATTTGAAGAACCTGTCTCTGTAAAAACCCAGAGTAAAGCGTCACCCAGATGGAGCCCTGTGAACGGAAACATAGAAAAGTCATTAAGTCGTTTTACATTAGTATCTTCTGAAAATCATTTGTGTACCTTTCCAACAAAACAGCTGTTTCTGAATGTGGACTGAACTCCTTTTGGTCCAGGAAACCAAGTGGTACAGGGTGAGTAATCTTTTATAAATAAGCAAAAGTGGAGAAAAGCCAATAGACTGCAAGAATAGGAGGGGATTTTCTTTGGTAAATGTTGAGACTGAGATTTTTAGCTGCGATTAACCGTCACTCTCAGTAGGTCCAGTGTGAAGCGGTAGTATGTCTCGCTGTGGGGACGGTGATGTGCTGTGGATTACAGCTGCTCCCGAGACTTTGCTAATCTCAACGATGGTTTTGCTAATCCTTTGAGGATTTACGTAAGAGACACAATTCCCAAGGAAGGTGGCATCGGTATCTTTACTTTGATTCTTGCTCCTTGCTTTAGCTCTACTTTATCATGATCACAGATACAAGTTCCACTTGTTGGGAGCAGAATCTTAGTGATTTCACACAGGAAGTTTAAGCATAACTCATCAGATCCGTCTTTAAGGAGAAAAGAATGCGTGCTAGTCCAGGATTTAATAGGTTCAACCAGAATGCATCAATATGATGAATTAACTACAACGGCTTGTGTTATGGTGCCAATAGAAGTGATGAAAAATGATCAAGATACGTTTATAGAAATCACAGACGTTGGAACAATATTAGAACTATACCTGAAACAGAGCCATGTAGTATTTTAATGTCCTAATTTCCACGAAATTCAACTGAACCCAGTGTTCAGTTAACGGACGTTGACATTGTTGTGCGGCAGTCTTGACCTTGAGGCCTATGCTGTAGCCTCTGCTGTAGCTGTAGCTCCAACGAACACGCCCTCACGTCTGCTATCTCTGTGATTGGGTTCAAGTGTCGCCGGACAAGTAGGAGGAGGTGACGAGGGAAGTGTGTGTGTGTGAGTGTGTGTGTGTGAGTACAGGCAGTGTGAGAGTACACAAGTCTTGTGCTAGCAGACCTTATCCTAGTGAGGTGACAAATGTCTCAAATAACTTTTCACATAAGAACACGCAGAGGTTCAGACACGGTCAGGGCAGCATCTGATCTGCAGTGCTGCCAGATATGATAACGCCTGAGATATGTGATGCCACCTCAGTTTGCGGGTCAGAGACCCGGCTCTGCAACTGTACTGTAGGAACAGGTCATAGGTTACTCGCTCATCACGCGGCCCAGCGAGATCAATATAACGCCATTTGAGCATGTCTGAAAATATTAGTGAGTTGCAACCTTGAAAACATTCTATTTTATGTTGTGTTGCATTAAACTGGATAATTACAGTAACTGGAGAAAAATACTTAAGTTTCTTATTTAAGTTTGGCAAACATGAGGCATTTTGTATAACCAATTGATCATTATTACTAAATCTCTCAGGTGCAACAAAGGATTGGGGAATAGTTACAGATAACAATTCTATAAAATCTGTTAAAAATCCCTCTGCGCTCTGTGTATATTGTTACGCACGTACAGCACCCCGTGAGGGGAGGGGAACATACATCGCGCTGCCAAGAACCCCAGACGGCCAGAGACCGGGTGTGGGCGCAAGTAATCACACCAACATCGATGGGTTTCGTTTAAACAGGCTAGCACGTGCCAGTTTATTAATAATAATAATAATAATAAACAATAGAGGGAAATGGGAGGACGGCTGAGCTGATCCAAAACAAAGAAATTAGCAAAACCCCACCCCTTACCTGTCCCCACGTCCTACACAAAACACTTATTTACTCTGGCGCTCGAGCAAGGCGCCCTAACCAAAAATACAGGGGGTGGATCGCTCAGATCTAACCTGGTGTGTATAACAGGAGATATCCCTACGGGTGATGTATGCCCAGGGCGTCTTTCCTAACACTCCCAAGTGCTTTCCGTTCTCCCTGGGAAGGACACACGAAATACAAATGATTAACACTTGCAATGCTCCAAAACACTCCACCATGTACAACCAATTTCACATTTCACAAGAGCACCCCAAACACAACCTTACACCCGGCCTGAGAGATGTGGACTGAACAACCAGAAACACATAAATACAGCTGATGGGACGATGCGATTGGAGGATGGGAAAACAGGAACCAGCTGTAGGAGATCACGGGAGGGCGGATGAGTAATGAAGACAATTAGCTCCACCTGAGGAGGGTTATCACACACACAGAACACAGACAAGACCGGGGGTCGTAACAATATAGTAACCCCGAAAGGCCAGAATCATAACTAACTCATTTGGACTCAGAGACACATCTAAATAAATTGAAAGACATCTGCAGCAAAAAAATTGAACCATATATTATGCAGAGTATAAAAGTAAATCGTCCAATATTGAGTCTTCTGGCAGCAGATAATGGTTCCACAGCATTGACTGGATCTATTGGCAAATGGAAGCTAATATGTTTTAGCTGGCTTGAATCAGCAGGGATTCTGTAACATTACCCCCCCAAAATTTACAGCAAATGTCCACATTAATCCACTTTCAATTGTTGTTTGGTAGAGAATTTATTGTGGGTGTCCCACTCTCTCTCTCTCTCTCTATCGGTCTCTCTATCCTTCTATAGCGCCTCCCCTGTCCTCTTTCAATCCAGATTATCTGACCATATTAAGGTGTTATAAAGCCAGATTAGATTTGGACGGAATATGATTGCAGTGTCATTAAAAAAGGACCTGAATGGATAACGTTTTTCATTTTGTCACTATCCTTACCTAGCGTGTCACCTCCCTATTTCCTGTTCAATTGTTTAAAAAACAACATACGTTTAGTAGAAGACACAGTGAACAAATTTTCACAAAATTACATTGCTCTTTTTGGCATATTTCATGCATTATTACATCTGATCTGACAGTTTCCTGATGGGTAGTCTACTTAACACTGGGGACGCAGTGCATAATAAAAAAACTCTCAAAAGTGATACTCTGCTATGCCACAATGCAAACATGGAGAGATCAATACTTGTCATTGATCAGTGGAGGCTAGAAACCAGGACACGGACAGAATCTCTCCATCGGTGTCACATGGCTCTCTGTCTCAGGCCTACTCTCTACGTTGCTTTCAGACTTTATTGTCGTACTAAAATTGAATTAACAAGAATTTTTAATATCACGTTTTATGTGTAGAAAGGAGCTACTTCAACAGCTGTCACAGCTGTGCATGTCAAACAAACACCCCGAAGTGACCTTTAGTAGAAATCCTATCCGATCAATACAGTTCTAGTCAAGTAGTTGATCTGGGGACATCATTTGTACGCTGCAGGAGCCGCAGCACCAATGTACCAACCACTCACATAAATAGATGTACGAGTTCACACATGACCACACATCTGATAATAGGCACAAGTGCTGTGTCATCTTGGCACAAGGCCTTATTCCATCTAATTGAAACTTTTCTGCTGCCGTCCCTCCGTCAGCTGCAGTAATCCAGGTCATTGTGTGATGTTAATCCTGGGAGTTAAGATGATGGGGCACCCTGGTCCTGTGGCTAAATAACCTCCAGGTGCCCATAGTATTACCCAACTAATTAAGCAAAGAAATAACCAGAACCATGTATATTTAAATAGCTACAAATAATGATTAAATCAAACTGACTATTTGAAGCGATCTCCATTTAGACATCTGGGCCTCTGTGTCATTGATTTTGGCTAAGTTTCTTTTTTTTCAACTGTCACTCTAATGTGATGTGATTATACTTTAGGAAGTACTACAATGAATTCTTGAGTGCATTTACTCGCTCACTGCCTTGAGTCCTCTGCATTGGTAAACTACCTTTTTTTGAATTAGCGTTACTTCAAAACGATATCAACGTTAATAACGAAAACCATTAAAGTTTTACCAAATGGAACCATGAGCACCCATTGCACTTTTGTCCGTCCCCTACAATTTAAATGTATGTAGGCCTACATGACCAAAACTGCGATAGAAATCAAAATCACATGACAATTGTAATGTATTTGTATCTCATTGTACACATTTTCAAACTGTTTTTCTTTCAGTTCACCCAGTCTTCTCTGTCAGTGCATATATGCAAATATACGGTGGAACAGAGGAAAACCACGTCACTGACTCCAGTAAACAAAATGAAATTCACTAGTTAGCGACAAAATAGCAGACCAAAATGTTTCCAACTGCATCATCCCTGTCAGACACTTTTCAGAATAAAATGACGACTAGTTCACACTTTCAAAATGTCCAACACACATACTGTCGATGAAATAATAAAAAAAACAATTTACAATGTTACAACTTCCTGCGCACATATACATTTAGTCGGCACTCACCGTGGCACTTCCCCTCCCCGCCGGGTGACGACGTCCGTTGACTCTCAGTCGCTTCTCTAACGGAGGTACTGGTGGAAAATACGGGGGAAAAAATAAACGATGCGTTAGAAAAAGCGGGCGCGACGTGTCCGTCGCTCTCGGTTGCGGCTGGCGGCTGGCAGCTGTCCGTGAGCCCTCCGGTGGCGGATGAGCGCCCGCACGTTCCCACGCTCTGTGTCCCCAATGGAAGGCACGCGCTCCTCGGGACCGCCGCGGTGTGACCTTGTGACAACGTCCCGTCTGGTTCATCAAGGTTAAATTACAGTTTAGGTCATTAGTGTGATGCACATGCCTCATTTATCCCGGATAGATATACAGATTATTTTCTTTGGAAAATTTGGAAAATTTTAATTCCAGTAAAAATCTCACACGGAATCAAAGTTGTTGCACAGATAGTTAACTAAGTACAGTAATATAATTTGAAACTTAAACCAAAGAAGAAGAAAAAAAAACGATAATGTGATATCTAGTTTATTATTGAGTTTAGTGTAACTGTCTTGGGATTACATTCCCTTCTCTGGAATAAAATGAATTATTCTACTCTTCTAACCTCTAGCTTGTGTATACACCTTTAAATGTTGTGCTAACAGTTATTGACTTGTCATCGGAGATTACTGTACTATAATACAAAAAATGAATATGACGGTTATTAAACTGCAGTAAAAATGCTTTCATTTGTGTTGATAAATACTGATGGTAATATTTTATGACATTATTCAGGGTTTGGGCAATATATGGCAATATAAAATTATTTGAACGTTAATGTAAATTTGAAGGGCACAGAAAGAGAAAGGGAAGTCTGTGAGAGAGCGAGACAGAGCGACAATGGGTGTTTACCAATACTTAATCTGATTTAATCTCTGTCAAAGAGCCCAAGAAGTCACCTATGACGTCATGAGCTCTGTCATTCTATGAAAACAAACGAAACGATTTGTTCTAAAAGATGAAGCTGCTCAAAAAAAGCGACCTAATGCAGCACCCACAACATTCAGCCCAAAAACATACACATGTAAACATTAACGGTATAAAAATAAAATATACGGTCACCACAAATCAATGTAGTAGACGATCTATATCTGCACTTTGTTGTTTTTAATTGCACCAGTGAAAACATAAATTGACCCGATGGAAAACTGAACGTGAAGAGGTGGCACAGAGAAAGTTAGGTGGGGAGGGCACAATCATGTCAGAGGTTTTATAATGAAAGAATCACCCAAATGCTATGGACAGAGACTATGAGAAGAGGAGAAATGATACGTAATCAATCACTCTGTTTCATTACATCTGATGAGATCAGGTGAGGGACCAACTGCATCTACAAACGCTTTCCTGGTTAGTTGATTTTTTTCTGCATGGTTGCTGATTGCCCTGCATGGTGGACTGAGGGTTGAAACCATAAAACACAATTTCCCTTCAAGGTTCCCTTGTTGCATGTTTAAACTAGATCTCAAAGAAGTTGCATTGGCGTTAACATCAAAGTTACTTTGTCGTTAAGGTTTACACCATTATCGTCCATCAGTCTCTCTCTCTGCTCATCTTTGTACAATACATTTCTAAAAAAAAGTGGTATGAAAATATATTTTTAAATCCGTTTATATGTACTTGTTTGATATAAATAAAGTTTGACTTGTTTTGATCGTGGTTAACCATTGCAGCCTAAATAAACATATGTCAGTCTGGGGAAAACGTGTCTTTTTACTTGTTTGAGTCCCTGCTGAAGCGTTGCATATTAAAGCCACCAGAGGGCAGATAGACACTATTTTGGCAACCTTGTGCTCTGCAGTTAAACATCCTTAGTGAAGTGACTTTTCCACGTTTCCACACTGGTGATTTGCTTGTCGTAGTGCAGGTGGGCCAGGCGCTACACACCTGGTCTCTGAGGGCCTTTAGTTACAAGCAGGGATTTAAAATCAGCAATAAAGGGGAACGACTTCACACCCTGGGGTGTTTTACGACTTCAAAGATGCGATATGACAAGAGAGAAAAAATAGGTGTTATAGAATTGCAGACCAGACTATTGAAAGTAAAATTGTGTGTGTGAATTTGGAATGCGAAACACTGAACAAATGAATTTAGCATCAACGATGTCGAAGTGGTCTTTTTTTATTTGTCCATTTTATTATATGGTTTCTACATCTATTCTTAATTGATTACGGGAAGGGCATTACCAAACTCTTCTGCTAGGAGAGAAGAGAGTCCATTCCTCTGCTGCCTACAGTGATGACGCTCCATGTGGTGCTGATGGGATTTTTTTCGCAGACGCAGAAGCAAAGTCAGGCTCGGAGTCTTGAAACAGGTTCCAGATTTTGTCATGGTCACACGAGGCCCAAACGTAATGCTCTGTGATTTCAGGGCGACGCGCGTGTTGGTTTAATGTGTGGGGTCGGCCCACTGCAGACTTACTTCAGGGGCCGACACGGAAGAAGAATGACTCCCCCCCACCTACCCCCTCCCCTTCAGACCAGGCATAGGAAGAATGCTGCTGAATCGGTTCAGCTAAAGGCCAGTTGACTCAAATCAAGATCGGTTGTCGTTCAAGAGCAGCATGTAACACTTTATCATGGATTAATCTGCTTAGTATTTCCTTGATTAATTATCTAATCTAAACGCGCATCACAAATTCCCAGAGCCCATGTTGACGTCTGTGAACATCCGGTGCCGTCCCACCAGCAATCCAAAGATATTCATCTTCATCTAAAATGATGATGCCAGAAAACATTAAAGTTTAAGGAGCTGTAAATTTGATTATGCTGTTATAACTAACATCATTTTTCTACTGGCAATCCTTTCAGATCTGCTAATTTCTACTAAAAACACATTTTACAGATTGTATTTAAGAGGCAGATTGAGGCATAAAGTGTGTATTTACTTTAATCAAGACATTGAAGAAAAGGTCATGAGGGATGACTTAAGGTGAAGCTCGGGGTACCGACACAGACTCTCGGCTTGGAGGAGAGGGGGTGGGAGGGTGGGAGGGGTTGAGGGGGCAATAACTCATCACAAGTTGCGAATCAGCCTTGTCCAACAACCATATGTCACAAACAAGAAAATGTCCGCCCATTTAATCAAGACAGCAATGCTGAGGACAAAATGGATAAGCTAATTAGCTAAATGAATGAAGAAAGCAAGGACGGCCAGCAGAAGGTTAGGGAGCTGTTAGTGTTTACGCGCCGGGGCGTTTGTCAAACTGTGACTACCCATTGATTGGACGTGTTACAGCCCCTTCATTTGGGTGGGCTGCATAAACAGATGGAGATAAACAGAATAATAGAGGCTGTTTTTTCAAAGGAGTGCTGGTGTGATCTCAGGCTCCATTATGTTTTTACGTGCTCAACCTCTCGTGAACTCCCAGTGGCAACAAAGACACCACAGGGACGGTTTTGGTCTCACGACATCCTGAAACTCGAGTTGCAGAACCCCAGGATACACGACGTGGCAGAAAACCGTTCTGTGTGACAAGCACACAATTAGTGTAATGAAATGTCAGGTAGGAAAGACTCTGGTTTAATCCATTCACCCTCATGTTCTGTAATGATACCGCAGCCGCTGCTATGCATCAACCTAAATCAATTAATGGATTTGCTGATTAACAACAACAACAACGACAACAACAAATCGGCCACAACTTCAATCACGGATTATGTCATTTTCCAAGCCGATACTAAACATCCCCTCGTTTCAGTTTGTTAAACACTTCAGTTCTTTGTGTTTTATTGGTTGAACAAAGCCAAAAGAAAATGGGAATCAATATTTCTTTAAATATTCTTACATGTAATAATGAATAAGTTACATTTGAAGATTAATTCATTACTGAAATAACAGTTTACACATGGGCAAAGAACTAAACACTGGCCGCCTGCACATATTAATAACAGTCATTGCAGCATATGAAAAAAGCTTGAGTCAGTTGTTATTTAATCCAATTTGATGACTTTAAATGCTTGATTACAAGAAATAATCATTAAAAACCTAGAACGGCAGAAAGATATTGAATTCATTAATTTGATATAACATTTCTCTTAAAATTGTAAGAGAGTTGATCATGTTGAAATGGATAGTCAATCATTTATAATTAACACGGGAAATGAGAATGAGTCATTTTTCTATACACCTTCATCTTTTCATAATATATTTGCATATGGATGCAGGAATATTACGCAGGTTACAGGTCAAAAGCGCTGGAACAAAGCCCATAGCTCAGGTAAATGTAATTAGAAATTAAATAAAGTGTCTGTGCAGATTGAGATTGTTGTGGACTGACAAAGTCAAATAAACAGCGTCTCCTTCCCCCCTGTCCTTTCCTTTCTACGTGTTTGCAGGTTGAAGTTGAGCAATTTCTTTTCTCAAACGTCAAACTTCCCAATGTTTGTAGCTCAAATCTCCGTGTCCATTTCAGCCTGATGGATAGTTTTACCTGTCCGTGCTCTTGTATGAGGGAGCCTGGGCTTCTCGTGCCTTCATGTCCCCCCCACCCCTTCTATTTTGGCATGCCTGTGCCAGGTATTTGTTCAAATTCCTCACACCCCGTGGGGATAGCTATGCCCCCCCACAACCCCCCCCGTCCTTCTCTCATCTTTACAGCCTGTCTCTGTCTATCTTATGTACGCCAGCACATGTATGCAGCAGCCAGCGTGGACTCCCCACAGCCAGCATCGGCCTCACAGCCTACACATTTTACCGGCTATAGTCACAACTAAATCATTTCCAGGTTGTTCGGCCTCTTAGAGCTGGCAAACCACAGCTGTGGTCCTCCGAAGTTGCCGGCGGCCAAAAACAACCCGCTGGATAACAGGCGACCGTGAGTTGCTTTTGATAACTGCTGAAAGACCTGTTTATTCTGTGATGTCGTCAGGCCACTTATTGAATCGACCAGTTAAACTTTTCTCTGACATGGAAAAATGTTGATGCAGGCAAGTATACCGGATAATTAATTTCCTCTATAATTTAAAACACCAAATCATCACATAAGTCACAGGAGGGGGTTCGAGGCGCCTTGTGGTTGAACACGGTGTGATGAGCTGATGTGTTATGGACATTGGGTCAGAGTTGAGGTGCATAACTTATTACAGTGCGTCATGAAATGACACTGAATGATACGCTGGCTCGGTACGTTTGACTCTATGCCATTCCCACACAGAGTCAAAACTCTGCAGGGTCAAAATCAATTTTAGAACAAAACTATGCAGCTTTTTACTTACATTTTTTAAGCATCAAGCAAAAAACGGGTTCAATTTGCAAACAGAGCTGTGCCAAAGACAAGCTTTTTATTGACTCCTTTAACCGCTAATCCAATATATACCTTTCCTGCATGTCATTTCTTCTCTGTTTATTGAAGAAGTAGATTAAAGAAAAACAATCCAGAGTCCAAAAGGGAACCACAGATCCGATGCCATAATACGGGGATCATTTGTAGCGCCTCTCAGGGTCATGGTGATGTCATGGCCGATGCAGCATTTTGTTTTTAGTCTCTCCACATTGTAACAACCATATTGTCTGTATTGATGAGATATATGTCAATCACAAAGATAGGAAGACCTTATTTAAATATGTATTTTATAGTTCATATTTTTCATGACATTCTTTAGTCAGATCCATCATTAAATTGGCAGCTTTTAAAACCTAAAGTAGTGGCCAAATCTGTCACTTACAAAACATCAGATTAAATGCCAAAACATGGTGTTATGATACCATTTATGGTCCGAATCCTGACTTTCTTGGAAAGTATACTTGCAACTTGTTCAATGTGTGATTATATCTGGCTCAAAGTTGTCAAAACCAGTAGTCATCAAACGTACTGTACATCCCCCCAGACGTAGCCATAAATACAATAATTTAAAAACGTACACTATTTCAAATTCTTACTCAGCAGCTGCGGGCGGAACAGTGTTCGTGATTTAAACTAAGTGAATGATGTTTTGACTGTAATTACTATTCAGTGAACGCTCTTTAATGTTTGTCTCCAATTGTCTATTACTTTCATGACAAGTAGATTAAAACCACAAACCCCATTTGAGAAGGTCAAAGAGATTCTTCCCGGTAGACGTTTTTTTGGCCAGTGACATTTATGATTAGGAAGGACACTACAATCTATTATGTTGCCGTTATGTTCCTAGAACTCCGATCCAGGCCAACAAATCTTCATATTAATATTCAGTATGCGGGATAACCCCCCCCGGCAGCATCCTATCCCTCCCCCTCTCCCGTCACACGCGCGCTCCTCTCCCCTTGACTCAGACGCATCAGGCTGCAGGGAGCAGGACACAGCAGAGAAGTTTGGGGGCAGATTATCGCCACAGATACAATTTTGGGAGACATCATTCTAATCTGGCGTCTGAAGTCTTCAGACGTATTTTTAAAATGGGAACGGAGTTTTTTCACCAAACTAATCCATGGAATAATATTATTCCAGTGCCTGGGATTAGACCGTTTTGAGGTAGGCCTAATTAACACAAACATGTGCCGAGTTATTCTCTGATTAATTAGCATCAGATCAATATAGATAATGTGTGGATTATTGTCCTGAAGGCAGATTTAACCGTTTTATTAAATGCAGCAAATTTAAATGTTCCCTGTCAATATTTTAGGTGCTTTATTTATTTATTGCCAACAGCGCGCCATCGACAAAGCGAAGTTGCAGGTCAGGGAATTGTGCAGCGTTGCGGTGCTAAAGGCCTCGTTTTATTGAGACACGTTTTAAACTAGAATGAATTCATACATTTGCTTTCAAAAGATTCCATGCAGTTCGGTGGAAATGTGTCCAAAGGTCCCGTCAGAAACAGGCGGTGACACGGCGGTTATTTCCAGGCAGCGGGTGAAGGTTTGGAGGCGCGCGGCACCGCGGGGGTTTGACTGCTGCTCGAACACAGTTCAACAGGAGCTCTTAACCCCCCGAAGCAGCCAGCAGGGTCACCATGTGTCCGACAGGCCGTGGCAGCTCTGATGTCTCTGTAGATTGTATTTCGTTGGGGAAACGAATTGATCTTGGTTTTTAAAATAAAAAACAGTGGCGCTGTTACTCTTGTCTCACGACTGAGAAAATGAGATCACAAAAAGACTGGTAAAATATATTGGAATATCTAGTTCTGGGGGCTTTATTATTTAAAATTAGTAATATATAAAGACGAAAAAACAGTCAAGTGCTGGCCGTCCACAGGCTCTGCTCACGCACCGGTCCACATCCAAACCACCAATGCGTAAAAGCGCGAAACATAAACTCAGAAACCCAAACTACTAAAACTCGACCATTTGGATTTCACCCAAAAAAATGTTCCCCCCTTCATAATTCTAACCCTTGTTTTTCCGTGTCCTAATTTGCCTAATTGCTGTCCAACTGCTGACCTTAAGAAGGAAACGGCATTGTGGGTTTCTAGATTTACAGCCTTCAGTCGGAACCCTCCCACTCTGAAAATCCAATTATTTTACTAAAACCACGACAGCCCGCCTGGCTCACAAGGAAACTATAAAAGCTCAGCCAACCAGAGCAGATTTCAGCTAAAACATAAACCATCCTGGTTCCGCTGACATTTTCATTTCTACTGTATGTTTGTATGACTTGTATGACTATTTACTTTAAACGGCCTCATGATTCACATAAATCCATCCAGCTCTGCTGTCCTCAATAATATAGTCAAACAATTAAGAGCGAAATATAAGAAGAAAGTATTTATGAAAACTAACAAAAAGATATTTCTGTGTTCCTCTCCACCAGTTTCTTCTCTTTGACCCAACCAACCTCCCTCCTCCTCATCTTGTCACCTTCTACTTTGCATCAACGGACCATCTAACATTTACTGGCGGCCATCCTCGTACCGTTGGAGCAGTTTTAGAGTTTCACATTATGGATCCCTCCTGTTCTTTGCCCCCACCGTCCACCTACGCAAACTTCTCTGCGCCCTCCTCCGCTCCCTCCATCTCTCCGTCCCCCAGCTTGGCGTCCACAGCGCTCTTCTGCTCCCTGCTCTCCCTCCTCTCCTTGCTGGGCATCACGGGAAACCTCTACACCATGGGCCTCCTTCTGAGGCGCAGGAGAAGTAGGAGGGGACCAACCTGCTGCCTTACGACAGTACCGTTACCCTCCTGCCTCGCCAACTCCTCCCCTTCCTCCTCCCCCACCTCTGCTTCCTCCCACACCTCCTCTCTTCACCTCCAGGTGCTCAGCCTGGCTCTCGCAGATCTGCTCTACCTTTTCACCGCTCCCTTCATCGTGTACGACAGCCTGGCTTCTGGCTGGGCCTTCGGAGAGCCCGGCTGCCGCCTCCTCCTGAGCCTGGACCTCCTCACCATGCACGCCTCCATCTTCACGCTCACCGCCATGAGTCTGGACCGCTACCGGGCTGTGGCCCATCCCCTGCACACCTCCTCCTCCAACTCATCGGGCCTGCTGCGCGTGGGCCTGGCCTGGGGGCTGGCGGTGGCTCTTACTATGCCCATGATGATCACGCTGCACCTGGAGGACGGGGACAACCAGGAGGGCCAGCTGTGCGTGCCTGCGTGGGACGAGCAGAGCTCCAAGGCCTATCTCAGCGTGCTCTTCTGCACCAGCATCCTCGGCCCCGGCGTGGCCATTGGAGCGCTTTACGCTACTCTAGGCCGGCTTTATTGGGTGTCTCAGACCCGGCCGGCCTGGGCGAGTGGGAGCAGCGCTGCTTGTCCCCCCCGCGCCCCCAAACCCAAAGTCCTGCTCCTCATCCTGGGCATCGTCCTGGCATTCTGGGCTTGCTTCCTCCCCTTCTGGATCTGGCAGCTGCTGCCTCTGTACCAGCCGGACATGCTGCGGACGGTACCGGTCGGCACGCAGGTGACGGTGAATCGGATCCTAACGGGGCTAACGTACGGAAACTCTTGTGTGAATCCATTCTTCTACACTCTATTGACCGGAAAACAAAGACGCAACCGGCAGACGCTGACGTCAGGAAATCAGCTCTGCCGCAAGAGCAGCCCGCTGTAGAAGTTTCTAGTTTGTGTGACACAATGATGTGTGTGCGTGCACATACATGTGTGACATGGTTCTGTGTGGATGCTTTATGGGTTCCATAATATGGGCACCAAAGACCATTGATCCATCCTTAGCAATACAAACTGAGGATTATTACTAAGCAAACGATAGCACTTTGAAAAAAATAAATGCTCTTTGAAAAGAACATCCCGACAATCAAAAAGACAATCTTTGCATTTAACTAATTTAATGCTTCAACCACACTTTTCTGGTAGTATCCAATAATGTGTCTTTAATTGCTGTAGTAACCAAGTTTAAATATTGATCCCTATTGATAAATGAAATTATAATTGTGGTTATGGTAAAGTAATATAATGTAAAATACAGTAATTACTTGAGAAAATTCATTTCCACAAATCAAAAGGTTTAATAACTCAGAGGAATGGTTATTTAGTCAACAATGAAGCTGACTACACAGTTATACTGCAAGAGTCAAGATGATGCTGCATGTTCTGCATGGAAAAGCCTTTTCAGTAAAACCCTAATGTTCTTCTGCTTGTTTTTAGAGAACCATGTCTGTCTTTCTGAGACAATGTTTATTGACTTAATTTATGTTTGAGTGGGTCTACAGTCTTTGGTTTGTCTACCGTGAACCCCGACATATCTAAAACAGTATTATTCTTCATAATCATGAAAATGTACTTATTTTTGATTCGTGCAATGCTTTGCATGGCCTCAACTTGTGCTAATTGATGTTCATAATAATGCATAATATATAGCCTTGAATAAAGAGTTTGCTTTCTTTAATTTGCTGTGTCATTGGATGTCTAACTGCGAGAAAAGAAGGAGAAAGTGACAACGATATTTGTCTCTCAACAATAACAGACATGAAAACGAAGGAAAAGACCTGAGAAACAAGACTTCTGAAGTGAGGCAGAAATCTGAGAGCTGAGGTCTGCTCAAACAAAGAGAAAGAGAAAAAGCCTTGTATTCACAGTTTTGTTTGTGTGTCTGTGTCAGCATGCCAGTGACGGAGGAAGGTCTTCCCCGTTCCTGTGTGCACACCCGCTGGCTGGTGTCTCTGGGTCTCCCTGGTCTCCGTGCGTCCGGCTCAAAGGCCGCACTGTGCTGCATCGCAAGCCCTGCTGCTCCTCCACACAGATGAGCAAATATTGTTGTTTGACAGAAAGGAGTAAGGAGATGGGATGGAATGGAGGCGGGTGGTGTCATGGGGGGGAGACATGGTGTGCGTTGGGGTGTCCTCTGGGGCTTAAGATGTCCCTGATTCAAGTCCAGCAGAGGGACGACATCTCAAATCTATATCCCCTTATTTTTCCCAATTCCTTTCTTGTTGTCTCTATACTGCATACTCTAACTTAAGATGACAAACAAACAAAAAACGATCAGATACGAAACCTGAACCAGAAAGTCAACCAAAATAAAGACTCGGGTCTCATTAACTAATCAATCACGTCTTGCAAATAGCCAAGTAGAACCAATATTGGCTCAATGTAACTTACAGTGTGTTATGGCTTGTTGTTCCATTGGAATGTATTTTTATTGTCTCTGAAGCTCTCAGGATAGCAGCGTCTGTGTTGGTGGATGGGAACATTTCATTATAAAGTGTATGCACTTGCTTAATAAAGAAGAAATCCAAAAGTGAATTTATTCATTTGACAATTTATTGTTTTGTGTGTCTTACTCATATTAATCTTAAACAAAGTCCAAACTGAGACAACCATGTAAAAAACAATGAGATGCTGCCAGTCATCAGAATAAAAAATACTCGTGGCAGCAAAAATGGGACATTCTGATTAATAATCCAGACTTCCAGGAAGTGGCATTGATCCGTTAAAACGTGTTATTTGGTAATTGGGTAATAGTGGTTTTCTTCGCCCAAATCTCACAGTAGTGTGGTTAAGTGTGTTTCGACTTCTAATGCAAAAGGTATTTGATCATTTGGGTGCCTTTAATGTAATGTAAAATGAGACTTCTATAATGTGAGCTTAGCTAACTCAAAGTAACGGTTAGTTTTTTTGCACATTAAGTGCACGGAAACTACAGTCGTGGAGACGGAAACCTGAGAGGCGCATGGAAAGCTGCATTGGTAATACCAACAGGTTGAAGAGACACACTTTCTCTGCACGGAGATGCCATTATTTCTTCTGTGGACCACGCTGCCCACCATGTGTTTCTGTTTACCTGTCCCGACTACCTCCGAGCAGAACGTTCCCACTGCAGTTATTATCCGCAGCCCCTTGCGGTCACACCACAGGGGGCTCCTCTGTTGTGAAGTTAATGCAATATCCATCCACCGCTCGCAGACAACTGAGCCCCTCTCAGCACATTTGTCCATTTAAATGGAATTTCTTGCAGATAAAGAGCCAGCTCCGTCTAAGTCTGAAATCATGAGCCCTCATATGAGGCTTGGTTTCATTTTGGATCCCTGGGTAGAACGAAAATGACAGAAGACGGAGGGAGCTGCTTGAGTAAAGATGAAAGCTTTCCAAAAAGGACACTTAGAAACGGATATTAAAGCACAGACGGCTTGTTGTTTAATTTTCTGCAGAGTGGACGGGTTTCGTGCGTCTGCGTATTCTAGAACTCAACATCTCAGATGATTGAGTCCTCCATCGGATTTGCGGGGATGACTGAGTGTTTGATAAATCTCAAATACGTGCTGTTTGGTCAACCCAACCAAATGGATGGAAAATATTGTCTCAGTTGGCAGGCTGGTCAATCCATAAACCTTTGTGCCGCTTGCGTTGGTAGAGTTGCCAGCACGGACCAACTCGCTCCAACCATAACTTTTGTCCTTCTGCTCAACAGACACTTTTTATTTCACCCTGAGATTAAAGACAGAGAGTCCCGCCTCCTCATATTCCAAAGGGAAAAGCCAAGGAGCAATATTTTCTTTCGGGAGCGTTGCTCTGTTTCTACCTGAAGATTTTCATAAATTCAGCACATGTCTGTTTCCTGGAACCACCAAGCATCTTTCCATCCCAGCAGCCCCTCGGCCCGCCTCTCGGCCTCTCCTCTTGACCAGTGTCTGAGGCGGCTGCAGGTGCCCCTCCCCTGGGCAGCCCGCTCAGGAAAGAACCCCGCTGTGCAGACGAGACGAGCCCGGCGCCCGGGCCAACGTCACGCTGTGAGGTGTATAAGAGCCTCTCATTCTCTCCAGACGTGCACAAAAAAAAAAAAAGAATCCCTTCGCACTCCTCGTCCGCCTGCCCTTCTCTTAAATTCAATCTTACCATCTGTTTTCTCTCTCTCAATCACTTTTCGTCTCCTCCACACATCTCGCCGTGCCCCCGTGGCTGCTTCACGTTTTTGCATCATGAATTACAAAACGGCTCAAGTAGTAGAAGCAGACTTCGTCGGCTCACATCAACCAAACTTTACAATACCGGCATATGTAATCAACGCGGTGTTAAAAAAAATAAATAGCACTTTGTAATTTCTGGTTTGACAGCAAACACTGAAGCCCAAGAGCTCACAGTGTTTCTTTGTTCAACGCATAGACCCCCCCCCACCCCCTCCCAACCATCCCCTGACTTCATACCTCCGTGTCAGCCGCCAGGATCAGGCGAGACCCGGGCCGGCGTGGCTTGAAGGCCGGAGGTTACACCAACCAACATACGCATTACGGTTCGCACTCGGGCTCTTACTAGGAAAGACAGTAAACATGGCACGTCTGCCCCTCTTGCTTCTTCTGGTCCTCCCGGGGTTTCACCGCTTCTCCGCGCTCCTCCTCCTCCTCGCCGCCAGTAAACAGTCATGCCGGTCGACTCAGGCGTCGAGGCTCCCCTGACCTCTGACCTTCTGTGCACGCAGGACGGTCATGGCTGAAGAGGGACATTATGTGCGTCTTATGTGACACGGCTCAATATCTGAACAAAAGCCTGTGCGGAAAGAGGTTGATAGGCAGAAAATGTATCAGTAGGTGCTTCCATGAGGATTCTTTAAGGACAAATACTAAACAATACCTAATTAAGCTCTTCAAATGCAGAGACTTTAAGCTTTTTAGAGTGTCTGTGATCAAGTGCTTGAATATCTGGACTTTTGATTGGACAAAGGAAGATACTTGGACCTCAGGAAATACTAATCAGCCCTTTTCCCTATTTTCAGATATTTCTAATCAAGAATAAAATCTGCAAATTAATAAACTATCTGAAAAAATGCCCTATTATGTATATGCATACTAGTAGACTGGTGTCATGAATAACAAAAGACAAATGTGCATTTCAAACAGAGGAACGTGTTTATTCGGTAGTGTTGAAGTAAAATGTAAAAAGCAAGCTTTTGGCCTTCAGCATGAACTGGTTTGTACAGCTGTAACATCAATACCACACATGTGGGAGCAAAGGCGAAAGCGTGAACGGTACAGTGTTTAGAATTAGAGCGCCACCTGTAGGTGAACTATGAGAAGTACGCTTCATAATAATTAAATGAACCATCGTTAGTCGCTGCTGTTAAGCAGATTCCAGTTCAGACAAAGTTCACACGGGTTTGTAGCCACAAATTTCCCTTTTTGTTCCTAGAATAATAAAAAAAAGAATAATAATAAAACATTTTCTATATTTAGTTTTCCATGTGTAGTATAGTGTGCTATAAAAATACTGAGTAACCAAAGACAAAAAGGCGGAACCAATAGACTCCGCTTCACATTGAACACAATGGTTGCATATCTACATGTACATATATGTCCAGACGTGTGTTTATATGTTAGTATTTTCTTATTTTGGTGTGCAGAGCCAGAGGCTGAACATACTGAATCCATTTCTTTCTCGTACGACCTTAATGTAGACTCAGCGTAACTCAAGTTTTTTTCAGCTTTTGTCAACTATTGTCGCGGTATAAATAAAATACTGTGTAATTGAACATTTCAATTAGCAGTTCATAGTAACAGCTACCGAGTGGCTGCATGTGCTCCTCGCAGCTCAACGCGTTCCTCCACTTGTCCGTCTTTGCACTGCCTGACATTCCAGCTCAGGTGGCCCAGTAAATGACCCAGTAACAGAGACACGTCCCATCTCTCATCCAAAGGCTCAAGACTGCAGAGCAGGCCCTGTTCACCCAAAAGTAAACCACGTCACAAAATAAATATTAAGCTCAATTCCTGTACTGAAAACAATTAATTACTACCACTAAAACAATTAAAAAGCAGACTAAAAACAACTCCAGTCCTGATGAATGAACATGAAGTGCTGTGATTGGAAACTAATACAGAGCCTCTTTAAACAAGCCTTTCATCTCTTACATACACATGACGGACCTTCATCCTAATCCAAAGTTTTGCAGCCCGTGGAAGAGAAGAAAGCCAACTGGGGCTGCTGGTTGTTCAATCTATTGATCCACGTCGCCCCCACATAGCGTTCTCCCCTTCCAAAGTAACGAGCTCCTGGGTGGTCAGTAACTAGACACCTGTACCTGAGCACAGAGCCACTCTGGGCCGTGATGCTGAGGTCTCCGGACAGAAAGCTGCGGGCTGCGTTGTGGCCTTCGGGGCCGGGCTGTCGTCACTGAGAATACTGACCAGTGAGTCTACGCCTCAGACAACTTTCAGCAAGTTCAATTACGTTCGGGTTAGAGGTTTGTAATCGATTTGCAAGAGAGGTGGGAAGCACGTTTCCATCAGGTCAAAAGGGGAAATAAGGTTAAGCTTTTCTCAAACTGTAACATTTTGGATCATAAAATATTTGTCATTCATTTGTAATTCATGTTGGGCTTTCTGGTGTTGTAACTATCTAATGAGCTAAAATTGAGCCACTACATCTTTTAACATGAATTTTCTTATCAACAACCAT